CCTTAAGTAAGCAGCTGCGCGTGGACCACGGCTAAATATCGGAAAAACACCTAAAAGTCGGGTTATTGTGGCATCCCGACGGGGTGCCCTCCAGTTCCTGTCGCTTGTTCCTGTCCAATCGATATCTTTCCGCATTAGGCGAATCCGTTTCTCTCTTTTCCCGAGAATATCCATGTCCATATCTATATCCATATCTATACCCATATCTATCTCTTCATCCCACTCTTCATTAATGAAGTCGTGACGCGCACTCCCTAGGGGTATCTAAGCATATATCTGGTTACCAGGGGACAACCGTAACGGCAAACTCTTCCATCTCTTCCATCACACCAAGAGCGCAGCTTGATGAACAATGGGAAAGATGGGCCTGCATGACGGCAGCAATGCATGATGCAAGGTCGGAAACACACTCCATCCCATCGCCCAAAGACAGCAATCCTCGGCGAAACAGAGAGCGGCTGCAGAGTCACCGCATCTACAAACATCCACCCCATATACTGCCATATACCCACCAACGTATACATGCCTAAGCACGCTGCGTACCCGCACATCGCCAAATACAATACGCGCATATTATTGATTATCACGGAGCAAGAGAGTAGTTCCTGAGTTCGCTGACTGTATCCAGCCTGACGTCCACCGTCTACTCTACCAACCGACATTCGATGGTACGATCGCCATTGACATCTGCCCCTTGATTTGTCCGCATTTATAAGGGTTGTCCCGGACATTTCGACATATTTATTCTCCTATCGCTCCTAAAAGTTATCTAGCATCCGTTAGTCGTAGATACTTGGATGCATACCTACCTAAGACTTAAGTAGACGCTATCCAAGTCCCAAGCTCTCGACAAGGTCGTTGAACTACCTTATCTGGGGTCATCATTATTATCATCATTATCATCGTCGTCGTGTTGAAGGTTCCTATGTACTGATTCGTCAGGCTTCAAAGGTTAAAAGCTTATTATTAGTTGCCGCACTAACATCCACAAGAGTGTCAAGGTTTAATGATTATCAAGATTACGTACCCTGAGTGACAGTAGGCGTCAAACAAACAGCTTGTTGAGCCGATATCTATAAACGCAAACCGAAGTATGTATATGAGGTACGCAAAGGAACCTTATACTTCAAACGTTTAAGGTTGAGGTTAAGATGCATAGGTACCTATGTAGCTAAGTATAGGTATAATATTCAATGTTCAATCCCGTGCTTCGGATCAATCGACATCATGATTACCATTATAAAATCGTGCTTACCCCACTTCTACCTTTCTCTGACCCGACCCAGATTTTAAGTTGGCCCATCGAATTTACTAACCAATTTTAGCAGTCTTTGATTCAGGTCCCTTGTTTTCCTTAACCTAGTAGACCAGGTAGCATTAGGTACATCCATGGATGTATACATGCATGTACAAACACGCATCCTTGGTCTGTGAGGTCGAAACGAGAACTTTAAAAAAAAAGAGGGAGGAAAAGCCAGATCCAACGGCTAAGCCAACTTCCATTTTCGACTTAATCTTAACATCTCCATCTAACTGGACCGGTTTTATTATTCAGGAGAGCGCCTCAGCCCGCAAACGATAAACGATAAACGACAAAACGGGAGCTTCCTCAGACACTGCTACGCCACTACACCACTACACCACTACACCACTACACCACTACCATCGCGACCACCACTCCCATTACTATCACCCGCGGTCCTTTGCAACCACCTGCGTGTTCCGTGTTCCCTTGACACAGTGACCCGCAAGGTAGGTACAAGAAGGGGGGCAGATGCTTTTTGGGTGCGGATAGCCGCGTACTTGGCAAGTGGACGCCGTGGATTCGACAAGGATTTAAAAAAGCTGTGCTAGGGTGGATGCATGTCTTTGCGACCCACTCATCATTGATACCTTGGCCCTAGCGCAACACAACTCACCAAGCTCCCGTACCCCAGTCCCCTGCCATCCTGACCCATCCACACACCACCTTTTTATTTTCTAGTTTATTTTTTTATTTTATTTTTCGCAAAGCTTCTGAAGCCGAATCCAAACCGTCCGGACCCTTGTTGACGAAAGCTGGTCCACCATACCGGCCCCCAGCAGCCCCAGCTCAACCAGCCAAGGGGGGGCCAACCGAGAGGAGCCAAGCAGTTCGAGGAAGGATTAGCGCAAAAAAATAGAAGCAGAAGCACAAGCACATAGCACACAGCACACAGCACCCAAGCACCACAAAGCTGTGCATGCGCGCTTGTGTACATGTCGTATGGGTTTGTGTGAGACTGTGCTTCCTTGGACTGTTCAACTTGAAAATACCTACCAAGAGATTCCTCTACGGCTTTCCGTTCCTGCACGCACTACTCTGATTTACCCGTCCACCTCAAACTACTTGCCTTACTACTTACACTTACCTTTACCTTTACCTCTACCTTTACCTTAATTTCCTACCAAATAGGAAGAGAAAATACCTCTTGTTGGCGTAGTCATCTTTTTTCATTTGCCTCTTTTTGCTCTTTTCTTTCTCTTCCTCCCTGTCCAGCTCGGTTTACCTAGGTACCCTTATGAGGAGAAGCGCGTATCGAGCAAAATACACACCCGTCAGTGGCAGTTGGAGAAACAAAAGAGAACAGGACGAAAGGGAAAAGAGAAGAGAGAAAAGAGAAAGGAGACGGTACAGGAAAGAGAGCGAAAAACAAGAGATTAGGAATCGTCGAATCGTCGTTCACTTTTTCCCCTAACATACCTCGAAACGGTGAATATCTGATTTTACTTGGGTAGTGCTGGTGCTAGACCTACCTACCCTTACTGCATCATCCCCATACCGACCTAAGCACTAGGAGGGTAAAAAACCCGTTGGGCGGCCATGGATTCCAGACAGCCGCCGCAACTCCCTTTTGCTCGTAATTCTGCTGCATCACCACCAGTCTATGCACGGTCGCCCTTCCCACCCGCATCTGGCTCGACTTCCACGACGACAACAACATCGTCGCCATTTCATCCCTCGAACCCTGCATCTGCAGGTCCTGCCGCGTACGCCGAACACCAGCGACGACCGTCAGACACGAGTCCTTTCTACCCACAATCGAGGCCACCGCCATCTTATGCGCCTGAGCCGACATCACATCCCGCACCTACTCATTCGCGGCATCCAAGCTCGTCTTCCATCAATATCCCTCTGACTCGTAATATGCCTCCTCCCTCACCTCCTCAACACCAAAGTCAAAAACCGCCCGCGCCTCATCCTGCGCATCAGATGGGCCACTACGGCGGACCGCCTGCACCAAGAGCTCCTCCCGTGAATCTCGGTCCTCCGAGCGCGTTTCCTTCGGCTAGAGAGCTTCCCGCGCTTAACTCCATACCTCGAACAGGGAGCACGGGAGGGAGCATGTCGATAAGCTCGATGCTTGGGGGCCCACCGCCGGCTCGCGAGCCTACTCCGGGCCACCCAACTTCTTTCCCGCCCCCCGTCACCACTTCTGCTGTTTCAGGACCCGCATATGCTGCGCCCGTCCACGCGTCACCTAGAATGCAGGCCGCAAACGAATATGCCGCCTATAATAGAAGACCCCAAACACCCGACCAAGGCAGACCGTTTGATGCGAGAGACCATAGGGGCAACGCAGCTGGATCGCCGCCGCAGGGCATGTATGGAACTCCTGAAATGTCCCGATACAACACGCCGCAGGCGTATCCGCAACGTGGTCCGCCCATGCCGCCGGCCGAAGAGAGGAGAGAACCGCCGGGGCGGATTCCTCCTACTAACGTGCCCCCTAGGCCGAGTAGCCAGCCTAGATCTTATCACGGCATACCCCCACGGCCTGTAGAGATGGGGAGGGGACCACCACCAGGCGATCCCGTGTACGGTAGGCGAGAAGAGGCGCGACCACCTGGCCCAGCAGAGTACAACCCCGAGCGACAACCTCGAACTATGTCGTACGAAGAACAGCGCCGCTTCATTTCGGAACGGGAGCAGATGAGTCGAGAAGCCGAGTTTATAGAGAACCAAAGAAGAGAGAGGATACAGTACGAAGAGCAGCGCTCTTTTATGGCTGAGAGAGAACGTATCGAAAGAGAAAGAGAGAACCAACGTGAGATGGAAAGGGAGAGGGAAAGGGAACGGGAGAGGGAAAGGGAAAGGGAAAGGGACAGAGAAAGAGAGATGGAAATGCGCGAGAGGGCTAGGAGAGAAAGGACCACGTCGGATCCGAGTCGCCCACACGGCCAACATCCCGTAGAACTTGGTCCTCAGATGCTTTCGCGACAGCCGCCGCCCTACGGAAGACCAGATCCTCGAGACCCTAGAGATCCACGCGACCCCAGAGATCCACGCGACCCCAGAGATCCTAGAGATCCCAGAGATCCTAGAGATCCCAGAGATCCTCGAGACCCGGCAGCCTGGCAGCGACCTGGTTATGATCAGCCGCCGCCGCGGGATGCGTATGGTCAACAGGCCTACCCAGGCCCGCGGCCAGGCGAATTTCCTTCGACTACAGCCGCGCCGTATGGGACACATCCTGCTTACGCGCAGCCTCCTCCCCACGAACGCTTTCCGCCAACCGGTCCGCCCCCTCATGCGATGCCCCCGAATCAGCCAGGTCCGCAACCTGCGCACCCGTTTGAGTCACCTGACAGACACCGGTTTGTACAGGCACACCCTCAACAGCAACCCCCCCAACCGGCTGCCCACCGAGGCCGTCCTGCCGAGGAAGGCCCACCACCTCCTTCGGTTGCGTATAATGGTGGCCCCGGCTCGGCCGCGTTCGAAGCCGGTCGACCGCGCGTCGTGGACGAGGGCCCTGCTCCCGCCGGACACCAGAGAGGTTTCCTCGGCATCCAAGAGATAAATCGTAAGGGTCGGGTTTCGCCGCTGCCGCAGGCAGTTCAGGGTGCGCAACCCCAGTTGCAGGGTCCCGCCGGTGAGCCTGGCATCAAGAGTGAATTTGGCCGCATGTTCTCCGGCATAGGAAGTGGTGTGCGCGGTATTGGTGTCTCTAGTCCAGTGCCACCCGTAATGCAAACCCAATTCTCTAACACGGGGCCTACGCGACGTGATGATGAGCATCCCGGTCACGAGATGCTCGCGGACGCTCCGGTGAAGGCGGCTACGAGAGGAAAACGAAGGAAGGCCAAGGACGACGACGGCAAGGGTGATGACGATAGCACCGGCAGGATCACACCTGTCGGTCGGGCTAAACGTCCCAAGACCCACGCTCATCACCACCATCACCAGTAAGTAATAGCTCTTATATTCCGTCCGCTTCGGCCTTGTATTCATTGTAATATTTTTTTTAGTCATCATCATCATCACCATCATGGCCCGGAGAGAACTACCTCGCCCCTTCAAGCAGCCAATGGGCAACTCAAAAACCTCAAAACTAACACGCCGATACCATCTCCAACCAACAAAGATTTTTCGAACCTTACTCATCATCACCCACCTCCCAGATCAGCCGCGGCCCCGTCTTCGAAGTCGACGGCGCCCGGCTCTACCATAATACCCAAGCCGAAGCACAAGATTTCGTCCCAGGCGGTTCTCGACAGCGTCGCGGATCGGCCCCGGAAACACCTTGGTGATGTCGTGTATCAGGTCGTTCTGAAGCCTAGCAAGTTGGAATCGTCTCACTCCAAGTTTGGCTACTCGTCGAATCCTCGTCCGCTTCCGATGGACGTGATCAAAGGTAACGAGAATTCGACGCTGACGGTGAAGATTCCCCGCGTTCACCTCAGCCCGTCCGCTCGCGAGGAGATCACGTCTCGTCGGGCCGTGTGGGGAACGGATGTCTACACGGATGATTCTGACGTTGTCGCTGCTTGTATTCACGCAGGCTGGATTCGAGGAGAATGGGGCGATGACGTGGACGTCGACTTGTTAGATCTGTACAAACCCGCAACCACGAAGAAGCAGCGCGCGGCAGCTGCCGAGCAACAACTCGAAGTTCTGACTTCGCCGCCAGCTTCTGGTCCTGTTCAGATACCCGCAGACCGCGATTTACACGTGACGCTTTTGGTCTTACCTGCGCTCGACAAATATAGTAGTTCGACACGGTTCGGCATCCAGAGCCGCGAATTCGGTGGTACGTATAACGGACGCAAGTCGATCCACGATGGCATCAGCTTTATGATTTTAAACGTACGATGGGTGGATGGCGCGGCACCGCAGAGCAGGCTTCGAGGAAAGGCGCGTAGGGAACGAATTAGAAAGGCCATGAGCGAAATGAACCGGAGCCAGGTGGTGGATATAGGAGAGAAAGAGCTCTCGAGTAAGATGGCAACGGCGCGGGATACCAGCATCGGCAAGGAGAAGAGTAGCGGGAAGTCAACCGATAGCAACGTCGGGGAGGGCAATAAGGAGAATCGTCCGGCCGTAACGGCTCTCAACGACACTACTCCCACGCCGAAACAGGAAAAGCCTAGCTTGGACACGAAAATGGACTTAGACGAGGTTGTTAAGGACAAGAGCGACTCGGCCGATAGTCAGAGCACGAAGACGGCAGACACGGCAACGACTTCTGGTATTCCTGCCGCTGGGAAACAACCGGAGAATCATGGAACGAACGAGTCTACAGATGTATCTACGTAAAACATGGGCTCGGTGTCCACCTCGTCTCGCAGAGAGCGATCCGATAGTCGAGCTGGACGTATAGTAGAGGGTTCCGACAAGTGCTGTTTTTCTTTTCTATTTTCTTCGTACTGCACCCTTGCGCCGTGGCTTTCAAAGATACCTGATACCTACCTACTTTCCAATCTGACTTTGCTCTTCTTCCCCCGAAACTTATATAGCATAGCACGGAGTTCTGAGCATGGCTATACGTGATGATATATATTTATATCTTTATTTGGTGTTGTGCTTTGAACAAAAAGCTGGCAGTTTCGGTATATTTATATATTTCATGTGACGGGAATGGATGAATGACCCCTGATGTGGTATGCTGATTATATATAATCAAATATATTGTAGATATTCTGAACCATGCATGCTTGTTTCTCCCGATTAGCATATAGTATTGGTAGATCGGATTAGATATAGGTAGGCTGAGGTAATTTCCCTTGTTAATACACGTAAGTCATGGGTTATTGGACTATCTACAGCGATTGCCGATAGTCCCGTGCTATGTATATTCGACATTAATTGTGTCACTAAACATTGCTGTATGCTTGGGAACGTGGAAGTATATACAGCTCCTTCGGAATTATAACGTATCCCACGGTATTCAGGATGGAATCCCTAAGGTTCGCTATGCATCCTTTCTCGTGTGATTGGTTAGCCCAACCAGATAAGAGCAACAAAGTGTCTCGTTCTATTGTCCTCTTCTCCCAATCCCGCCTTCCTCGCCAGCCCAAGACTCGCTTGTACAGAAAAGCCGTCCTTTCCTCCAAGGACCAGACATATTCCCTTCTACACCAATCGACATAACCAGTCCATAGCCGATTGCCGTTGATCAGGACATGGACATAAGGGGACCAACCCGACCCCTCCCCAAATCGAGACTAATTCTTATCTCCTCTCCTTTGTCACCCTAGAAATCGGTAACACGACCATTAAAACTGTAATCGCCACCCGGTCCCCAGCGAAGGGGCTCGTTCTTGGGCCCGCCGACCTCGCCCGTCTTCGGGTTCACGTCGCCCTCGAACTCGGGAGGGGCGCCCTTGCGAAGCGGGACGGACCCGAATTCGTCGGCGAGGGCGGGCGTCTCGGCCGCGCTGGCTGCTGTAGTATCCGCAGTGGCCGTGGTGGTGTCCGTAGAGGCGGGAGAGGGAGAGGAGAAGTCGGGGATCGAGGTCGGGTTGAAGCCTTCTTGGGTATTGGCCGTGCGCTGCAGGCGCTCGAACTCGGCTTGCTGGTCGGGCGGGAGACGGAGGGGAGAGGGGCCCGATTGGAAGGGGTTGGGGTTGGGGTTGGGGGCGTTGGAGGCGTGGCGGATGGGCTGTTGGGTTTGGAGGTGTGGGAGTAGTGTGGATTGTCTCGCGAGCCGGGTGAGCCGGGTGAGGCGTGACGCCATTGCGACTATTTGATCTGGTATATGTTGGTACCGGCTCGTAGCTAGGTAAGGAACGTATAAAATTTTGGAAAGAATTCTTCGTTTAAGGAATTAAGTATCGTTAAAGTTTTGAATCGATAAGAGGATTGAGCGTGAATTTCAGAATAACGTGGCGACGAAGTCCAAATTCCTAAATGACGAAATTAGAGATAGAGTTCCGGATAATGCCGTCCAAGTTCACTAAAGCAGCGCTAACGGCTAGGACGGGTGGGTTATTGCGGTACAGAGCTCATTTGTACTCAGGTAAGTATATAGGTACTTCAAGGTTCTCCGATTTCCTTATTCTCTTACAAGGACGCACCTAATTGGCTCATCGTTTTACGACACTGCAGATATACCCGATCAGAATTTTCTGGATTATGTACATACAGCATCGATCCTTCGGGTGTAACCTGAGCACGAGTTATATTATATTCATGGATTATTGAATTGGACATACGATGTCTGATGGCTTGCATGTACTACATTTTAAACATAACACATACAGCTCGTTGAAATGCCTACTAAGTAGTAGGACAAGTACCAAAACTTAATAATTTCAGTAGATGCTCTTCTCTAAAAAGGTCTGCGGTTTACAAGGAATGTAAAAACATAAGCGAGCTCAGCAGGGATCGAACCTGCAATCTTCAGAGAGTTGGTATACCGTAAACGGAACCGAAATCTGACGCCTTACCATTAGGCCATGAGCCCTCACAGGATGCTGTTGGAAGATTGTGCGTCGTAAAGAAAATTTATATAGCCGCAATCGGTACATAGCAGGTACAAGCTAGAGCACCTGAGTGGATATTGTGGGTATCAAAAACCTTCTAGACGCCCTAATCGTTCTATTATATACCGCTGTAATCACCATGACTTCCACGTACGACCACAGGACCTAGAAAATTCGGGATCCCGTCCGCTCTCCCTTAGACAAGCTGGGTACCGCCGGATCAGTAGTTGGGTCGGTGACGACCAGCGAATCCCCGGTGTTGTACGTTTTGATATTTTTATCATTTTTGCCCCCGAAAAGGGTTACTTATTTCTATCTATGTGCGAATCTCTGAGGGCTGGATGGAGACGTCGATTTATTGGGGTTACGGAACTCCTAAACTCTTTTATGGAATATTACTGTTTAAGAAGGCATAAAAAATGGATAACTACATACATTTCTCATGCCGGTGGCCAATAAAATTTGTGCTATTGACGCTACCCCTTGCATGTCTTAGACATTTTAGATTTTTACTAGACCAGGAAGGATCGGATCCGTTCCCTTCGGAAATCGGTCGAATGCAGAAATGCAAGTGGGCTTGGTGGGATGGCGGGGTTGAAAAGAACGACCTGAACGACTCATACTTCCGCTTATATTAAAACTGCTAGACATCGCGTGTTGACTCAGACCAACAAACCTTCTCTCACCTTTACCCTCTTTCGTTTTCTACTCAAACCAATTGTCCTCGTTTCAACACCATGGAGGCTCTCAAACAGACGTTCAAGCGCTGCAAAGCAGAGAACCGGGTATGATACAAATCCCTCTTCCTTTCTTACGTTCTCGATGTAAGCATGGGAGCTTTAAACGCACATACCGTCGGATACTTATCATATACTTATCATATGACTGTAACCTCATAGTGCTGTCCTTTACTAACTCAACACATTCTCCTATAGGCCGCTTTAGTCACCTATGTCACCTCCGGCTACCCCAACCCCGAGGAAACGCCCGATATTCTGCTGGGAATGCAAAATGGTGGTGCTGGTACGTTGTGGCAAATAGCCGTAGACTGAAAGCGATGGCTGGTGACAGAAATTAACTAACAACTTTCAGATGTCATTGAACTTGGCGTACCCTTCACAGACCCAATCGCGGACGGCCCAACCATCCAGACGTCGAACACCGTTGCTCTCGCCAATGGTGTCACCATCAAGTCCACATTAGAGATCGTTCGGGAAGCTCGATCAAAAGGATTGACCGCCCCGGTCCTATTGATGGGTTACTATAACCCGCTGCTCAGTTATGGCGAGGATGCCCTCTTACGAGATTGCAAGGAGGCGAACGTAAACGGCTTCATCGTTTGCGACCTGCCGCCGGAAGAGGCTGTCTCTTTCCGAAAATTGTGTAGCAGGGGTGGTCTATCATATGTTCCCCTGATCGCGCCCGCGACGTCCGACACTCGTATGAAAATCCTATGCGCCCTCGCCGATTCTTTCATTTACGTCGTATCACGTATGGGCGTGACTGGTGCTCTAGGTACCCTCAATGCGAACCTGCCGAACCTTCTCGAGCGGGTTAAGAAGTACAGTGGCGACAAGCCGGCCGCCGTCGGCTTCGGTGTGTCGACACGCGAACACTTCCAGTCTGTGGCCTCCATCGCCGACGGTGTAGTTATTGGTTCGGAGATTGTCACGACCCTCCGGAAGGCCGAACCCGGTACCGGAGCTAAAGCTGTTGAGGAGTACTGCGCTTACGTGAGCGGGCGGACGGCAGAGGAGACGACGCGGGAAGTAGGCGTCATGGAGGCTATTAGCGCAGCCAAGGAACCTAGCGGTGAGGATGTGACTGTCAACGGAGTCATTTCTGAGCACGACGATGCTGCCCTCGTCGCTCAACTTGCGGCCCTCCACGGCAAGATCCCGGAGCGGTTCGGCGAGTTTGGCGGCCAATACGTGCCGGAATCGCTCATGGACTGCTTGTCCCAGTTGGAGGATGGCTTCAATGCCATTAAGGACGACCCAAAGTTTTGGGAGGAGTATAGGTCTTACTACCCCTGGATGGGACGGCCGGGCCAGCTCCACCTGGCTGAGCGCTTGACCGAGTATGCTGGCGGGGCTAACATCTGGTTGAAGAGAGAAGACTTGAACCATACAGGATCCCACAAGATCAATAATGCTTTGGGACAACTTCTGCTGGCGAAGCGATTGGGCAAGAATAAAATTATTGCCGAGACCGGTGCCGGCCAACACGGTGTAGCAACCGCTACAGTCTGCGCTAAGTTCGGTATGGAATGCACAGTCTTTATGGGTGCTGTAAGTTTTCTACTGCCTATTTTCCTTTGCTGAGATGAGGATAAGCAGCTCACAAAAACTGTAGGAAGATGTTCGACGTCAGGCGCTCAACGTGTTCCGGATGCGGTTGCTCGGTGCCAAGGTCATCGCAGTCGAGGCCGGCAGCAAGACTCTTCGGGATGCCGTAAATGAAGCACTTCGGTACTGGGTTGTTCATCTACACGACACTCACTATATTATTGGGTCTGCTATTGGCCCCCATCCCTTCCCTACCATTGTCAGAACGTTCCAGTCAGTCATCGGAAACGAGACGAAGGCACAGATGCAAGAGAAGCGGGGAAAGCTGCCCGATGCTGTTGTCGCCTGCGTCGGTGGAGGTAGCAATGCCGTCGGCATGTTCTACCCCTTTTCTAACGACCCTAGCGTTAAACTACTAGGCGTCGAAGCTGGCGGAGACGGCGTCAATACCTCACGGCACTCGGCCACGTTAACTGGGGGTACTAAGGGTGTGCTACACGGCGTAAGAACCTATGTTTTGCAAAACGAATTCGGACAGATCTCAGACACGCACTCGATTTCGGCTGGACTCGATTATCCAGGTGTCGGACCCGAATTATCGAACTGGAAGGACTCTCAGCGGGCCAAGTTCATCGCAGCCACCGATGCCGAGGCCTTCATCGGTTTTAAACTCATGAGCCAGCTGGAAGGTATCATTCCTGCTCTCGAGTCAGCTCACGGTATTTATGGCGCCCTTGAGCTGGCCAAGACAATGAAGAAGGACGAAGACATAGTCATCTGCCTCAGCGGCAGAGGTGACAAGGACGTCCAGAGCGTTGCCGATGAGTTGCCTAAGCTAGGACCTCAGATCGGATGGGATTTGCGATTTTAAAGGAAGTATTATATACATGGATGCATGTCCTAGATTTCTGGGCGATAATGACTTTCGAATCTGGAGTTAGGGCGAGGGATATCAAAAATAGAGAGCATGGTATATGATACATTGGTATTGGGCTACATTCATAAATCTGTATCCAGATGGATTTTTTACAAGCTGGTTTGCACGGTTCAATGTCACCTATGTTCCCTTCATCTACTACCTAAAGATGAACATGCAAGTCTTCGATTTAGGAAGTTAAACAAACATAAGTCGATTCATGGTCCTGGCGTCTTCGCGTTATCCCTCGGATTTTCTTCCTTCATGAACTCGATCTCTTTAGTAGCAGTAGCCTCTTCGGCCTCATCTACTTTGGCCACCACTTGCTCGCCTTCCTCTACTTTGCCTATGACGAACTCCTCGTCCCGTTGTATCATCTCTTCCACCTCGTTCAGCACGGAATTAGACGTGAACCCCTCGGCGGCGAGTTCGCTGGGCAGGTCCGTACTATCAGCAGCCTCTTTCGGCGGAAGACCCATGGCGGCGCGCTCCCGCGCAAAGCGCTCTTGTACGGCGGGCGTCTGGATGATCTTCCAGCGGAGGGCCCAGCCGGCGGGGCCCAGGTCCTTGATCCGCTGGGTCTTGGAGCCGAGGAGGTACTCGTCGATGCCGCCGAGGCGGTCGATGGTCTTGAGCACGCGGGCCGTCATGCGGGTGCGGATGAAGGTGTTCAGGCTGCGCGACCAGAGCCGCTTCGTCTGCCGGTTCGGCAGCCAGGTCGTGCGCGACTTGTTGCCGTACTCCTCGGCCACGACGTTGCCGAACCGGATCTTCTGCCCGCCGAATAGGCCCTCGTTCGCTTGCTTGTATGTTCGGAAGGGCCCGTACGGGTACTCGGGTACTTGGTCCGGGGACACGGTCAGGTGCGAGGGGCGCTGGCGCGATAGGGTGGAAGTGGTGCTGAGGGCGCGGATTGTGGTTGATATCGGCGTTTCGAAGGCGGATGATGTGTGTGAGGGTGTGGATGTGAGGATCAGTGAGGAGAGGCAGCGTCGCGACGAGGCGGCCGGGATTGGTATCGGCGGCATCTTGGGAGGCCGGACGTGATGTCGAGTTTCTAATTCGATATTTGGAGCTTGAACTTCGGACGCAATTGAAGATTTCTTATCGTGCGATTATCATATATCGGGGTAGGCGGGGCTTACACACGCAAATGCATTAATGCGTTTATTTCGTCAATGGAGTCGGGTGACGTCGCTCCACTTTCGCGACTCCAGGGCTTCTTATCGACTCCTTATCAAACTATCGTGGGGTTCAACTTTTAAGTTAATTCACCGCCAAAGTATCCAGGTACCGCATAAACAACTTCCGAAAATACACCCAATAGGATGGATTTCTAATGTTAGTTCAAGATCAACAACTTTCTCATCACCAATTACCAAACATCTCACAATGTTACCCCCAATAGACGAAGCCGTACTCAAGAATAATCCCGATTTCGATCGTTTGTATAAGACCGTGACCGGTTCTCTCCTCAACCCCGATGGATCGTCCAGGAGTAACGATCCGACAGCGAAGAAACGCGATGCCGTGCGTGAGGTACGTCTATAATCAACTGTCTACCAACTCATAATGCCAAAATGCCACTCCAATTGATGTTGCTAACACAGGTGCTTAGGAACTCAGGGCCCATCGCCTCAAAGCAACAAAACAACACCTTCTCCGCCGCGCGATAGTATCAGCCGCCTCTCCACCCAAGCAGCAACAGCAACAATCACAACCACAACAACCGCACCACAGACAAACAAGATCAATGCAGCAACCACGAACCTCCGCCTCCACCTCCACCTCCGCTTCCACCTCAGCTCTACCCCCCGAAATCCTCGACCTCCTCCTCCTCCTCTCCCCCCTCCTCTCCAACGCAAACACCATGCCCGCCTCCTCACTAACCCTCCTCCTCTCCCGCCCGCCCTTCTCCGACCTGCCCACACACTTCCCCGCCCTCGCCTCCGCCATATCCAGCACCCTAACCCGACAAGCCAGCGCCCTAGCACGCGTGCTCAACCCGCACACGAACCCATCCTACATCCACCGCTCGATCCCGACGCTCGCAGCCAGCACCGCCTCCCTAAAAACCAGCGTATCCTGCGCCACGCTCTCGCTCTCTCGCTCCCGCCAACGCGCAACGCACGACCTGACAACCCACCTGTCGCGCCACGCGCAGGCCCTAGCGGCGCTAATCCGGATCCTAGAGTCGAAACACGGGCCCTCGGCACGGTCCGCCGAGCTGCGCGCCGCGGACGCGGGTCTCGAGACCCAGACCTGGGCGCTGGCCGCCGAGGCCCTGCTCTGGGACGTCCGGCGCACCGTGTACCCGCCCGAGGCGCGGCGCGCGCTGACCAACTACCGGCGACACCTGGGCGACGCGCGGATGCGCGCCGCGGACGCGATACGCGTGCGCGAGGCCGAGCTGGAGGATTACGGCGTGGCTGTGGTGGAGGGGCACGAACATGAGGGGGACGAGGCCAAGGAGCGGACGATGCGCGAGATGGCTAGGGTGTGGCGGGAGATGGAGGCGCGGCTCGACGAGGTCAGGGGGGATCTGGACAGGTTGGGTTAGGAGACGACGGACCCGAGTCCTTGACACGGACAAGACAAGGCATCGATGAAGGAAGAACAAACTTGAAGAACGAAGGACAACCTCAACAAGACAAATACATATTGGAACACGACTATAATGGTCCTGGCAATAAATTTTTCATTCGCCTATCTAGAGGTAGCATTGGTATCACAAGTATCGGTTGTCCACCGTATATTAGCAAGACAAGCCAAGTAGATGCACAAGGTGGGGAAAAATGGGGTTAGTAAAACAGCAAGAGATGTATCGAGGATGGTTCCCCGCCATCGTCCCTGAGGAATATTCGCAACGAAAAGGTCTATCAGCCGACCGATCCACTACGCCACCCGTCCATCCGTCTATTCATCGTAACAGGCATGCTTTTTTTTTTTTCACTTCTTCTATCTTGTTGCACATCCAGATAGGGGCGTTTAACACCCTCGTATCCAGAACTTCCTTTCACTCCCCACCTGAAAAGAGGTGTGCTATTTAACCCTTAACCTTGTAGATAGCCTCGGCTAGGCGTCCGACGTTGCCACTTGTGATTCCGGCAACGCTGATACGGCCGTCCTTCGTGGCGTAGACGCTGTGTTCCTTTGCCAGCTTCTCCATCGCGGCGGCATCAAGACCGGTGTAGGCGAACATACCGATCTGCGATGTGATGTGGCTCCAGTCATGAGAGCTGCCGAGCTTCTCGAGGTTCTCCTTGAGTAGGGCGCGCATGGTGATGATACGGTCGGCCATGCCCTTGACTTCGCCAAGCCATTGCTGGTTGAGAGCCGCGTCGTTAAGGATCTCGGACGCGATACGCGCACCGTGTAGCGGCGGGTTCGAGTACAGAGGTCGGACTAGGATCTTGACTTGGGATTCGACACGCTTCTTCTCCTCAGGCGTCGAGGCTACAATGGAGAAAGCACCCACACGCTCTCCGTAGAGACCCTATCATCTCCGCGTTAAGTTGAGTACTTTCGGGGAAGGGAAAAAAAGGTCAACATACCATGTTCTTGGCAAAGCTTTGGGCCAAGGCGATGTCGTGACCCTGCTCGACAAAGTATCGAACGGCAAAAGCATCCTTATCCGTGTTTCCGCTGGCAAAGCCTTGGTAGGCCATGTCGAAGAACGCATAGTGACCCTGAGCCTTGACGACATCGCTGATCTCCTTCCATTGCTCGGGGGTAGGGTCGACACCGGTGGGGTTGTGGGCGCAAGCGTGGAACAGGAATAGGCTTCCCTTAGGAGCAGCCTTAATATCTGCCACCATACCCTCGAAATCTAGGCCGATGGTTTTCTTGTCATAGTAACGGTACTGCTCGACCTTGAGGCCAGAGTCGCTGAAGACTGCCTTGTGGTTGGCCCACGAGGGGGTAGGGATGTAGATGGCCTTGGCACCGGGGAAGAATCGCGCCAGGAAGGCACCGCCGATGCGGAGAGCACCGGTACCTGAGATGGACTGAGTAATGACTAGACGCTCGAGAGCGGACGAACCCTTGCCGTAGGCTAGCTCGGCGGCGGCTTTCGTGAATTCGGGGAGACCGGTGATGCCGAGGTATTCTTTGTTCAAGCGCTTCGCGATAACCTTATCTTCGGCGGCGCGGACGGAGGGGAGGACGTAGGGTTTGCCTTGGTCATCTCGGTAGGCACCGACACCTTGAGCAAAGACTGTTAGCTGTCATGTCTTATAACCATCGTGGCTAGTCACTGCCGAGGTTGGAGGAGTTGGGGTTACTGTAGAGGTGCTGTGGAAGAAGCCAAAGAAGAGGAATGACATACCTAGGTTGATCTTCTTCTCGAAGGTATCGGCCTTGAAAGCTTCGGTAACACCTACACAACATTAGCAAATGGCATTTCACTTTGTTCACTAAGGTGAGTGATATATACCTAGAATCGCCTATAAGCGGGGGAAAATCGGCATGTTAGTCAAGACGGAATAATCAAATTAAAAGAACAACGCTGCTCGGAATTAGTCGTGCGGAAAGGCAAACTCACATCCTACACATTAAATTGTCAGCAATTGAGTTCGGTAGACATATTCTTAACCTCAATTGGGTCCCAATTGGGTTCGCTGGTTGGAAAACACGGGATGAAAAGCAATGACATACGGGAGGACCTTGAGGTACGTTAGCCCAAGTGGATCCAGCTCTCACGGCTTGGAAGGCCACAGCCGATCCCCGGTGGGATGCAGCTTGGCGAGTGGCAACACGGAGTGCTGAATACATGTTGAATGGTTGTCTGATTCTAAGGGCGGGATTATGAGATTGAGGGGGGAAAGGGAAGAAGAAGACGGGAAAAAAGGTTCGACGAGACAAGCCGAAGAAAGAGAGAAGTTGCACAAAGTGTGATTAAAGTATGAGTAAATTTTGTGCTCTCTCGGGAAAGCGTCGAACGATTTCGGATCCTGATCTGCCTAGTGTAGTTTGGAATTAGCTCAAGTCGAAGTCGCAACCCGACAAGTTCCAGTTCCAGTCAATTGTCGTAATTGATTGGCCGTGTCACACAAAGTCACAATTAGCGACCGTCCTTTTCCCATTTCCCCAGGTTAGAGGCTTGACGCTGATGCGGGGTGTCAAGTTGAGAGGGTATAGTATCGGGCACGTGACCGAGCTACTTAAAGAAAATACATCCATCTCCTCCAAATCTACATCTCCGCACGGTCAAAATTGGGGAGCTTTACCCCACTAGTGGAGGTATACACTTGAGCCACGGAAAACGGATTCCGTACTAATTAGTATGTACGTAAAGCTATATGATATAAGTGCCTTTTACATATTTATTGCCTTGACAAACAACAGCCTTATGGGTAAGGTATCTTCACGTATGAATATCAGTAACAGGATACAGTTTTGTGACGGTAGAGTTAAACGCCCAAATTTAATTTTACCATCCATGCAGAGGTTACACATAAAAAAACCTCCCCCATCATATACTTTTTAGCTTAAAGTAACACTTCACCTAGAAAGTCAACTTTTCTCATCATCCCTTTCTCCTCAAGTTCTCCGACATGTATAGATAAGATACCCCACTGTCCATTTATCTGTTTTCATCAGCTGTGCCCTCACATAACCCCAAACAGCTAATACACATTCCATCATTCTTAATCCGCTTATGCCTCTACCCCGTCAATTTGCGCTACTTGCTGCAGCATGCTCTCGGAGATGTTTTGGTCGAATCTACCAGATAGTCAACAATGATGATCCAGCAAAGCTCACAGACTGGAGAGGGATGAACTTACTTGAAGCGCCATGGCCCATGTTGGATCCGGCATAGCAGAAGACGATTAGTGACGCCGATTCTGATCACCGTGCTTTAAGTCCATAAACAGGAACAACCCAGTTCTGTCGAAGTGGCTCGCTTGACACGTCGAGGCACGATGGGCTAGTAATTTCCAAGCCAAAGAGCACCGTCGACACTTGATGGCTTTGCGGCCAGAGCTAGGTAAGGCTGGTGGCTTGACCTCTGGTCCATCTCAGTTGGCGAGTGTCTGACTGAGCGTTGTTGTCGCTGAGTTGGCACCAAGGCCAAGTGGCGACGACGGAAATAGAAGTCGAGCTCCAGACCAGGAATGTGACGAAGAGTGTCGGGCAGACGCTCATGGTAGGTTGCTGATAAAGAAATACTACCAAAGTTGGGGCTAGTCGATCTGTGATGATTGGAGATCTAGCCACGAATCTTGCTAGGCTGGGATTACCTACCTGAGACGTTGCGGCTCTGAAAGCTCCTATATCTGAGGTCTTATTTCGGCCGAGTCGGTTCCTAGATTAGGATGTGTGTGGGGGTCAGCAAAAAAGCTGACCGTCCCGCTGGGGAACTGTGGGGAGATATGTAGGGATCATTACACAAGGAATCATCAATAGGGAGAGGGATCTCAATTCCCTTCAGAAAGTCTCGGTAGTTATCATCATTCCCCACCTTTCAAATATTCAAAAGCCGCCTCCACCACACCAATGTATCAAACAGGTCCGTCTCGGCCTAGCGAGAAGTTTGGAGTTAGTTCAGGAGATCAATGATGACGGACGTTAATATTCGAGGTTGAGATGACATACATTGTTTAGATCTCGATACTCAAGCTGAGATCTCACCGTGTATCGTTATTTAGCCAACTCCTCAAGAAGAGGACAGGTTGTTTGCTTTTCGAACGAGGTTGCCTTTCAGGATCCTACAACGACAATGGACAGCTTTGCTAATGGAAACAAACAGGTCAATGGAATCCATAAACGACAAAATGGGGTGCAAGCAAAATCCCCGAACAGTCGAAAGCTCCCGAAACATGGTATTCGTGAAATTAGTCGGAAGATGTTGAGTTGAGATGGGGAATCGATGGAAGAAGAGAAATTCTATTCGGGGAAAATGAGATGGCATACGAGATGATGTCAAGAGTGAAGGGGCTGCTTGCTATGAACTGGAACGAGAAAGAACATACTGAGACTGAACGTCATCGAAGCGCCGATATCACCAAGGGCTCCTTCTCCATTTCAGACGCAAAGCATAGCAGTATGCGCACGACGCAACCACATCGAGGACAGAACATACGACTCACACTGCACATGCAGAAAGGCTCCAAGTTTCTATCCGATAGCAGATTCCCTATCATGCAGCATTTCAGAACCCTTTAGACTTCCGTCGTCTTATTCGAGAAGAGAAAGAACTACACATATTACGACTGTCTAGATCCGGGGTACTACTACTTATTCAACGACATAGATTACAATCATCTGGCCACGATAATCTGCAATGACGGGCTTGACGGCAAAGTTGAGGACGGCAAGGGCGACGTAGACGATGAAGATGAAGATGGTGGAATCCAGGTTGAGATTCCAGCCTCCCAACTCGAAGGGTTCACTCAACTAAAGAGAATTGGCGGCTAGACCAGTTCATACCAACCTGGCCTTCATAAAACCATTCAAGGACTCACTCTCAGATAAGTCATAATTCGTAAGTCATAAAGCATGAAAAATATTTTGATCAGCGTGCTATACCCGCTTCAGAAATTCCCCAAATACTATCGCATCTACTTCTCGTTCCCGACTCTCTCTCGGTCGCCACTTGGTTACGATCTCTTGTATTCCGAGTCTCATTTTTACCGCCTCTTCCCCATTGCTCAATCTCCAGTGTTTCATCTATCGATGTCGAGCTTCTTTCGCTAAAGAAAGTGTACCTTTCCGAGTGTCCCGGAGGAAGGGGCCAATGTCGACTATCCCAGACATCATCGTTCAACGAAGTAGGGACGACGGAAAGGCCTATATCTCCCCATATTGAGCTGCGATTCGATTCGGCGACCGAAGTTCTGGTCTCACTTTTGTATTCCTGTCCCTTCTGAGATTCCACGCCGTCCGCTGGTATCCCTAACTTTCTCCTCGGCAGCTCTTCTATGTTGTATAGCCGTCTTCGTACCACGAAACAGCGTACTGCTATAGATATTGCGATCAGGAGCACTGTCACCGAAACCACTGATGCGATAATGGCTGTGATCTGCCCCCGGCTAAGTCCTTTCTCCGGCGCCGGCACAGTTGAAGGCTCTTGAACGTTATCCACGTCATTGGTACTAGATGGAGATGCGGTTGGTGATGTTATGCTCGTTAAGCTACTCGATTCCACCGCGCTCGAGTCTAATTCTGGCTGTCTCGTAGTCATGAGGTTAGGAGCAATGGTCGAAAGCACATTAGACGACAAGCTCATCATCGAACCGCTCTTCGAAACGGTATGCGAAGCCCCTGTGGATACAGTGGACGTGCTAATCAATGCTGGAATAGTCGCATCTGAAACATCCGAACTGGTGACAGGTAACGAAACTCCGACTTGGCTGATGGTTGTAGTTCTGGTCAAGGTGATCGTGATGAGCAACATTCACGTTATATTAACCTAGGTCGCCGGCCAGAGTATATGTTTGCTCCAAATCGAAATTGAAGTTGATATTCGCATAGTAATCAAACTTGCTAATTAGTCGTTCACAGCGATAACCTTTCCCACGTTGCGGAATGCTAGGGATGAAGGAAATATAATTAAGGGGCTAATGGCCGCACGTCCAGAGATGCCTCGTATTAGGGATGACGAGAACTATTCACTGCGCCTGAACCAACGGCATCAAGGGAGGGTTTAAATTAGAACGCTCTGAAAGCATGGCAAACCAAGCCCTGACACAATCTAGAAACGATGCACGTTTATCATATATCCATAAGATGTAGTAAGGAAGGATTCGCCGGAAGGATGAAAATCGATCGACTCCAGATCGGCTAACTTCTCTACGGGGAGAACATACAAATCTCACATCCAATGCATGTAGCATTGATACAGTCAGCGCGGGAACCAATGCACGCAGAGAAAAAAAAGACTCAATATGCGATGGTGGTCTAATTTTGCTGGCCAAGGACCGGGCCGCACGGCAGCATTGAGGGGGTTCGTCTGCAACTGACGTAAGACCATCATCACATCCTTTATAACCTTGATTGACGTCGGGATCCATATCTCGAGGCTTCCAACTTGCGCGCCTTGTTGAAGATGTATTAGGCAAACGACGGTATGATCCATCCAAACTAAACTGTCATAACCTTAAGCATACCGCCTGAAGAGAGGAATTATCTTCTTCATTTGGGAGCCTTAGATCCGCGAGGGCTAGCAGGAACGGCTTGTAGATCATGTTAGCCATGTGGCTATAGATGTTGAAGGATTGCTGCAGTACGACCGGCTTGATGCTACCCAACTATTTAGTGAGGTGTCCAGCCATTCCTCAATGGCCAATCATATCTAACGTATCGAACGAGGAGGCTACGAAAGGAAGTAGAAGGGTAACATATAAGAATCCGGCGCCGAAGCACACATTCTATTGCGACCTACTTGCATCCTCTCGGCCCCCTCCGCCAACAATGATACGCTGAAGACTCAGCTGACAACTACTACTCATCAATCAAAAGCATATATCATTCGGAGGAACATATATAGTGGTGGTCTAATTTAGTTAGAAGGATGTGGTACCAACACCCAACCCCTATTTCTCTTGCATCTGGTTCAATTTATTCTCGTGGGGGCTCCTGCAAGTCAACCTTTCGATCTATTCGCGCCTCTACAATCACATTTCCTAGAGTCAGCCTGAACTTAGGGACCCAGTGAGTATTTATTCCTTTGAATTCCATCAGTCAGACGTTCAAGATGTTCTTATTTCTACGTCTTCGTTTTTGACGATATTATTGGTCGTGGAATAAGAGACTCATTAGTTGATTCCGAATTAACTACACCTAAGTATATCATCGTCGAGGTGAACTCTCACTTAAGGGTTTCTTCTAATGGTTAGAAATATGCGCCGTGTTGTCATAAGAATACTTACCATCTTTTCATCCTAATACTATTAGAGGGAAGCAAGATACCTATCTAAGTCCTACAGTGTTACTAAGACCCCCATTGTTAAATCTAACAATATGCTAATGTATTTAAATATGGTCTGACAAGAGGGTAAACCCAAGTTAATGACCATAGTTTATAAATGTAAGGCATACATATATTGCTTACATTGTTCATGTTATCGTCGTTTGATATTACCCTTCGACACCGGGTTTTATCTAAATTAGCTAGAAAGGAGATAAATATATATGAAACCAACAATAAAGAGGCTGATGTAAAGGCTATCCTCGTATGTTTATATAAGACCCCATTTCGTTGCAAACATGCGATTATCACCTGCCTACAAGTCCCAGGAATGACTCTTGGTTTCGGATTTTATGACAAATAAGCATATTCCCAGCATATCATATAAATCCCAGATGCTCTAGGGAGGTTCTGAGGCATGTTGATGCTTACCTACCTGTAAAAGGCTATAAGCAGCTTTACGTGATTAACCTTGATAGGGCCTTGACTAAGAGCTACTATTCGATAATATGCAAGTATGTAAGTAACAAGGGAATCTGTAGCCTTGAAGATTTAATTTTTCTAAAGATATAATGCTGTTGTATAAAGCAATACTGTTTTCCAAAAGCGAGAGGGGGAATATCATAATCTCAGCTGCAACCCTTAGGGGCCGGCACATAATACCATAGGTAGAGTAACGAAATATCCGCCTTCCTAGACGCATTAGATAACAAATGATTTTTGAAATAATCGATAAACCGGAGGTTTCTGACTCTTTCATTCAAATCTCGTATACATACTAATATGCTTATGACACTATTATCCTTCAAGCGCTTGCACAATTTGATATTTGATGGGCCTGCTCACGCCTTAACTTGCCACCCCTTTTTAGTTAGGTACGAAGGATTCGTAATGTTAGTCAGGAAAGCTTAGAGGTGATACATTTATCTTCCTTCTAAGCCTCTTCGGTCAGACTATCGAGTTAACTTTCTTGTCAGCGAAGCTTATAGGGTCCACGTGTGAGTAAGAAACTTCGGTGTTGTCGAGTGGTCTTGTCATAAATGACACTTCTAAAACATCACTTTTAGGCGAGGCCGGATTTCCGCCGACGACATCGCTATTTCCTTGGACACCTGGAAAGCACCGGTTGGACATAATTCGGGATAGATCTCAAGCAAGTTGATATTGGAGTGTTTGATTGGTAATGCCATAACCATGTGCCATCAAGTTCGTTCAACTACCCCTTGAGTTGGATTGTCCACAAACAGGGTTAATAAGTATAATGCATATGAGTACAGATAACCGTCCATTGGCATCCTTAAAAGCTAAACTTAAATTAGTTGGGAGTATCTCGGAGTCGGATGAACAGTAATTTGCATATCAAGGCTTGTCTGCAGGCAAATGCTAGTGATGGGATTAAGCAGTGAGTTGTTCCTCATTGTGATATCTCAGAATTTGAAAATGCCACATCAAAGAACAATGCATAAGGAACTGTCATCTTTACTAGCTGGATCGGAAATCCATGGGGCCCTATCGGCAACATAGAATCGTGGTATTGTCCACTTTTCTCGGCCGAGACATGGCATAGATTCGTGTACCGCCTTCGACGACTCGGTGTAAAAGGGACTGTGGCTTTCCTAGTAGACGAACCAGTAGGAAGGTGAGATACCTTAGGTATTTCATCCTAAGCTACAATATTGATCACTCCCTACTACTTTCATAAATATAAATCACTCAAAAACAAGTTTGTGTAAAACCCAATCTACAACATAAAATTTAGTATAAGGCAAAGTCTCGATAAATTAAAAGACTCTAATTAGTTTCGGTCAACCTCGACCTCGACCGAGTCGAGCCTTGTCTCCTTTCTTATAAACCATACCACTGGTAGGCCCCAGCTAAGTAGTTCATATGACGCATCGTGATGACTTGCTAGGTGGGACATGGCGTCCAAGGCAAGCCGCTAGGCTAACCAGTGAGGATTTAATACCCTAACTGGTAGTCTCTGCCGGTTATCGTCCACGAATAAGATGGAAACAACATGGGCCAGACGGTGAGCCGCGGTCTAGGTTGATTCCAACCACGAGACTCCAACCATGACGTGTTATAGAGACCAGTGGCTCGCTTGCTACATTAGCGCATGTAGTCGAGTTATCATACCTCATTTAACGTACTCGATTTCGGCGCGAATTATCGACCAATGATATGTTTTAGCTGCATGAAACGAGTCACTTCAGACCCCTAATCTTCGGGCTCCCCCAGCGTTGAATTTCCGGTGCAGGACTTAGGAGGCTGTAGCAAGATTCGTCGCTGCAATGCTCAATATGACCAGATCTATCGCATGAGAAGTGACATATCACTTATAGAATTCGGAAGGGACCCCATGGTTTACGTTAGGTTCATCATCCCGGACGAGATCGGGTCGGGTTGGATATCGAAAGTGCGCGCGAGGTGAGTTCCATCACCATTGATAAAACTATGTATATAAACTATCACGTAGATATAATATGGGGGTATGCCTGGAGTCCTTGGAATGAGAGGCAAGGCAGTGTGAGTCCGGGAAAAGGGAAGTCAATACATTTGGAAATGTTCAATCGTGAGGTAAGTCTCTTAATACCCGTTCCCGAATAAATCTAATCTACGAGAAGAGAACTGCGAGCAGAAGAGGTCGAGAGCGTCGTAGTCTTCGAAGAAGACGTAGACAAGTCGCCCGAGCTAACGCCAACACGACATCAACAACTAACGAGATACAACACACCATTAACATTTCAAACCAACCTAATCAACAGTCTCAAAACTCGACTAGCATTGAAAGGACTACGGATAGCCGTAATGGACATGACACTCACCCTCCGCAGGCCCATCACCAAGATCCTAGTGATCGCGAAGCGCCTTCAATATTTCTCAATAGCGAAAATAGGGGACAGTCAACCTACGATGCATATTCTTCTGATGCCCGCTCTGTATTATATGCCCAATTGGACCAACGAAATACGAATGGCTACAGTCACCCGAATTTAGAAGACTCTTACCTCTATCCGAGCCAAACCGAAAGGCACCAGGAGGCTTCTACGTATAACAGCTTAGGACAATACGTAGCTCAGCAGGAGCTTGATAACAACTATGCTTTGGAATCGTGGAGATCACAATCAGTGTATGAAGAACCTCTTCGAGTTCTGCCAGACTTGTCTGGCCCCGGCACTTTAGATTGTGCGCTAGGGAGTTGGGACAGCAATGACCAGAACAGTGATGCGGGAGCTACGGGGGGCATAACACCTGATAGATGTTATGATTGATGAAGCTAGGTACATAGCTAGACGATAGAAAGCGTGAAAAGAATCCATTTCAGGTAGACATGCTATGATTTTCAAGATTACCACGACGACACAGGTGTGATTAGTCATGCTCCCCCCTGAGAATCTTAGCACAGTATTTAATACCGAAAAAGGTGCATAAAAAATAAAATAAACGTACAACACCGGGGATTCGCTGGTCGTCACCGACCCAACTACTGATCCGGCAGTATTCAGCTTATCGAGGGGAGAGCGGACGGGATCCCGAGTTATCTAAATCCTATGGTCGTACGTGAAATGTTTAATGATTATGTTCATTTATATTCCCCCAACAGGCACCATCCAGACACAGCTTGCTGGCAAGAATACGCCCAAGCATAAATAAGAACCCACCAGCGCTAACTAACATCAATAAAACTCGAATCTAGGGTTTTAGGAGTACCCATTGGTCAAGTGAACAATATTCGCTAGGTACATAACTATCAGAAGTATTCTCATCACAAGCATCGTAATGCAATAGAGATTGTTCATAACAAGTACAAATTAGTATTAAATAGTCTACTACTTATACAATCTAATTATCATTCCCGCTCTTCGTAGTTTTAAACTTCAGCGTGAACTTCGGCGTGCTCTTCTTGGGTTTGGGGCGTATCTGTGCCGGCAGCGCCCTCGGGTAACTTGGAGCCATCCCAGTGGCTCGACTTGATGGGGTTGACGTGTAACAAGTACATCGTGTCAATCTCTTCCAAGCTGCGGTCCTTGGTCTCGATTACGAAAAAGTATACGATGAACATCAAGGCTGCACAGCAACCGGCGAAGACGAAACCGTAGAAGTAGTCGATCGCGTCGGTGATGAATCGAGTGAAGAAGGAAATCATACTGCGACGTCCCGTTAGAATCGGATATACGAAAATTAGGTGGCCGTATAGGTAGGTTACTTACAAGTTCCAGAACCAGTTAGAGGCCGTGGCTAAAGCCATACAAGGAGCCCGATATCGCGAAGGGTAGAGTTCAGCGACAACGGCCCATACGAGGGGTCCCCAAGTGGTAGCGAAGGCAGCGATGGCGAGACAAGAGAACACAATCAGAGCCGAGCCGGCCTTAGGGGTGTTCATGGGGTTTTCTGAGTCCAGGGCGTAGTGACCGACGAAGGCGTAGATGCTGTTATCATGCTAATTAGCTTGCCGATCTATGGATACGATTAGGAATAGGAGTAAGGGGAGAAAACTCACAAGAAGCAAGCCATCATCCATGCCGCACCAGCGATGAGAGCCTTTCTTCGGCCGACGTTCTGCACAACCCATAATCCGACGATGGTTGTAGCAACGTTCACCGTGCCGAGGATGATCTGCGTGACGAAGCTGTCGCTCAAGCCGGTGGACTTGAAGACGGTCGTTCCGTAGTAGAAGAAGAAGTTGGCACCTGTGAGCTGCTGGCCAGCTTGCAGGACGACACCGAGCAGCGTTCTGTACAGCATCCTGGGTGCGGTAAAGATTTCGGTCCACTTCGCCTTGCCGCTGTGCTTCTCCTCGTCTAGCTTGACCCGGATCTCGGTGATCTGGTCGTGGACGCTGCGATGTTGAGGGTCGACGCCGGCCAATCTGGCGATCGTCTTGCGCGCTTCTTCTTCTCTGCCCTTGCGGTAGGCGTGTCGGGGACTTTCGGGGAGGACGAGGATGCCGAGCGCGAGGATCAGGGACCAGAGGAAACCGAGGCCGTTGGGGATACGCCACGACGCGCTCGAGGCCATGTCGGCGGTACCCCAGTCGACCATGTAAGAGGTCCAGATACCGAGGGTGATGAAGAGCTGGTACGTCGACACTAGAATACCACGGATGATGGCCGGGCTACTCTCGGACTGGTACATGGGCACGACGACGGATAGGGCGCCGATGGAGCAACCGGTCACCAAGCGGCCGACGGCGAACTGTGCCCAGACGCGCTCCGACGAGATCTCGATAACGATTCCGACGCAAGACCACAGAGCCGAGACGGAGATGGCCAGTCGTCGACCGATGATGTCTGCGAGCTGTCCGGCGATCAAGGCGCCGAATAAGCATCCGACGGGCAGGAGACCGACGATGGTACCTTGTCTCGCGGCACCGAATTCGTATTCGCCAGGCGAAGTTTCCTCGCCGAATCGCTGTGCGAAATCAGGCATCGAGAAGAAGCCGGAAATCTGACCGCTGACGTAGCCGAACATGAAGCCGCCTATGGAGGCAACGACACCCAGGAAGACTGCTAGGAAGGTGACTTTTTGCTGTCGTACGGGAGGAACTTGAGGGGAGCTCTGCTCCTCCTTTGTGGCAGAGGTTGTGCCATTAGAAGACCTGGCATTTGGTGTTTCCACCTGATCTGTATGTTGTTTGAGGAAAGGCATATTGCCTACCTAAGGTATCAATAGATGATGGTAATGAAGATGTTGATGTTTGTCTTTGATAGACTTACGAGCTGATGATAAGCTTGGATCATGCAGAATCCAAACCCCTTAAAACCATGGCCACGGTCCTTTTTTAAACCTTGTGGACTCCCCGGAGAGATACATTTTTACTTTGGTTTTTTTCTTCTTAGTTTCTTAGCTTCCTAGTTTTGCCTTGTTTGTATTACTGCGTCATCACCCCATCGTGATCGTGACGGCGTCTTGCGCGAAGAATCGAGCCGGGACGGTTTCGATGTTGATCGGCGGCCCCGATGGGACCATAAGTTCGCCCACAAGTCTGGCACAGGTTGCCCACAGGTCGCCCACAGGTCGCCCACATATATGGGTCCCATCATGAGCACTCACGTAGTTAGCTCCGCTACGGTTGGTCCCGACAGAGCCTCTATCCGGAACTTCCGACCAACTAATTTTTTTTTCTTTTCTTTTTTTAGGGCGCCGGCTCCCGAAACATGACATGCGATGCGATCCCGATCCATCTAGATATTATTCCATATTCTAGAAGATCTTAGGATTTCGCGCCGGCAGTTGTTGATAAAATGATTTAGGATTGTTAATCCTCGGCAAGTGAAGAAATCTATTATCTACCTAGGTAGGCATGTCTCTCGTTCGTACGAGCACAGTAAGTTGTAGCCAAGCATAATTGGACCAGGCAAGGCAAGCTACGGGACCCCTTTTAGGCTGGCCGAGCAAGTACCGAGTCGGTCCTGTTGTGGAGCTAAAAAGCGGCTCTGCACTTGGTCTCGAGCTCAAAAGAAACTTCCTCTATTCCACTATCACGGAGATGATGAGAAAAATCTTATCTCCCTTTTTTCTCATAGGCATGCTGGCAAGCAAATTGAAACGGCGATGACATTAGATATCATACTAGGGAGCTATACGCGAGATATTTTCTAACCTAGCGCAATTTTCTTGTTGAGAGACGTTTCCTAGAATGGAAATACACAGGAGTTCCTTTATCTCTTATTCTTTTTTTAATTTAAATTTTTTAATTCCTTCCAACCCCCCGACTTATTTCTCCTCTTCCTGTTCCAGTTTCTCTTTGGTCGATGCGAGCCCATTTATGAGTCGTTCGTGGGATGCTTTCCGGACTGTCTATCAGAACACCAAGAGTTTTGTTTCGGTCCTTTCCCCGTCTCTCCAGGTCACTTCTCAGATGCTGATACGTAAGAAACGGGGACAAGAAATACATTCGTCCGCGATGGCTCCGGGTTCCGAACCTCGGATGGTCATGTAGAAGGTCGTCCTCGCGTTATCCCAATAACCACATCACGCATGAAACAGTTTTCAAGGGTGCCTAGTAGGTAGTTAAATGGTGCCCAATGCTTTAAGACCATCGGCGACGACCTCATCGAACGAATGTTCAGGTAGCCCAAGACTCTCGTTCAGACCTCCTTGATGAAGGCCTCGCCATTAACTTTCGGTCGCATACGTCGCGCATTGTATTTTCTAGCTGGCGGCTAGCAGTTGCTCCTGGTCGATAGTGAAGTCGCTCAAGAAGAGATTCCGATTCTTGGTCCCTTCGGGCCGCATCAAGGCTCTGACGAGAGCGGCTAGGTACGGTATTCTCCTAGGTAGTACAGGAGAAATATTCTTCGTCGTCGTCCCAAAAGACAAACCGGTTCTCGCGGACGGGCACGTCCACGAAGTCGTGTGCCATTCTCCACTTAAGCCACATACCACAAGCAATTGCCATGCACCCGATAACACCAGCGGCAGCCTCTGCTCAATAATATTTTGGGGGGTTCCCCCTTGCGTGGAGCACCAAATCGAGAGGTTGAGTGTCAGGCCTCATATTGTTAAACCGTGCTCTCTCGAAACATATCGCTTCACCTCGGCGACGATAACAGCATCGATCATTCAGTCAATAGATCTTGATGGCTATAGTGAGCGTTTGTTTTTCCTCCCAAACCTCTCTCTCTCTCTCTCTCTTGTTTTTTTTTTTTTACTTGATCGTCAATTGAATTTACACATTCGAAAGAGTGTCTGTCGAATGCATGGCTTAGCTTAACTCTGTACTCTTACCTAGACACTTAGGTAAGAAGCTCTAAGATACTCTTCACATGTGGTAGATGACGGTAATTGAAATGGGATTGCACTATGCCTATTAGGTGTTAATCATTATCCAGCATTGTCGCCAGGAGTAACGGTGATGAATGAATGATGAAGAACTTTACGTCCGGAGGCCATCAGTGAAACACGAAACATGGCCGAATGCTTGGTCTCCTGGTATTGAGTGATTACGTACCGACGAATACGCGTTCATCGAATTGGATGCAGAATAGAGACTTGTAAATAAAATCAGGCGATGGATACGAACGCTTTTCCCCTTTTAGATGATCCGATATCGGGAGGTAACCCATCCCTCTCCCCCTTTCGGCTTTCCGCCTGGTGTCCACTTCTCCGACCGCAGCACAAGTCGTAAGACGGCTTGAACCGCCGACGACCCCTCCGCCGTTAACCGATATTTCTGTGATAATGAACTCTTCACGGTATCGAGGAGATTAGTTTCGGGTTATTCTTTCGGGTTATTCCTACAATACCTCATTATGTTGACAACTACAGAAAAAGGGGCATGGCTGTAGAATAGTATTCAAACCCCTCCAGCGGACTTGAGATCAAGAATATCAGGATCTCTGCTCCTACATTACCTAAGTATCTACAGCTGCACGGCGATGCTGTAGAACCGGACAAGCCATATGGTTGTGTTACCATAACCTTGGGTTCCGGAAGAGGTAGGCTTTGCTTAAGCGTAGGCAGTTTCATTCGCTTCGCCTTGTATCTAGAAGCAAGATCGCATGGACAAGATTATGCCATGGGGGGAGTTGTCGCAGCAGATGGATCTCCCGAGATTTCTCACCAGCTAATGCGGTGTAAGTCATATCCAACCACTAGAAATAGTACGGCTATCTTGGTCTCGCAGGCTCGGTAGTCGCCGAGGGTTAAGATCGTCAAAGGTTCCGCAACGAGGACTCGGCGATAAGGAGACACTGCCGCGAAGATCACCGGAGTTCCATCTCCTGTTCTATCTTATCATTCGCCCGACGCCACTTTCGACCTAGAGACATCGTGATGCAAGTTATCGGCACTTGAACGCCACAATATATCCAAATCAATTTTTAGCAAGACCAAGACGGAAAACATGGACATTTCAAAAATAGACAACACACAAAAGTAGAAGATATTCATGACTCAATTTTAGACGTTACCTGACCCTTGTATACTTCAACACATTTCTCGTAGCATAGCAAAAGGGGTATATAATATGACACCAGTATCCGAACTCCATACGCGAGCAACAAATGCCGAATACACAATCTCTTCGTTGCTCATCTTCTGATCATATTCTTTTTCTCCATCTCGACCGCGAATATCATTTGTGTCTTCGGAAGCGGCGTGAAAGGCCTACCCCGAGGCCTACACCCAGCGGGACAAGTAAGAAGAGGAATATTGCCACGGGGAGGACGACGTATAGGAATAGGAAGCGTCGCGGGCGTCCGAAGTAGGTCTTGTGCGGCGGGAAGGCGGAATCGAGACGCGTGCGTAACGAAGTGGCGAGAGTAGGGTTTGCTGAGCTATTCTCGGCGTTCGTGGAAGCATGCAACGGAAGCGTAGATGTTTGACCAGATCGTTCTTTTGCCCCGTCTTGCTCAGCTGCTGTCGAAGGTTCATCCGAAGAACCTTTGATTGGAAGAATGCGACCTAGCAACGATTGGCGAGGTTTCGGAGGGTGGGTTATCGTCTCCCATTCCGGGAGCTGATAGACAGGTGCAGGTGCAGAGGGAGCAACCTCGTTATGATCTGCCATCTTGCGGTGGGCATTGAATGACTTGATTGACTCTTAGATTGATTTATATGTACCCAGACGTAAATCGAAGATCAACTATGTAGAAGCCTTCGCAGGTTCCCTCTGATGTTCTAGTTAAATGACTGGAAAAGAAGCTATGTAACTAGAAGACAAAAACGAACGAGATAAACGAAACGAAGGGCAGCATCTTCCCTCGAGGCAGATGCATTGGAGGGAGACACCAGGTTTCAAAGACAGATAAACAAACTTGTAATTCTCACGAGACACAAGAGTCGCAAACCGGGAAATGGGAAATGGGAAATGGGAAATGGGGAAAGGGAAAGGAAATAGAAGAGTTGAAAGATGGAGTAACGTCAAAAGTTGGAGATGGGGACGCCACCTGCAACTTTGTGGTGGGGCCGGCATATAATGCGGGGTGTCTCCAATCTTTTTACCAGCATCAGTGATGTAAGACCCCTAGACTTATAAGCTTGGACGTACCACAAGATAGACGAATTACCCCAATTCCTGATATTTGTCTGCTTGTATTGCATATGTAGAATATACGTAGAATTACATATATATGGTTATATATATCAAACAGGATAAGAAAAGATCAAACCATAAACTCCATTAATTCCTCCATGATTCCCTGAACTCCTCTGCTAAGGGTATTCCACTACTTTCATCCATACACATACACAAGTACTAGGGTATTCCACCACCTTTATCAAACCAGATCATTCATACAAAATCGTAACAGTTCTCATCCCCTTCTTCAATGAGACGGCCGGGTTGAGAATCTACTCGTGTCCCCCGATCTCGGTATTGACTGCTGGGAGCCATTCGGACTCCCCATTAAGCTGCGAGACTGGGGCGAATAAGAGCCGCGGGACGAGGTCGAGCTCACACCCCGAGCGTGGCTATGCGGTCGCACCGCGAACGGCAGCGATGGTGGTGGCGTCGTATCGTGCCGTAGCGGGGAGTATTCACGACTCGAACTATGCCTAGGCTCTCTAGGATATCTAGGATCCCGTATGCCGTACGTCGGCACAGTCGAAAAATAATTATTATCGCTAAGCAGCGGGATGGCCACTTGATGATTACCCGAGTTCATGTCGCGATCCCGCCCCATTTGGTTCTCTAGGTCGGCTCGCGGAGGCAAACTGGTGGTACTACTTATCCCCGTCGTCTTGAAATATCGCCACCCTCCTTTTTCCTTGGTCCCTCCCTTTTCTGGAAGGTACGGTGGTATTGGGTCGTAACTAGAAGGGCCGAAGTATTGAATAGTGCCAGCCTGCGACGACGGGTGTTCGTTCTCATGCTTGCGCTTGTTATGCTCCGTGAGTTTCTCTGTAGTGGACTGTGAGTCAAAAGCGAACCAGGCCTAGGCAGAGTACCTAGTAAGGAGAGGGCGGAACACATACCACTTATCATCTGAGCAAAACTGAAGACGATCAACGCGCTTGAGAATATGGGAACCAGTTGGCCGAAACTCTTCGCGTCGTTTTCCGGGTTTATGTTATTTTCTATCTGGATCCATCCCGAGTTATTCACCCATGACCGAAGCCTAAATATATAACTGGTCGAGATGATGGTAGTGGCACAGCCAAGGCCCAGGCCAAGTACGAGGTAGAACAGGAATATATGCTGCGAAAACTTCCTCAGAGGCGTTCCGAGAGCGCAGCATCGTCGGAATGGCTTAGCGATAACAGCCCTCATCCCAGGCTTACTTCTTCCACGTCGGAAAAATTTAATGATCTCGGCGATAATAGCGACCCCGTAGAATAGCATCGTGATGATGTACAAATTCCAGCCTTGAATCTTGTTGTGCGGCGTCGACTGCGCAAGGTTGTCAATGAAGAAGGTCTTAGCGCTCGACGTCGTCTCTTTAAATGTATCCGACACTGTATGCTCGTTGGTCTGAAAGCAGGCAGCCGCAAGGAGTAGGTCACTATCTGTCTCGTTCGCGTTTGGAATGCCCGTAGGAAACGTTATGTCCGTGTTCGCGTTTTGGTTAGCCATGAGTAAACCAGTCACTGTAAAAACGCCTGTGATGGCAATGACACGAAGGAGGGCTAGCCACCGGAATTTCCAGTAATTTCGAACGATGGTAACCGATATAAGATGCGTAGCACAAGTAAGCAACATCATATTTGCGACGATGTTGTAGTGATAGGCCGAGATGGTGCAGCCTCTCCAGTACCGGAGCGTGAGAGCGTACGCCGCTCCTGTAAACACCTGTTGGTCGCTACAGGCAAGAATGAGCGTTTCCAGAATTTCGGAGAAGCTAGTTCGAGGTTGTCTCGCTGCCTTCTCTCTGAAACAACATATAGATTAGCTAGGGCCTAACTGCGGATCTCGGCATTCTCTTACTTGTCGGTGTAAGTGGTTTTGTAATGATAAGTCTTTAGGAGCTGCCATGTAACCGATACTATACCGGTGGCTATTGCGAATGAAGTGACCGCGACGAAGACTCCAAGGATCTACTCCATGTGAGTATGTTGATGATAGTTGTGAGAAGGACAGTTCTGAACGTACTCCTATGCCAGCAATATCCGGATCGCCGGGGAACTCGCCTTTGCCATAGTCGCCAATCCTGGTAAATGGTCTATCCGTCACGTTTTCCCCGTCAACGGTGACATTTTTGCCAACGACAGTGCAGTTCAACGTGACGTTGTAACGTGCCTGACACTCGGCAATAGAAATGTACGAACCCATCGTGCCCAAGGACTATGGCCTTGGTAGCCGAGGTTCAAAGAGAGAATAACGAGTGAGCCAACCGATGAAGTAGAAGCCAAGTTGTCCGACTTCCCCTGGAAAAAGAGGATCTAGATATATGAAGTGACTGCTTTCGGATTTAGTCGTATCAGACTATCGAGAAGTTTCCATGATGAGCCGTAGTAAAAGTTTCAATGTCTATATGTCTATGAGCCAAGCGTCAGACAGACATATAGATATCAGCCCTCGAGGAAGGGGCCGGTCTTTATCTACAAGGGACACTGCGGGACAGTATATGTCGTGTCATGTTCTCCGATAGTTCTTAGCAGGGGGGTAATTCACGAATTGCTCCAGCACACAATATCAAACCGAAGAATATGCACATTCAAACCTTCGAACCAACACACTTAGATCCTACCCAAGTTCTGGGCTGGCTGAGGCTGAGAACGCTATGGCTAAATACAGGACGAAGGGGGTCTCATCACATCATCCACTGCCCGAATGTAGTGAAACCATGCAGGGGGTTGATGGGAATTCCATGTCCCCTCACATGGTAATTCTCTGTGCATATTCTGCATCTTCTAGGTACATCTTCTATCCTTCAACAACCATTCTCATCCGTGACGAGGCTGTCTACCTAGAGATCCAAGCCGTTCTCACCTAGATATGTAACCACACAAGAACTGGAAGCAGAGAGTTGAGTTATTTTTAAATGGGCGTCCTCCATGTGCATCTCAGCACATAAGATAGGGCAACACGGCAGATCTTACACAGCTACTATCGGTTTGGATACCTACATGTAGGATTTGGTTCTTGCGGGTTCTTGACTGCCAGCTGGAATAGGTACTTCATACCTGTCGCGAGAGCGTATCAGAATCAATCATGATAACTCAACCGGGCTTTAAGCTTCCAGATACCGTAATCTTTGGCCCCCAACATGCAGACGATGCCGTACCGTACCACAAGCTACCCCAAACAAGATGACCTAAATTTGGAACACGGCTGTGCTGGAAGTGCTGGAACACCCCGCATGCTGATTCACCCGTCGCCGTATGACCGGGAAGAATCATCTTTTCTTCATCTTGCCGCATCCAGAAGTGAGTGGCTTCGGACGAACGATATCACAAGAAACACTTTTATTCAAAGTCCGTTACGCCGCCAAACATTTTCGTAGTGCGATTCGAGAAGTAGATTAGGGCGAAGGAGCCAGCCTTCGACCAGGGTCGGATACTGACTACACCCCTTGTTTCAGCTGAATTTCATTGTTTAAACCAACAGAAAAGCAATCATCACGTTTGGTGGCTGTTGACATTCTGTAACATTTCCGAACTTTACTCAGGTTATTGTAGCAACTTATTTCTGATTCGATGGCCCGATTAAGAGGAGGAACTTCTATTAAGAGGATGAGAAGTTCCTATCTACAATACTCATTCTACTTGAAGTCCTAGATCACTTTAAAAAAAATTTAAAATAAAATAAAAATAAAAGATAAAAAAAAAAAAAAACGATACATAGGTAAGTAATTTTCTTCCTTGTTGTTTCGGTACGGCTGGCTTCGCGTAATGCAATAGCACCAAACCATCACGGGTGCATCGAGCTAGGGTAAATTGCCGTTTTCGAACCAACATAGGTAATGATGACTTATTCATCAAAGGAGGATGGGGGCCAAAACCAGAATTCAAAACTAGGACGATGCGATATTTATAAGCGAGAAGGAAGAGACGAGATATTGAATCGGGGCCTACCTAGGTAGGTAGGTAAGACTATAAGATGCTTTTGTTATATATGCCTTGGTTGGTAACGTTGGATGAGACCGGACAGAATTTGAAGAGGCTGCTAGCTCTTCGAGGCTGGTTTCTGACCTACCTTTCGGTATGGTCGTATTCAAAGAAGTCTTCCTAGGAAACGAACCCCGAGGTGGCTTTCAGCGTGGGATCGAAGCAAACTATAAGACGAGCTACCCAAAAAGTGGCTGCTTTGGCGTGGGGGGTATCATCGCAGTCGCAGATAATACGCGCAAAGGAGAGGGTGGCATCAATAGTCTATTACAGGAATTTGAATGTGCAACTATTGAGCAATAAAGATGACAGGTCGTTTACAGCTGGTATGGAAGTACCTATATGGTTAGGACATCTTCTCAAGCATATCTGCGTGTCTTGGGCACCTAGTAGATGATGCCAATATGTTGGGAACAGCTAGCGGAAGTAGCAGTTCGTACCTAGCTGAAGTGACGCAAAACATAGGAACCAAACCAGCATTAGAGATGGAGATAAGAAATAGGAGTAAATAATGAGTTGGCAAGAGTGCTCTTCGCACCTTAATTGTCGCCTACCAAGTAAATGGTCTTACGACAACTCCTCCCATGAAAAGGGAGGAGTACCCAACTACCACTAAACTAAATTCGAAGCATTATGGTACAATGAAGTACGTCGAGAACAAGGGGACGACCCATTCCTCCCAGCCAGCACGCCCATTCATATAGCGTGCCCGTTTTCCAGCCGGCAGCAGCATTAAGACTTTCGTCATGCTCTGGTGTTCCCCCATCTCTCAGCGCAACAACATTGCCCTTCAAGGAGAATTAAAAAAGAAAAAGGAAGGAAAAAAAAAACAATATCCAATCTCCTTTTGCCCCTTTCGTGCCCGCACCGCCGTAAACTCGCAACTCCGCGCTAAGAGCAAGATGCCACATCCGGCCCGGCCGCTACGGCCTCTTCCTGCCCTGACCCCGTCTACCCGCCCAGGTGACAAGTCAAGTTCAAGTCAAGTATATACAACGCGGAAACGCCAAAGAGAGATCCCTGAGGTTCGCCAGTCCTATAAAGCAAAGCAATATGCTCCTGTTTCCAAAAACGCCGCAGCTATGGTTTGGCGGAGAGAAACAAGAAAGAAACGGTTCAAACAGAAATCAAAGAGGCGCCGCCTCTATGTCGCCTAGACTCTTTCGTATGTCTCCTCGCGGAGGCCATAGATGCCAGGTAGGTGGTTAGGCGAACGACAGCCGAAGCATATTTCAGTTCAGCATAGTTCACCAGGCTACTGGTAACCAGTAAACCCACCCCTTCCTGGTAAAACGTTATGTTCGTTCGCGTTGTAAGCGCAATCCCGGTCCTGTCCTTCGTTCAAGATTCCGGGCACGATAAGTAGCGTAGCTCGGTCCAATCGAAGAAACAGGCGGCGACGAAAACGTATCCGCACGGATCCCACCCGCCGAATTGCAATATGAGATGAAAGACGAGGGCGATGTGGTGTATCTCCCTGAATAAACGAGAAAAAAACAGCGCATTAATAGAAAACAAGAACTGGTACGATGATAACAGACGGCCGGGGAAAAGCAACATTATTCGAGCTTCGGATAAGTAGGTAGGTAACGGTTTCGGTCTTCGAATCGAATCGAAACTGATACGATACGGACCCGCCGGTCGATGGAAGCGAAAAGCCATGTCAAAATGACCGCGTGCGAGGATGGGGAAGGACATAGCGCGAAATGCCAATGCTGCTCTCTTTCCTCTCCTTTTTTTTCTTTTATTTTCGGGTTTACTTCTTTCTTCATGTCTCTATGCGAGTTCCCATTTCCCCAAATTTCCCCTTCTATATGCTCATAAATAGGTAGGTATGAAAAGGAAGAAGACGAAACAGGTGGGAGATCATTGAGTATAGACCATATTGAAGTCAAAATCGTCCATGTGATGCGGTACTTCGTGATATACGGTCATCGGAGTGACAGTTGCGGACGACGACAAGGCCGAGCTGAATTGGTTCATATGGTCCTGAGGAGCAATCGCGGAAAGGTCCGGGGCGAAGTTGGGCGAGATTGTGGTAGGCGACATGGCATTGTTGAAGTTGAAGTCGGCAGACGAAAGCGGCATCCCGTTCATATAGGCGACGTCGCCGTTGACGACGAGATTGCTGTAATCCACCTCGCCAAACATGTTGCCGGACATCTTGTGCGGTATATTGAACTCGCCGGGATACGATTCCATGACTCCGGACTCCGGATCCACGACGGGGTGACTAAGTTCGTCTTCGCCATCATCATCGTCGTCTAGCTCGTACTTGTTTACCCAAATCTCCTTCATCCAGTTCTTAAGCTCGCTCATCGGGGGCCAGTCGCCGCCTCCTTTACCGCCACGCTTGTCTTCGTCGCTGCGGTTGTTCCCGTTCCCCTTGTTCTTCTGCCGCGACGGCTTCTCCTTGAAGTGCGTGCGACGAAGGTGCGCCGCGGCGTTGTAGTACGCGCCGTACTTCTTCTGCGCTTTGCAGGCCTTGCACTTGCTGAGAGGGTTGACGGCGGGAATGCCGATGGGGAGGCCGTGGGCGGCGGGATCGACGCAGATCCACTTCTTGACGGTGGTTTGATGCTTGGCGTCCCTGTGGCGACGAAGCTCGTGCTCTCCGCGGAAGCCGTCCTTGTGCTCGTCGCACTGGTCGCAGAAGACCTTGGGTTGCTTCGGCCGTACGTACTTGGTCTTCGTGATGGCCGTCTTACCATCCTTCTTGGTGTTAGCTTGCGACTCGCCCGGCATCTGTTCGGTGCTCGGCTTGGGCTTCAAGGGCGCGTTTAAGGCACGCTGGCATTGTAGCTTCAGAGTGTCCTTGGCACGGACCTTCAAAGACGAGCTCGATCTGGTGCTAGCCATGCTCGCGCTAGACACCGATCGCTCCATATCCGAAGATGAGAGGAGTACGTCTGTAGGCGCCGAGGCGGCATATTGGTGGGCGAAGGGCGGTGCCAAGCTGGAGCCGACGGCGATGAGCGCGTCTTCGCTGCAGTAAGGTCGCTTCCCTAACGGCGAATTATCCCCGCTGCTGCAGTTCTGCTGCGTCCCATCTTGATAATACGCCTCGCCAGCTTGCGACATCTGCGAGCCGAGGCTCATCATACGAACGCCGCCGGAGACGGACTGGTTGTCGAACAGGCTGTTCTGCCGAGTCATCGGCGCCGTATCATACGTCGGAGCTGTCGTCATCGAACCGCAGACGGACACATTAGTAATGTTGAATTGGGGCACGTCAACGTCGTGGTTCTGCGAAGGGACGGATGAACCGAAAGAATCCACCACTTGGGGAGGTTCTTCGGAAAACGGATGTTGGGAGAAGAATACTTCGGGATCGAGCATCACCCCCGTCATGGGCCCCGTCTCCGACAGAGTAGGCATGTCATGCCGATGCTTTGACGACTGGGAACGCAGAGACTGCGAGTGGGCAAGGGCATAAGACGATACAGGCTCGTCCTTGTCTACGTACTCGGCCATGCCCGCATTTCTCATCTGTACGCCGGCGTTATGTATCCGCGGCGGAGGAGATATCGGGACATTGCCGGTGAAGGGACCGGCGGACTGGGTGGACAGGTTTGAACCGAGACGGTCCATCTTCTGCGAGACTGGAGCTTGCTGGGACATGGTCCTGGCACGCTTGACGGCGTGTCCTCCATCATGGCTATGTCGATTCTAACGAAGGCCCGTCAGTATGCCCAGTTCGGTCACGCATGAGGGCTTGTACGGAAAAAAGTGATCTTACAGATGGTCGCGCAGCGCCTTCATGACGACTATACCCATGCATACCATTGCTCCGAGGAACTGTATTACTTCTCGACATGCCATCTTGATGGAAGGGCGTGGCAGGAGTGGCAGGAGTACTTGGCAGTTGGAACTCATTATGAACAGCAGAAGAAGCATCGAGGTTGCTCTGGCCCGAGGGCTGAACTACTTGCGATTGCGATTGATAAACAGAGCTTTGTAGATGAGATATTTCCGCTTTCGCTCTGCGAAGATCCTCCTCCTTGCTTCTCAACACCTCCCGGTGCGCCGCATCCTTTTCCTCTAGCAGGAGCTTAAGCTTCTGGATTTCGAGATCTTGATTTGTGCTCATGATTCCAAGATCAGAAACTCGTTGCGGGAGTGGTCAGGGAGTTGACGGGAAGATCAACAATGCCGAAAGGGCAGGCGAACAGACAAGACGAGGCGGAGAGATTTGCGGTCGTCTCGACGCCTAACGCTTTCACTTAATTTCTTCTTCTTCCCCCCTTCTCACACGCGCTAATAAGACAAGCAGCCTCGTTGGACAAGAACCCTCGAACAGGAGAGCCCAACAAGGATGGATTGGTTTTTAATTTTCGGGATTTTTTGATTATTTTTGATTTTTGTTCTCGTCGACGAGATTTGCCAGGCGAGAATAATACCTAATGACGGACTAAAATCCGATCTAAGGAAAGTATGGGGTAAAAGGGAAGAACGAAACACAGATTTCGATACCCAAAGATTTGAAAACCAAAGGATGTTGCTTAATTATGTACCAGTCAGTCAAGACGAGGCTTTGGGCCATGCGCGGCAGCGGGTCTAACCATCCTCGCTCTCTCTCTCTCCCACGATACGCTTGCCCAATTTGCATGTACCGGTATGTATTTAATTTACGAGAATCCCGCGGGCTTAGATCGACTCTTGGCCTTGCAACCTGGCCCGGGTTTGGCTCCAGACCCTTGCAAGTGTCGAAATGGCTTGCCAAACAAGCTAGCGTCCCAGGAACTGGTTCTGCTGGTGTGATTTGACAGGGCACTAGAGCACTTCGTAGAATTGCATAGTACATTACATAGTACATGACATAGTACATTACATAGTAGGAGGGACATCAGTCGATTCTATGTAACTACTCAGAACTACTCAGACTAGCTTCTTCGCTTGGAGGGGGATTTTGATTCCGGAGGGTAGGATGGACCGTCGTGGGCCTGTCAGACCTCGCTGCTCTGCTCTACTGCAAGAGCAAGCCCACTTAGACTTTGAGGGGCGCTTGAGGGGAGACTGACAAGATTGACAGGACAGACAGGACTAAACATAGTAAGACTTTTTCGAGATATGCTGACAGGCCGATGGGAAAAATGCTTACACCATCCGGAATGTCTCGCTCTGCAGAATATGGGCAACGACTAGTACGGCTGCAAGTACTTGCGGTCTAATGTGATGTAACCTAGCAAAATGCAAAGCGAGCTCAATGCTGGGTCCCTCCGCTATGGGACCTGACGACCTTACAGGTCAGTTTTTTCTTTCCTTCTACCAGTGTCCTTGCAAGGGGGGGACCCCCCTCGCCCGAGTGACGCAGTCAGCCAATTCATCGATCGTTGCTGTTTTCTGCAAACTGCAAAATCATCAGGGCAACGGAGAAGGAAAATTAAACGCGCTGACACGTAGGTAAGTTGGCAGATTAGTCGGTAGGGAGGGGACTTGTAAGCAGGTGTGTGTGACATGTTACCGAGCTATCCTACTCTACCTTTACTCATGTACACATGTGATTAATTACTGATAATTGTCATGATCCGAAAGTGATTTTAGTAGACAGCTAAGTGCTTAGGTTAGGTAGACTGGTAGATCGTCTGGCTGATTGATAGGTCTAACTGGTCTCTAACTGGTCTAATGGATGGCTAAGCTTATAGCGGCATTTCGAGATCCAATTTTCGGAATGAAGAGTTGTCGAATTCGGCATTGATTAGGACGGGGAACAGTGATGATCCACCCGGATCTCTCTATCTGGTAATGCCAGATACATTTTTGTAGGTCATAAGATCCTAAAGACGATGGGAGAAGTGTAAATCCCATCTTACCGTCCGACGTTGGACTAACAAAACTCCCTGGAGCATAGAGGCACGGTGTAGTGACATAGTGGCATAGTGGCATAGTGGCATGGGTGGAATAGTGGCATAGTAGCATAAGAGCATAGGATAAATGAAGACGTTGATTCTCTGGATACTAGAATATCGTTGTAGTTCCTCTTCCGAATCTTTCTCGTAATTCTGTAAAGCCACGCACGTAGCTAAGGTCATGCACGTTTCCTTTTTGTCCGTTCTCTGTTCGTCGTCATCCACATCTAGAACGTGGGGTTGCATACATAAAAGAAAGGATAACTCATACATACCTAGCCGTGACTAGCCCAGGTAGGTATAGAGGTATGGAGGTATGTATGGATATGGAGATAAAATCTCGTCGGCTGTAGTGTATCTTGCATTTCGATAGGATCTGCTCATCGGGTCGCGCGCGCGGACTGCTCGCAACGACCGTTCGTTTCTCTGCGGATTATATTACTATACGTAGAACGCCTGTTTATTGAGGTCTACCTATAATAGGTCATGTCGCTTCGTCGTTCTGTCTCTTCCCCAGCCAGCCCAGCCAGCCCAGCGAACCCTCACCCAGCACAGACGATTAGAAGGGGAAATGCCCGCGACATAGTATTGGATGTAAGTATGTAGGTATGTATGTACGATTAGACGAAGGAAAGCGAAAGAGCCACGCATTCGGCCTGCAAGGGAGAAACCTCGTGCCCATCGTCCAAGGAGAGATGCATGCAATAGCTTGCATATCCCAGCATATCCTAGCTGCCACTTGTTTGCCTTGTTTTTAACGAATCTAGCACCCATTGGGTCTCGACGGGTCAGTGTGTTGTTTAAGAGTGAGGCGACCATCCCCGCGACCCTTTTGAGTGGCTGGAAAGATTCTTTAGGCGGTCCGCATCCCTGAAGGGCGACGGTGGGTCGCGCCCCCAGGACATGCCCTGGACACGCCTGGACATTTCATATCCAATATAGGTATCCTTACCGCATCGCTGGCTGCGGCTGTTGTTGCCTCAAGACAGAGTAACATCCCATACATTCAGGATACGCTTGCTACGAACATGAGGAGAGGTTTGACGAACAAGTCACCTACATAACATGATATGCTACATAGCACAGCGGAAACGTGCGGGCTTATTTCGACTCAGTGTCGGCACAATCTTGGGTCTGCTGAGATGCCCACCGATCTGTCTTCTCTATCCAACCAGTTGACGAGTCCTAGATTCGCAGCTGTCCTATGATATGTGAGAGAACATTCGAAATACCCCGGTCTTCTTCTTTTTTCCTCTTCCTTCTTCCTTTCGGCTGACCGCCCATCTATGCATGCGCGGCCATAGTGCCAATGCATAAAAAGACGGCTTAAACATTGTAAGTTAGGATAACACTAAGTACGCTTCTCGGCCAGCTAAAATGGATGTCGGTGAGTTCTCGTTAAACGGGTTAGTGTATTAGTGTATTAGTGTAGACTCTCCATGTCTTAGATGCTGCCACGTTCGAGCCATCCCGCCCATCCAAGCCACAATTATCAAGGAGGTCAAGGATGATGACGTGGAAATTGGCTTTTTTTCCTTCTCTTTTTTTGTCCTTCTCCTGAATGCCGCCGTAATTCTCGCTTCCGGTACGGCGAGTCCTAGACTAGGAACGGATGTTTCTGCAATCCGTGATATTTTTGAAGCCCTTGATTCTTTCATTGCTAAATTACTGCGTAGTTAGATGCAAATCGTGATTTCAGGTTGCTATTTTCGTCTTATGAGTTGATAAGTCATATTCGATGCGTCGTTCTTCCAGGGTACAAGTCCCAGCTGCTTTTTTTTCCCCTAAGCATCACGTCACCGAATCAACTTTGGGATTATTTACCTAGGTACTCAGGGTACTGTAGCCCTCTGGATGACGGGATCTCAGGGGTTAGGCTAAGATGAATACGTAGCATGTAGGAGGGTGGTATGTAATATGTAATATGTGGTATGCAAGTTTCTGTCGCAACAACAGCACCCAGCACCCAGCACCCAGCACCCAGCATCCAGCATCCAGTGCCTAATACCCAAGACCGCTCGAACGGGTGCTACACCAATGTGACAGCCGCAGCAGAAACGTGTTCCGAGCGTCAAGTTATCGTCATTCGGCGGATATGCGAATATATTATCTATATTATCGAGTATTGGAAGACGGTCGGATTGACGTAAGTGAGTAGTACGGGAAAGGCGCCTAGTTGCGACGCGGGAGATTGGACGGTGCTTCCGGATGCTGTTCTTTTCTCCAACGTGCCCCAGGTAGTTCAGGATGGCTCCAGCATGGCTCCAACATGGCTCCAAATGTGGTGTGACATCTCCAACGAGCCGACGCTAGGTAACCAATAGTTGAGAACAGGCGCCGGTGGTGCTGACTGCTACCTTTAGTTCGAGGATATTATATTCTGATTAGTTCATCTACATGCGTGGTAGATCTATGGAACTACATATTATCTATAAGCCCACAGCAAACAGCCGCCGATCAAGACTGTTTCCGGTGATTCTCCGCGACGAAGCCGGGCAAGCCGGTGATGTGTGGAGCCAACAGACCGGAGCACGATACCGATATGGACCGGTGATGGTTTCGGTAATCCAGGTACATGCAACGTATATCCGTAGATGTCTAATTGAGTATTATTCATTTAATCGTATGTTGTTCTGTTCATAGTAGTGGCTGTTCAGTAGCGACATTGAGTCCTAATTAGAAAGTTGTAGCAATAAGAAATGAGAATTAAATTTAATTGTTCAAGACAATCAATTTGTACCTAGGTACATACCTACACTTCGCTCAACCTTATCACCTAAATTGAATGTTCGCATTGATAACTATCGCCGGCAAAATGTCGGATCGGTAACGGATAGGTAATTCAATGTTCCACCTTCTGGCCATCTTGTCCTTATCGGAATAGCTTCAATCATCATCCATGTTCCTCATTAACCTTCACCAACCAATTTAAGCTCACCACTACTATCGTCACCTCGTACTATTGCGCATAACTATCATCACTTCCTGATGCGTTTATACAATTTCCTGTCTCCCATGTAATATAATTCACTAACAAAACGGCATCATGCGCCGTTACGGAGCCTTTCTTTTTTTGAGCACCCTGCTTCCCTCGGGTCAAGCTCGCCAGCCCGAGTTCAGCATTCACCATGACCTTTTAGCATATCCTCAATTCGAGGTGACGTTCTCCGAATCGTATATATCAGAAAATGAAGCCCAAGCTTTAGTTAAGAGGAGCAACCCTTCACATCCCGACTACCATGCCGATTTCCCTGGTCAGACTGATCTCGCGTCAAACGTGCGAGCTGCTAAGGCCAATGGAGACGATAAAATTGACGAATCTTACGAGATAATGACCATGCCCCCGAATCGTTACTTATGCGCCATACCAATCATCGAACCTCCCCCCGCGCCGAACAAGACAGCTGCCGATCCAGCCAAAGCCGAGGAGGCTCGCGAGCTAGCGAGAGCTTCAGCCCACGGCTGGGATCTCATCAGTGGTCTTGAGGGCGAATGCCTCTATCATATGTCTGGCTGGTGGAGCTACAGCTTTTGCTATGGTCGTGATGTTAAGCAATTCCATGCGCTCCCTGCTAGTGTTAAGAGCGGACCTCCGGTGCGAGACATCAACATCGCAGAATATGTGCTTGGAAGAGTAGTTCCCGACCATCATTCTACTTCGCGCTCGTCGCGGCGCGGTCAGTCTAACCCCCATAACCCCAATGACAAGGGAGACTCAGTTCCCACGCCGCCCCCGAACACCGAGCTTCAGATCAAGGGCGACCAAAGATACTTGGTCCAGAAGATGGGCGATGGTACTATCTGCGATCTTACCGGTCGCGAACGTACCATCGAGATACAATACCACTGTAGTCCAGGTAGCACCAAAGATCGCATCGGCTGGATCAAAGAGGTAACCACCTGCGCGTATCTCATGGTAGTGAACACGCCTCGGCTGTGTGTAGACGTCGCCTTCCTACCGCCGAAGGAAGAGAGAGCAAACGTCATCAGCTGTCGCGCCATCGTTCCAGAGACTGACCAGGCGAGTTGGCATGCACGGAAGACGCTAGAAGCGGAGGCCGCTATGATCGAGCATATGAGAGGAGAGATTAAGGGACCCATCACCATCGGTGGCGTAATCGTCGGAGGTAGACGATTGCTCGGCGACGGCGAAGATGGCCAAGAAGGACACAAGCTAGCCCCGCCTCGAAACTTCCGCAATCCCAACATAGCCCCGCTGGTTGAGGTGGTGGCCAAGGGGACCAGCAGAGAAGACGGCGGCAAGGTAGACATGCTCACCGACGAGGAACTGACAAAATTAAACCTCAGTCCCGAGATGGTCGAGGAGCTAAAGAAAGAGCTGCAGAAGTTAGCAGGAGATAGGGGCTGGAAGCTGGAGGTTGTCGAGATGCCCGGCGATCCTAGGGAGATTCGTGGGGTTGTCGATACCGACGAGGATGAGGTTGAGGATGAGGTCGAGGCGAAGAACGGCAACGAAGGCGGCGAGAAAAAGCCCGATGGCGGTGATAAAGGCGAGGATACGGGTAGTGAGGAAAAGTTCTTCAAAGAGGAGCTTTGAAGGACTGGGTACTAGCATAGCAAACGGCGTTACGTAGGTAGGATTCGTTGCATTCATATCAAGTTCCAAAAATCTTGTCGGTCCCTGATCACTTACATCGCCGCATATGTTAATCCAACCATCCAAATTAGAGATTAGTTCTTCTAGTTTCACCAAGCCATGTAGACATTGATCCAGTGTAGCTAATCGGCATCCATAACGAGGGCGATGTACGTTAACAAGCATGCGTGAACAATGTTTCTTCTCATCCCAGCCATTACTGGAGCGGCCGGCACATCTTTTGACCAGCAAGGCTGAGGCCAAACATAGTGAGTGTTGGAAAAGGCTTGTCGACGATCACGACCAAGGATAGCAGAACTTGAAACCAGCAGAGAAAATTGCTTTCGCTTCTATATGATTAGTAGGCGATGCTCTTGGAATATCTAGACGATATGACCTAACTTAGGCGAGATATCATGCATATGCTAGCTAGCTAGCAAGCAAGCAATCACGCGAAGCCGTCCTGTCGGTTTTTGCTTGTCCCTATCTGAACATTGCTAGGTACCGAAACTTGTTGGACAGGATATATCGTAATGCTCTCCGGGTTTTCAAATACACCTTGAGCCGTACGCGAACCCTCCATACCTGCTACAGTACCGTGTAGAAATATGAAGCTGAAGTTGTATGTACATACCTACCTCCAAGTAACGACGGTTGCGTCCCTCTATTATGTTATCTCGATCCCAGGAATCACGATATCAGTTGGGCGAAAGACTAGAGCTATAAAATCGCCATACTAGTTATACCTATCTATTAGTTGTTTTGGTTACCACTCGTTGAAATCCAATATGGTGGTTAAGCGGTGGGTTTCTTTATCATGGAACGCAACGTATGGATGAGATATCATTTTGCTGCTATGCTATGTAGCACCTAACGTAGCTAGAAACAAAATAGACCACCCAGAGATAGCCTCTATCTCATCGTATTATCCTGTAAGGCATATATTTCAAAAGACTAATGGCCATTTGGCTCTTCCTATCGGAGCGGGAGGGAAACAAGGGATGTGATCTGGTGCACTTCACCCTTATCAGGCCGGAAACTGTGCCGTTTGCTTTTTTAATTCAGCAGCATCAACTGCGATTAATTGGCTTATCCACCGAACCATAGGGAACATCCAGCAGCTATGAACTTGATAGAGGACGTCCTATAATTGGTCCTATGTAGGATGAGTACGCGATAGGAAAAGGGATCGGGATATGTGTTCAAATCCTAACATACCTCATTTCCCAATAACTTCAAATATAACGCGCCAACCAAGTATATGCCTAGGTGATCTTATTCGATAAACATCTCTATCAAAGTGAAGCTAGAAACGGGGCAAATAGGATGTCGACGCCACAACTGTCACTGGTACGTACTAAGCCAAGGGATGGCACCGGGAGAGGCATTGGTTTGTGCACCTAAGCGTTTAGCTCGGTGAGGTTCATGTGAAGCAAGATAATCAATATACAGGTTATCATATCTGTCATTCGTGTTTGAGTGGTTATGCCTAGGTGGTAGGCAGGTAGTCTCCCGTATACTTCATGACCGGTCTTCATGATCCTGCACACACTACCAACAGATCGAATGAATACCTACCTAGGTACGTGAATGAGATGCAACAAGAAAGCTGCCACGTCGCCCTGCAGATATTGCAACACCTCTTCAAAATCTTATTCTCGAGCCACCACTATGCATATGGACAAGAATGGATGATATGTTGTTCAAGTACGACTCACCTATGCTCGACTCGTCCAGTCTCCAAGGGATGAATCGTGTCGTTACGGATTATCTTCCTAAGCCGAACTCAGCCGGCCGAGCTCGTATAAAACAACTTGGCTCTCGTTCGCTGAGCCGATTCGTGCAATTACCGCCGTCGATAAAGTGAATTGACTTAGACGCCTGTCGCGCCTTGCGTGGCACAACAGCATCTCGTATATAGGGTAGGATTTCAGTCCGCAAGAAAAGAGACGAGTTGCTTGCATATATTATATGGCCAGTGATGTGCCGCGCCTGTCATATGACATATATGAGTAGGTAGTTATTCGGGGTTCTTGACAACTGAAAAGTCTTAGTAATGCAGAATGATCTAAGTGAATTCATGAGCTCATCATTCTATAGTGAAGATAGGTTCACGCATACTGCAGGCTGTCAAACATACTTATATTACATTATATGCGCGAAAACAGCTGGTACAGGCAAAGCAGAGTTAAAACTGCTTCTGATATGCATCCAAGAATCACCTCCAATTTGCGGGCATCGTTGTCTAGGACCTCGGAAATCTCTGTTTAAGGTCATACAACATGAGTACCTACTACCTCTTTAAGTGGCCACACTCGATCATTGAGTCTATTATAGAATCCAATGAGTTGTCCCAATGGGCCAATACGTATCAACTGATATGCCGTTAGTCAGTGAGAAGAAATCCAATGACCGAGGATGAATTTGTAACTCATTAGCTAAATCTTGAAAGTGAGGTTGAACCTTTCAAGGGTATCCTTTCTTGCGGCTCGGCTAGTCTCCGTCCTTATTGTTTCAACTACGTAGTTAGTGTAGTACATATCGCGAAGATAGTTTACTAGAAGACGAGACTAGATGCCCAACTTAGAAGTGTAGGTAGTTAAGTGGGTAAATTTGACGTATTTTAAGGGTCCGTCAGCTTCATTTCAACGGCGTTGGGCATGAACGAGTCGAAAATGAGAAAATATCAGACTCGCTTAATTAACGGCTGCCAAGGGTAAGACGCACAATATTTTAAGTATACATAATTACATAGGTAGGTATCTAGATGAATATTATTTATATTTCTACTGTGTATAATTCTGGTGGCTGGGAAATATAGTGCGCTGAGGCGATGGCGTCGTCGATGACGAAATCTGAAATATCTAGATAGACACAAACCGCCACCAGTTCGAGAGAGCCAAGGCCAATGCTATTCTGGTATCGCGGGGATGCAGAATTGGACTGTTTGTGATCTCTCCTTATTGTTCCAGCACGTAGGATCTCCTCAAGATCTTCTGAAGAATATGCATCGATTTGACAAGCCTACCCGGTGTTCTTTACTTATCGTCCACCCCAACCCCAGCTCGCCTTGTTCGCGGGCTGTGCCTGTCTGGCCTGTCTTTTCACAAACGCTAGAAGATTGGCACTGGACCTAGGCCGTCGTGAGCCAATGGCATCGAGCGTCACGGCATGGATAGGCTAGGAAAGAAATCAAAAGCCCCCTGTAGCACTGCAACTGTCAGAAACGATCACTTTGAAACATGCCTGTAGAAACGACAGCCCCGACCAATCGCTGTATTTCCCAGCATCGTGGAAGCCTGGTCTAGCTTGGTCCGGCTCACGCGGGCTGCAACCGAAAACGGGTCAGAGCTTTCTGCCAGGGCTGGCTGATCAGGAACTGCTTTTAGTACTGGTACTTTTGCGCTGAATGAAGTAATTAATATTAGATGTGCACAGAACATGAGAAGGGGATTTCCGTGGCAGCAAATCACATCCTCATAAAGCTTTCTTACAATTTAATAGGTTCAGCCATTATCTAAAACTTCCCACTCTGAAAGAATCAGTGGACATTGGAAGGCTGGTAGCATGTGTGTCTTTGTGTCTTCGAAATTGAAACATGAGAATGCCGTACTCATATTAATAAACCCCAAGATTATTCGAAGACTGTTAGAAATGTACGGACAACCACGTAGATATCGGTACTCTTTCGAACATGACATTCATCCATCTCTTGAACCCATCATATTCCACTTAGCAGTCAATTTTAAGGGGTCAGCTTCGACGAAGTTAGATATGAAATATAAAATGCTACCTTAACATCCATTATTGAAGTACTTGTACTCCGCTATTAACTAGCACATCACAGTTATGAACGATGTCCCTTGTTCCTGGCAAGTACTTGTGGGCTTCTGCGGGCTCTAGTTCCTTATTCAGCATCCCTGTCATGCAGGTTCCCCTTAAACACATTTAGTTCTTAGAACCCGACGTGAAGGGACCAACAGGGGGCTTGGAATACCTAAAAGTAAGACCCATTCATAACGCGGCACTCAGAATTCCAGCCTTCCAGCGTAGAAGGAACCAAGGAACCAAGGAACCAGGGAGATGAGGCAGGAGTCTCCCTTGTTGGAAATCCCTATCGATTAACTTCGCGTGGAGCGATCAAGTACGAAACTAGTGTACCATCATACCATTTTGTATGTACGGAATATGCTTTGCTTTCTCTTTCCAAATTCCCACATCCACGATTTCACGATTCTACCATCCTATCATCGTGGGCTCATCGTCACCTCCTATAACTCCCGGGGCGATATGTATAATATCAGCCTCTAACCTTGACTTCCTCCCTGATCCTCTCTCACCCTACGGATACCATCGTGGATCCCATTGCCGGGACTACACACCGTCCAGTACCTACTGTTTTCTCTATTCCGTACGGTGCCACCACCTTCCAAGCCTCAAACGCTCTTCCCTTTCTTTCCTGCATACCTGTAGTGAGCCAATCATGGGTAGATCTTCCTAAGACACGACCACATATCTTCCCATATACACCAGTGTAACAACAAATCCCAAACCCCCCTCTTTCTTCTAATTATTGCAAACACTTGTAGATTGAAGGGTATTGAGGGTATTACTAAGTAGTACACTCTGATCCCCGAGTCGAAGTAGTCTCTGGTGTTCTTAGGACTCGCAGACCGAAAGTCGTGTTCTGGAAAAGGAACCGAGACGCGACATCCATCTTCACATCCATGACTTAGAACATATCCCATCATCAATACTATCATTTAACACCCAGCTTCGCGATACAATACGAACTCGCTGGCCAGCCAACGATAAAGTGGTCGCAGCGGACCTGGTCATAGACCGTTGTCTTAAGACGCTCAAGCCGTCGGACCACTCGAATACCGATGACGCCTCTCATTCCAGGCCTCTGAGCGCCGCAATCTTCGCTATTCCTCCCCTCTCGATATCAAAATTTTTGATCGCTCGAGAAAAACACCAACCACAGGTTCTCTGTCTACATCAAGCTACCTATATACCTACCTCCTCGTCCCATTGCTTCATTATTCCGCTGGGACTCACGCCTCCTTACCCTAAGGACTTCCAATATCAATACCGTCATTAACTTCAGACTCGTTTGCTTTTCTCAACAAGCCGAATCGGACGAACAAATTCTAATTAGCAAAACCGAAGACCCTCTGCTTTCTCTATTCCCTGGTTGGCGGATATTACCTCGAGATACCATAATTATATTTATAACGAATTCGTATCACTATGGACAGCCCCGGAGGACAAGAGCCACGCGAGCGCTCTTATCGTCGAGCTCCTTCACGAGCTAGCACGGCCAGTGCCGCGCACAGCCAGATGACATCGCATAGCACAAACAGCTCCTCTTCTCGACTACGAGAATCAACCCATGCCGCTCCGCATACATCACATAGATATCACCATTCTAGCTGCAGCGATAGCCCGGTAGGAGGTCACCAGCCTATCTCGCGCATGTCGAGCAAGCCTAGCGATGAGTTTAGGAAATCAGCAATGTCCACCTCGGCTTTGCTGCAGGAAAAATTGCAGCAGGCGAGGAATGAGATGCAGGCTGCTAAACTAGGCGGTGATCTAGTGCCTAGAAATGGTGATGTTAAAGACCAGGATGTGCCGAACTCGCCCATTAAGAGTGCTACCGCCGTAGGACGACGACAACAGATGCCGGATTTTAGCTATGAGCCTCCCGACGCCGCAGGGATGGGGGCCAGACAGATGGAACAGGTAGGATGCGCCCATCACTATTCCCACTCCGGCACATTAATGAGCCCAGCTGACTTGGATATGGAGACACTGTCGACGCTGCACAAGCAGAACTTCGACCTTAAGGTGGAAGTGTACCATAGGCGAGTAAAGCAGGTGGATCTTGAAGATAGGGTTGACCAGCTCGAATCGGAACGTGGCGATATGGAGAGTATTATCATGAAGCTCGAATCACGATGTGACGAGAAGGATAAGGTAATCGAGAAAATGGAAGGCGAACGGGCTAAGATGCTTCAAGATATGGTAGAGATGGAGAATGCCATTATGGAGGCCGTTAGGCATATTGTGGGATTAGAAGGCAGAATCGATGAGATGAACCGAGAAAGAGAGATGGTTAGGCAGGTCGAGACGGACGGAGCATACCGTCATCTGGCTTCGAATGGGAGACCGAACACCGGATCCGTAACGAATACCGCTCCTTCGACTTCTACGAATCTCGACATTCCCCTTATGGCCGGCGAAGGTGGCGGTCTCGGACGCGTGCCTAGCTTCCTTTCAGAGCACAGTCGTCAAACCGAGAATCTACGAAACGCCGTCTTGAAAGGTCGAAGCAGCGTGATGCATTTGCGCAAGGTATCCGAGTCAGATGCCTCCTCCCCTAGTGAGATTAACCGTATCGCTAGTCCTAGCTTCAGTGTGCTTAGCGAGAGTTCCTTCGTTAGTATATACGGCCCGAAGGAGGCACAAGACAAGGAAAGCTCGCAGCCGTCGAATCCTGTGGTGGGAATGGACGGCAGCCACGTCGACCGTTCCCCAACGCCGACGATGAAGAACCCGAATCAGGAGGGCCATAACGGAGGTGCTAGGCTATCGACGAAGATGCAATCCCTCAATAACGTGCTTGATATGACTTCGCCCTTACAGAAGATCACAAGACTTGAGGGCCAGATGGCGGTGACCGATGATACCTCGAGGCAACATATGCCTAATCGTAGTCGAGGCATCGTAACCCCTACACCCGCCAAACCTTTGACGAATCCGCCGCAAAAGACCAAATCCAAGCAGGAAAAGAGAGAAGCCCTGCAGAAGGTTCTCACGAACTACCCTACGCATAGGGATTTCTCCAATCCTCAGGCCTTCCCTCCTACTCCTGATACGGTGTCCTCGTCAACGCTCCGAAAGCACCAGAACCTCACTAGTTCTCAAGATAGTCTTTCAAGGCCGACGGGAATTATTCCGGGCGAGGCTCTCGTACCCGTCCACGAGAGAATCGGAGCGGCTAGAGAGTCGGCTTACCAGACTTCCTACAACCAGCAAGCGCCCGCGACGTCTTTCTCCGGCCGCAGGCAAATCCCAATGCCGTTGATGGGCAATAATCCGTTCTCCGACCTTGGTCAACTTGCGCGATCTCTCCCGCCCCGCCCTCACTCGTCAGCCGAGACGACAAGCTCTCGCGCGAGGGCCAACAGCTTCGAATCAGACTCGGATTCGGATGGCGGAGCAGATGCGCGCTCTGAGGCGCCTACGGTCGATTATTGGTTGCGAGAAAGCATGAGGCCTAACAAGCAACATGAAAGCGGCCGCTCGACATCTCCTGATCTATTTTCTTTCCCGGCCGATGCGAGAGGCTGGGAAACGGACGTGATATTCGGGGCTTTGAGAGGTAACGGCTATCTTGGTTCACCGGTATCAGCACTGAAGCGCGATCCCCTCGATGAGATGGCTAGCTCGCTGCGAACGCCACAGGCAGAAGTGTTTGATCCTCATCTGTCAGGCCAAGCACCTCCCACACCTGATCGGCGATCGAGCCTACATGCGCGTACCGGTAGCGCAAGCGCGGCGATTTCGACCGGCGGGAAATTTAGGAAGAGCCTCGCCAAGGGTCCGGGCATGGGTTGGATGGATGGAAAGGGCAGAAGCAACAGTATCGACGCTGCAGCTCAAGCGCAATCTAACAATGCATACGCCCAACAACAGGAGGCGACACCGCCTGGAAAACGCAACCCCTATCCACCGCTCTCTGGACAGACGCCTCAAAGACGTGGTTTAGGTCTCAACTCGCTATTCAGACGATCCGGCTCAGAGAGCTACAGCGTCCCCTCTAGCGCAACCGAGGCGAACTTTCCTATCCCTAATGCAGGGCCAGCTCAGCCGGTGTTATCATCACTACCTCCGGGGATGAAGCTCGGTGGGCCTGCTGGAAGGAGTAGTGTTCCTCCACCATCGACGATGCCGTGGCGGCCGCCTGGCGTGGTAGAAGACGATTTTAAGAGTGCGACGCCTCCCCCCATCATGCGTAACCGTGGAATGTCGCTCATATCCGGATCTGGCTTTGGCGGTGCCGAGTTACCACACGTAGTGACATCGCAACACCAGAACCAGATGAGCGATATGCCGTCTCCTTCTTCGCCTACAACGGTGATGCCGGCGCCCAAGAGAAAGTGGTTAGGCTTAGGAAAGATGGGAGGCCTGAAAAAGAGTTAGGGAAACTCATGCCCCCTTTCAAAACAATACGCGTACGAAAAGAAGGCGATAGACAGTCCGGACGTGCGCAAGCACTAAAAATCGTGAACTGTCATTAACATAACCCCCGTAACCCGGTTGTATTATAAGCTATGGACGTGTAACAATATTGGTAGGGTTACCGGTTACTTGGAGGGTTTGTGGTCATGGCATTGGCGTTATTGGACCTTGTTGGAATGGGTGGGATCACTGGAATGGCTGGAATGGCCAAACTTATCGGGACGGAATCACTACTACTGGAATCGTTACAATCGCTGGAGTTGCCGGAAAACAAAAAGTACTTATTGCTGGTTTATCAGAAGTGAATTAATTAGCTTTAAATTGAAGCTGTAATTTTAGTCGTATTCATTTGTTCGGTTGAAGTTGGTGAGGTTGGAATGTTGAAATGCATAGGTGCACATCTGTAGGCACAATTGTAGGTACATCGGCGTAGACATGTATAGGTACTTTGGTACCCGGAGGAAATAAATAGGGGTAGCTACTTAGGTACCTAGCTAGCCCTGTAGCCGAGATCGATGACAACCTAGACCGCTGTAGTTCCCTGGCTCGGGTAGTCGTCATCCTTTTTTACATCACCACTTTCATCTCTCACTTCATCTAAACACATTTTCAAAAACGCAACTTCACTAGTGTCATAATTTTTTTTCTTCCTTCTAAATTGCTTAGTCATCGTTCATGTAAACCTACACCGTATATCTGGAATATGTGAATACTGTACAGTAACTACTTCCTAAATATCCGCAGCCATGGCTAAGGCCCGCGTCAAGGTCGACGCGGATGACGTAGCTCAACCTCGCGCATCTCTCCGACGCAGCACGCGGAATAGTAGCAAAGGCGGAGGGGATGTACTTATCAAGCACGAAGATATTCCAGCAACAACGCTGGTTGCGCCGGTGCGCCGGAGTAAGCGGCCCAGATCTGCTGAGGATGAGACCGTGAAAGCTGAGCCTCCAACCAAGATCGCGAAGAGGTCGTCCTCCTCTTCACCCTCTGCTTCTCCCGTCTCATCGCGGGTTAAAGTTCAAACCGAGGCACCTAGCCCGAAAAAGAAGCATGCTAGAAGCGTAAAAGCGGAAAAAGGGGCCGGCGGCAAAGAGAACAACAACAACAACAGCAGTGACAAAGCAGCAGATCTCCGAGCGAAGAAGCTCAAATCGTACACGCAGTTCGCGAACAAATCGCCCTTCCCGGACTTCGCGCGCCCGTCGCCCGAGGAATGCGAGCGCGCGTACGGGGTCCTGGCCGCGCTGCACGGGGAGCGGCGACGGCCGGAAAAAGTCGTCAGCGCGCCGGCGGACCGCGCGGGGTGCGGCGACGCGCCGAGCGTGCTGGACGCGCTCGTGCGCACTATCTTGTCGCAGAACACGAGTAACCGGAACAGCACGCGCGCGAAGCTCGACATGGACGCCGTGTACGGCGGCGGCGAGTCCGAGGAGCGGTGGGAGCGGATCGCGGCCGGTGGGGCGGCGAAGCTGGAGAAGGCTATTGCGAGGGGTGGGTTGGGAGGCGTGAAGAGTCGCGCTATTGTTGAGATCTTGAGGCAGGTTAGGGAGAGGTATGGGAAGTACTCGCTTGATCACCTGCTGTTAAGGACTACTGAGGCGGAGGAGGAGGGTGGTGGTGATGAGGAGGCTATGCGCGAACTTATCTCGTTTAAGGGCGTGGGACCTAAGACGGCGAGCTGTGTGCTGTTGTTCTGCGTCGGCAGGGATTCATTCGCCGTCGATACGCATGTGCACCGGCTTACGGGGATGCTGGGGTGGCGGCCGGCGACGGCGAGCCGCGACGAGACGTTCGCGCATCTCGATGTTAGGATCCCGGATCAGCTCAAGTACGGGCTGCATGTGCTGTTCGTCGAGCACGGGCGCAAGTGTCCCGAGTGTAAGGCTGGCGGGAAAGTGCTTGGGAAGTGTGAGCTTAGGAAGGCGTTTAAGCGCGGGAAAGTCAAGGTCGAGGGTCAGATGGAGGAGGGAGAGGTGGACCGGGTTAAGAAGGAGGAGGAAGAGGCAGAGGAAGAAGAGGAAGAAAAAGGAGCGAAGCTTGAGTCGACTACGGAGTGAATTGGCGATGGATGTAAACATAGACTGTACTTATATGTTCATGGGTTTGGGCCAAGCTGCTATGTACTTTCTATGGCAGCTACTTTCCATGACGGAGCGCGCTGGGTCGAGATTGGTTGGCCACGGCTCTACAAGCTTCTTGTGAATATACATGATGGACATAATCGAGATTACAGAATTCTAGAATTCTATCATATATGATAGGAGATACATGTGGTGTGACGCTGTCCCACACCTTCCCATACAATCCCGGTTTCGATAAGTGAATAAGATCGCGGGCGTAGATCAGATCTCCGCGACCGTTGGAAGTCACAGTATTCCCCAGTATCCAGACCCCGATTCCCCGCCTTACAGAGTGTGAATCGTCGGTGTCTTCGGCGCAGGTTCCCGCGGTCAAATCGTGAAGTACACAGTACCTAAGTATATTGATTATCTGTTACGAGTAACTTCAAGATATTTTTCAGCTTTTTATCCAATATTTTCATTTAATCACAATCATTTCAATTCTGGAAGTCTCGAGATAGTGGGCGTCATAGTGATCAAGTCAGCAGGGTCGGTGATGTAATGATGACCTCTACCCCTTTTCGGCTTGCACCAAAAAGGTCATTTTCGATGTTATCATGTTTATCGAATGACGTGAAGAATAGCATCGCCCTGTTATTTTCCTATTTTCCTAATTTCTTGCTATGTATACCACCTACTCACAAATTATTCCTAACTAAAACGATAATCAATTTCAAATGACCTCTACAAATTTCGCCCACTTTTTCCACCCATTCGCATTTGGATGGATTCTTCCAGAGAGGCTCAGCAACAGCCTGATGATTTGGGCCCTTTAGCACAGCAGTCATGGAGACCGCATCTTCCTCACCATTTCCTCCAGCCCGGCTCCGTAGCTAACACTAGCCCCACCGAATTCGCTCACACGATACCACTTCAGGGTCCGCATACTGGCCTGAATAATCTCGCTTCCGCCGCAGCTATCTCCGATTCCTACAATGTGCTGCCGTCTCAGACATCGCCACCGAGTCAAGGTGGTCCGTCTGCCTTCATAACTAACGAAAGCCTCGCAGCCGGGACCTCGGCCGCGTCTGCGCAACAAAGAGAGCAACTCAAAGCCAGGCGTCGCGTTCCGACCTCTCAGCGGAAGAGAACCCAGGTTAGCTGTGATGCCTGTAAAACTCGAAGGTGCAAATGCGTACGTCTACAACCTGTCCCAAGAGCTGGTGGCGATGCGGCGCAACAGGATTATCAGCCTGCTTGTAAGTTATGTGTCGAGACCGGGATTCCGTGCGTGACAACGATGCCGCGGAAACAGCGGGTCTACGGCAGCGTCGAAAACTTGGATAAACGATACCGAGCCCTCGAGGCCTTGGTCTCTGGCCTGTTTCCGGATTTGAATCCTAGAGCCTCCGCAGACGAGTTGGTCGCTTTTGGGCGAGATAGGGCTATAGCCATGCCCGACTTTAGTGAATCATTCGACCGGCACCGAACTTCTTCGGTCGAGCCTTTTGTAAAGCCAGATACTACCAATCCCTCTCACCAAGTTGCAGATCAGCAGTGGAAGAAACCAGGGTCGGATTTGATCGTAGCAGGGACGGATGGCTATAAGACGATTTTACCTCCGTCCTATCTCATGAGACCCGCTCCCACAGCTCCGAGTACGCAAACCTCACCTGAGTCAGTTGCCGAAAGTGTGGGGGAACATAACGCTGAAAATACCGAGTTGATACTGGATGCAACTGGCCGGCCGCACTATATAGGACCATGTGGAAGCCTCGCCTATTTTGCGGAAATGCGCGAGATATTTGCACGCCAGATCAACAGGGTAAAGGGTCGTAATTTCTCGATGAGGGAAACAGGAACCCTTTTCAATAATAACCCATTAGCTGCCTCGCTGGGAGGGACTGGAGACCGTGGCCGAGCCAGCGGCTCGCCTTCTGGGCGACGTAGCTCTGGTTCGCCACATCATCGCATCCTAGACCATCTCGATGGAGATTCTCCCCCACGAATATGCGAAGATATGTTAAGAGATCATTTTGATGACCCCGAATTCTGGAGGTATCGCAAACGTGTATCTATGATACAACTGCCATCCAGAGAACGTACGGATACGTGTGTTAGGGCTTTCTTTCAACACGTCCACCCAAACTTCATCTTATTCCATCGGCTTACCTTTCAGCGAGCGTACGAGAAGATGTGGCGCTGCTGGGATGCGCATAGAAATTCGACACGGACCGATAGGGTCAAAGAATTCTCCGTCTCGGTAGGATGGCTCTGCTGTTTGTACATGATAATCATCCTAGGTTCCCGAGCATTACCGCAGAACGGCGATTCGCTTGAATTCCAAAGGAAATGGTTCGCGCAAGTCGACAGACTCCCGCCGCTCCTTGGCACCTCTAGCTTGCCGAATGTATGCGCATACATGCTCCTTTCGTTATATTTCCATAACACCAACGATCGAACTAGCGCGTGGACATTTCAAGGTGCGGCTTGCCGACTGGCAATAGCGCTCGGTATGCACCGCGAGAGTTCATCGGACCTCTTCGAGCCGGTCGAAAGGCAGCTTCGAAAGCGTGTATGGTGGACTCTGTACGGGTATGAGCAATTTCTGTGCTGCTCGTTAGGACGGCCTAGTGCGATCGACGATAGGGAGATGGATGTCGGAATTCCGGACGAAGAGTACTTGGACACCAATCTCTTACCCTCCCATTACGTGGAGCACGAGGCCCAGTTAAACATGCTCCTCGCAGCAGTGAGGCGCGGAATCTTTGACCCCAGCTACACCCCGGGGAAAATGTACGTGCGAGCCTTGGACTTTTTAGATGCCCTCTCGGGCTGGGAAGACACCCTCCCCAAAGGATTAACCCATCCAGCATTTACGGCATGCTTGGATGGCAATACCAACCAGCGACGAAGTTCCATGCTACTTCATGTCCAATATCACCACGCCCTGGCTTTCCTGACACGACCATTCCTCCTCGCCTTCATCAAATCTGCTTGTGGCGGAGAGCCCCTCGGACCGGATGCATCCAGGATAAGGGGTCTGAGCAAGGTCTGTCTAACTGCCGCCATGAGGTGCGGCGATCTCATCATCGAATTATGGCGTGCTGGCCAAATCAACGGAGTTACATGGATAGATATCTTCTTTGCGTATATGGCTAGTTTAGACATTACGCTCGCCTTACTTTCTCCCGAGTCATTATATCAGGACGAAGAGCACCCAGAGATCAGCAAGCCAGGGCTTATACAGCGTTACACCGCTGAAGAGATGAGGAACGAAGTCGCGCAGCTGTGCGAGGTGATGACGACGATCGAAGTCTGCGGGACGAATGCTCGGTTCGCCAAAGCAGCGTTCGAGTTTGCGAGCGCCCTCGGAATCATTCCCGTCGAGAAAACCCTCTCTTTGAATCTGCAGGTGTCCGACCCAAACCCAAAGGCGATCATTATGGCTCAGGATCCGAGCGAGAGAGATCGCACCGGTATGACCAGAGGCGACCAACCATTTACCCAGGGTCCTCAGCAAGCAACGGCGAATGTCGGACTGGACCAACACATGACTGGACTATCTAACTACCCTTACATGCTACCCGAGGTGAACCTTAACTTTCCAGCAGAGGGTTTTCACGATACTGCGACCGACGCGATGGGGAATGATTTGCAGTGGGATATGTAAGTCCACCAACGCGCTCCCGTGATATTATGACATCCTATGCCGAGCTTCTTAGTAAGGCGTCGATATTAATTAAACTGGCAGGATTTTACCACCCTCACAATGGAATGGTGGTGCTCTGAATATGGATTTGGATTGGGTTTGGCAGTGTCCCAACCAACGTTGGCACGGTAGTCATTTTGCCGAGCAATAGACCTTCGGATCTGTTGAGCAGAAGAGGTTTCGAAGATCATGAGGATGATGATGACGCTCTCCCAAAGAAGATATATTTATCCTACTAGACTTGTAACCAAAATCCGGAACCAAAACTACCTCTAACTCCCTAGAGCATGTATATGTAGATTAGATGTCCTACCTCGAATTAGGGATTTTATACCCAGACTACGTTTCTTCACTTGAATCTTCTAGCCGGCCTTGATCTTCCGGCACCAATCTCTTCCGTGACGAACCTGCCAGTCACAAAGTCGCACTTCCATAGCCATACTGACGAACCCGGCGACGCAAATACCACCGCTATCGCTGACGCTAGTTGCGCCGAGGCTGAACTCTCGCTCGGACATCGGTATATTTTCCATGATCTCGGCAAACGTGTTAACGTATACTGCACCGCCAAGGAGGCCTTCCCAAAATATTATAACAAACACGATATAGACGCTAGGGATAAATGGCAACAGCGCGTGTAGCGTTAGCAGCACTAGGTTACCAACTTGAAGAAAGGATGGGAAATATAGGTGCCGAATGCGCAAGAAGGCGATCGACGATCGAGAGACGAATACACCGAGCTGGTATAAAAACCCGTACATCGGGTAAAAATCACGGAACTCCTTGAAAGGGGTCGACTCTAGCGGAAATAACAAGGTCGGCGATACACCTTGGTTAATGGTATATTCGGCAACGTAGACCAATAGCAGCGGAAGCATATAAGGGAAAAACAACGACTTCGCACGTCGAACGTTCGTTCGGAACTTAGATGCGGCATCTCCGTGGCGGGCTGCGGAGGTAGACGCCGCACTCGGTCTAGGCGAGAGTAGGCTCGAAGTCGCGTTTACGGCGGGCACGTCTCCTTCGATATCGTCGTCCTCCCTAGACTCTTCGTCTAGCACGGGTCGATATTCTTTCGCATCCTTCCCTTCGCGAAGCGGTCCTCTAGGAAGTATGAGGAAGAAACTGATAAGCATTATCACGGGCAAGAACGCCGACGCCAGCAGACTGGTTCTGACGGTAAGGCCAATCCAGTCAGTGAACAGGACATAAAGCCCGGCACCGACAAGTCCGGCGGCGCCAGTACCGCTTCCCCACGCAGCAAGACTCATGTGGCCGTAATAATGTGTGAGGCCGAGGAAGCTAAGCTCGCCGGCGCCGCTCGATACGCTCGCGAGAACAACACCGGCCATCTTGGCACCGACGGATTTATCTGGCGGCGTAAGCGCGATCATGAACATGCCGAGCGACGAGGTTACTACGAAGGAAATTGTGCGTAGCCAGTAGGGGGCTTTATGTATGAAGTACGGCGCGGTTAACTTGGTGAGGAAGGAGGGGAGGACGTCGGCGAGCAGGACGAGACCTTTGGGCACGTCGGACCCGACGAGGTCTTGGGCCGCGGAGAGGACGATGACGTACAGGACATTGTTGATCAACCCTTGTATCCAGTTAGCATTTTAGAATGGCAACAAGCTACTGGTCCTCAAAGGACGTACCGAATAACCAGAAGGCGACCAGCACCGACGTGTCGGCATTTTGAAAGACGGAGGCGAACCTCGCCCGGTAAAGAGCCCAAGACGACGACGGCGAGCCAGGCATTGGTAAGAGACCTGAAGACGCCGGCGAACGACTCATAGTGGGTATATCATGGGATCTAATGTTATTTCTATCGCGAGGGTCGTCCGGACATCTGCTGGTCACATAATGAGGTGAATAGGATAAACGGTGAAGATTGAATGTTGTAATAAATTAAGAGAAAGATAAGCACACGAGCATCAGTATCAGATCCTTGCCTATTGACGTAGCCACTACATTTACACGCATATGCGCGTAAGTGCATTGTACGTAAGGAGTTTAGCTCCGGTTACCAGGTACGCGGGACGCTAAGGTGGGTTACATGATTTATCCAGGTGCTGGATATGTACATTCCCAAGCTTATGTACTTATCCATCCTTCTATCCATCTTTCTATCCGTCTTTCTATTCGTCTTCCTCATACATCTTCGATTTAATCTTTACGAAGCTTCAAGACCACCCGCTCGCTATATTCTGTTGGCCTGCCAAAAGTTACCTGAGCATTCCTGTCTGTCAGGTCCATGATGATATTGAATAGCGTCTCGGGCTTATTATCGCCTTCTTGTTTCCTGTTGATAGACGCCGGGTGTCCCTGACTATCTTTGAAGAGGTCAAATATCGTGTCCGGTGTAGGCTGCGAGAGGCTGGACGTGAGCTCTCGGATTCGCTCTAACCTAGTAGACGAGTCCGCCAACCAAGGGGGCTCGTCTATGTCGGGCTTGTCGAGAAGGAGGTGATTTGTATGACAAACACGGCCTTCTTCATCCATATGCAACTCTTTTACCCAGAGGCTCGTACACTCGAGGCCAGTCGATCCAGTCGGATCACCTACCAAGATGTGGCCTCCTCCAGCAACCCCGAAAGATTTGGTCAAATCTACGGCTTCCTCGCGGGACCTCGATTCTAATATGGTTCTTAGTGCGAAGTGAATTGGCAATTTGGTCCGATCAAGACCACGACATCGGATGGCGTTTAAGCAGCAGCCCACACCTTTCGAATTGAATCCAATTTTCCCGATAATGCCAGCCTCTGTAACCATGGCAATATCCGGGATGTCCGTACCCGGTTGTGATATGTAGCATACTACGAGGTTTTCTCCCTGTTCGACCCTCCAGTCCCAGTTCTGGCAGAGAAACGATTTCGACCCAGTTAGCCATCCTAAGCTCGTGCATCCGTCGCTAGGGACATCAGCCAGGCCCCTAGATTTGTCCGTGAAGAGACCAAAGGTAATCTCGGACCGCACATTCAATGCCAGAATATCTAGGAACGGTAGATTCGCCCCGTCGGCAATCCCTTCGATCTCGGCGATATAACGAGGTGCTATTCTCTTCAAGGGTTCGACGTATGTTGACGCTTCTCGAAGGACCTCTGCCCAGCTCATCGAACAAGACTCTCGGAATAGCTGTCCATAAAATTGGATAGAACGCTCTATTTTCTCCTTGGCTGCCTTGCCATGTGTAACCCCGATCTATTGGGGGCTTAGCGTGATTAGCCGACGAGGACAAAGGTAAGAGTCATACCTCGCGAGGCGTCCCATTGCATCGAATTTCGAGCATTGCGGTCACTTTTGAGGGTGCAATTTATTCCTTATATTTCTATGAGAAGAGAGGTCTATGGACTCATCACTTATCCATAAATTAGGCGACTAGAGTATATCCACTGTGAAGGTATAAAATAGTATTGGGTAGGTAGGGAGTACAAGAAGGGGATTCTTAACTAAGGAGCATCGTATCTCTCCGCACGAACAAGATATGGCTGGCGCGATACTCCGCATCTCTAGACATGACGATTTTCTATCCTTATCGATGCCCACCCCTACCAAGGTATGCACTTATAGGTGGTCACATCTTATTATTGCCTAAAGACGAATTCATTGAAGGAGCGAATTTCCATATCAGTTCTTGTCCCCAACTTCCAAGTTCTTTTTCTCGGGCCAGTATTCACTTTCCGGCTCTAAGAATGCTATGCTGATATAAATAGATTAAAACGACTCTTACTACAGGCACTAGCTTAGTACCTAGCTGTACCTAGGTACCTATGTCCTGACAGCGGGATGACATAGCCCCTGCTAGAGCAAAGCATCTTTTATTGGGGCATGACCGTTTAAGAACTCTAAGAGGGGAGAAAACATGCCGATCGCTCAGCTTTTCTTCTTATTTTTCTTCTTTCCACATCCTACTTGCGACGATGCCCAGGTCACGATTTCCAGCGCCAAGCTGTTAGAGACCAGTCGCGAGTGGCGCCAAAACATCGATGACTATATATTCCCTTGGCAGCTCTACAGGTAGGTAAGTAGGTAAGTAGGTAGGAAGGATGCTAAGGTAGGTACCAGTTGAGAGGTGTTGGACCGCAAGCGCTTGCACCGCCATCCCCTGTTCATTACCATAATCATTTACGTACGTTGTATCAGCGTCATACATGGCAGGGCGGAAAGTCCTAGGATGAGGCCAGCCGTAGCTGATGGGCAATCGCCCCTTGCCTCTGCGTCTGACCTCGGAGCCTTGCTGTTTCGGTCGCGATCCAGCACTTTTACATAGGTAATCTATTTATGAATAGAAATATAGCATACTATCCTCTTCGACATCAAAGTGCGCCTTCGATTTCTGACCGGTTCAAAACTCGTGGACACACTTCTATCGAATCACGCGCCGATCTCACAGAATCCTCCAACTCTGCCTCAGCCACCACCATCATCATCATTACCATCTAGGACTCACCTCATTAATAAAAGGCCTGCTGACGGACACTCGGTGAAAATGGCGACTCGTTACAAGTACACAGGCGCGACCGAAATGCAGGATCGCACGCGAAAAGAGCGTCGGTTCGACGAGACCGAGCACGACCTACCTAGTTTTTCCCCGTTCTCTTCGTCATTGGTCTCGATCGATAAAGCCTATGATCTTTTATCGTATCTCGGCAAGAACAATCCCTTTCCGCGCTCGATTACGGAAGGAGACACTCTCTGGCTACTCGACAACACCGCGTATCGCAATGAGCAAACGGGAAGGTGGGAAGCCGAATTCGTCTCGGCCGCTTTCTCTCAGCACTCTTCTTGCGCCGTCGTTGACGCCGTAAAAGCCGTAGCTGGAAAGATTGACCTGGATGAGAACGACCCAAGCTATCCCACCCTCGAAGGGCGCATTTGGCCGTTCTTACAGGATATCAGACCAGGCACTCAAGTCAAGGCGCTTCATAGGGGAAGCACCCCGCTAAAACTTGGCCCTGGCGGTAGGAATGGAATTAGTAGTGATGTCAAGGGACTCCCTCCCAGCAAGGGAGGCGAGCTTGCCCCTACATATGCCGAGGTCCCTGAGGGCACCAATGGCGTTCTGGAGATGAAGACGTTTTACGCTGAGCCGGAAGGTTGGGGCGTTATATCCGGTAAACTTTCATAAGCTAGGGTATCTTACCCACGAGAGCTGATGGGTCATTAACATGATGTAGATATCGATGATACGATCAAGGTTACTCAGACGAGCGACCCTATTGGCATACTACGAACGACCTTCCTCGAGAAGCCCGAGCCCATTGCCGGAATGCCCGAGTTGTACCAGTTCATCCAATCCCTCGTCAAGGAGAAATCACCATGGTTCTACCTGTCAGCATCGCCGTACAACCTATATCCTTTCCTACGCGACTTCCGCCAGCAGAATTATCCTCATGGTACCATTATCCTGCGTGACGCGAGCTGGATGAGCTTGCCGGGTTTATTGACGACGCTCACGCTCGGCACCGAAGACTACAAGGTTGGTCGCATGGAAAAGATCCATTCATGGCTTCCCAGGAGGAAGATGATCTGTATTGGCGACTCGACCCAGTCCGACCCCGAGGCTTATGGGGAGATGTAAGCAATCCCTTCGTCGAATAAAGTCAACTTATAATATTCACCTTAAGTCAAATTAGGTATCGAGCATACCCTGGCTGGGTAAAGGTAATCCTCATCCGTAAGGTAGAAGACATCGCAGCACTGGGAATCTCGGCCAAAAACGAGCCGGAGCGATTCGAGAAAGCTTTCGAGGGTGTCCCTCGCGAGATATGGCACGTTTTCACGGAACCGACTGAGTGCAACAAGTTCATTCAGGATGCGGTGTCCAGGTCTGAGGAATAATGTAGCACTTATCCAAGTATTTCACAGGCGCTTCCAGTCGCTTTTTTCATGATACCCCTATCCCCTGAGACCGATCAAGCTCTGGTAGTTCATCCCTTCCCCTTTACAGCAATTATTAAGTTGGCACTTGGAAAACTCTATTCGCGACCCCTGACCCTAAATAGGTACCTATTTAGCTAAGTAGTAGTAGATATTTACATACAAGCATCGAGTGTTTGGTAGTTGAGATGCATGCGATTATGACCAAATCAACGTTCTACATGTGCGCAAGTGTCTATAACGTCATACGACCCGATCGCACAACTTCCCCGCGCAGTTTATAGTATGAACCTAATGCAAGGCACCCATTCTATCCAATCCTCGACGTTACGGCTATGCCGGAGTCACCAATGCTACAACCTCAAAAGAACATATAAAATTCGTAGCTCGGAGCTTTCTTCTAGGCGCCTTCCTCGTCTCTTATCTCTAATGACTTTTCCAATTCGATTGATCAAACCCCAATTATTTTCCAGCGTAGCCTTAACGATCTGCCGGAGATCATATTCATTATCACCGAAATCATCTTCCATACAATATCTGATTTACAGCCCTGTTGGACGTCATCATTCCACTATGTCTGCTCCTAAGCGCCAAAAGTCATCCAAGGATGTGCCGTACGAACTTATTTACTGGCCCAGTATTCCGGGTCGTGGAGAGCACATCCGTCTGGCCTTGGAGGAAGCTGGAGCGACGTACACAGATACGGCACAGATGGAAAACGGTATAGACCAAGTCAACGCGCAGATTGACAGCGAAAATGTTGGCGACGACTTCAACCCGCCACCTTTCGCCCCGCCAATTCTTCGCCACGGAGACCTCCTCATCTCTCAAACTCCTAACATTTTATTGTACTTGGGGCCACGATTAGGATGTACGTAACTAATCAAAACGCCTCACAATCGTCATGCACATCTTTCTTTTTGCGGGGTTCAAACCTGAGGTTACGACCCCCTAACGGAACTCGGTTGAAAGCAATCATATACCATACCTAATCATGCGGTGCCCCGCGATTGCGAATAGCTACTGATTTCTGTCACAGTGGTGCCAAGTGATGATGACGAGGAACACCCGGATGCATTGTACAAGGTCAACGGGCTAGTCCTGACGGCGCTCGACGGCCTGAGCAATGAGGTACACGACTGCCATCATCCCATAGCCTCCGGCCTGTACTACGATGACCAGAAAGATGAGGCCAAGCGGAAAGCCAAGGACTTCGTAGATAACCGGCTACCTAAATTTCTAGGATACTTCGAGCGCGTATTGCAGGGCAAGGCCAGCGGAGAAGGCCCGTGGCTCTACGGCGGCCAATTGACTTATGCGGATTTAGGTATGTGACATCAGTAACTCTTGTTTGCCCTTTTTCATCCTGTCTTGGGAGCGGCAACTTCGCAGTCGAGTTTACTTCAGAGCCATTGCTCCTGAGACGCGCTTAACCTACCCAACCTTCTTCCTATAGGAATAAAAGTACTAACTTCTTGTTATAGCGTTGTTTCAGGTAGGCCCTTCGTTTCCTCCTACTCTTCTCCACTGAATGCGATTAATTATTCCTCTGCCTCGGAGGATGTACTAACAGACCATAGTGCCTCGACGGTACTAAATTCGCCTTCAGAAAGGCTATATCCGCCGCCGAGAAGTCGGGCAAATATGCGCACGTCTTCAAGTTATATAGTGCAGTTCAGGAGCGACCTAGGATCAAGGAATACTTGGCCAGCCAGAGAAGGCAGGACTACTCAATGGGAATCTATCGGTACTATGAAGAGTTGGACTTCGGCCCCGAAGGCCGTGACTAGGTGAACGAGAAAAACTATTCTTAAAGTAGAGCAGAAGAAATGGAAAAGGAATGGGAAAATCGATTGTTTCCTATCATTTCATTGGAACAACGTGCCCAGCGAGTCAATTTAAGACGTGTCTTCGTATACAAAAGCAGTTTCACCCCTGGAACGGCGTCGAAGTACACGATGGGCTCTCGATGATCTTCATGTAATGAAGGCTGAGGCTATCTATCATTTCGTAAATCTCGGCTCTTTGAGTTTGTTCGTTCTGTTGAGATCCTTGGATGAGTGTCTCATAAGCACCAACCTAAGCCTAAGCGTTCCAACATGCTCCTGGAAAGATGTCTACGCCGCCGAGCCGCTGAAAACGTACATACCAACTGCGTATTAATTTCCTGAAACTGGTCGAAGAACTAACATGTGCATAGATAACGGCACATTATTAGCCTAGTAGAGCCACGAAGAGTAGACCCATTTGGCAGATTGTTGGAACTGTTGGTATCTAACCGATCTCTTCAATTTATTCATATTATATGACAAGGCGTGTTTTATTAAGTTATTTACTTAGTAGAAGTACTGCCATTTCACGCCTGACCAGGTCGCGTCTCTTAGTCCCGCATAGAAGCGAACTGACAACCTCTAAGCTAGAACTGTGTCTACTCATTGATGGAATCGTCATTGTATATACTCCCATAGTAAACAGGCGTTTTCTTTTAGCGGGAATACTGTTCCGTGGGATAATTCTTGGTTAAGACTATTCGAAATGGTAGGCGTTAGCCTATACCAACTTGACAATGTTAAAACTAGATCTAAGAATGGTGTTCATTCCTCCCTTGTCCCCTACAAGGGTCACGAAGTTCAGATCACACCGCCATGTGGCGTGGCCTAATACTACCCGGCAAAGAGTGCCCAAGGGGGGGTATACTCAACCGCGGCTTCATCCAATTATATCGAGGTTTACCCCATGGAGTTTTCGTTCATCTAGCTTCGTCGAGATCTCGCGTACAAATCCGATCTAGAAATTGCTTTTGCTCGCTACACACGGAACGCTGAGATCCCGAATCGGTACACGACGATCGTTGGCTGTCGTCCGAGTGAGGTGGCTCAGGATCAAGATATCCATGCCCTACCTAACGAGGTGCCGACGCTTAGGCATGTAGTTGGGCTGATTCCCTGCTATAATAGCCAAGTACCCGGTTTGGTGTTGCATTTCAAAGGATTCCAACGGCGCGGCATATGCTGAACTGACGCTGTGACGAAAGTATGTAGGGGCTAATGTATGTCTAGGGCTTGGAAACCAAAACGCCATGCTACCTCAGGTAGCTGTCAACGGTGAGTGGAAGAGTATGGAAGAGTCACATAGGGTGTAAGCCGTCCTAGCTGTCTTAGATTCGGCTTTTAGGGAAGCTAAGAAATAAGCAGATTTCCCCTCTGAGCGCTGTGCATATTACTTCGAAAAAGAAAAGCTGTACCCCGCAGACAAGGTTGAGATCGACTAAGATCAACTTTGGGCTGACCCGTATCGTCGGGTCGGTCCGCGTTGGGGTGCATGGAAGTACATGGCTTGAGAGTGAAAACTCAAGCGCTTACGTTTGTCAAGGCGCTTGTTTCGATTAAATTAAAAATCAAGCCCCGGATTGCTCTCGTGTTTTGTAAGGATACACGAAATGTATACTGTGTAAAATGAGTGCCTTTTTTTTTTCCGTCTCTGCTTTTACTTTGTGAGATATCCTCGACCTCCAATCCATCCTACGAGAGCTAACGATTCTTCTCAAAAAGAAAAAGAAAAGTAGACTGTCGTACCATTTGATATGTGTACATAACCCTATCTTTCTTTTTTATGGCTGAAGCGAACTGAGGAGTTCCCGCTGTGTTACGAACTACCCAGAAATATCCCTAGGTCGAGTTCCTATCTGCCGAACGGTTCCACGATCAACTTGGGCGTCCAAGTCTTTCCCTGCCCCAGTTTAATAACCGATACATACCACGGTTGGTTCGATTGTAAGCATATCGTATAGCGGTCATACAAAGGAAGTAAATAAAACGCCGAATGTTGGTGACAGTTTTGAATACAAGGAATCGTCATGCATCTCGACTATTCATGATCCGGAGTAAGACACAAATACGTGGCAACGCAGCAGCTCACACGAGTTCACCAAATATAGTACACTTTCCATGTCAAATACGTATCTAGCTGCCCAAGGACCTACTGGGTATTCTTTGCGAAAGAATCACGTACTTGGGGGGAAGAGGCCCATGTCGAACTGTTTCCCGAGATTCCGAGCTCAGTTTAGTCTGTTCAAAATCGGGGCAAGTCACATGAGTTGAGCTTCATGCGGCCAAGGTGACAATAGGTGGGGGTAGCAAGTCACAGACTGGAGATCCGTTCATTTCCATGAGAGGTACAGGAGGTACACTACTTGAGCCAGTATCCGGTCCTGAGCTTGTAATGAGCCGAGAAAGGCTTCGAAGATCGCGCCGTGCTTCTCTCCACGCCCCACCCCCAATGCTCGTCTCGGTCGCTCGTGTTTCAAAATATAAACAGAGCTTCATAGAAGATAAGAGATACGTAAGCAACCAGCTGGGGCTTGCCATACTTCCCCAAGCACGTCGAACTCCTCTTAGATGTGCGTAGTGCCGCAAAAGTACGTGATACATATACTGTACGTAAAAGGATGCAGAAATATCAGCTCGTAATATCAGCTCGTATAGGTATGTCTAGCATGTCGAGCATTATAACTCGGGCGGTGTAGGATAATAAAATACTGTGTAAGAGCAACAATCCATACGTTACATCCTGACTCGAGGTACATGCAGCTGCAGCTCCTTGTATGAAACAAGCTTTCTGGTAAAACTGCCGGTAGTTTTTCCAATGCCTCTACATGAATAGGGTATTGCGTACTACATATGAAACATAGATACAAGCTGGTCAAAGCAACAGAACTCCTAAATTTTCCTAAAACATCGTAACCCTAGATAGGTATTTTTGTAGTTGGATCTCGGCTCGATTCATACCTCGGTGAGCAGGGTGAGTCGAAGTGGGAATTTTCGTCTTCTGCTACTTGGTGAATCCTCACCGAGTGGAGGCGGGGGTTGCTATGACCCTTCCTATCGCATATACCTACTCATAATAGTTGGTATATAACAATCAGTACATGTACATCTGTTGTTGACAGGTGTATGTACACAGTGCCGTAATCAACTTAAACATATCTGCGGAATAGATAATTACAGAATACATTTATAGGCGTTTGATAGGTAGATAGGTACCCCGTCAGCCTATAAATGCTAGGGGTCACATCTACATACTACTCTTTAATCTCACGGATCAAGGAAAAAGCAAGCCAACGCTGCTGAGCTTTAAGACACGGTGGAGAGGATGCAAGCTTATTCGGCGGCTAATGCCTATCCTAAAGTAACGTGTGGATGTGCAGCCCTGTTTAAGGCGGTTACATGGTACAACTTGAAGGATAACCCCTTGGCTATTCCCCCCCTTTCCCACGTGCTGCGGTGACACTGAGGGGAGACGAAAACCAAGGAAGCCCAAGCCCACAGGTCTAGAAATAGGAAGTTAAGTGGGGTTACTAATGCCATCTCGACCTGTCAAGCAGGGGTATCTCGCGGCAAGAAACGGTATAGCTCGCCTTGTAGGGCGGTAAAGAAAATTCAACGTCTCTTGACGAACTCTGGATAGACTCAAACAATGATCACTCAAGTAATATATATATACCGTTTTGACTGCCGACTTTCCGGGGTTCCCCTCTGTAATCTTACATCAGAATGCCGGAGTTTTTGACACATTGGCTACAAATGTATGGTAGGGCCTCGGAGTCAACAACCATCTAGATATGATCCCCCGATTGTAACGGTCTGCAGTCGTACCTAATCGGGTAGGTCACATTGACACCTTTGACGTCTCGTGGCATCCTAGGTGGAATAAGAGGGGATCTGCTCAGCCAAAATGCGCAGGGTGAAAGACTTCCTTTGCACCGATGATAGCACGCGGCATTCTAGCACTACCACAACCGCTACTACAACCAAGACATACATATGTACGCTATGAAGAACGTTAGACTACATGTTGCAGGTAAATTTGTTCTAGCTTGCGGAAGGTGTTCAAAGCGCTGCCCGGATATCTCTACTGGTCAAAGCCGAAGTAAATAAGAAATTGATAGACCGGGTCGCAAATTGCGAGGTTGCGTGACTCGAGCGTAATGCACGTAAAGTCGCATTGGTCCATCTGACGTAAGGAGAGTAGGAAAATATGTTCCTATAGCATACCGCCAAGGGGGATGTTTATTACTTAGTACATGATATCGTAGATACTGATATGCAAAGGTTGATCGGTCATCAAGGTTGTCGAGCGAGAAAAAGGATGACCGGGGAAAACGCGTTGTTTGATAATGGCCGAGATCGGGTGCGCTTCTCTCGGATAGGGGCAGGGTGTCACTGCAGAGATGGCGTGACGAATGATGGGAGCGATTAAGCCGGTAAGCTAGAGGATCACGCGCGATGTTGGAGCTACTCGGAAATCGATGTATCGCGGAATGGGATTCTCGGCCGACATAGTAGGTACCTACCTAATTATACTGTAGTATGTAAGGCATCTCTATCTATCTGCCTACTATTATGTAGGTATGATCTTACATAGTATTTGAGCAGCGCTACCGCTATCTCGAAGAAATCGCTCCAATGCGACACCTGAGATGTTATAGGAAACAAGGGTGGTGAGATAGTACATGTCGTGTATCACTACTTGAGCTATGGCACTCGCTCTCTATTGGTCTTATTTCCAACGCGCACAATAGTCAGATGCAATGTCGTAGTGGGAAAAAAAGCAACAGATATCGACGCTAATCTGATTACAATGGGAACTTGGCCTGATTGTATAATTTAAATAGACTTACAATACTTTGTTTGTCTTGTGTAGTGCCTGATGAACTGCACCCAATGAGCACTAATAGAAGCACAGTCTATCCAAGTTGATAGATTGCAAAGAGTTGCAAGTCACGATTAAAAAAGGGCGGCGTATTCGCGTCCCATCATCGGAAAGTAAATCAAGCTTCATATTTCAACCGTCATGGTCGTGTAGTAACATGATTCGTAGAGATTGCTTACAAGGCGTCGTCAGCTTATTTCGCTTCTCTCATGTATTGGAAATATTCCACATGCATGAATACTCGTCAGACAGTTCAAAGCTCGAAGTCAAGAGTAAGAAACCTTTCCATAGGTTGCCATCGCGAGTACCCCGGAATATATACCTTTAGTAGAGGCTGTGCGCTTTCATGTAGACCGGTCCCGAACGGCTAGGAAAAAGTGGGATTATCCGATTCTTGCAACTTAGAACAGGGGTCAAGTATGTCCCCTACTAACAGAATCAAGTTACCATACCGAAATCTTAGGTGCATTTCAGTAAGTTGAATCCGGGCTTCCTTCTGGCTTGTTAGTGACAAGCAACGATCCCTTGTCGCTGCCGTCTCGACGGCGCTCCCTTAACGATAACAGTATCTTCCAAGGTAGTCAACGATGCAATGATAAGTCATATCCTCTGGTGCTTTTTTATCCAAGTTAGGTATCTAGTCGTGCTAGAAAACCGTATTCCCAATACCCATCGCCGACATGGCGCCCCGACCATAAACCCCTACCCAAAACACCATACTCCAACCCTAGTAGCCCCTTTTCTTCGCCACGGGAATGTACTCTTCGAGGAGTGATGGAGCCTATGGGAAATCGTTTGCGCCATAGAACAGTCGAGCGACTCCGCATCGTCCCGAAGAGACACACCATCGACATAGTCCCTTAATATCCAAAACCCTTGCTCCCCTAGCACATGTAAAGTCGATTTTTGATTGTGACACCATTGAAACGATAAACCGAAGATTTAGACATAGGGCGTGGGCCTCTTGCTTCGTCTAATCATATGCTCCCATGCTGGAGGCGATCGAGGCCGACAATCGGCTAGAAGCTGCCTGTTAGCGACATGACATGTAAATAGCCAGGAAGAGTCTTCGTTGTGTGAGGAAAAGGAAACAAGCTCAAGAAGGATGACACCCATGTCAAGTCGCTCGGCTACGTTCACGGCAAGTTTGACACTGCAACCTTGACGAGAACGTAACACACAGCGGACATCTGGGGAGTCCTGGAGCGTCGATGACCACCAGAAGATAATCCTTGTAAAACCCGCTCGTGCTAAGGAAACGGGAGAGGCTTACAGCACAATTCATCATGCCTAATCAAAATGTCAGCAACCAACTAGGTATTGTAAAATAGGTACCCTACGCAAAGCAGGTTTGCTGCAAGGCTATATAGTACATACCTTACTTCCAGATGCGTCACATTGGGCGCGCAGACCTTGTTTGTCCTCTCGTATACTGAGCACCATCTTTGTACCACGAAGCGAAAATGTTGACAACAATATTCCACCTAGCAAAATGCAAAAGTCAGAAGAGTTCCCAGGTGCACAAACTCGACAGACGGTGAGAATATACCTGGGTATAATCACACATTGTCGAAGAGCTTCCGATGTCCTCCGCTAGGATACAAACGTGCCGAAGTGACACAGTCGAGACGAAGACGGGATATCCTGAGTTGTTATGAGAGTTACGCTCTTGACCCTTGCCGACTTTAGACCTAGAAGTCCGAGGAATGGGGCAGATTCGATCAGAGATAAAACAAGGCGTTCGATTTGCCGCGTAGTCAATAAAAATCTCGCATAGTAACTCGACGCACTTGAAATAACGTTGAACGAGGTTGAAGGTGGGCGGAAATATGTATGTATTTAAGCTTGCTGTATCGTCGATCGTGCTTTTCTTTTCGACTGACAACCCGAAAAGAAGTACAACGCCAGGAACCCTTGACCAAGTGTGCCTGGATTCATACGTACAGACCGCGCTACTCTTTTTACTAAAGTGCCAAGACCGTGGGACGCACCTATCATTGACGATATTTGGATGGGCTCGTCGATTATCGTCGCTGTACCATGATCCTTGCCAGACAGCCAGGAGTTAGCCGGGTCCTGGTAACTGCAGTAGGCATAGGCAGACCACCAAGGGCAAGGCCTCAGCCTCTGTAGATTAACCAGTGTTGCAGTCTAAACACCCTGACCACCTCAGGTGCTAGTACTCGAATTACTTAGGTACAGTACCTGGGTAGGTAGTGTATGTACGCATGTATGTATGTACGCATGTAAGTACGTACTATGTATGATACGGCCTCCCGGCCTAAGTCACTATATACGTACATACACAATACATAGTGTAAGTCTTCCGAAGACCCATCTTCATGTGAACCAACGATCGACAACCAGTTGTCGCTGGCCTGACGAAGGCGGGTCTTCCTTTTAGCGTTGGGTGACCGTGCCCCTAGGTCGACACCATGGCCAGGGACAACTAACTAACGGACTATTCTCCGAGCTGTCAAGCACCCTGTGCGTGTGTATTATGTACGTCAGCTGGGAATGATAGACCGCATGACAGGGACGATAACGAGACTAATAAGTAATAGTAGTAGCATGCCTTAAGCAACGTCTGGGCTAGGGGGTGAAAACACACAGTCGGGTTACATCTCGATCTTATGTCTACGAGCTACTATGTAACTGCAAGGGATAAACGCTATGTATGTATGTATTGTACCTTATACGATATATCGAAAGCACAGTAAGTAGATTGCAATCCTGTCGATACCAGGAACTCGGGCCAGTATCCACATAAATACGGCAGAAAAGGAAAATATCCGCAGCAAAGGGACGTGTCCCCGCCAAAACTGAAAGGAACGTATCACGGTACATACATACCTACATACTATATAGGGGATAAGAAGACACCAGTTCTGACAGTTTTGTTCCCCCTGCTTCTGCAGGGCCTAGACGCAATCCATAATCAAGTACCTGACTTAATAGGCTAGTAGCTGGGCAGGTTTCTATTCTGGAATAGGCCACTGCCGTGCTGCGTACAGCATTCCGTAACGCGGTACTAAAACAGGTGCTGCCGCACAATCAAGGGAAAGGAAAAGACGAATGATTTTTTTTTTTTAGAAACGAGTTGTTACAAAAGCTTCACTCATCATATAAAATATAAAGCAGGGCTGGTACCTAGATAAAATAAAGAATAAGTAAAATGATGACTAATGTGGAATTTCTCCTCTGCTCCTGTATTGGATTGGAAAGTAATTCAGAAGTAATAGAGCTGGTTGGCTAGGTACCTAGGTATGTAGGTATGTACTACAGCCTAGCTCATTAGCGGAAGTGAGCTATCATAAGAAGAATCCTCGACGACTAGATAGGAAATATTTAGCCGAGGTAATCAAACCTTGCCAGCTTCATTGAAATTTCGTAGAATTAGATATTTTAAGAAGTCTAGATAAAAGCACTCCAAATATAGGCTTATGGACGACGGACGACTGGCATTTTCGCACTTTATTTTATTTTGTGGCACCTCCAATATTTATCCGCGTACATGCCTACATCTAGAAACCCGGGTGGCTTCTTCAGCGCGCAAGCTTAAGAGAAGAGGAGACTCGAAACGTGCCAACAGCTCGAGTCTAGCACGTGGGCCACCCATAACCATGAGGATCGCCGTGGGTTTTACTCCATACAGCCAAGCGTTGGACGTCCCCACGAATAGTGGCCGAAATTAAAGCCAACGAAGCCTTCCAGAAGCCAGCATACGCAGAAACTCTGCTGCCGCTATGCTGCCGCTATCCCACAAGGATTCGCGGCAGTTTCAGCCATTTGCCAATTTTGTTAATCCACAGCCGACGTTATCGAAGTCCGTCATATATCATATTCCGCTACCCCCAAGACGAATCAGATTAGGTGTTAAACACGCTTTTCACAATAACTTGAGACGCTTGTGAAGATTACCTATGCGGTAAATAGTTCGTCGAACCGCTTATGCGATAGCCAATGTCATAAGCACTAATTTCAACGTCGTAAACCATACCTAAACGGCTTGTCCGTTGATTCATATATATGGGAAATCTCTTTATAAAACGAACCAGCGTGAACTGCGTGACAGCACGAGCTGAACCGGTCGAAATACACAACTTTCGGACATCACGTTCAGGCTCCGCCACGTGTCTTGGCTACCCACCTAAGTATGTACCAGTAGTCCCTCGGTAGAAAAGGGATGTCAGACTAGAATTCATCATAACGTCCGGCATTCGGTAGAAACACGTAACAAGTGCTCTGCGCTAACATGGAGCAGAGTTCGCGTCGCAAATCTCCTTCATTAGCATCATTACTTTGCAGTCTAGTACGCACACCACTTTCATGATCGACACGATCCCGAGACCTGGGGGCAAGAAAAATCACTGGCTAATCTAATCTTGCACGAGCCATCTAGTCCGATTTTGTAAAGCCTCAGGTATTATCATTAATTACTATAGTGGAGATAGTGTGGCTAATTCCCAGTCTGAAGAATACGTGCAAAGGGCAAATCTGGGCCAATCCTCACATGGTCCTCGCTCGCATTCGCTTGTGAACAATAGGTCTTTGCGGCACATCCACGACAAACTCGTCCTATTTGCCATCTTCTGAAATAAATCACGAAGTGGTCGGTCCCTATACACGGGGATGATGTGCTCGCATATGTCGCCATACACGATCTTCAGTATCATCCGTGATGTCAGACGGTGGGAACACTCCCCATCGTAATATCTCCAGTGGAAACTTCGAACCCAAGAAATTCGATAGCCAAGCAGTTCTGGACGAAGGTCTAGACCAATAGAAGCAGACCCAGTACAGCGTCTCGGGTCGCTTAAAGTTGCGCGAATCCATGCTGTCGGGATGTAATTGCGCGTTATTTCAAGTACCATACGGATCCATACTCCACCAAAACTAAACAAGGGGTCATGAAACAGGGTGATCAGATATACGAATTATTATACCCGTGGTAAATAATACCTACAGCATACTTATCGCCGTTTCTACGTACCTAGTTTACAATGCTATCGCCAAGGAGTGATTATTATTACCTGCTGGGCTTTTTACCTCTGATATATCTATGGTTGTCTTAATAGTTGGTATTCGGTAAATTGGTGGAAAGGTACGTCGTCAAGATGTCTGAAACTGACAAATCTTTCGAACTTTCAGCAGCCAAACGACCAGACGGCCATGCCATTGACGGATGAGAAAATCTGTCGCTGCGAACTCTTAATATGCTACTGTCTATATACATTCCTACATGCCGAGGCTGCTGGGGCACATAAAAAGCCTAGTCAACAACCTATTTGCTACGGCAACCCCGGTATGTATGAATATCACCCAGGTTCACATGTTAAGAGGATCCCTGTGACTGGGAACGGCGCGGCTCGAACCGTTCCAATAATACTGGCTTTGGGCTCATTTGTTCAACCTTTTTTCAATATTTACACGTCACGAATGAGGCATAGACGGAAGCAAAAAGTCCCTTTGTCATCAAGGATCTCGACTTTCCGCCGCACTATTTTCAAACAAACGTCGATTACTACCTAGTAGGGGGAGCCAAACCCATGCACCATGCTCAATACCTACACTCATAAAACGATCGACGCCTAACATTGGACAGAAACCAAGGCTTGACTTATGGGCATGGTTACATTAAGCTCTATCTAGGTACTAGACTTGTGATTTGCAGTCACCGAGTACGAGGAACCGGTACATCACAAGAGCTTAACTAAACTCCACAGCCATGCCTCATACATACATGCATTAAACTTCTGTGGAAGCCTAGTTGCTACTATAGTACGTACTGTAGTAGTGAGTACCTTTGCTCAGGGATACCGCCAACTCCCTGGGTGCTCCTCCAAGCCCTTTTATATGAATTTCTAACCTCACAAAGGGGTATATTTAATCGGACTTTGATTTACTCCCTAAGCCAGCGACCAACTAGAATCTCCTTTCGATCTGATGAGGTATCGAGGTTGAGGTTGACAAAATGGAAACCTATCACGTCTCGTACAAGCCCACGGAAATCATATGTTGACCCACATGTTTTCCCACTCTAGGAGTGCTCTATGTCGAATATGATATGTGATGGTTTCAGAGAGAAATTCTTATCTACGAAAACTTGTCACGAAGCATCTCTGAGCCTTACCTGGATAGCACTGGGGCACGATGCTCCTGGTATAGAGATAGCCGGGATTGTATTTGAGATAGGCGATCTTTGATGAGTTCTACGTATATTGTAGTCCAAGAAATAGGACATGCCGAGAAAAATAATGCTACCAGTGAGATCTTGTACTATGATGATGTAGACGAGAGGGGCTTAGACAATTCAATTCATTTCTAGGGGTAATCATAGCAGGCGTCGAAAAGGACGTCTATTATTTATTTGGTATTACAACCTGCCGTCCGCGGCTAATATGTTAGTAACGCGAACATATTCTAGTCTTATTCATGACATACATATTATATCATGATAGGAATAGAAGATATTGGTATTGATGATGAAACTGCCTCCCTAGGCAATTCATAAACCAAAACCATATCTTTGTAGATTAATACTCCAGCTAGAAAAGGCCCTTCATATATTCATGGCATAATCCAGTACAGGGAGTAATGTATTTGTAAAGCATTGTCCATGTAGACCGAGTTATGAATGAAATTTTAATCCAAAATAGTCATCGCTAATTTAATCTAAGGAGATGGCAAGACTGGCAGTGATATATGTTTCTTGTATCTCTATGCTTCCAATTCACATACGGTGAGATCGCGCGACAAGACAGCATAGAGGACGAGTTCATGAGCTCATGAGACAATTTCATACCTAGTAAAATATAAGAGAAACAATTTGATCCTATTCGAATTTAGCAGCACCTACCTAATTACCAAAGGAGTGGACTCTAATACGTTAGGTATGCCGCGATTTCCCTGTCTGCTGCCCGCCTTAGCCATCGCCGTAAAGATAAGTTTTTAAGGGGAAGCCTCCAAATTCTCTAAATGGGTATTTTCGAAGACAAAGGTTGGAGTGGACGCATAAGACAACAACTCGAGCACTTTTGGCCTACGAAGCCCCTTATTCCTTTACCTGGGGGTTATCACCAGCCAGGCGAAATAAAGCTTCATACGATCCGCTAGACCAGACCTAGAGGATAAAGTAGCCAGGAGCATTAAATTTACGTGATTTGACGCCATTCTTGCCTTACGCCAGTTATACGAGCAAGCTTTGACTTATCAGTGGTGCTCCCGGTCGATCAGAACCGATCTTTTGTGGGTGGTTATCCACCTCCTTTTGCCTCCTAATCCCTAGCTAGCAACAAGTGAAAGTAATAGGACTAGTAATTTGATATTATATATTGTTAGATAATTGGGCAGATACCTCGGGAGATAGATAGTTGACGAAGTCATTAGGTGCACATACTGTGTTTCTTCCCCGGAATTCACTGACAATAGGCTAGCAGTGGTCCCTTTTACATTTGATACACTGACAGAACCGGTATGATGCAGCCATGGGAATCACGGTGCGGAACCTAGCTGGTGGGAGAACAGCGCCGCTGTTGCGCAAGAAGCTTTAAGTTCCACTGCCTAAGATCGCGGCATACACAATAGATGCTCATGGTTTAGTCTATACTAGTATTAGCCATCACCAGGTCTCCTACAGACTAAACTCAGATCCCAGGAGACCCTCAGCAGACCAAGCCAGACCTCTGGAGATGGTTACGGTGATACCACCACGGATTGTCCTTCGAGATTTAGCATTAACTTTAGATCTATCGTACCAGAAATGAGCCATATGAAGTAGACATAAAAAGGAGCATTTTTGAACTTGGAGAAAGGTCGGCAGAGTTTCACTAGGCAGATTCGATTCTACAGTCATTATTATGACTCAACCGCATAAAGGAGTATGAGTGATTCCCAGATTTTACACGAAATTGGAACTGAAGCTCGAACGGAATCTCGAAAATAATCCTCCTATGATAGGCAGTAGTATTTGATGAGTTTTCATAGGTTGAGAAGAGATCATAGAGTAGGGCCAATTGTACGTACTACCACAATTCTTGTTGCCCCTGAACGCGGTTAAGGTGAAGCCCTTGAATTGCAATGCTTGTAGGGATAGGCAATTAATACACTTTGCGACCCCTAGAATACTATCAGAATATGTAGATATGTTGTGCTTGGCCTGGCCTATTGTTTTTTATCCCTTTTCTGCTGTAGATACCTAGGTAGGACCGGTCTATATTGGCTCTTCAATATCCAAGCACATACCTAGCTAGACGTATCAGTCTATCTTTGTACTTACACTTCTAAATACGATACGAGGCTATTATTGCTATTCAGAAAGTGGTATGGTTAGGAAGGAACATGGGAAAATCATTTTGCTTGAAGGCCGTTAACTTGAATGACCATACTCCAAGTACTAAGATCCTTCACGGCTAATTATGAGGAAAGGGAGGCTAGATGAAGTCCATTGCATCAAAGTTATGTCTTCAATGTGTAAAAATAAATCTCTTCTTCTCATATGAGAAAAAGAAGGAGGAAGTATGACAGCCATCTAGATGCTTCACAGGTCCTCGAAGCCAGCGACGGTACGGTCGAAGATGACGTTCGTCCGGGATTTTGGGGCGCTATGTAGCATTTTTCATTGCTACTACGTAGTCGGCCGACGATCTGGTCACTCAAAAGTTCCTGGAGACTATCACACCACCGACCAAAGCGGAAGGATGCTAGGAGCTCTGGCTCGTGACGTCATCTTCACCCACTTCGCGTGTTCTGGGGTCGGTTATTTGACTATATTTGAAGCCTTAGCCACCCATCTAGCCATTCATGGATACGCCTGCGCATATAATGTAGCCCCTTCCTGCGAGTTGGCCTATAGAAGGAAACGCACCCTAGGTATTCAATCCTTCATAACTTCATTTCAAGAATGCTTCCGCCCCTAATTGACATCAGTAGAGCATATACCTAGGTAGGTAGTTAATTTCACCGTCGTCTGATTGGCATCATAGCTATCGCAAATCTCTTCGAACCCATAGGGCCTATTGAAGCTCGAACGGAAATGGCATCCTCTGTCTCTTTGTCCCAGGGCTCTCTGGCGGCAACAATATTGGTGTCTACCATGGCAAGTTGTGCCGGCCTCACGCCTCCTAACACCAGCACGAAACCCACGCCCTCGACAGGCGACATGATGCGCGTGCTGAACTTGACCAACAAACGCACCGTAATGCTCGGAATGGTTCCCATGGGCTTCCTGGCGTTGCAAACCTCTTCATTGGCACTTTTCTACCCGAGTATCCCATCAACCGTCCTCCGCTATGGCGCGGTGAATGGTCTAAACCCACAGCTTGTAACTGTATGTATTTGGGGGTACCCATCCACTCTCCCAATCCGTCTTGTGAATCAAACTTTCCCAAGAGAGCTGATGAGAAGTTGTTGATCCACCTTCAACCCCTCTCAAAAATACCAATTTCACAAAACCTCTTACAGAAGCTGGTGCTGACCCATTGTTATAGTGGTCTGCAGCAACGTCTATCCCTTTGGCTCTGATCCTATGTGCCGGTGTTCCGCTCCGTTTGGGGGCGTATTCGTCGCTGGGTAAAAACTTCACGTTCGAGCTAGCGGAGCCTGATGGGCTTAAGACTGACGGCATCTACCGTTATGTGCAGCATCCCAGCTACACTGGCATGCTGATCATCATCGCGTCCAATGCGTGCCTTTTGGCTAGGATGGATGGAGCGCTTAGCTGTTGGATTCCGCCTGAATGGTATGGGCCTTTGCGAACTATCGGGTGGGCATTTGTTCTTCCTACTTGGCTGTCGTTATCCGTGTTCGGGTTGTGGACGCGGGTGAAGCAGGAGGAGAGTATGCTCCGAGGTAAATTCGGCGAGAAGTGGGAAAGGTGGCATGCCAAAACAGCACGGTTTATACCGGGAATTTTCTGATGGGAGAGGAGCGTCTCGTTTGATATACGATAATAAGCGGCGTTTCCTCGTTGTGATACTAAGGTAATCTACCTAAGAATCTACAAAATACCTGGCAAGGAACTGACCCTCACCCCTGAGAGTGTAGAGGAAATACAAATTCTCGTTGTCGAAAATAGTGACAGGATGTCAATATTCTGTATAGAAAAGGAGTAAGGTGAGTTTCGGTGAAGATTTATGAGGAAGCTTTTCAGTGTATACAGTGTATCGCACGAGCCGTACGGTATTGGACGAGGGAATAGGGATGTCGGATGGGGAGAAATAGGGGGACGGAGAGCAGCAGGAGCTAGATGTGAAGATACCCCAATACCCCTCACAGTATTAGTCGCACTAGCCTCGTCCCACCAATACTGGGTACCGCCTACTACAGCAGGTACCACTTACGTCTATGTACCTAAGGTGGGTAACCTAAATAGCACATACATTGGATTTTCACCTTCACCTTTAGAATAATCAACTTTCAAAACTCAACCACCAGAAACTAGGCCTTCTTCAAGTAGGCTATATATAGATGCCACTGTGATGGCTACGATTGCAGAGCGCTTCGATGCGCTACTCCGGTGGGTAGAGGACGACGGAGGGAGCCTGAACCCCGCCGTCGAAATCTATCACGACGACCTCACTAAAGCCTCTTTTCGTGTCAAAGACTCGTGCTCACTTGGAGTTGATGACCCTATCGTCGCACTCCCGCTCTCAAAGTCGCTCTCCTATATTAATGCTATTGACCACCACCCGGACTTCGCTTCGTCTTCTTCACCTTATTCTTCGTCTTCTTCTTCCCCTCCTTCCTCTTCCCCTGAAAGCGACATAAACCGCGAGGATGCTTGCTATTTTCCGACCGAGTTTTTGAAGACAATGCCTCCACATGTCATCGGACGCTTCTTTCTCATGCAGCAACATATTCTTGGGCCCAAATCGAAGTGGTGGCCGTATGTACGGACCCTACCCCAGCCCGAGCACATGAGTAGCATTCTCCCTGCCCTGTGGCCATCTGACGACATCGAATTCCTGAGGGGGACCAACGCCTTTTCCGCCGTCCAGGATATAAAGTCCACCCTGAAGAAAGAGTACAAGCATGCTATGAGGTTGCTTCCGGAAACTTACTACTCAGAGTATACTCGGCCTCTGTACTATTGGGCCTATGCTATCTTCACGAGCCGTAGTTTTCGGCCATCGCTCATTTTCCCTCCGCAGACTTCGTCAGGCCTTTCCTGCGACCTAGATGACTTCTCAGTGCTGCTTCCTTTATATGATATTGGAAACCATTCACCATTGGCTAAGATCACGTGGGCTACCGATGAAGAAGCCCAGATATGCACTCTCACGTGTAGGCAGACATATTCGGCCGGGGAACAAGTGTTCAATAACTACGGAATGAAGACTAACGTTGAGTTGCTTCTTGGTTACGGCTTCGTCATCCCAGCAGACGATAACTTTCACAATGATTACATCCATATCAGGACAAAGGCAGATCCGGAAGCCGGCGACTTGGCTGCGACTCATGTCGTGTCGTTGAGGCCTATGGCACACCAGAGCTCCTTAGTAGGGAGGTCGAGACTCTTGAGCGCGGACTCACTTGGCTGCCTTCCTTGCTTTTCGCATATCCAGGACTCCCTCATTGTGGCTCTCTACGAGAGTATTACCAAGGGAGGAGACGAAACGAATAACCCCAGTTTGACCGAAATTATGAGAGGTGAAATCGCGGATGAGATTCTTAGGAAAATTATTGACTCGTTGGGCTCGAAGCTGAGTGTCGATCTGGAGGACTTGGAAATCAACGAGCCGGACTACGAGGCCGCCAACCGTAACCAGCAACTCGTCGTACGCTATCGTGAGCAATGTTGGAGCGTGTTAGAAAATGCGCTTCGAAGCTTGATGTCGGGATAGGTTTTCGTGGAAAGGCAGATGTACAGGTTAATCAGCCTGTATAAATGCTTAAAATCGATAAATTCAATGTCAAACTCCAAACTAGGGGTATCAAAATGCAATCTGCCGCCGACGCCCAATATTACCGGAGCACATCCTCCCTTTTTTCCCATGACCGAAAACAATCTTCATAATTAAAGGATGTGCTCATCCTCCAAGACGGTTTAGTGATTTCGTCCGCCACCTAAATCCGACTGCCACTCCCCAAGGGCATCTTCTGCTTCATCGGGCAAAAAAGCCATATTCTCGTTTAAGAGGTTCAAACATGCTTTCGAAGCTGGTACGTGAGTCAGCGATCGTGTCGACAAGCCACGTCACAGGTCTTTAAAGCAGGCCGAAAAAGAACACTTACGCAACAATAAACTGATATCGCCGGAGCTAAGTGCAGCGCTCATCCTAGCTGACTTGTAGCAGCCGTAGGTCTGCTGGAGGGCTAACATGCGTTTCCACAGCCTTACAGGGTCGCCATTCGTGCCCTCTTCCAGTGCCTTAACCGACTCTCGTCTTCTGTTTCTAAACGCATCCATACGAACTGACGCAACGTCGGAACACGGCGATGGCGACCTTGACTCTTGGAATTTATCAATCGGGCTGACGAGCTCGGGTATTTCAATTTCCTCGGCGGGGCTGCGGGCGAGCGGACACGGTGTGATGGCGTCGATATCGTCGACGATGGTCGGCCGGTTCGGCTTCCTTGAAGTTTTGGACATGTCCATTTTGATACCTCGTATGTGTCCTCTACTCTGGGGGGGCACGGCGCAAGTCGTATGCTTCTGATCTATTCTTAAATGCTGCCGATAAGGTGGCTTGGGTACTGATAGAAAACGATACTAGTCGTCACTTATATAACGGCTAATTATCTCGAGGGTTTGACGGGTTTGGCAAGATACTGATTTCGATACGAGAATGAATGTTTTAGTTGCTGTTCATATCACCTGGAAGAAAAAAAATTATGAGCATCTTCAGATCGGCAGAGTGTGGAGCAAATAGACATATATATAAACTAGCTAAAAGTAACATTAAGCCACCTGAGAAGGCCGAACCGAGATGGCACACATGCCTCACGCCTGACAAGCGTTGTTTTTTTCGCATTAGAGAGGGTGATGTGATGATGAAACCTGCAGAACCTGCATCTCACCCAATCACGATCATCCGGGGTCTCAGTCATCAACCCCTGCTCTTGGGTGTTGGCCTGCAGCACCCGCGCATACTATTACTATCCATGGATGTATGGACTGAGTCAAGATGGGTTTGACGATACGACGTCAGTGCCAATCATGGTTAGATTACTAAATAGGTCGATGTGCGGGTGTCTCCAGGGACCGACGAACGACTCACTGGCCTGAGCTGGGACGATGGCGCCGTGCGTCAGGCTACCGAATTTGGACGAAGAGGAGGAGGTGCAGCAGGTCCCAACTGACCTTGTCGAATACACCTATGATATTATCTTGGTTGTAGGTATGCGTTGTCGAGGGCAGCGTGTACGAGTACGTCGTGTCCGCTCGCCCCTGTCTTTTCTTTTCCTTTTTCTTTTTTCTTCTTTGCATCGCAACCATATGACATCTTCACACGTACCTACATATGATCTCAAACTGGATTTCTAGGTTCTAGTTGTATCCAGATGTTGCCCAGCAAGGTTTGGCTCGGGCTAGGCCCGACTTGGCTCGCCTGTGGCAGAGAGCCTGCAGCTATCGTAGATCCTCAACTACCGGCCGATGCATTTCCGGCATTCCCCATCACATTAAACCTCGTACTCCTGTAGAGCAAAACTAAGTGCCCCGTTATCGGCTATGTCACGATGGCATGAGATGATCAAGATTCGAGAAGTGTCCGTGATTCTATTTATTAAGACCCAGGTTCTTCTATTATACTTAGATGTACTTGGGTTCCTAGCCATAATACGTTCGCCGGAGATAATGACCTACATAAAGATTTGGCTTTTTTAAGAGGTTCGGAGTCTGTGGCTGCACATCGAAGCTGTATAACATGTGCGTTAGCAACGTTTAATTAGGGTTGTCGACCGCCCGGTTGGAAAGAGACGGGATTGCTTAGGCTGTAAGGTAGGTTTCAGACGATCGCTTCCCCCTAAAGTGATCGCATATATTCTCTTACCAACAACGATGATAGCGTGGCGCTACTTTGCATAGCGTATGTACTATAGAGATCAGAACCGCCAACTCCGCTGTTGCTGGGCTGCTAGGCTAGCTGGTAGCTAAGCTGCTGCCAAGTTCCATAGCGAATGCATCGTGTCGATCACGTCCATCACTAGTGCGGGGGATCACACACGCAAAGACAAGGATTGTAATCGTAGTACCTAGTGTAGTGTATGATCAGTATTTCTCCTCTTCAACATCCCCGCGCTTCTTCAAGCCCTCGAGCCCTCGCGTCTTCACGCCCTCACTTCGCTGTCCGCACCAAAGCACGTACGATGTCGAACGAGAGCGCTGTGAGCTCCGGACCGACTTTATAACACAGCGTCGTGTCTTCGGGACAGAGCGAAGTGGCAAGGTAAACGGGCGACCGCGGTCCTGGAAAATGCTTTCTGCTTACCGCCCTTTTCCCGTCTTCTCCGATTCCTCTCTTATCAGTCGGTAGTAGCACGACCCCATCACGAGTTGTCCTCCGCCAGCCCCGTATGTAGATGATGGATGGGTCACGCCCGTATGTCAACACCCATTCACTCTCCTGTCTTTCTACATCTATCTGATCTATTCAAATAGCTAATCTAACCCCCCACAATTCCCCTCCCTTGTGAATGCATACTTATCTCTCTAGGAACAGGGGAGACATACGAACAAGACTTCTACTCAAAAGGGAAGTGAGAGAAAAGGTGAGGGGAGGAAAAGGCATACCTCGGTAGTCTCTACGCCTAACCCCACCGCTGACAATTATCACTTACTGTTTCCGTAGGTAATTCAGACTGCCTCGGGGCGCTCGTGTAGGTCTTCAAATGCATATCAAGATACAATGAAACGTCGGCTGGCCTATCGTGGATTAGCGCCTATACGTGTAATAAGCTTGCTCTGATAGATTGAGGCATACCCGCAGACCGGGCGGGACAAGCCTAGGGGTTGAGCTGGCTTGCATATGATCGACGCCTGGAGAGTTTGCCCCGGACTTCTAACGAACCAAACATATCAGTAGAGGCTTACTACATAGCATGCGGTTCATCCGGTATGAATAGGTAGACAATCTATGCCCATCGCTGCGCATAGCCACCGATGTCATCTATTGATTTCTTCGTTAAACCGACATCTAACATGGAAATAGTTGAGGTGCCCGTTTCGGACATGGTGTCGTTGGGTCACCATCAATTGGGTAAAGACAACGACTTGACGACCAACATGGGCGCTCCCTTACCTATTCATACGTATCACTGCATTTGGAATGACGTCGTATCGTATAACTTTAGCGGATGCGAATTACTAACACCCAATCAGTCCTATAAGGTTTTCCATATTGAGCGTCTATCTGATGAACAAGGAACTCTTAGAGAGCTCGACTCTCTGGACCACTTCCGGAATTGAATCTCACTTTAGCAATTTTTAAAAATCCTACCTAGGAACAACTTGCACAGTTATAGATTACTAAACTTATAGAAAGACTAAGGGATACTAAGGTGGGCAATAAGGTGCTTTACAATCAAACGATTCAAGTGTGTTTCGAGTCTATTCTATGAGTAGGTGTTGATAGGTAGGTAGTCAGAATGTACTACAATAATCTCACACCTTGGAGAATGAGGAATATATACCTTATGATACCTATTCATCCACTATACAACAGCATAAACAACTGTTAATAGGAAGAGAGGTGACATGCACCCTGAATTATCTACCTACATAAATAATCCACGTGTGTTCATATTGTCAAAATGCAACGCATAGGTAATTACTTCAAATAATTGATTAAGTCGTATGAGTCTGGGCAATATTTCAATCTAGTCAAATATTAGGTCATTAAGCATGTAGAGAGGTAATAGGAATCCATGGATGAGTTATGTCATCCATTCTTATTCCTATTTGACTTATGTACATTAATTGGCGACATAACTTATTCGCTTAGAATGAGAATCTCGATGACAAACATGCGTAAACCTGCCTATGTTAAGTACCTACTTACCTGTAATCACTCTTTCATAACCACGCACCACACTCTTCCTCATTACCTTACTCATTCCTCATCTAGCCCTAGCCCACCAACCTCCCACGCGGCAGCGGCAAGGAAGACAGCCTGCTCGTCAAATCTCTTGCCCACGATCTGCATACCAACCGGTAACTTCGCCTTCCCATCTCCACCGCCGCCTTCAACGTGACCCCAGCCAACGGGTATAACCAAGCCCGGATGGCCCGTAATGTTAAACGGCATGGTGTTGAGCGTGTTCGAGAGGAGAAACTCCGCCTTCTTCGCGATACCCATGCCCGCTCCTGCGTGCTGTGGCCCGACCGTCGGCGTCGCGGGCATGATTAGCACGTCGAACTGCTGCAGTGCTTTGTCGTACGCGGCGCGTAGTTCTTGGACGTGACGTACTATACAATAATTATTAGATCTCTTATTTTTATTTTTTTATGTATATATTAATAAATGAAGAAGCTGATGAGATCTATAAATGTATAAGGGATCATGATTTTCAATGAGCTTAATCAGGAAGCTATCGCTCCGAAGACGAGTCAAAAAAGGGGAGATAGAAATTCTCAATGTTACATACCAGCCTTATCCCGTACGGTTTCTGGATACTTCGACCGGTCGGATAGGACCTCGCTGCTCAAAAGCAAAGCAATGACAAGCGGGTTCGACGCAGTCATCGTCTCATACCAGTTCTGATCAGGAGCAGCTGGGGCGGGGCCCGGGAATGGGAATGGGAGAGAAGACGCGGTGGAGGAACCCTGGCGGGATAACAGGATATCCGCCATGTAAGCGCGGGTTGAAGCCGTGAAGATGTGCGGCGCCGCGATATGCAGCGGAATAGAGACATCGGCGACGGAGGCGCCAAGGGCGGCGAAGCGCGATGAAGCCTTGCGGATGACGGATATGACCTCAGGACTGATGCCGGCGACGCTGAAAGCTTCTTTAAGCACTCCAACACGTATACCACGGCCCGCTGCTTGGGGTGTCCAGGTGCCGGCCGCGGCACGCGCAGCGATCTGTTCGTCAAGGATGGCATGGTATTGAGGTACATTAGCTCGAAGGGGGGTTTCAGGGGTCATACGGGGATCGAAGCCGTCGTAACCGGCGAGTACCGCAAGGAAGAGCGCGGTATCATGAACAGAGGATGCCATTGGACCAACATGGTCGAGTATGGGGAAGAGCGAGCTGATGCCCGTGAAAGGAACTAAACCATGTGTTGGCTTGAGGCCATAGATACCGCAGTACGCAGCAGGCTTTCGTCATGTCAGCGGGCGATACATTCAGTCGATGGGAGTTATTAGAATGGAAACTGGTTTGGCGATAGAAGAGGAGAATACGAACGACTCTGATGCTGCCGCCCTGGTCACTCCCAGTAGCGAAGTCTACCCCTTCACCTAAATCTTCGATAGGGAGACCTCTGGATTCGCGCCACTTCTTGACAACGTTGAGGGCGATAAGCGCCGCTGATCCGCTACTACTTCCACCTGCGGAGTAGCCCTTCAACCAAGGGTTGTCGACGGGTCCCGTGGCGCTGGTACAAGACATAGCCGACATGCAGTAATTCTCGCATGTCGAAATACCTGTGATTACCGCGCCGGCCTCAAGGATGCGAGATACGACGGGGGCATCGAGGGTCGGGATCGGGGCTGGCTTATCGTTGCATAGGTGGAAAGGCTGAGTACCGCCTGTAGTTGGAACGCCCGCGACAGCCGTGTTGTCCTTGATAGCGACTTTCTTACCAGCTAGTAAGCCTGCGCTATTTTGGAGCTCCGGACCCTTGATACACGTCTGAAATAAGAGCATGTGTTAGTGAATATGAAGTGGGATATCGTTTGAACTTAAGGGGGAGGATAAGGGGTAGCTAATACCCGATAGCTCCAAGCATTCAGAGGATTCTCAGAAGTAGATGGCAGAGTATACGTTCGAGAGGATTGAGCAGGAGTCCCGAGGTCTGGTGTAAGCCAGTCTGGCAAATGGTCGACGATATTCACGGATTCCTCCGCCGCGTGAACGATGTCGAGATATTCTAGCTCATCTTGAGGTTTCAGCTGAAATCCATGCGCCTCCGCGATTGCTCGCAAGGTGTCGACAGACGCGTGTTTCCTTGACAAGCGTTAATTGAAATCTTCTCAGAGTTCGCCTTCAGTTTCGTTGAATTTACTTACTTCGCTTGCTGGGAAGGCATCTCGTTATCTCGAAGATTCTTAAAGTGGAAGTTATGTATTGTATATTATAATATATTCGAATTTGAGTGAGAAAGTGAGAAGTTTCAAGGCGGGCGGCGTCTATCTTCTTTCGAGAGGTCAAACTTGGAGGCGGGAATTGGACTATTTATCATCTGGGCTGAAAGGCTGGAAGAGTTGAAGGCTTGACCTCGATCCTCCCGAAGCAGCATTTCCCGATACCATTAACGATACCCCGGGCTGTCCCGACTTGTGATTGGCCAAGACTATACGACCACCTCTATCCCCTGTGCCGCTCCGAAGCTCCGCTGACAGTGATTCAATAATTATCGGAACGCCGCAATTGCGGACCGCCGAAAACATGCGGTCGATACTAAATTCCACCAATATGAGACGAGTTTCTTCATGCTGGGGACATTTTCTCTACCCAAATTATCGCCATATGTAGTTGGCCTGGCAGCTTCTGCGTCATATTCTAATACCCACATGGAGTGCGGTGTAAAAGGAACTAATGATATCCATGGATAGCTGATTCTGCCTCTCCGGGAGAGTAATAGAGTCTACATTGAGCATATAAACTTATTCGGAAATCACCACAAATTTGTCATAGTTAGGCAGTAAGGTACCTAGGCGCTTTTCGAATCGTAGGGCTGGCTGTTGACCAGATTCAGGGGTAACCAAATTATATAGGTAGTTTTCTTTGAGCAAATCATACCACACAGCAGATGCAAGATGGAACAATGTAATGATTTGAATGTTGTTATTGATATTGATATCTTTGGGAAAGCTGCGTTTCCCCGTCATCATTGAGACCGCGTCTTCCCAGCGTATTCTGTAATTAATCGTCCTACGTTATCGGAAAAGTTCCCCCGAGATAATAAAGCAGAGATGGGTTGCCTAGCCAGGCCATTATGCTTCGCGTATCCCAGCCCCGGAGACACCCGAGAAGTCTCAGATACTGCACGTCCAATTTCGCCCGGCCCCGAAAATGCAGAAAAAAATTTAAGACGATCAAAACGCCTAGCCCAATGCAGATCTCTCCCAACCTTTGATGAAGGCTCGTCCGCGAACGGAAGGGAAAAGAGGATGCGGCCTATCTAAAAATGGTTGTCTAATGAAAATCCCGTTATATCTCTGCAAGGCTGTAAAAATTCCAGTTGTCCAGTTGTCCAGTGGGGTGCCAATGCGGTATATCTAATGCGTTCGTTTGTAAATGATGCTCGTGTTCCTTATATCGACGTGATGAATAATGCGCGCGAAAAAAATAATAATGACGATTCTACAGCCGCCGATGCGGTTATACAAATGCTGTATTGGGTATCTCGTAAAAGAAACAAAGGACTGCTCGGCAATCCTCGCGCTTCGGAATTTCATTCGTCGTTCGTTTAGTGCTTGCCATGCTCGTGACCCCCCGACGCGCCGGTCGGATTTGCGTTGTGGCGATGATGCTGGTTGTGGTGATGATGGTGATGATGATGATGCTGTTGCGAATGGGAATAGTGCTGTCGCACCTAATTTAGTTTAGTTAGCACGATATCCTTCTTGTGTTCTCATACGACCTAATTATAGGTCTACAGGTAGGTAATATGTTGGTTTGTAAAACTTACCCTTTGGCGACCTCGCTGCTCCTCCTCGGCAGGGAAGCTCACCGACTTTCTCTCTTCCTCGTACCACGCGCTTAGGCTTTTCCCTCCAAACATAAGGTCGTCATCGTCTATGACTATCGGTTCCAACCACACCTGTTTTTGGAACTCGATTTCTTGCGCGTTCGTATCGGGCAAATAGTAATGCAGAGCGTCGTCGGCCGGAGCATGTGAGGCCGTAGTAGTGGTAGTAACCATCTTGAGAGGTGAGGGTTTATGCGCCTGCGAGGTTGCAAGCTTATCTGATGATTTATTGTAGGAGGATTGATGCGGTGAACGCGGTTGCGAATGCGGAGATCTGTGGCTCTGTTGCGACACCGGTCTACTTCGTGATCTTCTGCTGTCGTCAGATACACACGAATTACGTCGCGACATGGGCGATGATGGTGATGCTGATGATTAAACACAATGTCGCGAGGGAGAGAGGAGATGCTCGCGACGCGTTCAAGTGACGTATACACAACAACTGAAGAAGGTATGTAGAATAAGGTAAGGCCGGTAAGGTTGGTGAGTTATTCTGAAGTGTCAGAAAATGGTGGCAGTTTCGATAGTCAGGGCTGCACCAGGCTGCCTTATGTGATTCCAAATCCCCCGCCGTTCCTAGAGCGGGATGTCTAAACTGTGACTCTGGGGTGAATAGGTGGGTAAAAAGGACAAGAATAGAATCGGGAGGAAGAGGCAGAGGGAGAGGTAATAATAAATATCGGCGATGAAGGGGCGCGGACTAGCACCAAGTACCTAGTCCAGGTCCAGGGTTTGTTGTAAGCCCTGCAACGCTCGGAGCCGTAATAAGGAGAATAATATTAACAAATTGTTGGGGGCTGGCTGGGAAGAAAAGGGAGAAAAAATGGAGAAAATGGAGAAAAACGGTTACCTTTAACGCGGGGATTTCCGGAATAGGAAATCCAAGACTGTCGAAACGGTCGAATATATTATTGCGCAAGACGGTTTCCAAACGGATATACTTTTCTTGGACTTTGTTGTCGAATTCTTTTACGTTGGTAGGATCGATGGTAATGGCACTATAATACATTTATTCGATGATGGAAATGATGGAAATTCTAGTCGGTTCTCAAGAAGTTGAAAACAAGTTCAAATAGAATTGAGAATCAAAACTTCTCATCTTCACTTACGCGACGATATTGTGGGATCCGCGGCTATTTATCAAGAAGAAAAAAAGGAGAAAAAAAACTCTTTACAAATCTTTCAACGACTAGGCCGACTAGGTTGACCGGGCTGATGGAAGAGAAACGATAGGACGACTACATAGTAAAATCTACTTCTGGATGACTTTCATCTGAGCTAATCCTCACTACTATATCCTGCTTTTTTCGTGTGGCGGAATTCTGGCCTCAAGTACCTCATTAGTTATGTCATGTTTCTTAATGGACAGATGGAATCATGGAAACTATTCAAGCTCCTTCACAAGATCTCACGCAGACATGATGAAATGGCTGATCCCAATGGCACCTTAGAACGAATTTAGCGCTCAAACGGTTTCGTGTTTTCGCCTTCGCAGCCTCGAGAACTTTTCGGGATTATCGAAGTATGACAATCCTTGCAAACTTCCATTTCCCCTAAGCAGGTAAGATATACCAGATCCCGAAGTCCGTTAAGGTAGCGTCTAAATACATGCACAATCACAAGTACCTAGGTCGATAACAATGAGAAGAAGGGAAAATAAACTGCTCGACTGCTCGATTGCTCGATCGATTATGACTACCTAATGCGGCCTCAACTCGGTCTATCTTACAGGCCCATCAGCCTATAACATGGGGATTACCTCTCCGACCGGTTAAGCAGGTTGGCTGGCCTGGCTGGCCTAGCTGGCCTACTTGTCAGATTTGCTGGTATACAACAAGGTCGCGGTTGGGGAAGCCAACAGATACACCGTAAGCACCGGTCGCGTCTGGACCGGCCGAGACGGTTCTTTCTGGGCAAGAGCTGCAAATCGAATCACCCATCGGCGAGCCGATCATCAGCGATCGACCCTGTCGAAGTACCTTTTTACGGGAATATTCTTGGTTACGTGCATCATTATTTGCTTAACTTTTGCCGTTCGTCAACTCCAACAAGACCATGCTTACAGGTAGATATACATTTTAAGCCTCGCCCAAGTCCCAGTCCCTACGTACTATATGTGGGTTGCATTCGACAGAACCCCGAAGTCTTCTTTAACCCAGGCTTCCTTCTGATTCGTTTAGGAAACTTGGGCAGCTTAATTCAAAGGTTGCCAATTTTCTCACATCCTTGCAATCGCAGACATGGCGACGTGTAATCAAATATGTTATTATTAGCTTGACCGACACTCTTACATGCCTGGCGGCTGAGTGATATCGATCAGAGTCGGGTTACGAAGACTGGAAGAGTAGGTACATAGCACCGCGTGTTGAGGGATACACGTCGACTATAACACGTTAAGCAGCTAGTTAATGGCTCGCTCTCGAGTTGCCAGGCAAGTTAGGCCGCCTGGCTGCCTGTGCAACTCCAACTAGGTAGGTATCTACCTGATCTCCTCCGGGGTACCGGGGTCGAAATAAGCAGACAGGCAGATATGTCGAAGGCCATCTCTCTCCGCTTCTGCTGATCGATACTATTGGCTTAGAAGCCATGTGCCGTTCGCTTATCGTTGTCCTCCTGCCAAATAAGATCAGCTTGATATCTCCCCTCGTTCCGTTCCGTATCGCGAACAGAGCCAGAGCTATTAAGACCTGCACTAGGGAGGCTGTGTAGGTAAAGATATGTAGAAGCATGAACAAATCTCGGTTCCTAAAAGCTCCGAGCACGCTCGGCTCGCCTTAATTACGAACTGTTATGTCTGTGTGGTGAGCCTGATGATAATTTAACGTATGTCCGTGCTGTCCGTCAGATCGACAGGGTTACAATTTGAGGGGAGGGGTTCATCAAGGCTGATCGAGCTCACCATCCCACATTAGCGGGCGATCCTTTGCACATGCCCGCCCGCGAAACACGAGAGTTCGCGAATGCGCATTGATCTATTAATTATCTCTCGGCGATTCGGTGGCTACTACATATATGTCTACCTAGACAGACGAACAGATAGGTAAACATCACCGTTCTTCTCGACGACCGCTGGTAGATACCTAGGTAGATAGATATCTCACAGGCACTAATCTAGATTACAAGCTCGTCGATTGGCGACCACGTATGTACAGCGCATCAGAGGTGATGTGTACATACCTGTGGAATATGTAGGTACCTAGGCACTCCGCGTTCCATGTGTTCTCGCGTAATAAGTGAAGCGGCAAAGCATTGCTAGCCTACCTAGTAGGTACCTTACCTACCGACGTAGTAAACTTCGGGTTACTAATCTGGTCTAGACGGAGAACTCGACAGGCACAGCCTTCCTTGTCCTTCTGCGGTGCTAGAGAAGACTCACCGTAAAGTTATAATATTTCACGGTGGGAGTTGACGGGATATTTCGTCAAGTGTTGCAAGAAATATGACCGACATCTAATAAGTCAAGTCCAGTGATGCCAGTAATATACCGTGATATGCCATGGATGCGGGATAGTAGGGTCAACTGATCGACCGCTAGCTTGTTAGTACCCGGGTTGAGGCTGTCTTAAGACCAGATCTTGTGCCACACCACTGCCCTCGACGTATATCATGTGCTCGACTAACGGTTGGTCGCTTTAGGAATTATCAGCTTCGAGTGTAACTGAACCGTTTCTTTGAAGTTTGTGCCGGAGCAACGCGGGATGAAGGAAAAAACGGATTTGAATAGTCTCGGGAATCTGTAATTCTGCGATTTTCTTTTCCCCATAGCAAATAATTCTATTCAACACGTCTTCATACGCCCCCATACGGCTACGTAGTGTACAGGGCTGACTTTAGGATTCATTTCGTCATTGCGGGCCCGGCCGAGCTGCCAAGTTGCAGTTCATCCCGGCGCCATAGGGCAGGATGCCGATGAGCATCTCCCAATTCGATGCCCACCACATTCGCTGAGTCGGCTCGGTGGGCTTGAGCTATTCATATATCGCATAACACTTTAAGCCTGTGACAAGAAATCAAGACTGGAAATTTCTATTCCTCAATCACACTAGCATTGACCCCGCTTCAATGTTGTCTCTATAACCATGGATGTGTTGACGTCCCTTGGCCGCATTAAGACATGTGGCCATAAAACTTGTAATGTATTGTCACCATGCCTAATTCTTTTTACCCTCATTGACGTCACCAACCCAACACATAACCAGGGATTGTTGTGGGGTCCGTACGTATGAAGACGTTGAATTCGCTTGAAGCAATTTAATTCTTGATATTCCTATTTCATACCGTTACTGCAAAACGGATTGCTTCTCTGGATTACGGCACTACAATCGTGTGCGTGTAAGCTATAATCTAATGTATCAATGCTACTGTTATATTTCTTGACGACAATCGATTTCATTCGATGTAACTCCTAGACATGCACTCTATTTCCACCCAGCCTGGACTTTCATATAGCTCGAGCTTACCGTCAGCTTTCAATTAATAAATGTCTACTTCTCATGGAAATCTGCCACCTTCGCCTTTCTAATGCCAGTCATCATTGCTCTAAGGTGGCCAAATTGAATCCTATACGGTGAAGCGAATACCACAAATGATACTAAGACCTCAGGTCACCAATATATGGAAATGGGAAGTGAAAAAACTGTCTTCGATGAACAGTCTGTCTTATATCTGGTACTCGTCCCTAGACCTCGTTGTTGTCATACCTGCCCGCCTGATAGTCGGCTCAACGACGCGTAGAGATACTTGCACACGGATGATTGAAGCTCATGCTAGAAATATACTCGACGGAAGTGATGTCGCTGTCGTATAGGTGTATTCATATACGATACCTGCATGCTTAGGTACGTAAGCAAGGACAACTCTGATAGGGAAAGGCTCAGCAGCAATTAAAATGATATCTAGGATGCTAAGTTCGAGGTTCATAATCTAAGTCTCATAAGATCCCCCTTATCATTTGATGTGTTCTTGTCCTTCCTTAACCTAAACGTGTGAAGCTCTTGCTAAATGATTCTGTACGCTGCTGTACATAACCTTAACTCTAACCCTGACCTTGTTCGTTGCCAATGTCCAAGACAGGTAAGTACCTACCTCAACGTTCATTCGAAGCATGTGATAACTTATTAATATCTTAGTATAATTGGCTACACGCAACGCGGTACCTTCCCTACCAAACCTATTTGATGACATCATGATCACACTACATCGCAATAGCCAGTGAATGCAACGTTCACCTTGTATCCTCCCAGGATACGCTAAAGCAACTACCCCGGATTTCTAGGGGCAATTTATATCAATTCTCACGCGGAACTCGCCCCGCAGAAATACTCCCCACAGTCTCCTTCTCCTGACTTTACATGATTCCTCCTCGGGGTACCGGAAATACATCTCGGAGGTGTGAATCATGGCGTCCGCGAAGAAGACGCGTGAAATGGATTCACTTCCGAGGAGGGCTAAGCAGCAGTATGTCGTCGCGATGGTCATCGCAGCTCTCCTGTGGGCAGCCTTTATGGTCGACATCCTCTACTTGAGACCCGGGCTTTTGTCAATGGCGCAGAAGGCTTTCGGACTGCTGCTGGCCTTAGCTATTACCTACACGCAGACCACGCTGCGTGGAGAGCATCGGTATTATGTCGAGATGGCGAAAGCCGGGTGTGAGCCTTTGCCATCATTCCCAAACGACCTTCTCGGAATACGGTTCCTACTGGATGCAGCGCGGCAGATAAAGTCGAACACCTTGCTAGCAGGATGGAGCCGGCTTTTCGACACGCTAGGACACACGTACCAGCATAGAATATTTCCCAATCCGGGCGTCGTCATCGCGACAGACGAGCCAGAGAACGTTCGCACCGTGCTCGTCGTGCGATTCGACGATTGGGTTATCCCGCAGATGCGAACCCGTGCTTTCCTCCCCGTTCTCGGCCGCCACTCTATTTTCACCACCAACGGCGACGAATGGAGGCACTCGAGGGCAACTTTGCGGCCGGCCTTCGTGCGTGACCAAGTTGCCGACCTGCGCTGTCTCGATCACCACGTCGCTAAAATGATCAGTCACGTCCCGCGCGACGGGCAACCTTTCGATTTACAGGCCATGCTTGCCATGCTAACGATCGACACCATCTCCGACTTCATGTTTGGTAATTCGACGGATTTATTAGGCACTGCTCCTGAGGACGGACTCCGATTTGGCCGCTGTTTTGACCTGTCTATGCAAAAGATCGCCCACCGGGCGAGATTAGGTTGGCTAACGCTACTCCGGCCGGACCGCGAACTGGATGAATGCACTTCGTTCATCAATGCGTACGTGGAGAAATATATCGCCAACGTGAAAGCGGAGCGGGACGAGAAAAAGGGGATGGGCCAGGATAGTCAAGGCGGCAAGCGGTACGTGTTCCTCAACGAACTACTCGAGACGGGAGAACCGGACGAAGTGATTCGTGATCATCTCGTAAGCATCTTTACGGCCGGTCGAGATACTACCACAAGTGTATTGTCTTATCTATTTTTCGAACTCTCGCGGCGACCAAACGTAGTGGAAGCTATTCAGCGTGAGGTGGAAGAACTGAACCTACGTGATATGGACCAGCTCCCATCATGGGAAGACTTGCGCAATATGAAGTATTTGAACTGGGCTGTAAAGGAGGCCCTCAGGTTAAACCCTCCCGTGGCGACAAACGGGCGTGAGGCCGTCCGTGATACAATTATTCCGAGAGGCGGCGGGCCCGACGGCAAGTCCCCCGTATTCGTCAAGAAGGGAACCCTACTTCGCTATTTTCCTTGGGCATTGCATAGACGGCGGAATATCTATGGTGATGATGCTGATGAATTCCGTCCGGAGCGCTGGGAGACACTGAGAACTACGTACGTATGCAAAAACTCTTGGACTGACTACAATGATCCTGATATTTTCGCAGTTTTGAGTATGTCCCGTTTAACGCGGGACCGCGCATTTGCGTCGGACAGCAATTCGCCCTAACGCAGTTGGCGTTCGTCACCTTTCGGATACTACAGGCTTTTAGGGCGATCGAGCGGAGGGACGACAGGCCGCCAATCCAAAAGTTCGGGATCAACACCTCCATGCTTCACGGATGCTGGGTCAGCATGACGCCGGCGTGAGTAAAGTTGAATGTTTAGCTGTCTATTAGATAGCATAAGTTAACCTCAGCCCCGCTTTACTTAGCAAAGGCACAGTGATTTGCATTACAGGCCTAACAATGCAGGCTCGAGAAAATATTTAAAGGACTAGGAAGTCAAGACTACCTACATGTTTCCGAGACACATGCCCTGAAATCCGAGATGGATTAAAAAAGAGGCTGACTGATCTGTAAGAGCTGTTCTTTTAGGGAAGTTATCCCGTCTAATAAATTCTCTAGATAGGGACTTTGCAGGGCACTGTAAATTGAGCTAGGACCAGGCATTGGCCTACAGGTAGATTAGGTACTCAAGTATCATTCTCATTATTTTCATGATAAAGTCGTAACAAGTTGTAGTTATTCATATAAGACGTGAAAGCACCATACGCCAGGATCGCATCCTCTGCATAAATACTCTATGTAGTCGTCGGTCCGTTCGTTAATTACCTTGACATGTTTTAATAAAGAGACCCGACGAATCCGGTCCCTGACCATTCTCGTCCTTGCCATCCAATGGAGCCATAACTACTCTAGACCTCTGAACCTACGGTTGAATTCTTCAACGGCGATAGCTACCATTCGGTATAAGAAGGCGCGTTGGCTCTCTTCGCCGACGGGGATGAACGGCCCATTTGTGCCGCCGCGTAAGACGATGCTAAGGCCCGTGCGTTCTTTTGCGATCGTCTGCACGTCTTTGAGTGGGATGTCCCATTCAGTGGTTAGCCTCCTACTCCTAATAAGAAGAATCCGGCTGAATGTGACCATGACCACCATGTCTTCCCTTGGTAGCTCTAGATGCGCTATGTAGTTCTCGTTGAAATACTTCCCGTTATCCACTTGCTTGAGCCAAGACTGCCCTAGAGCCTCGCGTTGGTTATAAGGACGTACGATGCCATCCGCTGGCACAAACCGCGTTAAGCGAACACGGTCTAGTTCGGATCCGTCAAAGACGGTCGTAGTATTGCGAATGCCCTCAGACACGTTAGACGCGAGATCGAAGACGCCGACAGCTGGCTTCGTAGCCAAACCAATAAATCCTTTCCCAACACCTTTGAAGAACCCGACGGCGCCCTCTTGTTCTGCGCCTTCGAGCGGCTTCCGAGCGACACCACCGAGACCGGATGCAACCGACGTGAAGAAGGAGTTTGCACCAGCCGTAACACCGAATAAGGCATGCTTGGGTCGATTTCGAGCTCGTGTTATGCGGCGGCGATCTTGGAATTGCTTGTCTAAGGTTGCAGCTGCCAAGCCTTTGCCAAAGCTGCCTGTGACCTTGGAAAAGGAGTCGGAGAATCCGTACACGGACTTTTTAACAAAGCTAGCAGCCCCCTTCGCGATGCCTAGCCCAAGGTCTTCAGGTTTGTCAGACATAATGAGACCCTGGTATGGCTCATAGAAGACATCAGTTATACCACTGCTGATGCTGTTAAATAAGCCGACCGGATTGCCGAGGAAATCAGCACTGCCGATGATCTTGTGGACCTGGAAAAGAACCTCTTGACTGTAATGATTCGAAATGTTCTGTGTCAGAACGGGAATAGAGACTCGAGCGTTCTCTAGTAGCAGAGCATTCAGCCGAATTGGCGCATCGTTGACATTTCCGATGGCCATGGTCATGACGTTGACGAAGAACATAATAGGATTGCGGGAAGATGTCTTATCCTCGACGTTGACACGCTCTGTACGCATGAAGGATAAATCCAACTGCATCGGCTGTATATTTAAGAGTTCGAAGTAAATATCCTGGCCCGATTGTTCTTGTTTAGGCTCCGGAATGTCCAGACCTTCGTCACAGAGCTTGCCTTCGTTAGTCTCTGACCATGATGCGCCAGGAATCTTCGAGAAATCCAACACGGCATATATGAAGTCCTCATCAAGATCGACGGTCATCTGCTGAAGTAAAATGGTGGCGTATTTGACGTAGAGCACACCGTACGAATCATCCTTGACTCTCGTAACCATGATATGTAACGAAGGGTGCAGCTCAGTCTCCTGTGCCTGTTTGGGGACCACACTAGGATAAAGTATCATGGGGAAGAGTCCGCCGTAAAGCTGATTATCAACCTGTATCCACTTGATCGAGGTACTGATCGTTTGATATAAGGCTGATTCACTGTACCGGAGGTTGATGTCTCTGAACGTGACGTACGCAAGCTCCTTCAGCTGTTGGTTAATGAGCGAGATGCCAATACCAGAAAGTCGTAGTTGTGCTTGGAATGTTGTATCGGTATCTTGGCTCTTTACTTCAAAGCCACCAGTGCTGCTGGCATTGGAACCCGTTTGTGTCCTCTGACGGTATAAGCTCTTACTTGGCTTGAAGTTGGATAAGATGAGCGTCTGAGTTGGGCCATCGGCGGCGACGTTGATGTCGATTATCTTTTGCATGCCGGAACTACTGGTAAATTTCATCGGTACTTGATTTCCAATCTCGGCAAGTTTCACGTGTCGCTCTTTGCCATAGGCATTGATGACCACTTCTCTAAACTTGGCGGCTGGGAAGTCCCAAGCATATGGCATGATGCTGCGTGGTGGTAGGCGATATCTAATCGGCCTCCATCCAGAGCGATCTTCTACGCCGTCCTCATCTACATTCGGATTCGCTTGGTAAAAAGTGAACTCCGTGTCACTCTCGTTTCGCATGGAGAACGGCCAGTTCTTTGCCTCCATGCTAAGATGGAGAAAGATAGTCGAATCCTCCATAAGGACTTCGACCCTAATGAGTCGCTGTCGCTGACCCGCTTTTGCAATCTTGATGTGTATGGTGCCTAGGTCCGATATGTTGATAGGCGATGTCCACTGGTCATCGATTCCCGGAAACCTCAAAGCTATTTGCTTTGTCGCTGACCGTTGGAGCCAGTGGAGAGGCTGCAAAGCTCCCGATTTCAGGGTCATGGTCTTGGACGATGTAGGCTCCCTAATGACAAGCTCCTCGCCAACCTTGTTCTTCACCACGAAACGAGGTGCTAGAGTAACGACCTTGGTTAACTTGTACTTGCCCTCACCGGGCTCAACTGTTATACCGACGTGAATTTCGGAATCCTTCTTAGAAGACGGCAAGACAACTTCCGCCGTGCTTCCGATAGCATCGAAACTTTGTGGTTTGCTCCATTCCGAGTCGCCTATTCTTAGAAGAGCTCGGTTGCGCTGATCATCGTTCGAAAATGAAAACATGAAGGGTAAGGCTTTCGGTCGCTCTTGATCTGAAGTGTCTGCCACAGCTGATTGACCCGCGGCTCTCTTTGGTTGTTGCAAGAATTGCTTGCCACGGATGTTAACTTCCAGCCCGGTCTTGTTCAATATTATGTATGGGCTGTAAACGGTGACCTTGAAAGCGCCGCCGCCGTCTGGTATTCTAAAGTAATGAAGCCTGAGATTGAGAGGGAGATCCTCGGCATCCTTGCATACTAATTTATGCTCTTTTCGGAAGTCTTCTTGCGCACCAGGGTTGACGATGGCGAACTCGCTTGGTTTGAAAACGGTATCTTGCATGTCTATGCTCAACAAGAGAAGATGCGACAACTCTACGACATGGACAGGGCTGACACCACCCTTTCTCAAGAAGTTCGTCCAGTCCCGTTTGGTGTTTTTGTCGTAAATTCGGTATTTGAAATCATACGGAAGAAGATTCTCAAGGACGATAGGTGGAGAGAGCTTTAGTTTCATATAGGGATATTTTCTGTACATGTTAGAGATGGGGGGTTTTTTTTTTAAACAAAGAAAAAAAAAAAGGAAAACTCGGTTTCAAGCGAGGACTTACCCAGTCAAGAAGTGGCCCCTATCAAAGCTGGCATTGAGCTGGAAGTAGAACAGGTCGCTGTTTTCACCCTTACACACGAGCGTGCGTGTAGGTCGCTTGAGCAAATCTCTCCACCACAGATGTTCGGACGACCATGCGTAACCAAAGCCGGAGTCAGGTCGTACCAGTAATGATTTGACATAGGAAGCAGCTACTGGAGCTGGTCGGCTTTCCCCTGGAGCAATCTTCTCGATCTTGAGGAGGTGGCCTTCTTCGGCGTCGAACACACCTAGCTCTACCGGTATCTGTGTCTCGTTTTCGACTACGAGTGGGGACCGAAGAGTTACATATTTTATGTTATCCGAGCCTAAGTTGACTTCGACCAGTAATCGATGGAGAGTATTATCTGTTTTTGGTCGTAAGCTGTACAAGAACTCGCCTTCACGGTTCAGGCGAATATTCTTGATCATGTCAAAGCCGCTACCCTCGATTTGAACAGCAACGCTACTCATAGCATTGCTTTCTGACATAATATTTTCTCTCATCTTCTCCCAGTGCTCGAAACTCCACGGCCCCTCCTCGCCGTCTTGTAGCTTGAGGGAGATATTTTCGTCATCGCTTTGGCTTTTGGCTTGAACCAAGACGTCAAAGCCGGTATAATTCCGGATCTTATAAGGAGCCTCGACGCCGCGAGGCTTACCTAAGACATCTTCATCTTTGGTCAGGAAATCGAACGACTTGGATGCTAGCGCAATTGTTGCCGTTGTTATTGTCACGTCGAATGTCCTCTTCGAGGAGACATCCACTGAGAAGAGGCCGCTTTCCTGCGCCCTCGCAACACCTAGACCGACCTGCCAAGGTTCCAATAGTGGCTCCCAAGCAGATTTCGCAAAATTGTAGACATTGATATACATATCAATCGCAGTCTCAGCTTTGAGAGTGCTAGACCAGTCGGCCGCTGAGGCAGTGAAGTTTTTGATGCTTAGGTCTAATATGGGCAATTCATGAACATCGCCGATCAACACAATACGGACTCCTTCAACTGTAGCTGTGAGTTCTTCATGGCGCTTGGGACCTTTGCTGATATCATGGGGTTGGTGGAATGGTTCTTTTCCAGACCTTTGAGTAGTTACTGTGCCAGGAGTCTTGGCAGTTTTACTCCTGTTAGCAGCAATCGTAGACTGCCCTCGGCCACTCGCCGTGCGTTCCTTAAGACCCGATTGGCGAAGCTGTTGGGCCTTCTTGTCAGACGCACTAGCTTTAGGTTGGCTACTATTACTTTCAGAGAGCTCGGACGCCTTGCCGATTATCTGGAGAACGAGGAGGATATCTCGAAGTGAAAGTCGAAGGATTAACGGGTCGACGTCCACATGGATATTTGTTTTGGTTGGCTGCGAGCTGTCCATCGATACCTGGACCGAGAAGTCATCAAGAACACGAAGCCGAGTCTCGTCAAATTTGTCCATGCGACAAAGGAACATCCCCACTTGAGATACTTGGAAAGTTAAGGAGTGCTGTTGCGACAGTAACACTTGCTTCGTGCCTAAAACAATCGCCTCCGAGCTAGAACTGAGGGGATTGGCGATCAATATGACCTGCGAATCGACGATATTAACGCGGAAGGCAATACTCATATTAGACTCGTCATTTTTCTTTGTCGTATTCTCCGACGACTGAGACCCTTGGATGCTCCTTTGAGGAGACTTGCCAGTCCACTGCACATGCATTGATTCGGCATCAGAGATGTCGGGGCTATCCACGGGACTTTCTAGCCCCGCTAGCTCAGGCTCGCTGGTTTGTAACCCGGTCACCAGGAATTTCTGGATTGCGAAGAGGTAATCTAAAGCGAAGATGATTTTGGGGCTGTCGATAGCGACAACGGCAATCAAATTCTTCTCCTTGCCTCCGGTCATAGACACGCTCGCCATAAACTGTTGGACGTTTTTATTGGAAGACGTCATAATCCTTCTATACTTGCTACCCTCGCGAGCACGACTGTCATGTATGGTGAACGACTGTATCACAAACTCTGCTTCTAGGGAGCCATCAGCAAGCATTCGGGTCTTGAGCTTGCTGTCGTCCAGTGAAAACCGTGACAGACTAGCGGCATCCATGTCGCCAACGGGTTCTTTCTCGCGGGCATTGATCAACTCGAGACCAATCTTATGGAGATTGAACACGAGGTCAAGCTTGGTCCAGGTATGTTCTCTCGAACCCAACTCTGGCGAAAGATCAATCAACTGGCCATCAGCCCCGCTGGTAGTAGATGTCATTGTCTTAGCCCTTCGCAGTGTACCCTCGTCCACATCTCGTTCAGCTTCTTCTCCCCTAGCGTTAGCGTCCGTCGCGAAGGCAGCTGGGACGGATCTGGAGATTTCCAAGAGAAATTTGAGCTGATATTGGGTAAGCCTAAGGTTGATATCGGTCATGCTGCCTTCGACCTCCATATCTGGACGCTTCCACCCTTCTTTGTGTTCCGCGTAGGTAATGTTAAAGCCGAGGTCCACGTGATCAATCATTTCAAGCTCTTCGGACTGTTCATTGGGATAATGGAATAAAGACGTAAGTCTGATGTTCCTGATACCCGCAGAGAGCTTCATGGCAATTTCGGAATTCTCGGAATCGTCCAAGGGGGCGAATTTGTTCTGTGCGTAAATCTCTCCTAGGTAGACGGTGACTAGGTCTCGCCTTGGACGATCTGGAGAGACATCATGAGGGAATACGATGATAGGGGTGTTAATGATGATATCAAACTTGAATCTACCAGTGCTCTGCTGTAATTGTTGGGCTTGGTTCGCGGCCGCTTGACGAGCAGCATTGTAGATAGCTTGCATCTTGCCGAATTTGACCAAGAATTCGATAATCTTCCTGAATGGCTCTTCAAGGAAGTTGACCTTAATGGAACCAGCACGTAGATAGACTGAGGAATCATATCCTGGGTACGCCTTCTTGTTACTAGAATCATAAGTCTCGTAACGGAAATCGGCGAGCTCGTCTCCCTGAATGGCAACAAGCTGGCGGAAACTCGAGTCTTCTGATGCACCGATGTTAACGTCATCGACTAGTGTTAGATCACCGAGATTGGCTGCTACCCTCATCGTCTTGCCGAGCAAGAAAACTCCAACATCAGCATGATTGAATGAGAGCGTCGCTAATCGGATACCGTCATTGTTAAGAATCAAGCGTATACTCTTAAGATCAACCTTAACCCGGATAGAACCACCCTCGCTCTGCTGTGGAGCAATAGATGGCTCCGCAATTTCGACCTCATCCTCTCCTTCTTCAGAGTTTTTGACTATTCTCTGTTGGGAATTCGAGGCTTCATTATTAGTGAAGGTGGCGAGTATGAAATCCAATAGTGTGAGCAAGGTCTTCCTCGTCACGACGAGGTTGATTGTGGAGACAGCAACATTGACATTTGTTTCTATGCCTTCGTAAACTGGCATAAACTCGGGAGATTCCCTTTTCACTTTAGTGAACTTGACGCGAACTAGATCCCTCTTTTGCTGGTGGTCTTCAACGTCGCCCGACGATACGATAGATTTGAATTCCGCAGGAGGATTGTCAACGAAGTCGTCTACCGCTACAGACCCTAGTGACACCTCAGCTGCCATGTCGAACGGCCTGATGTAGAAATTTAGGTCAAAATTCTCTGCAATCAGTTCTACCAACAGGGATTCAGGTTGTTCTCCATCAGGGTCGCTCCTATAGAGAGAACCTTGCAATTTGTCAACGGCAAATTTGAACTCGAAGTTCTTCTGCTGAGTCTTAAGTTGCTGAGTCGAACTTCCGTCAGCGGCATCCTCAAACTCGTCCGAGTCATCGTCCGACTCGCTATCCAGAATCACGGCAGTTTGTTGAGTAAGGAATAAGTTGGCTGAACTTTTACGATCGTGGGCTTTAGGTGAGCGAGTTGATGCGGAACTGAGCAAACGTGGTCTTTTAGGCTGTTCAGTAGGTTGAGCTTGTTGCGGCTCTCCATCAAATTTTGGTATTGCAACATCGATTAGTTTCATGAGGCTATTGTATCTAGTGTCCGATACCATAGCTCGAAGGACTGGCATGTGGCCTGACACTTTGACCTTAGTCAGGTTCGGCGCCTTAGGTAATATCGACAGAGCCACCACAAAGTCGACGTTGATCTTCTCCACGATATGTAGCATACGAGAATCATCCTTCTCAACTAGCTGGGATTTCGTTTCCTCGATCGAGGATCCGATCAGGACTTGCGTTGACGTTAGCTTAACAAGAAAGCGATCGTACATGAGAGATTCAAGCCGTTTGAAATCATCTTCGGAAAACTTTTGATTGTGTTTATCCTGAACTTGTTTCAGGGTTCCCTTGTCAACCAATTCACTGTTGACGCTAATATGACCAGCATCCAAGATCAGACACGTTGATGTACTGGTTTTAATAGACTGGGGTATTATGATAAGAGGAGCCTGAAGATCTAGCTTGGCATTGATGGTCTTATGTTCTTCAAGGGCGAATTCGAGCCCGGCACGCGTCTGCTGTCTTAATCCTTCAACAGTAGCCCCGGCAGTCTCCATCAACGCGGATATGGATTCCATGTGCCTCTCGGGCGGCTTGAAGAAGTCGACGATGCCAATGACGAAGTTGGGGTTCCACACAATTTCCAAGGGCTTGAGCTTTGCCGTGACCGCGAAATCACCTTGGCCGTCAAGTGGATTTTGTTCAACTTGAAGGTCGAAGAAGGTCTCTTGGTCAGCTTCCTCAAGCTCGGCAATTGAAAGCCGCCTCTTGCTAATGGTATTCGGCGCGTCCTTGACCCGAACTATCTCTTTGAACAAGCTCTCGGGCGTGGTGCCATCATTAACTCGGAAACCACCAAGGCTGATATCAGCAAGCACGGAATCTGGTCTCTTAATCGCCTTAGCTTTAAAAACATCAAAATGCAAGCTAAGCAGATCGGTCTTGCTGCCATGGGGGCTTTGCCTCAGAGTGAAACTGCCTGTGCTGAGAGATGCGTCAATTTGCATCTTGACGGTGTCACGCGGTGTATCGACAGCCTCTGCTAGAGCGGTCTTCTCATCCCAGTCGATGGCCTCGTAGAGCTCTTTACGCTGCTCCTCGGTCATCTGGGTGTTCTCCTCCGTCGAGTCCGTAGGTTCGGCAGGTTTTGAACCCCAAGCCCAAGCCAGCCAACCTTGCTGTTGCGGCTCGGTCTTTGGGGTTGCTCTTTTGAGGGCTTCAGCATTCTCCTTCCTTAGCTGGTTGCGAGCTAAAGATCTCCAAAAGCGCAAGTCCTCATATCCAAGCTTCCATTCTAGCCTGTCGAGATCGTCAATATCCTGGGGCGAAAACTGTTGATTCGCCTTCTTTTTCTTGAAAAGCTCGATATATCGGCGACGATCATCGCGACGCTCGCGGAAGTACTCCCAGGTCCACCGACGGTTCCTCTCATGGATCTTCCTAAGCACCGCATTGCCCGCAAACTTCAGCCAGGCTCGAGGATCTTCTTTCGGCGTCACCCCCTTAGGCTGAAGCTTCTTGTATTCTTGATGACGAATGAAGTAGTGGAAGAGGTCAACCATCATCAAGCCATCTCGATATTGGTCATCGTCGAGGACCACACCTATCTCATCAAACAGCAGGCTTGCCTTGAATTTAGGCACGTGTATGTCGCCCGTCTTGTCCAGCTCAATCTTAGCTTGGCCACTCACCGGTTTCAGGATAAACTGATGGTCTGCCGAGGAGGTATCGTCGCCCTTCCCAATCATCTCTTTGAAATCTTTTATCATATCATCATGACGAACCGAATGTTCCTCATTACTCACTTCACGGCCCGGACCGAGAAGTGTGGTGTCTGTATTCCAGTAAACCGCCAGCGCCCCAAGCGTGGCCAGCTTGTGGGTGGTAGTAGTCGAATTCTGGATGAAGGTAGGTGTCCACTCGCCGTCCGTGCTGACTGCACTGAACTCAGCAAGGGTGAGGCCTAAAGCGAAGGGGTGCCCAGGCGCAGATATAGAGTCTTCATATCTCACATGAATATTCTTGACTGTAACCTGCAAATTATCGACGATCTTGGTGACAAGGCTCTCCGTAAAGCTCTGGCTCCTCTTCTGCTCCTCTTGGCTGAGACCTTCTTGGGAACGTTCTTTCAAGAGCTCGGCCGAGTCTAGTTTTTCCATCTTTACTCGCTGCCGCCTACGCTCCTCTTCTTCCTCGTCGTAAGCGGCTTCTTCCTTTGGGGACGCGAGAAGGAAAACATCCTCAATAAGGATTTTGACCGGGGCGCCACGTAGGTTGGACCAGGGAATGGCGAGAGTAAGCTCTCCCAAATGTCCTTCCATAACGTTGATGGGGAGTTTCAACTGATCGAGCGCCTCCTTTCGGAGCTCGAGATTGTGTAGTTTCACATCGCCAGACCATATACCGACTTTCAACTGGGTAGGGTCAAAGTTCTTGACGTACATACCCAAGAAACGGTTGAGCAAGCCAGCAACCAAGCCTTCCAACATCCTGACAGTGTTGTGCCGTAACCCGGGCCGGGATGAGTTCGTAGATTAATGGGGGGTATTAGGTCGCTTCATCTGCGAGGACGGGATTAAGTTAGGAAGTTGGGAATTGTATTGTAGCGCATTGGTCTATGATCGTTTCGCAAGGTCTTAGCTATCGAGTAAGTCGCGCGTTACAGGTATAGGCACCTATTGCGTATTCAACAGCTCTACGAAGCTATATCGTGATCGTCAATTCGTTATGGTGGGGTACGGATGAGCACGTGCGCCGCGACAAAGAAATCGAGAATAGTCGAAAGTAGCAGAGAAGTTAAGTCGAGCAAGGGAAGAATTCAATGAGTGCCTCCTGCAAGGGATAGATGGTGTAGATAATATGAATGGTACGTGGTTCCTAGACAGATAGCATAGGAGGAGAGTAGGTAAGATCGAGGCTGTGTCGTTGCAAGAAAGCTCATTAGACCTCGGGTTAGAATATGGAGAACAGAATTAGGTTAGCTACTAGGTGAAAGTAGCTTGAAGTAAGTACCTATGACGGAATTGATAATATTATTTGGGCAGCTGCAATGTAACATGTAGTTGTTGTTTTGAACTCAACGCACAAAATCTACGAAGTTGGTGATAATTGTACCTTCCATTATGAATAAATAGGTATGGATTGGGCTCGGTTGGAATAGCATCCGCGACCAAAAAAAAAACTCTTAGGTCTTTTGAGAGTTGGGCCTCGTTCAAGGTTGCCTGTTGTGAAGGAGCGATGACGCTGGGGAGTATTGTGGCTCGACCTGACCAACTTCAAATTTAAACACCCTTGCTCCAAGCAAACCGTCCAATGGGTAATCTCCAGTCGCGACTAGTGGGGAGTACCTGGATAAAGCTCAGCCACATATGGAGGGGCAGCATCTAGGTACATATCCAACGCTAGCTAGACTTCGCAAGTGCTATGTATTTCATCTATTTCATCTATTACGTCATTACATAGGTGCACACAATTTGATATTGAACACTGACATATGACATCAAGAACAGCCAGGAACGCCTCTGTTAGGAGGTCTCACAGTGAACTAGAAAGGGTGTGACGATGCAATTACATCAGTTCTTCCAACTATTATTTGTTTACAATCAACCTTCCAATACAATGCGACGAAATTACCAATATCAACTCTCTACATGTATCTATCTGGTAATTCTCGTGGTTCATGGTGATATTTTCGTGTTGTCTTCATGAAAGTCTTTCAGATTGAAGAAAGGAAAACCAATTTGCTGCCTTTCTGTGTTACATACCCCGTAATTGAACAATTCCAGCTCCGGACAATCTATTTCGCTTTCATTATCGCATTCCTGTCCAGATACTCTCTAGATTCTTTCAGATACATGACCCTAAAATTTCCAGGATGCTGCGAAACACACGATCTCTCTTTACTAAACCTCTTCCAAAAGTTGCGGCCCAAAGAGCTCCAACTTCACCATTACTACTAGATTTACAACATCGAGTAGCAATTAGAGCCACGACACCCAGCTTAGTTCTCCCAAGAGGGCACATTTCTCACTTCGTTCTACCGGCACAGAGAGCTACTTACTCTACTAAGACGCCAAGCGGCCTCCAGTATAAGAGAGATCCCCAAGAAGAAAAGAAGTTTAGCGAGCAGAAGCTTCATTCGGACCCAAAGGCGGTGACTTCGGAATCGAGCGTTCGCCATGTATATGAACCTAGTAGTAGTCAAGAAGAGAAACCCATTGGACATGGCGTTAAGGATGAGCTAGTACAATTATCTCTCCTTCTGCTATGGATTATATTTGCTAACAGGTTAAACGTAGGAAACCGTCAAGGAGACATTTGCGCTCACGGATGTTCCAAAAGAACCCTACGTGCTAGGCCTCGCCGGTACTTTGCCTTATCTTGCGACCTCGATATCCACAGTCTACCTCTCATGGGATCTGAACACGGAGTGGCCATCCACATCTAACTTCGTCAATAACATCTTAATAAATCATGATACGGCTCGCGACTTACTAAGTGTCATCGAGCCTATACAATTGGGCTATGGTGCTATCATTATCAGCTTCCTTGGTGCTGTCCATTGGGGTATGGAGTATATGGAGAAGGCACCCAACCCACAGCGTACGCGGTTTCGGTACGGGCTTGGTGTTTTGGCACCTATAGCAGCCTGGCCTACCTTACTGATGCCGATGGACTTTGCCCTGACATCCCAGTTTGCCGCTTTTGCCATGTTGTATTTCGCCGATTCTCGAGCTACCGTCCGAGCTTGGGCACCATCGTGGTACGGAACATATCGGTTCGTCTTGACGGCTATCGTAGGCGCTGCCCTCGTTATAAGCCTCATTGGTCGAATGAAACTTGGCGATGCTAAACCGAGGCTCACTGGCCTAAGCGAGAAGTTCCACGAACGTGGGCGCGAAGAGAACTACACGAAGAAATGGGAGGAGCTCGAGGAGAAGGAGAGGGAGAAGATACAGAAAGAGAAGGAAGCCGCTAAGGAGAAAGAGAAGAAAGAAAAGGAAAGAGAGGCTAAGGAGCGTGCTGAAAATGAGAATCGCGAGAAGAGCAAGGAGAAGGGTAAGGACGACAAGAGTAAAGATGACAAGAGTAAGAATGACAAGGACAATGATGGGAACCAAGAAGAGAAGCAGGAAGATGGAGAGGAAGGGAATGAAAAATAATGATGATGAAGGAAATAACGAAGTGGCCTGCAGACAGAAATTTTGTTGGAATTGGTAGCATTTGATGAAGGCGATCATGGGGTTAGGAATCAAAGTTACCTAGGTAATTGAGGGGGTCTTGCGTTTACTTTCCTACCTAGGTAGGCACTGCATTCAAGAAGTTTATATTATACCAATTGTTTTAACACCATGACCCGTGTTAGCTTAATCAATCATCACCATTCTGCTTGTCGTATCTCGTTGACCTTGAGATTTTGCACGTATTCTGCTATTCTTAACTTTGGCACAATTAAAGGAGACTGAGTATTATGAACATCTCGAGACTTCATTACCTAGGTAGTCTTATAAATCATGCGGCTAATGAGTATGCTCATGTGTAGGTATATAATATTATATCTATCCAGTGATTGCGCAAATACCCCAAGTGTAAATACGAAATCTCCTCGTGACCACATGCAATGACTTTCTTACCAAGTAACCCGTTTTAAAATAAAAGATTGAAAAGCATTGCCAGTACCGCCATCCTCATAATAGAACCAGAACCCAGGTCACTTTGGTAACTCAAAGCGCCACTTCGAGAAGTGCTGGAAGTCGCTGATGCGCTCGTCATGGTGTTGCTCGTGGGATTGCTAGCAACAGTACCGCTAACAAGGCCTGACACGGTACCCACGATGGTAGCAGGAACTGTGCCAGAACCGGTGACCGTGGCGGCGGCTCCCACGTAAGAACCAAAGGAGCTCCCGACGGTCAAAGCACGAGGGATTGCAGCCGCACAGTTGCAAACTATTAAGATACATAACTTTAGTCTCAAGGCACACGCAGAAGAATTGAAAACTGAAGTTAAGACTTAAGTGAGATGGACTCACCAGAAGAAGCGCCGTCGATAACAGCTTGGAAAGAAGATTCCGAGCACCCAGAGGCAACACACGGTTCTATTGCCGCGTAAAGGCTGGCCTCATTTTGACACTGACAAGCAAAGTCTAATCCACCACATCCAACCGAGGGCGCATTTTCGAGGAAACAGGACTGCGCGCAGGAGGGGATTTCAGTCTGAGCTACGTCCAAACAATCGGCAGCTTGTACCACCAGCTTGGTCGTAAAAAGTGCCATGCTCGTGAAAAGCAAAAACGCCATTTCGGTAGAGTAAGCGGTGCTCGTTCTCAAACGAAATCCCTCAATAATAGGTAGCTACCTTATTCAAGCTATAGAAAAACTTGTCAGTGGGTTGAGTATAATAGAAGGGGACGGTCACACCGTTACGACGACATCGGCGGGCGGCCGCGAACATATGAAAAGGCCCGTCGGCAGCGTTTTCAATTTTCACATGGTAAAGTAATACTCCCATCATGTCGGCTTAACCTTGGATACAGGTTTGGAGGCGTTCCTACAAACCGGTATCGTCCTTCCCACCTTTTCCCCATCTTCCCCATCTTCTCCAGCTTCCCCGGATTTTCTGTATACGATTCCTGGCTCTACCTCGGCGCGTATACCGATGGACGGGAACGAATGACTAGGAGGAAAAGGGAATAAATTCCCAATCCAGCAGGTCACCCCGCCTGGCTGGAGTTATGATTGGATATGGACTCTCAGCTATTGTAGATCATTCTGATGTTACCCGAGGACTGATGAATACCTACCTATGCGTATTGTGAAGTGAAAAACGAAGCAGAATGAATAGCTAGAGAATTCAGAAGGTTGGTCACACTCGACTTGGCTTGACTCTATTCTGTACCTAATGTAGAACCAGAATGTATGTGCATAAAATGTTAGTATCAGTATGGCCAATAAAAGGGGGTGTCCATGCTGCCATGTTGGATTTGGTGTTGATTCAAGTTTTTTGAATCCGGGTGAGAAATTAGAATTCGTTTATTCGCAGCATCACAAACGTGCGCCGCGGATGCGGATGCGGATTCCCGTCACGAGCGTGCGGTGCCGCGCGCCTTTCGACAGGGGCGAAAAATGGACTGATGCACATCTCGCTGTGATCATGCCAATTTGACGGAGTCACCAACTTACATAAGACTAAACGAGTTAATAACCGTCAAAACATCAGATCACAGAGGAGCCAGGTGCGTAAGAGCCGTGGACCTGGGTGTTTAACCATGCCCAATATGTCGGTAGGTTATGTAAGTATGTATTCCTCTCAGCCTCAATTCTAAACTTGACCACCAGTTTTATTTACTATTATACTATTTGACTATTGGAGCTTCACTAAGAAGGTTAAGCGTTTAATCCGTTTCAATATTCGTCGTCGGTTGAACTTTCAATTAGAAACCCTTCAAGGTTGTATTTGCAAGTACTTCAAATACCCCTGTACCCCGGCAACTCGGATCGAATGCGTCACTGTGACACCGGGATACGATTGAATTACACTAAAAAGTCGCGCGTTTCGCTCGCCTTCCGCGCACTGCCTCGATCAATGCTTGATCCAATGCGCGGGATGAAAAGAGGTAAGAGCCACACGTTTGTACACACGTGGGTACCCTGTTCCCGTGCCCAAACCTAAAGCCTTCTCCCTGTGGCAGCAGAAGGCAATTGCAATACGGAAGAAGGACTATTCCTGGGCAGTCACCAATTCAAGGTTCACCGCGGGATGCAATAAACATTCGAAGATGCCCAACCTTGAATGAGTACCTGGGTACATGTATCTGCTTGTACCTGCTCACCTCACGTATATGGATACATGCATACAATTAACATCCCACATTGCAGATATGTACTTGTCATATATGTAGGTGTGTAGGTAATTCCTTACCTTTGTAAGTACACATAATATAGGATTTATCAACTTCAATCAGTAAACCTCTCAGCTCTGTTCTCTCTCACCGCTTCCTTTCAAATCACCTTCGCCGGTCCACCCGGACGTCGCCTACCTGAGCCACCAACATACCATAGGAATTCTCCTGACGATTCATACCTGCCCAAGGTATCGACCGGAGGCGAGGGGGAGGTTAAGTGATAAAAAGATGCCATCAACTCTCTCTGGGCCTACCTAGGTACTATCTTATGTCCATAAGCTCTTTGTCTATCCAATAAATACTAGTCTGTCAGCATTGACTTTTGTTCGGTGCCCAATCAGAAATGGCCCCGATCCTAGAAAGGAGAAGGAGGTTCTCAACCTCTTCTACTCATCACAAACGCCGCCTGAGCGAGTTCGCTGCTAAACGGTCAGTATTTCAAAACCTCCCTATTTCTACGATGTTCTCCAGTCGTATGCTATATCTCACAGGGACTGACTCGTTTACACAGTACGTCATCGTGGTGTTTTCCACTGCCAGATCACCTCTCTTAGCATATCCCGTTGATCGGAGGTTATGCTAAGGCAGAATATCTCGCCTTTCTATGCAAGATGCTAATATGTAATAGATGGGCCTTATTCGCGGGCTCTCACGGTATGTCCATATCATAATCTTGAAAACTAAAACCGAACACTTAGCTAACTTAAATCCTCAAAGCCACTATTTCTTGGAATATCGGCTGTAACAAGCGATGATGATACCGTGGTCTTGTCTATTGCGACTCATGATCAGACCTATCTCATTGATTACATGGTTGAGCATTTGAAGATCAATGACTCTTCGAAAGCGGGCCAGGATGTCATCGCAGACTATGTAATCAGCCAGGTGCAGAAGTATGAACATGAAAACTTCGTCAAGTTTGTCGGTGCCGGGCTTCCCCTCAATCTGATGCAATTGAGTCCTACACTCAATTCCCGCCTTTGGTTGGAAATCGATATCGTCCCGATCGACTTTGACGTTGATAGTTCCGAAACATCCTTTTGGGATGACAAGAACGTTGACGAACAAGCCGACTCGATGGCGCGTAAATGCGTCATGTAAGCCAAAATATTCTCATATTCAGATTCGCCCTACTAACGCAGTCCAATAGGGTTTTTGGACCTTCTCTGGTCCCTATCCTACAGGTCGGCTTCCGGGGCGCTGTTATGAGTGACGCTGGATTTAGAGCGCACTTGACAACGCTCGGCGACTACAAACCGACATGCAGCAGTGCAACATGGGATTCCACCATGCATTATGCTAATCAGCTTAAGGAGAAAAAGGTCAAAATCGCCTTTTTCAGTTCGACTCCGCAGGGTGGCGGAGTCGCGCTCATGCGACATGCCTTGGTGCGGTTCGCTCGTCTCGCAGGTGTTGACTTGACTTGGTATGGTATGTCAAATCGCAATATTGCTCAACGATTTGCTCCTCCTTTTAAGCATCTCTATAATGATCCTAGTCGTGTACTTTATGTTAACATGTTATTCAAGTCCCGAAGCCGCGTCCAGGGGTCTTCCGAATCACCAAGAACATGCACAATATCCTTCAAGGTGTCAGCGACCCAGCCGAACGTATTACACCAGAAGACCAAGAGACGATTACCGATTGGATCACTGAAAATGCCAATCGTTATTGGCTCTCTAAAGGCGGACCGTTACGTCCAGTCGAGGAAGGAGGCGCCAACGTCGTTGTGGTATGTATATGAAATTTGGATCAGGGGGTCGATCTCTTTGAGCCCCTTGTCCCAAATACACGTCTTCTCCCTATTAGACCCACACACAACTCTCTACGTATTCTCAATACACGTAGTCAATATGTGGATATTTCTATCTATCTAAACTAACGTAATCGTATTAGATTGACGACCCTCAGATGCCTGGCCTCATCCCACTCATCAAGGAGGTCACGCCGGATCGGCCTGTTATCTACCGCTCGCACATCCAAATTCGTAGTGACCTGGTTGCTCAAAGTGGCTCACCCCAAGATCAAGTATGGACGTTCTTATGGAACAACATTCGGCATGCGGATATGTTCGTGAGCCATCCCATACCTAAATTTGTTCCAGCCAACGTGCCCCGCGAGTTGGTCACCTACTTGCCAGCTACTACTGATTGGCTCGATGGCTTGAATAAGCACATAAACGACTGGGACACCGGTTACTATGGAACCAACTACAATTCGCAATGTCATGCTCAACATATGTAAGTTTGATCAATATCTACTCACTAAACAATGCGATGATTAACATGGACCCTCTTAGGACTCCGCTGAGATATCCAGATTGTAAGTGTCATAATCCCAACATTCTATTAACCATACTAATACTCATACCTACCTAGCCAAATACATTATCCAGGTCGCTCGCTTTGACCCTGCGAAAGGAATACCCACGGTTGTTGACTCGTACGGCGAGTTTCGTAAGCGCGCCCAAGAACTAGGGATAGAGGATGTCCCTCAGTTGATAGTGTGAGTTATCTCAAGAAACTCATTTTCCTTATACGAAAAACTCACTCGTCGTAGTACCGGCAATAGCTCCATTGATGATCCTGACGGGAATTTGATATACGACCTCGTCATGGATCAGATTGAGACCCACTATTCAGAATACGCAGATGACATTAGCGTCATGCGTCTACAGGCCAATGATCAGCTTCTGAATACCCTTATCGCAAAAGCACATGTCGTGCTGCAGCTGTCCACGCGGGAAGGGTTTGAAGTGAAAGTGTCCGAAGCGCTGCACGCCGGACGACCGGTGATTGCCACTCTAGCGGGCGGAATACCGATCCAAGTCAAAGATAAGGAAAATGGTTTCCTCGTCGAGCCCGGCGACTATAAGGCCGTGGCACAACACCTCATAGAGTTATTCACCGACGAAGACCTATGGAATCGGATGAGCCGCGCAGCGAGAACTGGTGTCAGCGACGAAGTCGGTACGGTTGGCAACGCCTTGTCATGGTTCTACCTCGCAAATAAATTCTTCGATGTCGGAGCCAATAAAACTGGTATTAACGGCGTTGGAGGGTTTAAGGGGAGCTGTAGATGGGTGAACGACCTGGCGCGAGAAGAAGCTGGCCATCCGTATAAAGAAGGGGAGAATCGTCTCCCACGCGAGTTTACGAAGTAAGCCGAATTACCCAGATTGCATGAATATGGCTCGAAGCAATATATTTCGTTTTACACACTCGCAGTGGATGTGGATGTGGATGTGGATGGGATGAAAGGGACAGCCTCTCTTATTAGGATTTTTTTCCCCTAGCATGTAGCTAGGGTAGGGTACCCGTCGTTTCGAAAACATGAGTCATGGCTTGGCCAATTTCTTATGTACTACTGGTCAAAGGGGATTTTTTCCGTAGAGGATACACATAATAGACGACTGGCTAGAGAATGCGATACATGTCTATATCGTATGACTTGGTGCCGGAGATGAGTGATTCCGGGAGTTGGGTATCTAGTCCAGAGTCAGCGCCAATTACGTAAATGGTAGCGTTTTGGACTAGCACACACTAGCGGGTTGTTCAAGCTTCAAAAGTGGTCGATGAGTAATGTGGTCGTTTTAAGAGGTGATAAATTTTCAAGCCAATGTGTATTTACGGCGTTCAAAGGTTGACATGGACCACTCAACGTAAAAATAGCCCACTAGTGACGACGTGGACCTTCCTACGCCGCATCTGGCATCTATCTAATGCCGGGTTTCAGGCTACTTTTTCTTGGAAAAATGCAGCGAGGATATGAGAATATCCGAGGAGATGCTTGTCAGAAATGTCTCCGTGGATAAGCTGAGATCAGTCAAGCTGCCAAGATTGGAGTCGATATACGAATATATGAACCCAGGTCTCTCGTCTAGTACTTGTGTCATCATATCTACCCATGCACTAGATTCAATTAACGAAACATCGGGGGATATTGGGTGGTTTTGACTAGCCCACCGCGGAGATAGGAAATCCACGAAAAAGGCCGGGGAGCCGCGTGGGTTCATCACGGCTTCTATACTTCGTCGCTGCGGACGAGCCGCAAGCATTGACTCGGCATCTTCCATAGGGCCGTGGTACGATGAATTTATGGCATGTCGGGGATTTATGCGATGTTTGCGTCCGACGAATAGATGCATGTGTGCAGGATGGGTAGGAGTATATAAAGACGATGCTACCACATCGAGGGAAGCTATTCCAATTCACTTAATTACTATTGCAATCAAAAGTCAACAACCTTATAACAACGTGCTTCTCGTCGATAATATTCGTCGAAGGGGATAAGCAACTACTTTACTCGCCGAGGGACTTGCCTGGACTTGCCTGCTTACCCACCCCCTTCTTCCGGAGACCTACCTATCCAACATGGCCGTCTCCGCGCCCATTTCGCCGGAGCATATCGCCATCGTCAAGGCGACCGCGCCGGTCCTCAAGGAACATGGCACGACGATCACGACACTTTTCTACAAGAATATGATCTCCGCGCATCCCGAACTCAAGAACGTATTCAGCATGTCAAACCAAGAGAGCGGAGCCCAGCCAAGAGCCTTGGCTGCTGCCGTATTCGCGTACGCTACCTATGTCGACGATCTCGGCCAGCTGAAGGCGCTGGTAGAGCGTATCGCGCACAAGCACGAGAGCCTCAAGGTCAAGCCCGACCAGTACCACATCGTCGGGAAACACCTACTCGAGGCTGTCGCGGCTGTTCTAGGCGACGCTTGCACCCCGGCAATCGCGGAGGCCTGGACTGCCGCCTACGCCGCATTGGCCGACGTCTTCATCAGTCGGGAACAGCAGCTGTACGCGGCTCACGAGAACTGGCCGGGCTGGCGCCGCTTCAAAATACAGCGAAAGGTGCCGGAGACGTCCGAGATCACCAGCTTCTACCTCATCCCTGAAGACGAAAAGCCGCTCCCGTCCTTTCTGCCAGGCCAGTACATCAGCCTACAAGTGTTCGTTCCCCAGATGGGCCACATGCAACCGAGGCAATACTCGTTAAGCGAAGCGCCGCGGAGCGACTATTACCGAATCAGCGTGAAGAGGGAGAAGGGCGAGCAGCTCGGCGTTCCGGGCCTGATATCCAACCTGCTGCACGACAATTACAAAGAGGGCGACGTACTCGAGCTGTCGGCGCCGGCGGGTGAGTTCTTCGTAGACCCGAAAGAAAGTAAGAGCAGTCCGATCGCGCTCATATCCGCCGGCGTCGGTATCACTCCTATGCTCTCGATCCTCAACAGTTTGGTGAACGCCGGTTCTCGTCGGCGTATCTCGTGGATCCACGGTGTGCACAGCTCGGAAGCGCGCGCTTTCAAAGATCACATCCGTGGCGTGTGCGCCAAGGGCGTGGACAATGATATCAAGACTACATTTTTCGTGACTTCGCCTCAGCAGGGCGAAGTCCAGGGCGTCGATTACCACTTCGCTGGAAGGACGGACCTAAGCAAAGTCGATCCCAACACTGCCCTCTTCCTTGAAGACTCCGAGGCTGAGTATTACATCTGTGGACCATATTCTTTCATGAAGGACTCGGAGAAGTACTTGATTGGTGCCGGTGTTGGGGCAGAGCGTATTCATCTCGAGGTATTCGGAACCGGTGATCAGTGACGATTGTTAGTTCACGAACAAAGGTATATTCACCTCTCTTGAGGAAGCGATATTCATACTGTACATATTTTTATCTCGTTAGCGGTAGCATGTCTCAGAACTGTTGGGCACAGCCAGGAGTCTTGGGGATATTTGGGAAGATTCCTCTCCAATAATGTACTTGTTCGATAGATACTTAGATACGAGGACAACGTTAGAGGTTTATTATACGGTGGTCGTCTTGTCTCCTGTAAGTATCTATCAAGGTACCCTAGGTTGAACCGAGGTAGGCATCCACCTAGGCAAGGAAAAAGTAGCAAACTTCGTTGGAGAACTTCTTGGGAGTTCGTAAGGACGCGCCATGTCAGCTATATGCGGTAGGTTAGTGTTATTCTCTTGTCAATCAATGGCCAACGATTCACGTTTGTGGTGGCGCTTGGGATCTTTCGGGACGGTCCGCTGTCACACTGTTTGTAAATTGTAACCTCGGTGTGTACAATCTCCCTTAAGACAATTCCATCTGCATACAAATTGTCTAAATTTCGAGTGAGACATACAGGATTAACCTAGTAGTCCATGGTGCCTGATTGGTCCTGACTGTAGATGGAGAATTAGATACCGTAGGTAGCAAACAAACGTTGATCCTTTATTCTTTTTTTTTTTTTTTTTTTTTTTTTTTTTGCAACGTGACCTCACTTGCTAACCTAGGTAGGTAGGTATTTGCTTTTTCATTGCGGGGAACCGTTGAGATTTCCAACTGTTTCAGAGGATCTTAGGGAACTCGAAATGACAAGCTGTAAGTGTCTAAGTATGTCCCTACTCCTGGGTTCAGACGAGAGTAACAATCAACGCAAGGGGTTCGGTAATTACTAATTACAGCTAACTCCGAGGTGCTCGGAATTGAATCATTTCTCCAAATCACATGGAACTCCCCTCCATTTTCAAATCCCGTCACGGCAAGCCTCCGTATATTAAACGAATTTCTGTAGGTACCTACCTATATACAGGTCTAACAAGACTGGTACCTTCGTATTCGACGTAGAGTAGGAAACACATCGTTTGCTTGTCGAGTCCAACCATCACATATGTTTAGATATTCTATTCCAGATCAAGCAATGTCATGATGGCATAATTTAAGTTCGTCGCACAACTATGTCTAGACGTCGACGTGACTGGTAATGTCCTAAGTCCTATGATATGTATTATGCACGTTACTCAATGACGTTTGACCAATATGGTAAATACCCTGAAGGTATTCAAGTCAACACCGACGGCCGTATTCAACCTAAAGCCGAATTGGGGTGGTCCATCGGTAGCAGACTCGAGGAACCACACGGAAACCAACATATGCTTGTGAGATGTGTCTAGCTCTTCCTTCGACATAAGGTACTCAAGTAAACCCGTACGCGTGGATGCCTTGCTTTATTCGGTGTAAGGTACTGGGTGAGAACTATAGATTAACATAGAATTATCTGCTAGAATAAACTCCTGGGGCCAGGACTGTGGCGAGAGGGCCGTACTACGAAAGAAGTAGAATGTATCCGACATCTTGTTTTTCTGCTAGTACGGTATCGCAATTTACCATATAAATTGATAATGTTTATACTGATCCACCAACGGTAGAGTGATATCTGACTGATAAAGTCTAGCTTCGGGTATTTCCATTCTACCTATCTCTTTTGCACAAAGAACAAGGCTACGAATCTAAGACCTGGGAAACCCTGAGGAGCATTCTAGCCGGGATTTCTTATAATAGACATCTTTGTTGTAGGTTTTCTGGTGGACTCGATGTTGTAATCTATCATCGATCAAAATCTCGCAGATACGTGACGCTTGATTAGAGAAATTTTCTAAAATAATATCGTAGTCACTACTTACACACAGTTTTAGTCAGTGTAAGGGACGTGTTTAGCTACCTATCTAGTTCTGTTACGTGTTTTGTCAACTACCCAAGTAGATGGATACGGCTGAATAGGGGTAAGTGAGGCTGTGTTAATAGGCAGGTAGTTGGATATGACCTGTCTACACGTATTCTACTTAACTACAGTGCAAGTATGGCCGAAAGTATTTGACTAATAAGCCTCGAAGGAAACCATATAACGAAACAAATATGTTAGCATTGGTTTCGGAGGATTATAGTTGCTATGGCTTCGTATCTCCTTGGTAACAACCTCCTACAAGTTGCCAACTCTTATCAAGGGCGTTACCTTAACGACGAGGAATTCTCACACTAGGTAATAAGGCCCGTCGACTCTTTCGAAACTTATTAGTTGACCTAGATGAGCCACTTCTTTCTATTTTAGCATAGGATTTCTGAAGATAACTTCGAATCAAAGAATCTTCCTCGGTTTGTCTCCATCCTACTTACTTCATTATAATGGGTGTACCGCCCATGTAGCCCAGAGGTCGTTGATTATCATCTCGAGGTCATATCGATCTCGATCTCATACCCATAACTATCTCTTTCAAGTTTACTTCTCGTATAGAGCCCTCGTTGCAGCCTCATAGTCAATTCTCCTTGTCCCCTTTCTAAGCTACTGTTTCGACCCTTTGATCATCAACGACACCTACACCCCCCTTTCGCTCAACTACCCTCTTGTTAAACCATTCGCCGTGTCAAACTATGCTCTTTCAGTTATTCCATCTAACAGTTTATAATAGATGACCTCACATTTATATCCACTCGAGAATATCCTGTTGATTGCTCAGGTTATTTACCACCCCTTTATTCTCCACTTTCTCAGTTGGTCGCACGCCTTGCACACCAAATTGTAACACCTCCTACATAATACAAATAATTTTGGGTTAAACCGTCCTGGCGATGGTGTACAAACGCCCCTCATCAGAGCCTGTCGCAGTTGTCGGGAGTAGTTGCCGCTTTGCTGGCGGTGCTACCTCGCTAGCCAAGCTATGGGAAGTCCTATGCGAGGTCCCCGACCTCTCCCAAGAAGTGCCACCTGAAAGATTCAATGCTACAGCATTCTATCATCCCGATGGCGAATACCACGGCACGACGAATTCCATCAAGGCATACTGGTTACAACAGGACCATCGAGTTTTCGACGCGGGCATGTTCAACATTACACCCAAAGAAGCTGAGGCGGTCGACCCCCAACAACGCATGGTTCTCGAAGTCGTCTATGAAGCAATGGAGTCAGCTGGATATACCTTAGACACATATTACGGGAAGAACGTATCCGTCTTCTCTGGTGTGATGACGGCGGACCATGACGTACTATCTCAGCGCGACGAGCTTTCGACAAGTCAGTATTACGCCACTGGGAATGCACGTTCGATCATTTCGAACCGGGTTTCGTATTTCTTCAACTTTCAGGGCCCGTCTATGACGATAGATACCGCTTGCAGCTCGAGTCTCGTGGCTCTCCATCAAGCAATCCTGAGCCTGCGGTCTGGCGAGAGCGCTATGGCCTGTGTTACGGGCGTGAACTTGATGTTAACGCCGGAACAATTCCTCGTGGAATCCAGTCTGCACATGCTTAGCCCAACAGGAAAGAGCCGAATGTGGGACGCTTCCGCCGACGGCTACGCACGAGGAGAAGGCGTCGCAGCGTTACTCCTCAAGCCCCTTTCTCGGGCCTTGGCAGATGGCGACGAAATTATGGCAATTATTCGAGACACTGGAGTTAATTCAGACGGGCGAACGAAGGGAATAACTTTGCCTAATCCCGAGGCTCAGTCTTCGTTGATTAAGGAGACTTATAAGAAGACGGGGTTGGACTCTATAGACCCCGAGGATCAGTGCCAGTATTTTGAGGCTCATGGTACCGGTACACCCGCGGGTGACCCCAGAGAGGCGGAAGCAATTTGCAATGCCTTTTTCGACCCAAGTACATGTGCTAGCCCGACGGCTAATGCCGATAATATGCTAGTCGGGTCTTGCAAGACAGTGCTTGGACATACCGAGGGTGCCGCTGGCTTGGCTGGGTTGCTCAAGGTCATACAATCAATGAAGCACGGACTGATCCCCCCAAATTTACATTTCAATTCCATCAATCCTAATGTAAAGCCGTTCTATACACGCCTGGAGATTCCCACTTCTCTTATTCCTTGGCCGCAGCCTCCCGTAGGCCAACCAAAAAGGGCAAGCATCAATTCATTCGGATTCGGAGGTGCTAACGCCCACGCTATTATCGAATCCTATGAGCCGCACATTCACGATGCTATCTATCGGCAGCGTACAAGAGAGGAAGGGAGCGAAGGTCTACAACACCAGGATGTAACCGATAAGCCTTCGCTCTACCTACCACTCCTTCTATCAGCTGCCTCCCAAGTATCATTGCGGGCCGTCGTTTCGTCTTATAGAGAATACTTATTACAACATCCAGATGTCGACCATGATAAACTGGCATGGGCTGTATTCTCTCGTCGAACAGCCCTCCCGTACCGTCTTGCTGTTTCAGCGAATTCGAGGTCTCAAGTCCTTAACGCTTTCGGGAAGATACTGGACGAGTCATCATCGCCTAGTAATACAGGAATCCGGAATAAGACCATAGGTGGGCGACCCAGGATCCTCGGGATCTTTACCGGCCAAGGTGCCCAATGGGCTACGATGTCTAGGTCGTTGTTCCTCAATAACAGAACATATCGCTGTACTATACGTAACCTCGACCAAGTCTTGAGATCTACTTCTCAGCCACCCGACTGGACTTTGGAAGGACAGATCTTAGCAGAGGGGAGTGCGTCGCTAGTCAATATTGCTGCCGTATCCCAACCTCTCTGCACTGCGATACAAATAGGGCTAGTCGATCTGTTAAAGAGCCTAAACGTCAGTTTTCATACCGTCGTTGGGCATTCATCGGGAGAGATCGCGGCGGCGTATGCGGCAGGAAGATTATCGGCGAGAGATGCGATTTTGATCTCGTACTATCGTGGCTACCTGGCACACCTCGCTAGCAGCCCCGAAGGTCAGAAGGGCGGCATGCTCGCAATAGGAATTTCGGAGAAGGAGGCATTCCGATTTTGCGAGGCACCAATGTTCGACGGCAGACTCCATGTCGCCGCGAGCAACTCTCCGTCTAGTGTCACACTCTCAGGCGACCTGGATGTGATCCAGAAAGCTCACGAGGAACTAACTAAGGAGAGAAAGTTCTCAAGGATACTCGTAGTCGATTCGGCCTATCACTCTCCCCATATGATAAAACCTGCGGTCGAATATGTCAAGGCCCTGCAATCTAGCGACATTGAGCCAGATAAGCTGGGTAACGGAACAGTCTGGGTATCTAGCGTGCATGGGCGCTCTATGAACGGAGACGAAGAGCTGAGCGCTGAGTACTGGAGGGACAACATGGTTAACATGGTGCGATTCCATGATGCTGTCGCGAATGCCATCTCTCAACACGGTCCGTTCGACTGTGCTTTAGAAGTTGGTCCCCACCCAGCTCTCAAGGGTCCTTTCACCCAGACAGTCAAATCCCTCGGACACGACCTTCATTATTCGAGTCCTCTGAATCGAACCAAGGATGACACCCTGGCGTTTTCAGACTTTCTTGGGTTCCTATGGTCTCATTATGGCTCACAAGAAATCAACATTGGCAAGTATATTGAACAGTCATCCAGTTCAGCTGTCCTCGACACCCGCATTGCTGACCTACCGACTTACCCATGGGATCACTCCCAATTGCATTATCGAGAGTCGCGAATCTCCCGCCAGTTCCATTTTAAAACCAGCCCTCCTCACGAGTTACTTGGCGTTCGTACTAGAGACGACAATGAGCATGAAATGCGATGGCGAAACCTGCTGAAGCTGGATAAGCTACCTTGGGTAGAACATCATAGCTTCCAAGGCCATGCTCTCCTGCCCGCTTCAGCATATTGTATCATGGCACTTGATGCGGCTCGATGTCTCTTGAAGGAAGAGTCGGCGTCGTTGGTGGAATTGCAGGATGTGCAGATTCTAAGCGGCATAAACATCGAGCGGGATTCCATAGGCACCGAGATCTTGTTTACGCTTGCCGTACTGCCGCAGAGCAATGGTTACGATAAAAACTTGATCGTTGAAGCTGACTTTACATTAGCATCTTGTCCTGCTGACGGAACCACAGTTATGAGAAAGAATATGATGGGACGTCTGATAATTCATCTAGGGGAACCTACCTTGGATGCATTACCGCCTAGATGCCCTTCAGAGTCGGAGACATTTCCTGCGACTCCAGAGTCATTCTATAAAACGATGGAAGAAACGGGATTGGCATATACGGGTCCTTTCCATGCCTTAAATTCTATTCAACGCCGTTATAACTACTGTTCCGCGACCTTGAAGCGCTGGCACCCGGAGGATTCAACCACCCTGCAGATTAGTCCTGCTACGCTTGATAGTTGCTTTCAATCCGCATTCTTGACGTATACGTTTCCTGGAGATAAGTAAGTAACAATTTATCATACAAAGTATTGGAAAGTTTTCTTGCTAACAATGTTTATAGATCCCTTTGGACATCATTTTTGCCAATATGCATCGACCGAATAAAATTTAATCTCGCAACGAGTAAGGGGGACAACCTAACTGTGGACACGCACATGGTCGATATCCAACCTTCCTCAACGGATTCCAAGGCCACATTCTTCGTCGACATGGACATATTCAACGAGGATGGGGATATGGAGATACAAGTCGAGGGACTGACCGTTGCTGCGTTGGCTCACACCTTGCCAAAAGACGACTATGAGCTGTATCTCAACACCGTCTTCGACATCGATCCAACTGACGAGATCGTGCAAGGAGATGCTTCATCTAGCACCACCGTCGACCCGGTTCTCATAGAGGAATGCGCACGGGTTGCTACGTTCTTTGTCAGAAATAATGCTGACAGCAGCGATCCATCACCAGATCTAAGTCCTTTCTATGAAAGACTGGCAAGTTGGTTTCCCGAAATTTTAGGGATGGTGAGTGCGGATTACTGGCGCATCGACACCAAGGAAACTATCGACGCTCTTATACAAGGATCAGATTTTTATGGTTGTCTGAACCTGATTCGCGAATTAGACAGCCACCAGCCGGACTTCGTGGCCGATGTCCTACCTATCTTGATCGAGGAGACGCACCACTTATCCTGTACTAGCCGTCATGTTGGTCGTATCGCGAGGCAGATCGCTCATCGGTACCCTCAAATGGACATGCTCGGTCTAGCTGGGTCTGAGTCTGAACTCCTTGCCGATGTCTTGTATGCCGTAGGCTCTGCGTTCTCTTCCTTTACCGTCGGCACCGGGACGCTGCGGTATCCAAGCCGGAGCCAGTTGGTTCCAGCAGAAGAGCTTAGACGGAGAATTGTTCCTTTGACATTGGATCTTACCAAGGACTTAAAAGATCAGCTGGGACGAGAAAGAATGTACGATCTCGTCTTGCTGTCGGCATCCGAGCTTGAGGATAATTATATTCCTCACACGCTGAAGTACTTGCGCGAAATCATGAGACCAGGAGGCTTCTTGATAGTAGTTCAATCTTCGAAGAGTCCAACGAAGTCTCGATTATTGCGAAATCTCAAGGAACAGTACGACGGAGCTGGAGCTCCCACACCACCCCAGTGGCCCGACGTCCTCGATGCATACGGCTTCATTCAAGTTGCCAAAAACAGCAATCAATCATATTTTGCCGGTTACTCTATCATGGTGCGGCAATTGAGTAGCCCAGAACTAATACTACTCAAACAGCCATCGAGGACTATAGACGATGCTATAACCGATCACTTGCTTATCATTGGCGGTAATGAATCCTCCAGTCGCCAACTAGTTCACCAGTTGGAGCAACGCCTCCTGAGCCAATGTCGGCAATTTACCGTACGAGCCACGTTCGATGAGGTCGAGTCGAAAGCTCTGAACGCCTGCACCGCCGCAATCGTTTTAGCAGATCTTGATCAGCCGCTGATGACAAATATGACACAGGGGATGCTGGATCAGCTGCGGGATCTCTTGCGGCCGAACATGAAGGTACTCTGGCTCACTTTCCAGGCATTGTCAGGGAATCCGGACAATGCAGCCACCTTCGGTTTCACGCGCACAGTATCGGCCGAGGTTCCAGGTCTCGTGCTGCAGATGCTTGATCTAGAAGAGATCGAGGGCTCTGGAGATCTCGTAGCGGATCACTTCATCTGTCTAATGGGAGGAGTTGAGAAGAGCGAGAGCAATGCGCTATGGACGGACGAGCGTGAGATCCATATCAAGGGTGGACAGCGATTAATCCCCCGTGTCCTACCTTTGAAAGAATCAAACGATAGCGTCAACTCTTTCCGACGAGTAGTTTCACATCCAACAAACTCCCTCCGAGAACCTGTCGAAGTCACCTCATATCTCAACTCGGATGGCCTGATTCGGTACGAGGCCAGGAGTGGATGTTCTAGTCCTTCGGGTGACCCAGCCGATCAAACCCGGATTTATGTAGATTACAGCTCCGCGGAAGCGCTAAGACTCGACAGCGAAGATTGCGAACGGACCGGCGGCCCATGTCTTGCCTATATATGTTTCGGCGTCAACTGTTCCACTGGCGAAGGGGTTATGGCGATATCTTCCAACAATTCTTCGTACCTCTCGTTACCGAGTGAGCAAGTATATCCTATTAGCCCGAGTGCTGAGATTGGTCTACCTTTGATATCTCTCGCGATGCAATACATAGTAGCCGAAACGATTGCGAATCGAGCTGCTAGACAACCAATTATCCTGATTGATTCGGATCCTATGCTCACCCAATGCGTAGTAGAATCCGTCCACGACCTTAGCTCTGTCATTTCGTATTCCACAACACCTTCTGGGAAGGACAATGGGCATGCTTCCGAATTTTTACATGCGCGTGCATCGACGAGAGATATCAAGAAACTCTTCCCGCCGAAAGGGGCGGTCATCTTCGATTTCCAACCGGCAAAGCACGTAATGCTGTCCGGGCAAATTTCGAATTTGCTTCCAGCCAACTGCAAGTACTATTCCGGCGACATAGCAAATCCCCGTAATTACTGTGGGAAGACGTGCTGGAAAACGGCTGTATCAAAGGCCTTGGAGTCGGATCTCACAAGCTTACGAAAGCATGTCAAATTTGACACTTCTTCTCTACCAGAACTGCTATTGAATACCAAATTATCGCCGTCGCCTTTCCGTTTGATCGATTGGAGAGCTGACCGAAATGCGATGTGTACCAAAGAACACGTCATGTCGAAGAAGGTTTTCCGCCCGGACAGGACGTATGTGCTGTTCGGGACGACAAGAGATCTTGGTCAAAGTTTGTGCTATCTGTTCGTCGAGCATGGCGCCCAGAATATCGTACTAGCTAGTCGAAACCCGAAAATGGACCCGAAATGGGTCAAGGAGCTATCAGACGCCTACAGCGCAAACATCGAGATACGCAAGTGCGATGTTACAGATCTTGCTAGTGTGGAAGCGTTGAAGGAAAATCTGTGGCAGTCCATGCCTCCAGTTGCCGGAATCGTTAACGGAGCCATGGTTCTCGATGACCGTGTCTTCGCGCAGATAGACTTGGATACTTGGGAGCGAGTAATGCGACCCAAGACGGTTGGGTCGCAAAACCTTGACATCGCATTCCGTGATTCAAATTTAGAATTCTTCATCATGACTTCATCCTTTGCAGCTATCGGCGGCCACCCGGGTCAAGCCAACTATGCTGCCGCCAACATGTACATGAACGGATTAGCAGGTATGCGACGATCTCGCGGTCAAGCCGCGTCGGTCCTGAATATCGGCGTTATTTATGGCCTCGGTTTCCTTCTACGAGAGAAAGAAGAACTCTACGCCGGTCTAGAGCGCGAGGGATATCCACCCATCTCGGAGCGTGATATCCACCATATGTTCCTCGAAGCCGTCGCCGCAGGTCGTCCTAGAGGAGCATCAAACCCGGAGCCACCCATCGACATCACCACCGGTTTGCGCAGATTCGATCCCACCGACCCGAATCCTTTGCATTGGCATCAAGATCCACGATTTAGCCATTATAATTTCCAAGATAGAGAAGAGTCGAGCACGGCGACCGAGGGTGAACGGAAACCCCTCAAAGACAGCATAGCGGCACTGACGGAGCCTTCCGCCATCGCGCAGGTCATCCTAGAGGCGTTCATGGAAAGGTTGCATACGCTCCTCCAACTACCTAAAGAGGCCATCCATGCGGTCCAAACCCTATCCGAATTAGGCGTTGATTCGCTTGCTGCAGTAGAAGTCCGGACGTGGATCTTCAAGGCCGTCGGTAAAGATATCTCGGTGATCAAATTACTCGGTAGCATTAGTATACAGAAAAGTAAGTAACATCCCCTTTACTAACCCCCTTTTCAACCTTTTCCCCTCTCCCTATTTATAAATTGAAACAAGCATGCTAACAATGACGAACAGTGTGCGCAGACCTGGCTGGGCGGATTATAGCCGAGCGTCGCGTTCAGAATGACGGCATGTAATAGGAACGCTTCCTTTCACTTACATTATATACATGTCACATTATCCGAAACAAGTATCGGGAGTCGTTTTTGCTGCACTCAACGGGGAAGGAGCCTATAATTTTAGCATGCAGTATGAGATGAGCAGAAACTTACAAGCGGAACAAGAGCACATCGTGAGTAGGTAACTACGCAGGTAGATTACCCAGGCACCTAGTCAGTAATACTTCCTGTGATTAGATTTGATACTATCTGAAATAGCGAGGCGTTCTCTGAATAGTATTTCGTGATAAAGTTGCCAGATATTGATTGATGATTTGATATATGTGAGCTAGTTCATATTAACCAACGGGCGACATGTGATATAATTCTTTGATCCTTTGACCCGTTTCGTTGTCGCCTAATTTACAGAAGCGAAGCTATTGCGACTTAAGCCTGGCTCAATCTCTGAGCTACGGTACCCCAGTTTATGACATTCCAGATCGCCTTGAAGTATTCGGCCTTGCGGTTCTGGTATTGAAGGTAGTAAGCATGCTCCCAGGCGTCAATGCCTAGCAGTGGGATGAAGTTGCCGGTGACGGGGTCCTGGTTCGGCTTGGTGATAACTTGTAAGGTTCCGGCAGTCTTGTCCTTGACCAGCCAAGCCCAGCCGCTTCCCTGGATGCCGGCTAGGGCAGTGTTGATTTGCGTCTGGAGAGTACCGAAGGAGCCGAAGTCTTTGTCAATGGCAGACTTAAGAGCACCCTCTGGCTCACCACCACCACCCTTGCTGTTAGGAGCTAGGTTTTCCCAGAGCAAAGTATGGTTCTTGTGTCCACCGCCGTTGAAGTTAAGGAGGGGAGCGGCAGCGGCAGCTTGGGAGAAGTCCCCCTTAGCCTTAGCTTCTTCGATGGTCTCTAGCGCGGTATTCAAACCATTGACATAAGCTTGGTGGTGGCCTTTGTGGTGGAGCTCCATGATTTTGCCGGAGATATAGGGTTCGAGAGCGCCATAGTCGTCTACGCAACCATTGAGTTAATCAAGGAAGACCTTACTACCTAGGATTCGGATCGCTTACAAGACAAGTCTGGCAACGTAGCTTTGCCTCGAGTGAAGGAAGTGGCCAAAGCCGCTGCGCCGGGTTTGACAGAGCCAGCTCGTAGAGCCGCTCTGGCAGCTGGGGCAGTTCGGAATAGTGTAGTCGCCATCTTAATTGAGAAGAGACCTTTAGGATCGAAGGCGGGGTAGAAGTTGTCAAGATACGATTGAATATTTTTGATATTGCGATGTTATGATGAGGAGGAATTGCAAAGTTGCAAGTTAACCGAAACTACAGGTGCTAAGGTTGATGCTTAATAAATGGATATCTCGGTTACTCCCGCATGGAAAAAATACCCTCAGCTCTTTATTACATGTATGTTACGATTTCGCAATCACGGATGATGTCAACTATTACATATGCAGCTACGACCGAGCTTTCTCAGCTGTATCTGGTTTGGAGGGGGAGCTAAGTACATTTGATCTAGTACTTGCTAGTAGTACCTACGATTGTAAACACGGTTAGCGCCGTTAGTTACATTTGTAACGCATCTAATTCTTTCACAGTACTTACGCCCAGTAATCAGATACTGTACCTGTCACCAGTACCTAGTATTGCTCTAAGGCGCTCTCTCCCCCACCACAAATAAATATTGTCCTCCAATTAACATCCCACTTTCACACGAGACGCGACTTGCGTTTGCTTATCCTCGTTCATTTCAAAGGCGTACTCGGGTAAGAATGTGGAAATCTCTCGTGTCCAATTCCAAGGACACCTTAATATAACATGTCCTATTACGATATAGACTCAATACTTACCGATGCCGAAGTAAGTCGATCCTTTAGCTGTTGATACATATTTCATTACTTCCACATCACTAACCAATTCTTCCGTTAGAAAGTTCCCTGTAAATTCGAGCTCGACGTACCCGAACTCGGCTATCTAGACAACAACCCGTCACATCCTCTCAAAGCTGGTACTTCCGTTGGTCTACCGCTATGGCTCGCCGAACCCCTCGCTCTCACTAGAAGAGAACCAACTAGCTCAGAAGAAGACTCCAAGTCGTTCGTCTCGCTCGACCTGCCACCGTCCTTGTCAAACGAAGTCATGTCCGCTCTGAAGGCCGATCCCCGTGCTGTGCCCCTTCGCGACCAATCTCACAACTTCTACGGTCTCGGAACTCGCATGCTTGACGTCTTCGAGGAGAGGGAAATATGCGCCATACTCAGAAAGACCTTCGTCACGAGGGCTACTGATATTGCCCTCCACGCTAGAAAGGCTGGCGCTACTGAGGATATGGGCGTTGGTGCCGGCGAAGAATTCTTGAGAGGGCTGGAGGAATGGGAGAGGAAGCTTTTTAGGAAGGCCCATGAAGGTACCAAGGGAGGTAAGGAGTGGATGGAAGGTGTTAAAAAGCATTGATGACCTCCAACGGCTCCCGAGCCAATTCTTAAAGAAGCAAGAATCATCTAAGATGCACCCCGTTCAAATACCTACATATGCTTCCACGCAGGGATTACCTAGGTTGGCGATTTGACAGTCATTTGCGCCATCGTATGAATCTGTTAGTACGCCCAGGCGGCTCCAGGTGGTTAACGACACGCCTGAGATATGACATCGTTGCTATATTATGTTCCTAGGCTTTAATGGATTATATGAAAAGGCTTGTTTGTATGCAGATGCCTCTACCTACAAGAATAAAATAAGTAATTAATCGCCTAGTATTTGCATGTGTACGTACATACTAGGTAAGTTCGGGGGGTTGTTAACGGCACCCCCTATGAACGGCACCCCCTGTAAAAACGGGCTAAACTTAGCCGTTTTAGGTATAGCGCGGTATATTCTTAAATAAAAAACCATTTTAAATTAATTAAATAATTTTTAATTATTATTTCGGGTATAATTTAATAAAATTAATTAATAAAATTTTATTATTAATTTTAATTAAATTAATTTTTAAGTTATTAATATTTTAATAAAAAAATTTTATAATTAATATTTTATATATTAATAATATTATAATATATTATACGTATATATAAATAATAAAATACGTATAATATATTATAATATTATTAATATATAAAATATTAATTATAAAATTTTTTTATTTAATTAAATTCGGAACTTTAATTTAATTACATAATTATTTTTATTTTTTTAAAAATAAACGTTTAATTAATTTATTAAATTTTTAATTAAAAATATTTTTATATATATTTTTAAATATTACGTAATTTTTAAAATTAATTTATATAATTTATAAAAATAATTATTTAATTAAAAAATTAAATAAAAATAAATCTTAAAATAATTTAATTTAAAATTATTTTATATTTTTTTATATTATATTAATAATCGTTTTATATATTAATTAATTTAAATATTTATTATAAAACGTATTAATAAAAATAACACGTTTTAATTAATTTAAAAAATTTTAATAATAATATAAATAATTAAATTAAAAATAAAAATATAAAAAGTAAGGATAAAAAAATATAACAAGTTATATAAATTTTCAAAGAAATTTAACGTTTAATTAATTGATTTGGTCCGGGGTGCCGTTCATAGGGGGTGCCGTTGACAACCCGCCGAACTTAGGTACAAACTTAAATAAATTTATGGAACTACACGTCACTGGCCTTATCGATTAAATTTTTCAGAAAAAGGCGGGTCAACGCGAGGTACCATACATACAGGGGTACCTAGAAATAACTAAACCTTTCAAATAACAATATCGATTTTGCACCCTACAAACATAGAAATGAATAACCACTTCTCTTCCTAAGCTTCGCATGCAATAAGTGCAAGCAATATGTCGTTTGATCCCAGCAGGATTTCCAAGGCCGACGCAGCTGCTTATACTTCTTCATCGTCCGACGATGACGATGACGACGGGTATCTACAGCCGTCTGTTGATCCGCGAGCTGACGACTTTGCTGATCTCAACCCTCGTAAACGAAGACGGACCGGTCGCAACGCGAAAGAAAGTGCTGCCTTAGGAATATTCGGCTCCGAAAGCGAAGACGACGGCCCAGGCAGGAAGTGGAAATCTAAGAAGGACTTGCGCCATAAGAATGTAGCATTCGTTTCGGCTGGGCAGAAAGATTTGAATTCGACCCTTGACGACGATGACGATGACGATTACGAAGACGAAGATGAGCCTAGCAGTCACCCTGGCTTGGGAGCGAAAGACTCGACCTCGAAAGCGCAACGGTTGGAAGATGATGAGTATGGGGAGGACGAAGATGAAGAAATGACTGGGTTCGGTCTGGGATTTGGTGCTTCTGCGCGTAGCCTAGGTTGGGCACCTTCCTCTCGATCGCAAACAATGTCAGCCTCTGGGGATACACCAAGCAAACCGCCAAAGATTAGGTCTGTGTATGATGGAAGTACACCTCTAGGAAAGGGATTCGTCCCATCATCTGCGAACGAACCCGTCTTAAAAGCAAATATTGACGATGGACCGTCTCTGGCATCTCAGACCCCTAAACCGGGCGCATCCGGTAAAGGGGGAAAGGCCAAGTCCTTCGCAGCTCGGATGATGGAAAAGATGGGTTATGTCGAAGGCCAGGGTCTCGGCGCTCAAGGTCAAGGAAGAAACGTCATTATCGAGGCGACTCTGCGTCCGCAGGGTGTCGGTCTTGGTGCTGTTAAAGAGAAGTCGCAGCAAGAACGCAAGGAGGAAAAGCGACAGGCACGTATGCGTGGAGAGGAGGTGGTTGACTCGGACGAGGAGAGAAAAGAAAAACGCGAAAGGAGGAAGAAGGGCAGAGACAGCATAGCTGGTAGCGGCGCAAGCACTCCAAAGAAGCCTAAGACCAAATATCTAACCGTCACCGACATTCAAAAAGCCGCGCCCGGTCTCCATATACCGGACGCATTTACCCCGATCCTAGATCTTACTGGGCGCGATCAGAAACTCCTGACGTCTGGCTCGGGGTTATTAACACCCACAACTGGCACCGAAGCGACAGCGCAGACGGAGGCACGCAAGTTGACAAGGCGCGCACAAGGTGACCTTGCGGCATTTGTTGAAGAATGGAAGAATCTCGAGGATCGGAAAGCATGGCTCGCCATGGAAGAAACGCAACGTCAACAGGAGCTCGACGAACTTAAGGATAGCTTCTCGGTGCTCAGTGTGGTCTCATCCGTCCTAGATGGAGTTAGCAAAGCCGCCCATGAGAGGGACTGGGATCATGTCATATCGGGGCTCAAGAAAGCCGAATCTACAATATCAACTCGCGGCGACGAAGAGATCGCGGCGCTCTCAGTGTCTGCCATTCACCCTTTTCTGAGGGATGCTATTCAAGGGTGGCAACCTTTGGACGACCCCAAATTAGGTAAATTTGCCTCTGATCTTTCGGACATTCGAGGATTACTGGGTCTCACCAAAGCTCCCAATGGGACTGCTATTACAAAGTGGAATGACACTGAGATAGATGGCACACATCGTCATCATATCAGATCAACAACACCTTGGGAAAGCATGATCTATCAAATCATCTTCCCTAAACTTGTCACAGCCATTTCCCAGACATGGGATGTCCATGACGCCACGCCTGTCCTGGAATTCTTTGAGAGGTGGCAACAACTTCTGCCTGATTTCGTCCGCTTGCAGCTCCTTGAGCAAGTAGCAAGGCGACTCGACGAGGGTATTAATAATTGGAAGCCAAGAAAGAGGCACGAAAACTTGCATATATGGTTATTTCCTTGGCTTCAGCATCTCCCGACTCACCATCTTGAGCCGAAAGGCCCTGGGCTGGTGGGAGAAGTGAGGCGCAAATATAGGCAACTGATCAATACGTGGGATTTCTCGAAAGGCGTAGTACCCGGTCTCAAGCAGTGGAAAGACGTATTCCGCCCGTCCAAGGAACAGGACCAGTGGAAACCTTTAGTCATGCATCATATCCTCCCAAGCCTTTCTCGATACCTGCGCATTAATTTCCGAGTCGACCCAAGCGATCAAGAGCCATATCTAGATATGCTTAACGGGGCGCTTAAATGGACAGAGGTTATCTCCACGTCCATGGTAGGGGAGGTTATAGCTTCAGAAGTGTTTCCTATGTGGCACGACGTTCTCTACCAGTGGCTCACCAGCGCAGATGCCAACTACGAAGAAGTCGGCGCGTGGTTCGAATGGTGGAAGGATCAAGCATTACCAAATGAGATATCGTCTTTGCCGAGTGTCGCGGCCGAGTTCGAAAAGGGTATGACTATGATCGAAGCTGCTCTAGATCTCGGCATCGACGCAAAACACCAACTCCCTCGACCGGACGGACAACCTGCCCATCAACCGAAATCCAAATCGCATAAATCAAAGGCAGATAGGAAGCCCGACCTAGCGCCGCCGCCGCAGCAGCAGCGGCCTCTAGAGAAAGAAGAACCTACCTTCCGCGACGAGGTAGAGGATTGGTGCCAAGAGAACGATCTCCAGTTTATCCCGATTCACAAGGCCAACGAAGAGGGCAAACACTACTTCCGCATCACAGCACGTATGGATGGGAAGGGAGGCGTGTTGGCGTATTTCAAGGGCGGCGATATTTTGGTTGTCGAATCCCGGAAGACAAATTTAACATTGAAGCGATATACGAAAGAGGATTGGGGTCTCCTTCTCGAGCCCCTGTACCAGGAAGTCGAGCAAGGCGGGAGAAGATGAAAACATGTGTATCAAGAATTACTTCAAAAAGGGGTAAAAGAAGGCACCAGCAGTCAATAAAGCCACAGATCAGGATTTAATCACTGCTCGTCACCGCTTCGCTAACACGTTGCCCATATGGTCACAACCTGAATTGGATTTATCAAGCTAAATAGTATTGCGGTTGTAAGTATTTCTCCTAGGATTACACCCTTCGGAATACATTTATTATTGTTGTTTAAGATGGTATGAGAAACGTGGTGGTTGTTATTTCTTGCCCAGCTCAGAGTGTCTATTCAAGTCTCAAGAAGGGATTATGTTTACTATCACGTTTCAGCTCACTCGACGCTCCCCTGTCAGGATATCTGCAGTTTCTTCCCACAGGCCGAAGTTTCTTTTCAATACCTCCCTACCTAGCAGATAAAGACTTAGGTAGGTGATATGCATATGGGGAAACGCTTATCTACGCGCAGGTCTCTTGGAACCTTACATGGTCATCAATGAAATTGAGGGAAGGGATCATGGTCTCTAAACCCGCCGCCTACTCTTTCCGACAGACATATTGCTACATACCTCATCAACTTCAAGTATGTGTTTGATCTTCCCGTCATTCTCATCATTCTCGCCTGTCTTGGCCTCTTTTTCTTGCTCTACAGGATATTATCACCCGTCAATATCCATAATCCGTCAATTCGCTTCTCCGGACCGCCATATCTTTATCGATACATTTCGTATCGTTTCGTTCATTATTCCATCTTCTATTATGATATCAACTACCTCGTAGGCATACTTCAAGCTACTCACGCCCTAGTTCCTGAGCCGTCGCAGCAATGGTTAGCTTTAGAAAGCTACCTCTTACGAGTATCGTCCTCGTTAGCTTTGTATCTACTCATGCTCTTCACCTGCGTACAAACGACGAGCCAGACCCCAATACCGGCCGGTATATCGTTACCCTCAGGGATGGGCTAGAAGCTTTAGCCGTGGAACAACATGTGCAATGGGCCACTAGTTTACGCGCCCGTGATACCGCTGCACCAACAATCGAGATAGGAAGCCGATGGAACATCGGCTCTTGGAACGCTTACTCTTGTACCATGGACGGGGATACTCTTGCTCAGGTTAATAGGAGCAACGCTGTCAAGTTGATCGAACCGGATAGCATAATCGACCTCTCTAGACACATTACACAAGAGAACACATCTTGGGGTCTAGGTTCCATCTCTCACAGGGAAACAAATCACACAGATTACGTCTATGACTCAAGAGCTGGCGAGGGTACATACGCTTACATCCTCGATACTGGGCTGCTAACGACGCACGAAGAATTTAAGGGCCGTGCTTCTTTAGGTTATAATGCTGTCGGGGGCGTATTCGTGGACGAGGTCGGTCACGGAACCCACGTTGCGGGTACGCTTGGTGGCAAGACATAGTACGTGGACTTCAGACCATCCACTAGTGCTTCTCTTGTCCTTCGTAACGACACAAGTTGTCTTTATAGAAGCTATCCGGTGACAACGAACTCGAACCACCAAACCTACATTACACAAGGCTAGGCGCTGTTGCTAATCAGGTACATATAGTGGCGTTGCTAAAAAAGCGAAGCTCATTTCCGTCAAAATCTTTGCTGGATACCGGTCGAGCGTATCCAACCTCCTCCAAGGGTTCGAATGGGCTGTTAGCAATATTACAAGCGAAAACCGCCAACGAAGCTCAGTCATAAGCATTAGTTGGTTTCCCGCGAAAGTTAAGTATGCAATTTAAGTAACATCTTGGCAGGTGCGGGAGGTGAAGCCCGAATAGCTGTTAATCAGGCAGTTGAAGAAGCGTACAATTTAGGTGTATTGACAGTCGTGGCAGCTGGTAACGCAGATCAAGATGCGCAAGGTTTCTCGCCTGCCTCAGCCCCAGACGCTATCACTGTCGGTTCTGTAGGCAGAGATGATTCGCGTTCCATGTTCAGCAACTGGGGTGAATTGGTTGATATCTTTGCCCCAGGCGAAAATATCGAGTCCGCGTGGGTTCGCGACAATCGGGATACAAGAAATCTCACCGGTACGAGGTATGCAGCATCCAGTCTTTGCTGTCCTCTTCCCTTTTTCCCCGAGTGCCCGCTAACTTGTATTACCACAGTATGTCTACACCTCACATCTCTGGTCTGATCTTATACCTCAAGAGTGTTATCCCTTATCGAATGGAAACCCCTGCAGATAGCATCAAGGAGCTGCAGCAGCTAGCAACACACGGAATCGTGAGAGATGCTAGGCGTTCCAATAATCTGCTCGGGTTCAATGGCAATGGTGAGACCATCCTTGCAGATGGTTGAGTATCTGTGATTTACTCGAGTCACTCGATGTTGAACCAGACTCGCGGGATGTCGCCCTTGAAGGGATTTGTGTAGTTAAAGCTGAATACAGCTGACTACACAAGCTTCGTAATACCTACACAAGCCACTTCCTTTACCCCGATGTACTTCAGGTGGAAGTAGAACACTAATATATAACCTAATCGCTATAAGCTAGACATGTTTCCTGTGACTCTTAAGAACAGGCACGCGATAAAATTCCTAATGGAATTCCCCTATACGCGGGCCAAAGTACTCATTCTCCCCGAGTTGGTATAATGTGCAAGCGTCCTGTTCACATCCCTGAGATGTAACAGAATTGCCCCACCATTTCAGCTCAACCTCCGTCCACTGAAGAGAGAAGAATATGATGATGGCAGAGACAGCAATGGCGCTGCTAAAAGAAGCAGATAGCACAAAGTTGTACTTGGACCAGAACCCGAGATAACGCTGCTTCAAATAGACCCACGAGAACCAAGCAATAGGTACGGCTGGCCAGATATAGGATAAGTTGTACGGGGCCAGCGAAAGACTCCCGTAGAAAATGGCAACAGGGTGTATTTGACGCATCCAGGTCTTCCGGAACCTCTTGTTCATGTAATAAATAATTATCGGAACGACAAAGCCAATGGGGAAGCCGGCTAATAGCCAAGTGTACATGCCTCCTCGGCCGAAGACCCTGTAAGGTTCGTAGTTGTTAACGAGGATAAATTGTTATAGTAATGATTATAATTAACAAAGCTTACTTGATAGGGCCCACGGTCCCCCAAAGGACGCTGGCTGTAAAAAATGTGTTGATCCCACTACATTCCAGAGGATTAGCAATGCCTTCGAGTAGGTGGGTATTTGATGATGCGATCCGTTTGGTAAGAGTTGCAGCAGTCAAATATGCTGAAAGAGGAAACCGGCGCAACAAGGAAGGTCAAAAGGAGTGACGGTTGATGAATACCGTGGTGGGAATTATTCTATGGGCAACCTCGAAATAGTACTTACGGACAGGTAAATCGGTTGGGGGCGTTGACTGTGCAGACATTTGGAATTTGATTAATCTGGAAGTTGAGCACACCCACGCTGACGAAAGTGGAAACCAGCGTGCCCATCATTTGAGCTGCGAAGGTCTGCCGAGGCGGGATCTTGACATAATGGGCGAGCTTCAGGTCTTGTGAAAACAGAAGTGCATGAGCACAGGTGACATAACCGAACGACTTGAAATAGTTCATTGCCACTGTAGCATTACAATGTCAGTTACCACTTATAGCATAGCGAGTATCTTGTGAGCTTCCAAGACTTAGGTCGGGAATTATTCAACTCCCGAATAGGAATGCCATGAAGAGGGTGTTGCCAACGGCTGTGAGTGTTGGCCAAAAAAGGGGACTTGGCTCTGAGGGGCACTTACAAGCGTTTCCTGCCACAAATGAGCCTCCGATGAATTCGGCGAGCACGTTCAGCGTAACCTCAATTCCAGTTATAGCCTTGACGATACCTATAGGGATGACGAAAAGGGCACAGAGTGCCAGGCCGTAGAAGACAACACCGGGACTCGTATATGTTTCCCAGTGCGCGATCCCGACGCATCCGAGGGCGATGGCAGCGGCAAGTATGATAGTATACCACCACTCAGGAACTTCGGCATACTTGGACATGAGCCTGCTGTGGACATCTTGGTATTCGTTGATTGCGTCACGCTTATCCTTGCGAAAGCTGTTGAACAAGTTTACGAAGCCCATCTTGATTTCGTGGCGATGGTAGAGGTACGCGTACGAGATGATGGCCGAGTATATAGCAAAGAAGAATAAATATATATTGATGCTTCCAGCAGACAGGAAAGGGAAAGAGTACGCCTCGTACTTAGTGGCGTCAAACAGACCACGCTCGTCCACGGCGTTGGAGACGTTATAGAGCGCGCCCGTGTTGTCAAAGACTCGGTTGGAGTTGATTGGTAGATAACCAGTGTTATACGTGTTCGTATACCATAGTGCAGCGATGACACAACAAGCCATGGCGGCGCCGATAAATTTATTTAGAGTTGAAAAGAAGGGTATCATCAAAGGATCCGTTGTGTCGAAGAGTAGAGTGTTCCAATCCCAAGTAGGCCACGGGTTGATACCCAGGCCATTGTAAAAGCCCGTGATTGCGGAGAGATTCACATTGTTCGGCGAGATCCATGTGAGCCAGCTGAATACGCTGAGGGCCGTAAATATATAATTAGGGAACCAGAAGTATACGAACATGGCAGTGAAGGTTATGCCGAAGAATCTGATGCGAGAGACGGTGAAGATCTTGCCAAACGGACTCTCTACAGGCACATTTCTATCGTTGTGGAAAGCTGCGTTGAGGGCAATCGTCACTAAGGACGAAGGCCACACGCAATATGACGGGTAGACCAAGAACCGCCGAACTATGCCAGCCATTCCATAGCCGATATAGTTCGTAGAAAGCGCAATCAGTATCTGGTACGAGAACTGGCCGGCATAGCTCTGGTTAAAATAGGCCGGCAAGTATTGGACCCATATAATGTTGTTGGTATATGGATAATTCCACGAGACGTTTGCCATAATGGTGATGAGCATATGCTCTTTCCTGGAAAAGGGGCCTGGGTTCAAACTGTGCCTCGTACCCCAGAGCGTGATGCCAGCATCGGGAAGCAATCTCTCAAACGCCTTTCCGATGGGGAATGCCAACAGCTGAGCAACGTTCGCCTGGACAGCTATCGTCGGCTGGCGAATGGAGAAGAGCTGGTTGATGAAAGCGAGGAGTACCGAAAATCCCAAACCAATCACCCAAGCTCGAATAGTCCCGCAGGGTATGCTAACATCGTCGTGATTGTCAACAACTGCGCGCACCTCGGAATAAGGGCTATTGACGGTGATAAGAGCAGCCTCTAGCTTCATCTCGTCGACCAGGACGGCATGTTTTTCAGGATTCTCGAAGATATCCTCGTTTCCTGACAAGTAGATTAATATATTTTCTTGACCCCGGCCGCCATATGCGTACCTAGGAACGCCCTGATGCGCTGAATGATGCTAAAGGGGAAATTCGGATCATTTTCATGGATTATTAGCACCCTTTCCATCATAGGTCGAATCTCTTCCAAGGTAAGCCGGTCAGCTAGCCCTTTCGCTTCGGCAAGATCATTCTCAGTAACGTTAAGATCTCTATAACGAAGTCATCAGCGCATGTTCGTAGTATCCACCGAGACGGATTTATATCGACAGATACATACGTTTCTACCTGGGTATTGACCGGCAATTCAACTTCGCTGTTGCGGTAGCCATCCGAATAGGCCTTCTCATCCACCTTTTGGGAAGCAACCGTGCCCTTATTTTCTATATCATGGGCCATATCGGTCGCTTGCCTATCTTATAAATTCCTTTGGTATGGTGTACGATGAGAATGGGGTTTCCAATGTTGCACATGGAGTTAGACGACCATAACAACACATACATATAGAATAGAAGGAAGGAGACCACATCCATTAAATTCGCGCCCACGAACGCTCCCCTGGAGCAGAAATACTACGAGAATTTATGGGTTTTGTTCTCGAGGAGGGTGCGTGCGCATTGCGACATGGTACCAAGCGCACACTCGGCTACCCGAAAGCAAACACCAATATAACCATCTTTGGAATGAACAATGATATATTGATTTGATAGGTTATGTCGGCATCTTCTTGATAGCGAACAGACCGGTGATAAGACCGTTGACCTTCCACAAGTAGGTCGGCTACATAGGTACCATTTCGAGTGCGACAGGTGTGGGAAGGGACCGAGATACCGGTCAGTTTTAGCCGTCGTGCGATGAACCCAATGATACCCAGTGGATAGGTATCTCTAATCTGCTTGTCTCGGAAATATTGGTCACATATGTACCGGCCTTGTTTAGTAAGTTCCTCGTTATCTTGTTTCTAAAGCATGCCGAGTTTCCAAGAACATCGCGGCAACGATAATATCGGCATCTAATCACGTTGAAACAAGAGTACCGGACACCCAGCTTAATACTTGGCACCATGGAAATCATTACAGATATCGCTACCGAGGGTTACATTTTTCGCATAATCATTTCTCCCCGACCTGGATGGGGTGTTGTGATGCCATGTGCAAGCTAGAATGCGTCAACACGGATCGCCATCTCAGCATTGACGCACCCACATCATAAATGTGTTTGGTGTTTGCAATGGGGCCCATCAAACAAGATTGTCGCTACCAAGTTATGATTGTTCACTGGGCATTGAACCAACGATTAAAAATTTTGGCCATGTCGACACCTTTTCAGGAAGGAGATGGTGTGACATTGATTTATTTCCCTGTCCGGTTCAGAGAGGGGACAGAAAGATAAGGACGAAAACCCAGTAAGCTATTATACATCCAGATTCGCCTTGAATATAAAGATCTTCATATACCGGGTAACAGTAGCAGTAACAGTAACAGTAACAAGTAACAGTAAAAAGAAAATCAAATCGGTAACAAGATACTTAAAATAGCAGGTTAGCCTTGGGCTTGAAAGGCAATACAAGCTGCAGCTTTTTATATCAGCTATGACTTACGACAATCAAGGGGTAAATGAATATTTCGTCCCCAAGCCGAAGCTAGAACTTTCGTAATAGCCACCAGTGGTCTCTAGATGGAAGGCTTTCACCACTAGTATAATATGACATTACTACAGGTTTCTAGTGGTGTACCAAGAAATTTCCATCAGCTCGGTCTCAATTATAGCTTTCATCGTGAAGACATAAACTATTCGCTTGCCAATCGTTATTGTACATCCTTACTACGATATGAATGTTACTTACGTCCGCCCATACATCGTTGTTGAAGAGCAACGCATCATAATGCAATCAGAGATAACTAGGTACCTAGGTAAGAATGCACCTTTATAGACCATTAATGATATATATGCCACTTACCCTGCTCTAGGACAATGCCCAATCCAATGACCATAACCATGTACAGGTAGATAAGTAGCTCCCGGCAATATCGTGATAGCCTTACGGCCGCATCCAAAATCTAGCAAACTTCATCGCCTATTGCAAGCAAGCCTAGCTAATATGTAAGTTAATTAACATACTACATATCGTGAAGCTATATAGTATTACATGTAAGGATGGGTATCTTTTATTTTCTTAGCCGGAACAAGTCTTCGGACAGGGCTCAGGAGGTAGAATACTGTTCAGCTAGCCTGAGGGTCCTCCCAGCATACCAGAATCTAGCTTTTATGGGTGTCAGTGGGCGCCGGTATGTTATTACCTGAGATTAAGTGTATTCTAGTTCATAAACCTCTTCCGAAGGAGATAAGTACCTAGGTAGGTAGGCAAATAATTATGCGTCGAGCCCCTATCTTTGGACAAGATCCATTACTAATAACTTTAGGCCCTCATACATTTAGAAATGAAGCATCTAGACCACTTAAAGGAACTTTTCTAGCTTTAAGATCTCATTTAGAGTTCAAGTTTAGCTCTAAAGCAGTGTGCTTCTCATGATATTAAGGTACGTAGAGAATTGTGTTGTTTACACAACTGTATCGGGACCGCTTACCAACAGAACTGACACGATAACAATAGGGTACGATAATCAGTAGGCACCTATCAACCATGCTGCTTATAAGCCTCCTAATCAGTTTATTTCCCCGAGGCAAGCTACTACTCAAACAATTAGAGTCGTGATTTGGTATGGCTGGATCCTAGAAGGCTTTTCCATACTTACATCGTTTCCATGTTGGCTAACCTCCGATTTCCCAAGCGACCCCTTATTAATAACTAGGAATATTTAAAGTTATAGGATGCGTTGGAATTGGAATTCAATGTCATCAACACTGGTAGAATTATTTCACTTTATAGCTACATAGGTAGGTACCTAGGAAAGGGTATTCATGGCATTACATTTGGTTGCAGTCCACCCTTGGACCTCTGTCTCTACTGCGGTACCTACAACGCCCCCAATATCAATCATGATGACTATCAAATGGGTGATACTTATTCACGTCCTACGTATTAGATTCAATATGAGTCCAGTCGAACTGTCCCATCCCCATTTGTGGTTATGATATACCAAGAATGGCACGACTCGTCCTCAACTCTTACATATGTTCGACCATAGCATATTGCAGTTAAAGCAACAGAAAGACCTAGTGATTTACACATGTATCTCCTTAATTTTTATACGTCCATATATACACGGTGCTAGTCTAGTATCCTATTTGAAAGGTACGACCTAGGCAAACATCCCCTCCTATATAGCTTTTCGGATCAGAATAAGAGATGAAATATGCGGCTCAATGCAGGCTTTGCGGCAATCTGTGCGCGGTACGCGTTGATCTCGTCCCAGTCAACTTCTCGTCGACCCGTGTCCACATCGATCTGGTGTGTGCGGAGCCAGCCTGTACGCTTCCAGCAATAGCCTACGATCCAGAATAATATGACAACGGGGAGCGCAAGGTAAGATTGGAAGAAGCCTGCAGCATCGTTGAAACCGCCTTCAGGGGGGCAGATCGCGACATAAAACTAAAGCGAAGTGAGTATTCAGAAAGGGCATACTAGGTATATATATACCCATGACTCGGAGCGGATATGCTTACCTGAGCAATCAATACTAAAATAATCAAGATTAATCCGAGCCACGATCCCCAAACGCCACCGACCGCTTTGAAGGGAATTTCGTCAAGGGTGTGGCCGCGATACGCCCAAGCTTTTCGGAAACGGATGTGCGACAAGCAGATAGAACCCCAGGTGAAGAGAGCGGCTAGACCTGACAAGGCCAAGAGCCAGTCGAAAATGTCCGGTCCGGCGGCAGCTAAGTTGAGGTATGCTAATAGTCCAAATAGGAGGAGAGCGCCAACAGAAAAGGTAGGACGTCCGCTGCGGTCGACGTAGGAGAAGATCTTGGGAGCATAGCCCTGCTGAGCGAGAGCGGTGAGAGTGCGGCTCCCGCCGTAAACACCTGATACGCCGATTGAAATGACGGAGATTAGGATGATGAAGTTCATGAAGTGGTTGAACCCGGCGAGGCCCGCATATTGCCCGACCAAGACGAAAGGCGACGCGGTAACATCGTTGGAGCTAGTGGCATTCAATAGATGAGGGTCGTCGCTAGGAATTAGAAGGCCGACAAAAGTGAGACCAAGTATATAAAAGCTGGTACTCGTCGTTAGCGCTAACCTCTTACAGATATAAATAAGGGAAAAAAGAGTTAGTTATGGCTCGAGGGACACGTACAGGGTAATACGCCAGAAGACCTGTTTGATGGCGCCGGGAAGAGCCTTGGCGGGGTTTCTCGCCTCAGCAGCAGCGAGACCGACCAACTCAGTTCCGCTGAAAGAAAAGGCGGCGGTGACGAAGACGGCGCAGAAGCCACGGAAACCATGGCGGAACGCACCAGGGTCGTACCACAGTCGTGCACCATAATAATTGTCGTACCAACCTCCTTCAGGGCCACCTCCAAGGACGCAAACCAGAGAGATAACCATGAAGATAACCGTGGCGGAGAGCTTCAGAATCGAGGCCCAGAACTCTTCCTCGGCATAGCCTAGGGTGCCGAATATGTTGACTATGATGATGAAGACGTAGAAGACGGTAATCCAGACACCGGAGCTTACTTCCGCATTCCAATACGAGATCGAGATGGCACACACGGTCAACTCAAGCGGAACGACAACGGCCCATTGCAGAACATAATTCCAACCCATGGCAAACCCCCAGGAGGGGTCGATAAAACGAGTCGCATACGTGTAGAAACCACCAGAAACAGGATACATAACAGCAAGTTCACCGAGAGCATAGACTAGAAAACCGGGAGTCAATATAAGCTGTCCAAGGGAGACGCCGCGAAAGAAGTCAGGGAGATTAAGATAATTGTTAGGTAGCTATGCATACCGACGTTGAACATCATCACACCGATGATTACGAAGTCAATCAAGAGAGTGGCAGGGCCCTATGAAAAAACACATTGATTAGCAGGAGCAGGGAAAAAGAATGAAAAGGGCATGGCGGAAGGTTAAGAAAGAAAAGACTCTTGCGACTTACACCGGTGGCTAAAGCGCTGCCCGAGCCGACGAAGAAACCAGCTCCAATCGAACCTCCGATGGCGATCATGTGTAGATGTCGGGGTTTCATGCTTCGGTCGAGCTCAACAATTCCGGTGCCGTAATCGCGCTTCTTGAAAGATTCCAGATTCAGACCATTGCGGGTAGCCCAGCTGTCGGAATTCTGGACATCGTCCGCCTGGGTAATGACCGGGCTCGAATAGCTCGGGAGGCCGACATCCTTCTCGTCTTTGCTGCCGCTACTGGCAGCGGGGTCGGAAGACACCATTATGGATTACGGGATTCGTCGGCTAGCTCGACGGAGGCGGCGGCTGCGACAGCGATAATTACGAAGAGGTTTGCTTGGGACAAAGAAGGAAAAGGGGAAAACGGGGAAGAGGGGTTTATAGTTGACGATGGGCGAACGGCCAGAAATCGCGACAATGTATGTTCCAATCAGGCCAGGGACGGCCGCTAGACTGCGCGAGTCTTAAGAGTGAGTGAAGGGAACAGCGGAAATTCGATGTTACAGTAGAAGGGTTACGAGGGCGTGGTAGACTCTTATTTATTATCGAATGTTATGTAGGAAGGTATTGAACCTATTACATGGCATGGCGTATAGTACTTTGTTATATTTCATACAAGGGTGTTGATAGGGATTGGTGGATCAGTTGGCGGAACGGGGAGGGAAATCCTGGTAAGCTGGGGGGCACTGGGTGCTGTTGGGTGGTGGCCAAGAAAGCGTCGACCGCATGAGAAGACGAAGGATGCCTGTAGCCGAGGAGTAGTGACATTTGAAGACAATGAGTAGGTTCAGCTTCTGTTAAAGTGATTCAGCGTGCGTCTGGAAGAAATTACCTACAGTCAGGCTCTCTGCCACAGGAGCTGATGGTAGAGTGACTGCGTAGAGTGACTGTGCATTAATAAAATGGGACGAAAGGAAGACCGTCAGCATAGGGAAAACGACGAATAAGACGAATAAGACGAAGAACATGAAAACGGCCAGCTTCGGGGACAACTCGCGTGATGCATCGCATCCCATCTTGGCCACCCGGAACCAAGCCCATCAAGAAGCTAGTATATTTCTAGACAAGGCGGCCGAGACGAACACACGCGCCTCGAAAGCAACGCCGCTCGCATGCAGCTTGGGTGTACATAGTATGGACACACAGATATCTGCGTTACCTACGTACTCACATACCTACATACATGCCTACATACCTACCAGCTACCTAACCATCTATCTAACCATCTACCCACCTACCTACGTCCATACCTACATATACACATACCTAGATGCATAGGTACATATTCTAAGCCTTGTTTTTTCGATCTAGTTCTTCCCCTAACAACGTGATCGACCGACTAGCTGACGGGACTAGTTGACGGGCCAGTCCCTTAGTGTTGACCGAATTGCGACGGCATATGAAACGATGGAAAGTACATGGAAGAATGCAGAGCGAATTTGGGTTGTTTCTTACATACCTGGTGCGTATGTCTCTCCCCTAGTTGAGATCACGCCCTTGTTACCGGCCCGAAAAGGCCTGGCTTCTTTCTAGATGTCGTAGATAAGACTAACTGGCTGACGGGCTGACTGGGTACGCACGTTTACCTACATACCTCAGCTCATGACATGTACTGACATACCTGCAGGGCGGCTCCCTAACATCTCCAGTCTTTTCTCCACCCTCGGATCTTAAATACTGTTTATTCTGTACACTAGAGAAAACGCTTGTCTGCCGAGTTGCCTCACTGACGATGCTTCTCCAGCTTGCCAAGGCTCTACCACCTTCTAGCTCTCAAGCCCGCCCTAGGTTTTTGTATTTCGCGCGGCATTCGTACGGCTAGCCGATCCGGATCCCTTAGATATTTGTTCGCCCCAGAATGACGATTGAATCATGTTTCTAAACATACAAACAAAATAAAGTAAAATAAAATCAAACAGAATAGCAACGAGTCCTATACGGCGGATTATCTAAAGTGCTGACGAGCATTCGCGAAAGGATGCGCTAAGATTGATCATACAGGCCTTTTTGTTTTATTATTTTTTTATTAACGCCGGTTTGCTCCAATTTAGATAAGAGTTTATACACACTCTGGTTGGCTGTCTCGAGGGGGGCGCAGTTCATTTGCATCCCTGGTTTGCCTCTGTATTGTGTCATGTTGTCTTGTCTGTACTTTTACGAGGTACCCTACTTTTCCCTTTTCTGCTGATGTCTTGGGACAGCAAGATAGAAGTTTGACCTTCTCTTCTTGGTACCAGCCTACTTTTGAAAATAAATGAACGCTCCGTCCGCGCTCTTCTGGCCGCAATGCATAAAATAACTTTCCTTGTGTCTAGATCTTGGTAAGGTCTAAGCTCCGATCACACCTGTATGGACCTATCCGTCCTGTCCGTCCTGCCTGTCAGAGGCTAGATGCGTAGCATTCGGTCAATGCTCTAAGAGAAAAAAAAAACACTCGCGAAAGGGATCGTAAATGACAATTCCAGGGAAGAGAAAGAAGGTCTTGACGGTAGGTCGTCAATTAAACGTTGATGAGGCCAAGACGCCGCAGGAAGAATGGAAAAGAGCGAATGGTAGAGAAGAGGACCGAGCCCAAGACATTGGGAGCATCAAAGAACCATGGTTGGAGATCATCCTTCCCTGTAGATTTTCCCTTTCCCCGATAATATCTTGGTCACTACCATGTACATATATGGACATATGGTACAATATTGGCCATAGCTCTTGTGGAGGCTGGGGTTGACGATCAGCCATGTACTATTATGTAGGTGTTTATTAGATCGCGAATTTCTCGATATGATTTGATGGCTCAATTTCAATATATTATAAACTGCATTAGACCTAGTACATACTACATACCTTCCGGAACGAGCTTAGACAGGCAGGACTGTAGGAGAAGACTAATGCGTAGAACTTTTCTAGAAGCCCCTCTTCCTCGCGAACATACCTAATGGTCATAGTACGGTAACTTGTAAGCACGCCATGGCGTTAGGTATCTAACATGCACTTGCTGGTTTCACGGCATCCTGAGCTACGAGGCAAGGCATCGATGATTCTCTCACCACTCTTGTAGCATCTATCTTAGGTATAGGAGGTATAGGAGGTATAGGAGGTATGGTAGGTATGGTAGGTATGATTTAAAGTAAAGATCCCGGTTCATCTGTTTCACGAAATGCCATATTCAGCACAGACACGTCCGTGATGCCATACTGATTCTCATCACAGATCGATTTACTTATACATATATAGCTATAGGTAGGTAATAAAATAGAAGACATGCCCGAGCTTCACGGTTAGAGTCGGGCGATCAGCATAACCCATAGGTCTACAGTAATACGTAACGTGGTATTGTTCCAGAACAATTCGTCACCGATGCCATCAGTCATAGCGCTTCTCGCCAATCTCATCAGACACCCAATTAGCCATGTGTTGTCCACTCAAATCCCCAGACGTTGTTACCTGAATCTCTACCCGAGTCCCTACATATTACATAGTATACTATAGTATATTAGTTACCTAAGTACTCGGGGTAGCCCGTCAATTATGCTTCCAAAGACAATTCGCCGGCTTACTCGCGTCACAGACCTTGCCGATTCAATAATTGGGCAACCAACCCCTCCCTTCACTCCTCAGGTCTCATCCCCCTCCGTGCGCTTTGATCCACGATAAATCCTGCTAGACAACGACAAGACGCATGTCAAATTTTTCACGAAAAAAAGAGCCCGATGCCAACTTTCTATTGCTTCGGTCAATCCGAGCCGTTCCTCTCGTTGAAATCCAACAGCGGTCTAGTCTAATTATAATACCCGCGTATCACACGTAGCATATGTATATCGTTCTCGCCGCGTATTGTGATCTCGGGACCCGGTAATACGGTAGCATGCCCTAAAAAGGGTTCGGTGTGGCCCGCGGGATGGCCTGGTGGGCGAACCCCTAATCCCCCTCTGTCCCCTAAAGGGGGGGTCCAAGTGGATCTTACCGGGGAATACAACTTGGCTGGCTTCGCTGAGTGGAGGATTCAGGGAATGGGTCAAGATTGGAGTTCGCTTCCGTATTGGCTGTCTACTTTATCCATTGCCTTTTCTTGTACGTAACGTTATGACCGGCTATTGGCTCACCGCGTCGATAAGGCTTTCGCAAAATGCGGAGGGCATTAGCCAGAACTGTCATATAAACCTTGAGCCTGTGCATTATATGGTACCGTCCCGAACGAATGCGCACTGTATGCTCTTTTACTGTAATCATCGACTTGGACGTTCAGAAAAAGATCGCGAGTCTCTTATCTATCAGCCTCCTGGTCAGTACGAGCCAAACTACTACGGACACTATGTCTATATATAATTAGTAAGGACGCAGGCGTTATCGCCCGTATAAGAGCCTCACCTAAAGTCAACGACCTCGGTATGGTAGTCGAGTACGTACCTGACGTCTCGATAGGGCTGACCTCGCTCGTCCGCCGTCCAAAGACTCGCCGTTCATATGGTAACACCGCCGTGGTCTCGGATGCATCCGATATGCGAGACTCAAACTTTGACCCGAAATACTGGTTCACCCAGTATAAATATCGAGGAGGGGGATTAGTGGTCCCCAGAATCTCACTTCCATACATTCAACCGACTGGCTATTGCGCGCGTTCGCTTTTAAGGTGGTTTGCTCACTTAACCATTGCCGCCACTCAATATCAACCTTGAACCACCTGTTGATCAATCAGCAACTACGCGCAAGCCGTCATTGGATTATCCGCTCATGAGATCACCCCTGAATGCGGCATACTCATCTGGCACCCTGTCAGGAATCTCTCTGCCCATTCTTTCGTTGCTATACCAGACGTGAATCTGTCGTATCCGTTCTTCGAGCATATGTACCCTCGAGCCGGAATATTCTTGGCAAGCCCTCATACAGAACATCTGATCTTTGAACCTGATACCAGGTGCCTTCGATGTTGTTGAGTTGGTTCCCCGTTCGTCTATGACATCTTGGATAAGTTTGAGTTCCTTCTTAGACGCATCGAGTTCCTGTCGTATCTTCTTCTCGGCAACGACAATCCAATTCGAGTCTTCCTTCATCATTCGTTTATCTTCTACTTTGGTGAATAACGGTAAGCTGAGTTACTTGACAGGAGCAAATCGAGACTTGAAGGGATTTATCAGACTAGTTGATGAATATACCAGATAATGCGGCTTGTTGAACGCCAAACACAGGCTCATAAATAACGGATCTTTGTCTACGTCAGGACAAGCGGGCTGGCTAACTCCTAGACAAAGCGCATTTATGCTTTGATGAATGCATACAACGCATTGACAAAGAGAAACATGATCATTATTGAAGTTTGTCAATAATAGGGAACTGCACATTCAAATGAAAGTTAATAATATTCATTGCATCCCATCTTTCATAAAAAAGGTCATCATTATCAACCATTATCAACTCCATCATGCCCGGGTGTAAGATAGATACATTATGCAGTGCCTTCTACTCGCAAGGGACGATGATAATTACGTACTATTAAGTACAATGCATCACATACAGCATTGTACTTGAGCCAGGAAAGAGGTATACCGTAGTCATAGTAGATCACACCTGCAGGCACATAGAGATATCTAAACCTACATACCACCTAGGTGCTCTAGGTGCTGCAGGAGACAGCTTATCAAGTGGGAAAACATGAAAGGGCAGAAGTTACAAGCCCTTTTTCCTGTTACATTTTAATTCCAATAAAGGTACCTGTGACAAAGGGAGTATTCAGTATCAATTCTAATCATAGAATAGAGATCTTACATGTCAATATTGAGCCTTGTTTGTCGTTACAATGGTATTGTAATACAAGGGAAGTTCAACAATGTCATATATAGTGACGTTCATCTCAACCCCAAATTCGTGGGATTCAGTTCTGCGGGAGTCAAAATAACTAGGTAAACCGATTTAATACCAAGAAAATGTGTTGGACAAATCAAGAGCGATATCACTGCTACGAGTGCCAACGAGAGTTTGGCCACCGGGAAATTCGTATACCTTGCTTCGAGGTCGAAGAAGGTAGACCCTGCCTAAGGCTCATGAAAAGACAGGCGGTGGTCCTAGACCATTCGACCTGTGATAGATGTAAGGAAGCTAGAAAGGCAGAAGAGATCTGCCAGCAGAAGATCTACCGTCAAGTACCCCTGTACTACAATCTCGACAAACGAAGATGTATCCGCGAGGCGTACTGGTAGGTAGATCCCATAAACCCCACAAACCCCGTCACATCATCTCCGCAATCTCCACATTCCTCCAGCTTACCCCTGACCCCTGATTCTGCGGACAAGCAACACGACAACTACTCAGACTAAGTCGGATAGGGCCCACTTAGAAACGAGCAGGAAAGCGAGGATGGATGCTCTGGAGAAGGCGGAGGAAGCCAAGGCCGCTGCAAAGCGAGAGTGAATAGGTGGAGGTAACTATTAAGTCGACGATAACTACATGTACTTAGGTTTTATAAAAGTGCTAAAGGAGAAAAAGGTCGTGCTGATCTAGCGTGATATCTCTACATGCAATAGCCCGTCCGTAGCTTATTGTATACTGCGGAATCAATATAATAGCGCATAAGAGTAGGTAGGTAATGCTAAATGCCCAGGTACCCATACAAGAAACTTGCCATTGCCCCCGTGCTCTTTTGATTCCCAAAACACCATCCATGCAAATGCTAACAAGCGTGTCTATAATATATAATGCAACAAGTAGGGAATATTCCATATGATCTTGGAGAGAAAAGGAGATCTAGCCGGATATGGCGGGTATCATCATTTTCCCAAGGAGGGAGGCCCCCTTTTTCGTAGCTTTCGTATCGTACGTCTTTATAGCCGGCTTCTTCGTCCACGGAGCGCTAGAACCTAGCGGGATATCTTCTCCGAGTTCCTCGTCGCTTTGACTACTACCCATCGTCATAGATGCTAAAGATGCGCTGCCACCACTGCCCTTATGTTTATGGTGGTTCCCTATAGGATACCTACCGGAAGTTGCGTTTGTCGAGTTAGGTATTCCGCCAAGTCTGCGTATGCCTTTGCCCCAGGCCGACTGTCTGCCTATTAGCATAGGACTCCTGCTACGTCCAATTTGGGGCGCGTGCTTTTTGGCGATGATCAATTCGTATTGCTGCATCATAGTTGGGTGGTCAATGATTTCCTCCATCGTGAAATTCGTGCCCTCAATGCCTAAGACAGAGTGTATGTTCTCGGTATAGTACCTAGCAAGCTCAGCTGCGGGTATGAGTGCGCCCCAGATTTCATAGAATGGTACTGAACGAATATCGGGCACCTTGAGCGAATGAGCCTCTAAAACTGTATCCCATGCGGCGGAAATTATGGTATGGACACCTCGAGCCAGATCCGGATCGACCGATTCTATCGTTGATAGCACGCCGAGTTCACGCTTCGGTGTTGGGAGCGGAATCCTGGATGTAGAATAATTGTCACCAAGACCTTTCAAAACTATCGGCTCCATGACGAATGACGAGGTCAGAAGGGTGATGATGGAGCAAAGCATCTTCAGCACATCATCTGCGAAGTATAGAGGCAACCTCTTCTCGCAGAACATGAGGGATATATCAACATTGGAGGCTCCCAACGCGGTAGATCTAATAAAGATATCCGACTCTTGATGATTCGATTCCACGCAGCCTAACTTGCAGCAAGCGGTGCCGATAATGAAATTAGTCGATTTATAATCTTCAATTTGGCTTCTATGGCAAACAACAGTGCTGAATCGAGACCAGGATGGCCAAGGCGTACATTTCTGTACAATGTCGGAAGCCTGCATGTTTTCATAAGGCACGCTGGCGACATGCTGGCTTTGTATATACCGAAAGTATTCATACGGTGTGGTGGGGGTATCTGGAAGTCGTGTTCGCACCGGCATGATGTTACCTATGGGACCGACGACGTCTGATATATCAGGAAGGCCAGTTGGAAGGCTTAAGTTTTTGCCTTCGATAAGCTGCCCGAACACCACGTCATCCGTTCCAGACAAATTTGAAAGAACAATAGACCACGCACCCTTGAGGATTGTCTCGAATGGTATACCTAGATTCTGCAGTGATCCCACGGAAATTTGCTGACGGATGGTGATAGAATTGGAGCTGATGCTTGCAGGTGAGGGTTGAGACACAATTTGCGTCATTGTCGCTCCCGAGAGGAGAGCACTCCAATATTCGCTCGCATGGTTTGGATACGTAAACTGAGAAGCTCTAACTACCTCGCAAAAACCAGGGCGTGGAACGACCTGATCGCCGCAACTGAGGCCATAAAACCGACTGAGGTCCTGGGTAAGTACAGGCAAGGAATAATCGTCATACTGGGCTCTGGAGAGGCGGATTAGCAGCATAGAGCTCTTTCCGGCATCGAGGTAGGAAAACTTGGTGATAGGTCTACGGAAATCGGCCGGCTTTAACTGCTCCCTCTTAATGATCTTCGCGGCCAGGTTGCCGAGCCTCCAACTCTGACATTGAAACCTCATGAAATCTGGGCGATATGATCGGAGGACTGTCTGATAGAGTTGGCGGCCATGGCTTACGAATGCGGTTCGAAGTATTGGGTGGGCTTTAGTCAGTATGAAGCACGCGGTTTCGAGTTTACGCCAATCCAATGATCCGGTAATGTTGATTGTTAAGTAATCGACATTACCACGGCTCTGTAGCATTCCAGACTCAACGAACATTGTCTGAATGTAAGATGTCTCCGCCACGTCTTCAATAACGCTTCTATCGGACCCAAGCCGAGGCACAATCGCTTCATCGACGAAACTATCCGGCCGGCTTGGCTGGACGGATCTAGCATCTTGGACTGCTGTGGGGAACACCTCCGCCATGACAACTCCCTTACAAAGTTCAGCGAGAGGAACGTCTCGAAGGACATCAATGATGGAAATGCTAATGCCTCTCTGCTTGCATTCGACTATCAAGTCGTGGGCTAGGACGGCGTCGCCGCCTAGACTTAGGAACCCGTCCCCAGCCTTTATTGAGTCTTCTTCAATACCGAGGACATATGCCCAGATAGTTCTCATTTGGCGTTCTACTTGGGTCAGCGGAAGTGGTTTGAAGCTGGCATCCTGGACCGTCGGATTCGAAACCTCTGCTAGTCCTAGAAGTTGCTTTCTGGAATATCCCGCGATCATACGCTGAAGTTCCAACCTGTCGATATCCAAAGTCGCTGTTAGCGGCATCCGCTTGACCGGTATGTATGCCGAAGGAATCATGTAACTAGGCAAGGTCTCCCGAAGGACCATATCGGCCATCTTTTTCGATAGGTACAGTCTTTCTCTAGTGGTACGGGTGAGGCTTAACAAATCTTCGCTGCCTTGTAATATATTATCCCCAAGCTCTACGAACGCAGCGAGGATCGGAGCCGAGTTTGGATCATTAAAAGCGATGGTTTCGACAACCACGTCGACACCACTACCAAGACACTGTCGCAGTTTAGGCTCGACCTCCGAATGACGAAATTTCCTGCCGTCGATCGTCGTCTCTTCACTACCATCTGAGATAAATTCAATCTCGCCGTCTTCGAGGTAACGAACGTAGTGCCTTGTCTTGAATAGATGACTCCCTGACTTTTCCAAAAGCGATCTTGCCCGTGATTTACTCTTGCTAATCCAGGCCTTGATATTAGTATCGCTGACGTTGAACCAGCTAGCAAGTGTTGGTCCCCCTATCACCAATTCACCAAGAGCCCCGACTGGCATAAGTCGATTATTGTCCTCAGGAGAAACAATCCAAAAGTTGCCACAGAAAGGACTGCCAAAACACTGTGAAGTCTTTGAGAGGGTCAACTCAGTCGTGGAGAGTCCCAGGGGACAGGCTTCGGGGCAGCCGTAGACCAGCAATACCTTTGCTGTCTTGTTGATCCATGTAATATAGACGTCGCTATCTAGGTTTCGTGTGCGGAAGCAGACCACGGAGATATCCGGCAGATTCTCTGTGTCGACTTTCCTAGATAACGTCGGTGTTAAATACGTCCAGTTGACACGCATGCGCTTAGCCGCTCCGGAAAAGTCCACAATTCTTTCCGCCGAAGATGGTATGCAGACGCATCCTCCATTTACTAGGGTAGTAAATACTTCCGAGAGCGCAATATCGACACTATACGAAGAAATTTGCATAACCCTACTAGATGGGTTAATCAATAACGTCGAGCCCTGACCAGCACACGCGGTGGCTAGAGCAGCATGGCTGTACGAGATTCCTTTAGCATTTCCAGAAGATCCTGAACTGAAGAGAATGCAAGCTATATCGTGAAGTGAGGGTTGCGGAAGTATCATATCAACCATTTGTGCTGACATAGCTGAAATAGTCCTTTCGTTCACGACGATAACCTTTGTACTGAGGCCATCTATGTGCCTTTGGACGTGATCCGAAACTAGCATGAAACTGGGAATGACGGTCTTGATGACCCAAGCAAAAGATGAGACCATCTCAGCATCGACGGGAACCAAGATTGCGCCGGTACTAGGATCGGTTAGTGTATGCCCCTATTCGAAGGGGTGTCGGGTGTCGTCGACTTACTAGAGTACGGCCAGCATAGCCACCACCGCCCATCGACTTTTGTCGACGATTACTGGTACGGGAGTTTGGGGCTTCAAGCCAGAAGCAAAGAGATGCCTAGCGAGTACGCGGGATAATCGGTGCAGATCGTAATATGACAGGCTCCCATCCCAGGAGCAGACAGCTTCTATGTCGGGGTTTAACAATGCTTGCTTTGCGATTAATTGGTGAACGTTTTCCTTGGAAACATCGACTCGAGGCATGCTGTTCCACGCCAAAATCTGTTTGTGGTCACGCATACTGAAGAGGTCTATTTCCCTAACTGTGCTTGCCGGCACATCTATAATGGCTTCTATGGCGCCCCCAAAAGCGCAGGCGACAGTATTGGCCTGCTCTGAAGTGAGAATTCGATATCCGATATCGAGCGTGACATTCCCGTCATGAAAATATACGTCGATATTAAGGTCAGACTCCGACGCCTGCTCAGTCCTGACATGATGGCAGTTAGTATTTGTGGAAACATCGTCCGAAAAGTATTCGTATCCGAATGAGAGACAAGTATTGAACAGGCGCCCTCCCTTGATCTTAAGCTCGTGCTCGATTCTTGTCAGTGGTACGTGCTGATGGTCGAGCATTCGCCGGCGTTGATCTTCCGTATCTAATAGTAATCGTGCGATAGATTCCCCAGGAGGAATGGCAAGCCTGGATGGCAAGACCATCGAAAATGAGCCAACGGCGTGATCTAAACCCTCGACGGGAAGATCCCTACCAGAAACGCGAAAGCCAAAGCAAACGTTGTTCGTCCCGGTATAAGTTCGTAATAGCAAACCCCAAGCAATCTGAAGTATAGTTGAAACGTTAATCTTGTAATCCTTGGCGAAAGTTTTGAGGCGCTCGGATGAGACATTGAGGTTGATAGATGTGGTCTCCCACTTGCTAGGAACCGGTTGCTGTGAGATGAGCTTGGGAAACTGGCATGGTCGAGCGCCACGTAAGTGCTCCCGCCAAAATTCGATACTGCAAGCAGTCACCTTGAGACATTTCATATATTCGAAACGGGATACTTCGGACCCTCGGGAGCTTTGATCATCGGAATAAGCTTGTTCAAGTTCCCTAAAAAGAATCGCCATGCTGGCAACCTAACCTCCGAATTAGCGATTGAGTGTGGGGGACAAGGAGAAGACAAACTTACATCACATAATGCTTGACTGGTTTCCAATTTTAATAGGGTCTTCCCGGCCACTTTACAAACGACAAGCCTGTGCCACGGGATGCCTTCGTTTAATGACAGTAGCGGGAGGTTCTTCAGGGACATCATTGCATCATCGACGCTATCACTTTCGAGGAAGAGCATGCTGGGTGAGTGAGACCGTAAAATTAACTGGTCGTACAGTCCATTTTTCGAAGCGGCCTGGGAAAAGACGGTTCTCAAGGCCGAGTGTTTTTCCGTTACTTTGTGCCAGGCAGCGCAGATTCGGGAAATGTCAACAGGCCCATCAGATGTGTCGAAATCGTGGATCATCTGTGCGTTGGAGCTCCCTGACACTAAAGACTGGTTGGTAAGAATATTCTGCTGGATGATCGTTACAGGATAAATGGCTTCTATGTCGGAAAGGTTAAGGCCAAGACGAGGTAGAATTGCCGTGTTTAATCGACCGAATCCTTCATCGGTAATTTCCATGCGAGGAATGTTCGATGACGGTAGCGCAAGCGACTCGACTTGCAATTCATTGATAGTCTTGCGCACAATCGTTTCGTATCCACGAAACCAATTGCGTACCCGCTCCTGATGTGCGACATCTCTATGGCAAAGGAGCTTGAATTTGGTTTCCCCTTGGTCGACCGATATCGATGTTTCGAATATAGCAATACGTCCAACATTACGCCCAATATCCGATGTCTCAGAAGCTAGCATTTTACCCGGCACGGGTATCTGTTCGAGAAGTGAATCTTGACTCTGTACGTTTTGCATGGTGCTAGGATGGGTGAAGACAAGCTCAAGAGGACAATGGGAAGAAACAAAGGAGAGCGCGGAGCTGGAATCAATTAGATTCCTAGCAAACTGCGATGGACCTCTCCGGGAATTGGCACGCCGCGAATCTTTCACATGGTTGAGGACGGTCAGAAAATCGTCTGCGGAGGAAACTTCCATGGCTAATGGGTAAAGTGAAGTAAACCACCCGACAGTCCCCGACACGTCACGGTCTGTGTCTGATACAGACCGTTCGTTCTCCTGATTCCATAAGGTAGGGACTAGCCGATCGCGAAACGTTTGCGCAAAGGAAAGGACAAGGGCAGCCATGAAAATATCCACGGTATCCATCCTTAACTCGCGACAATTTTCTTCAAGTACAGACGTTACGTCCTGACCGAGTGTAAAACTGAAAGCTACTATGTTTCCATAGGTATTAGAAGCAGAATCGACACCCCAGTACTGGGAATTTCCTTCTGGGATGTTGAACGAATGCTCCGCCCCTTGGGTGCGACTTCTTTCATACAGCGACCACTCTTTGAAAGAGAGATTGCGACCAGATACAAGACAGCCACTAGTTAGCAATGCGCCTAAGTCATCTATGATGATCCTCCAAGACTTGAGGTCGACGACGAGATGGTGTGCGATCATATAAAGTACCTGACTGCCATCAGAAGTGCGGAAGTGATGAGCAGCGAACACTGGACCAGTCTCAATATCAATCAACCCTTGCGCGGCCCTTATAACTTCTTCGACTTCAGCATGGGTCTTGGTTGAATGATGTGAAAAGTGATACGAAGATGAGATATCTGACTCTACCAATTGGCACCAAGAGCTCTCATTCCGCCGAAAACGACATCTAAGCATGTGATGATGACCGACGAGGGCCTCAACTGCGGCTCGGATATCGTCCACGATCAAGTTCTGTCTCAATCGAAATAACATGCTTTGGTTAAACCTATAGTTGCCGTTCTTGATTTTCCGTTGCCTATAGTCGCTACCCATAGGCGTATGGAAATATAGACGCTGCATTGGCGACAGATCGAAGGTCATGTTAGCGGTCCCGCTGGGACCCCGAGATTGCGAGACGTTTGATGTGGCGAGAGCAGCGAGTTGAGTTAGAGGTGGCTTCTGTAAGACGCCTCCTGCAATGAGCAATTTCAGTTTTGTCTTTGAGTCGGCAGAAAGAATTTGATGATATAGCTCGTCGTTGGCGTTTTGAATCCATGTTTGCAGCTTCCTCCGATTATTTTTTCCGGCATCATCCACAGGCATTTTTTCTAAGACTACCCAGACACGCGGCGCAAGGCCTGGCGGCACTCGTGATTCAACTGCTTTGCGAATCGACGGTAGCTGGCTTGTACGACAAGGATTATGCAGCTTGACTTCACAATCATTCGGTCCCTCCGCCAGGTAACCTGCTAGAGTGACAAAAGCCACTAGCTGGTCCTCGAACGGGCCAGCCTTTGGTTTGAGCATAACTGCCCTTGAGATGTCGCCATGTGAGGTTAGAACCTGCTCCACCTGATTATAACGTCTCCGAGATGGTCTTATTTTGAGGTGTGACTGGGAAGCTGTGTATCTAGCCGGTGCCTTAGGCGGAATTGCTGGAGGTCCTTCAGACTGTAGTGCTCGCTGCTGGGTGCTGCTCATAGGATTCTCCAAGGAGGCCAATTTCAGCGGGCTGACTGTTGTAGTCGAGACCTTGTTCTCCGAATATCCAGACGGGTTGAGCGGTACCACATACGTCTCTAGCTCTGCAATAGTCTTGCAGTTCATGATATCCTTAGTTTTTATAACAAGGCCTTCGTCCATACACTTTGCGCGGAGTTCCCTAGCTTTTCGGTGATTGCCTCCGAGATCAACAAACGACTCATCGAAACGTAGCGATTCAGTGTCTAAATTAAGAACGCTAGCCATCGTGGAAGTGATACGCTCTTCGATCGAAGTGCCCATTGATTTTCTCCACTCGTTGATATCTGTAGGTGACGAGTACACCGATGTCGAGCTGGCTGAGCTCTTCCGTATGAGCATTGCCCCATCGCGGACATATTGAGGGTCACTTGAATCCGAATATATCGAGCTTGAATCATTGTCGTTCTGTGATTCACGAAATGGCGTGGGGAGAGAGCTCGCATCGATGCCCAAGGCGGTGGCCACAGCAAATCTTAGGAGTTCTCCATTGTCTTCTGGCGTTTGAAAAGGAGATGAGACGTCGAATGATACGGTAGAATTCCTCCTAGACATACTATTTACTCTATTGGATGGATTCCTGGGTTTGATATTGAATTCCTCGAACATATCTTCGTCGAGCAGGTCTGTTGAGCTATCCGTCGATGACGATATCAAGAAGCTGTCTTCTGTCAAAGAGGCCATTCCCGGGAAGATAACAGAAAGCAGAAGCGGAAATACTGAACAAGATGGGACGCGGGCAAAAGGTTGTGAATGCTAGGGAGCGAAGGATTGAGCTTCAGCCCTTGTCGCTACGTCTGGCGGGTCCTAGGGCTACCAATTGCACCAAAATGTGTTTGTGACGAGGGCTGCTCAAAGGGCAAGCGTCCGGCAGGGATTAAGGTACATGGAGTCCCGAGATTCTTTACAGAAAAAGAGCACTTGAACTGAACCTAGATCCGTAATAATAGGGTAGTGTCCGGAAGTGGGCGGGGAGTAAAGCAGAAGGAATGTGAAAAGAAGACAGCAAACAGAAGAAAAGCAGGGCATCACTATTTACCTACATCAGGTAGATATGTGTAGCTGACACGTTTAGTCTCTAGACTACATACGGCATTTCGACGCCGCAGCAGAGTGGACGTGCCGACTTGAGTCGAGCGGATCCGGGGCTGCCCACCACATATGTGGACGGGCGTATAGTAGGTAGGATTCGTCCACGGGATACCTACCGCGGGTTCTTACATAAACCTAACACCTGAATAAGATGATGCCATCAGACGAAATGGATCCCGGTTAGACGTTCGCGGTCTCTGTCCGGACGCCACGGATAGTTGTGCCGGGCAGATCCCAGACAACTTAGCCACGGCGTCGCCTTCGGTCTTGGTGGCTGTTGAGCCAGGTCTGCCATTGAGGCCGGGGCTGGCAGGATGCCTATGTCAAAGAGAGCAACAGACGATCTTGCATGCATGTAGAAAAAATAGAAAGAAGGAATAAAAATTACCTAGGCAGGTTAGGTTAAGAGGCTCCGCACGTGGCTCGTGGCTTAATGTTGACGTGAGCGACAGGGGTTTAAACTTAGGCAAAGCAAGGGCGATGGGCAGCTTGCAGGGGTTAGCTTGACGGTTTTGGCAGTTGAACTAAATTTGGAAGCAATAAGCTATGCTTATCTTGGGTCTACCCAAAATGGGTTTAGCTGACGGCAGCTTATGGGCTATTAGGGCGAGTAGCAAAAAGCCAATGACCCATTGGGCAAACTTCTTTTCTCCAACGTTTCCAAGTGCAGGTTATTTTTTTGTAAAAAAATAATATTACTTTTTATTGAAAAAGAAATACATATAAGGCATTTTCATCTAGTAAGTATAAGACATACCGAGGTAACTTTCAAGGCGGGTTAGCTAAGATTTCTGCGGCACCTCGATAGAACTTTTTTCTTTCGAAGTCAGGGATAGTCTAAAGAGGTCTGAGAGGTATCAAGATGCCAGGGATTATGCTACAGCTAGCCCTAGCTGACGACATGTGTATTTATATATAGTTACCACCTAACATATAAAATATCATCCTTTAGCTAACATGGAAGAAGCAAACCCCGTATATATGTAGATCCTTCAATATCCTTCAATGCCTTCCGCAACCTGATCTCAAATGTCACTCCGGGCACCTAGTTATGTATATATATATATATATATATATATTAATACATTGGTTTTCCTAGAAAATCGTCACAGTAGTGAAAGCGCAAACGCAGATGACAATGCTTCCCTAATTTGACTAACTTAGAGTTTTCATACAAAAACACGGTTCGCAATTCGCTCCGTCTTAATAGAAGTTTTGTATCACAGTTAATACCAGTGGAGCATTGGTCCTCTTAAACTAACAAAATGCTCGAAATGAGTAAACGATGTCTTCGCCATATATCTTAGTGGATCCTTACCAGGATGTAAAAAAAATAAAAATTTGCCGTCTTTCAAAATGCGTACTATTCTATTGTCATGGCTCCGTACCCATGCCAGCATTACGGTAGACTATAAATCAGATTCCCGAAGCGATACGAGTCGCCTTTACTTTTATCAAGGCGTGACTAGGAATCTCTTACCATTCCAGAAGTACTGTACAGGTTGGGAAATCGTAAAACATGCAAGTAACCATCTCTAAAACCACATGTATAATACAAACGCGTCCGACGATGCCCATTACCATTTCCCATCAATCCTTCAGCTGGGGGAGGCTATGGACAGTGGCCTGAACATGATTGATTGTCGGGTATCATCCGTCTAAGCCTTGAAAAACATTGACAAAGTCGTCACACAGAACCCCGTTCGTTTCGGACACCGGCTCCTAAACGACCACTTCCTCATCGTCGGGGTCCTCAATGCTGGTCCTTCGAGCTGCCTCGTGAGTGCTCTTGATCTTTTCGCCATCGTCCCCCGTAATCTCATCCGCCTCTTCAATCTTTTCCGGCGTTTCGTCCTCTTTAATCTTCTGTTTATCTTTTTCTTTCGACCCGAAGGGCCAGAGGCTGGTGAAGGCCGAGCTTTTCTGATTCTGTGACGGTGGGTGGACTGGGAGAGGCTTTACGATGACTCCACCCTTCTCGTTGTTTCCGTCTTTATCTACTTCGGGCATTGCAAAATCACCAAACTCTTCATCATCTTCGTCGCCTTCAGCCGCCTCGTCCTTATCGGAGTCGGAGTCGTCTCTCCCGTCACCAAATCTTTCCCTGCCCCTTCGCAAGGCGCCCCGCCACCAGCTACCTCTGGATGGCCCGGCACCCCAAGCATCTCTGTTGCCGTCGTCTTCCCCTAAGCCGTCGTCACTTTCGTCATCGACATCATCCTCTCCGTCGTCCTCGAAGGGATTGCGCAGAATGCTTTCACCATCTCTGCTAGACCTAGGCTCATCGGATTCTTCGTCATCCCCTGCCTCGCCAGACTGCGTCGAGGCAGCAGCCGCATTTTTCTGATGCATCTTCAATCTTGCGGCAAGTTGTAGGCGTGCACGTGACGGGGGAATATTCAATGGCGGAGGCGGAGGTGGCGGCGGCGGAACAGAGGGAGGGTCCATTGAAGACGAAGACGTATTCAGTGGATCGGTGTAGGCGCGAAACTGCTAGGGTGTGAGTAAACGTATTGCATTACGTTTTATAAATGCTTGCGAAAGCAAATTGTCAAATATGGTGTGCATAAAAATGGTTCGGGGGTAGTCAGATCGCTGTAAAACAACTCACCTCGCTATTAACATCCTCTTCGTTGTCCTCCGCGTCATCCTCCTCTTCGTCGCTAGAACTGCCGAAGCCAGACCCCGACAGCAGACCGGAGCTTATGCTGAAGGGACCAAGGCTGCTTCCACTACCATTGTCTTGTATCTCCATGCTGCCACCACCACCACCATTCAATCCTGCCTCAGCAAGCGCGCTCGAACCTCCGCCTTGGGCGCCACCAAGCCCAAGACTTGACAGGCCCATGCCGCCAAGACCGTTGCCAGCCATCTGCGCTCTGTTGTTCAGCGCAACCTCCGGCCTGACGCCACCGAGGATGGCATTATCCCTCTCTCGTGTTTCCGCTAGAGCACCTTCAACGTAATTGATCCAATCTTGGCTCATGACACGATCCAATACGAGCTCCGACAGAAGCTCCGGCGGATTTCGTTCTGTAAATTTGACGACCTCTTCGGCAATAAGCGTGAGGTGGCCCATATAACCCATGCGAGTCTTGTTACGGGCTTGTGACTGTTCGCTAGATGCCTGGCCGTTAATGATGGCGTTTGTAATGTCGGCGGCTTCGAATAATGAGATAGCTAGAGTAGGATTGTAGCCACGATCCATGGGGCCATTAAATACTTGTTGGACGATATCGTAAACGACATTGTGAAGGAAGTTGTTCCAAGGATACATGAAAAAGAACGACTGGATTAAGATTAGCCTCATATTGAGCCCGACTACCACGATATCGCCTAAAGTCACTCACCAATATCGTCGGCACCACCTGATATTCCACAAATTGCATCTTGAGGAAGTCGCCAACAACCGGGTCGAGACGTTCCACAGGCCCAGGCGGACCCGACTCCCGTTGACCTTCAGCTGCAATGGGTATTTCGCCTGACGCAATACCCGCATTTTCAAGCTTGAGTTGCGACAGTTCGTCGGAAACCGCACTCAGCTCGTCCGCCATGGAGGTGTCGATCGCAGTAGATGCCCCAGCGGGGAGTGGAGGAATGGCCTCTGCTGACTGGGCTATTAGGCTGGTAGAGCTTCCTGGTATCTCGCTGGGACCTGCAGATGATTCTTCAGATGTGAACTGCGGTTGCGTAACTTCAACATTAGTCGATACAGGGTGCCTGTCACCCGGTGACTTATCGCTGGCTTCCTCTGTTTGGTGTAGTTCAGTGGCCAACTGCGGTGGTTTTGGCTCGGAGCTACCCGCCTGGCTATCGTCCTCTCGTGTCGGTTGCTGTAAAGCCGCCGGTTTCTTTGGTGAGAGAGGCGCGACAACGAGCTCGGGGTTTTCAAATTGTTGCTCCTCGACTTTGCCGTCGTGAACAATTAATCTTGGAGAACTGAGAGGCTCTTCCACAAAATCATCGTCCTCTCTGTCTAGGAAAGACGCGGTCGGCCCACTAGCAATCTCATCCTCGGCCTTCACAAATTCATGGGACGTATCCTCAGTCATCTCGCCCACAGGAGCAACTTCCTCGAACCCATCATCATCGGAAGCATTTGTAACCTCGAGGCGGCGGCCATCATCCGGCGACGAATGTCGCATACGCATAGTTAGGTCCTCTGATGATTGCACCTCTTCGCCGCGGTTCGCAGCAAGTCGGCCTTGGGCTCGTAGTCGCTGCCGCTCTTCGTCCCTCAAAGCAATAACTTGCTCGGAGCCAACTTCGTTTAGCAGTGCCATGTTGCTGCAGTGAAGTAGCTCGGCCATGAGCTCACAAGTCTTAAAACGGTCAAAGCCGAGGGGTTCGATCTTCTCACCAAACGTCGACTCCAATCGGTTTTTCTGGGCCGGGGCATTGAGAATTAATGACATAAAATCGGGAACATGGTTGGCGAAAAACCGAAGCAGGGTACCGAGATAAATAGGGTCGCGACTAGACGGCAAAGCGTTCGAGTCGGATCCAACGTCCGGGTCATAATCGGAGTTGTTCTTTCGAATAACTTCGATGACGATTCCCACGCCAACGGTCAGGGCGTTCCCGCCACCGAGCATATACCCAATAAGCGTCTGAATGCAAGGCTTAGATACTAACTGACGCGTGAGTTCGTTCGGGCCGATACAAGCCTGCTCGTTCTGCGAGGCATTAGCAGAGACAGTGATAATGGCTTTGATGAAATCGCCAGCAGACGTCTGCGTGGCATAGTTATGTTCCGGTCCAAGAAACGAAAGCAACGTCGGCATGACGTCTTTCGTATAGAGCCACTGGTGGGAACAAGATCATATTAGCTAGTTATCTTTATACCGATTGCGCTTTACGCTTCTTGTTTCTAGATTTGGGCATAAGCATACCTCAACTATACCCTGTCCATTCTCGGTTCTTTCGAGACTGATAATCTTGAGAAGGAGATCCATAATCATCGGGCAGTCGACGTGCCGTAGCATGTCGGGGATGGCGTCATCGAGAGATTTCAATAAAGCTATCATCTCGTCCGTCTTCTTGTCGAATAGAGCCTCGTTTACTTTGGTGAAGTAGCTGGCCTGCAGTGGATCCAGAGGAGACGGGAGCTTCAGGAAATTCCAGAAGTTGCACAAAAGACGATGGCTCTCCATCAGGGCCTCGTAGATAGACCAGTTATCGGAGGAAAGGACCTCGGCTGCAACATAGGCATATCTGTTCCGCTTCTTCTCGACTTCGTCTTCATCTGCGCCATCGCTAGTTGCCCTCGACGAGGCACGGGGACGGCCAAAGGACAGACCCCTTGATCTTCCTTTCTTGTCATCGTCGTTGGTGTCGTCTTCGGGAGTTTCTACTGGTTCAAGTTTTGGAGTGACGACATATTCAAGTAGCCTCTCGAGGACCTTGGGTTCGCGCAAGTACTCGATGAGTTTGGTGTTATGCTGTTTCAGCTCCTGGATCAGATCACTCTCGTCAAGGAGATCTTCGAGCTGAAAGTCGGGCTTATCAAGAATGGTATCGATAGTTGAGATGTTGGCGTAACCGCCAAATCTCCAGAACATGGCGACTCGCGATGGGGGCGATACCCTAAGTCACTGCACCGGCTGGGCGGCACCGGCTGGGCGGCACCGGCACTGGACTGAAATGGTTATAGGTATAAGTGCTGAAATGAACGTGAATGCGAATGAAGATCGTCGGTGGGCGTAAGGTGCGGGATTCGGCATACGAGAGCGTATATTCGGTAGGACCTGGTTTGATTGCGCGCCTGGGGGAAAGGCGAGAGCGATGCCCAAATGTATAATGTTGATACCGGCGCAAGTAAAGCCGAGTGTTTATTATATTTCTTTATTTCTCTTCGACTCGGTCTGGTGACAATAGAATCAATTTGATCAATTTGTCAGGTTGATCTTAGTGCCTTAGGTTTTCGCATCTCAAACCCCTCAATAAGGGGGGGCTAAACTAATTCCAAATACTGCAAACCAAGAATTAGATGTCCGTCCGTACACTAAGAGCGACTAAGTAGGATGAGGATGCGAGAAGAGAGAAAAAAAATAAAAGAGAACACAGATTTTGTTAGGCGGCGATCGTGGGATTGAGGCGCTTGTCCCTCAATTAGCTACCAAGTTAGGGTATGTAGGTAAGTTACCTGATAAGCCAATGCTAATGCTACTACGCAGTAGGTAATCATGTAGGTGTCGCTTCAGCCACACCGGACCTGTTTCTTGGTAGGGTCAGGTAGCGGGTTAAAAGGGACGGCATGCGAAGTACAGGCGAGAGGATAAAACCACGGGTTTGGTAAAGCAAGATAAAGTAAGCACCTAAGTACGTATGAGCAATGATGAAAGTAGAACAGGCAAGTTATGTAAATAAAATAAAGGATGGAGGTTGTTTGTTCCATGCACCTTTTTTGAAGTTGGGAACTGAGAACTGACTGACCTAGACCTAGACCTAGACTTAGTAGGTAGATTTAGACTTACTGTAAGGACTCGAACTTGAACTTGGGACCTACATAGATCTTGGCCGGGGGATTTTGATTGCGGAGGACGGATAGGTGGATGGGTGGATGGGTGGATAAGTAAGTAGGTATATGTAAGTAAGCTACTAGACGGATTATGGATTATACGATTCAATCAAAAGTTCGATTTGATTCGGTGTTTTCATTCGACATATACATCTGCGGTAGGGAAACCCGGGAAACTAAGAAACCTTAGGGTCAATGCACCTACTTGGACACCGCTGTTGCTGCAAGTGATGTGATGTGTTGGATCAAGTGCGATTCTCATTCCCATTCATTCCGCCCGTTGTTGCAGCTCGAAGGGTTACACACGTGCATGTGGCGCAGTAATCTTCTCTTACTGTGCGGGCAGGTCCGCGCGAGGACCCGATTGGGCAAGGAACCGCCCGTGAATACCTACGTAGGTACCTATCTATGTTATGTAATAGGCACGTGTATCACATCCATGGATGTACCATCGGAATTCAGATGTTGAAGACTCAAGTCCCTTGCTTACCGAGTATGTACCCGGTACATAACAGTTATCCGTAACACGCCGCATTGCGATGTTGCTATGAAAAGCTGCAACTTCGGAATACTTATAGGAATGCAAAGACATAATTTCGGTGTTTACGTATCTCAGCTATTAGATAGTTATAGATACGCATAGCAAGTTTCACCAACTGCTATGTAGATTAAAAGTCTCATCTTAAGATAAACATCACTACAATCTCTTATACCTAGAAGTCGAGAAGATACGCATATTATAAGCAATTAAAACTACCTAGGCAACACGCACGGGATTCATGCTCGATCATCCATATTCAAACCTCTCGGTACGCGGTGATTGGGTATCTATTTTCTTCCATATCTAGGTACTGTTGCCATCATTGATCAGCCTGACGATGTCAACACACCGCAGAAAGATGGTGCCAACCTTGGAATTTACAACACCTCCAAATCTCGTCACTTCTTCATTCGTCAAGTTCGGTTCCATCCTATAGCCTTCCAATCACTCGGCTTCAAAAATCCGTCTCGGGATTTCCTGTAAGCTGCCTCAAAGAATGGCGTAATTGCAGTTGCGCGATAGCCACGGCATTCGAGTATAGGTCCTCTGGCCTCTGCTTCAGGGTACGCATTATCTAGCCGTGAAAGCATGCCAGATATTGGTGGGAGCCTAAACCAACTACTAATCGACACCAGGACCAGCCGTTTCTTGTTCTTCTGGGCTCTGTTGCATATCTTGGTTATACTTTCAGTTGGCGAACACTCTTAGTTTGCAGTCCACACACCCAGTTGCGATAACGCATCGGATCTGCACGTCAGCCTTCGCGGTACCATTCGTAGAAGCACCATTCTGTCCTTCGGCTGACCCGTTTGCCGCTGCTTCGCGTACAATTCCCGGCGCCCACCTTAAGCAAGACACGAAATGTCCATGTGCGTCTACGAGCATCTTGACGCACTTTCCCTCTTGAGACAAGTCCCAGCAACGCAAGACCTTGTCGTCGGAGACGCTGAGCAGGTATTTCCCTCCTGGATGAAAGACTAACGCCCTCACCCAGTTGTCATGCCCCACAAGAGTCTTGATACAATTCCCTCTCGCATCCCAGATGCGTATCGACTTGTCTCGGGATCCAGTCGCCATAAACTCCGCAGAGCTCGACGCCGGGGGCGGTTTACTCAGTCCGGCTAAAGGCGCAAGGTACTGGTAAGTGGAGGGAGGTGCTAGAGTACAACATTCGATCGTATGCTCGTGGCCGACCAATGTCAACTTGCTCTCGGGGTTTGCAAGCGAAATATCCCAGAGGCGAGCGGTCTGGTCGTTGCCGGCGGACAATATATAACGGCCATCCGGCGATGGGCATACATCCCTAACCCACTCCGCGTGTCCTCGTATCGTCTTCACGCAATAGCCCGTCGACACATCCCATATACGTAGAGTCTTGTCCCTAGAGGCGGATACAAGAAGATTACTAGAACTTGGCGCACCGGCGGCACCTGATGGAATGAACCGAACGGCACTAACGCTATGGTCATGTCCTGGTAAAGTCCTGATATTCTTGTAATCTTCAGAAGGGTCCCATAATTTAATGGTTAGATCGCTCGAGCACGATGCGAGCAGGGTTCCTCCCCTTGGACCACCGAAGTCAACATCTAATACCGCTTTGGTATGTCCCTTTATCGTCCGCTCCAATTCTCCCAGCTCCCAGTCCCATATTTTTATGGTGTAATCCTCAGAACCGGTGGCTAGGGAGGAGAAGACAGGGTGAAACGCGACGGAGGTGATAGGACCTCTGTGGGACTCCAGGGTGTGGCGTGCAGGAGATCGGGGGAGCCAGCTAGACGGATCCTGGTTTCGCTTAGAGAGAGAGGTGGGTGTTGCATTATCCAACTCGGATTGTAGGGAGGCGGTCTTTGACTCCAGCTCCATAATCTAGTATAGGGGTGATCTATATATCAGCAAACGGCCAATGCTCATAGAGGAGAATGTCGATTGCCATACCTTCTTCTGTAGCCGCACAACGCTGGTCCACTTCTTTTCTAGGAGACCCTCATATTTCTTTGACGTAGCAGAATCAAAGCTGTCGCCAAGATTCAATTCTTCTCGTAGTGCAGCGGCAGTGTTGGGAAGATTGTTAGATGAGAGGTATGCAACGATGGCTTTATGCCTTGGACAAAAGTTAACATTGTCTCCTAATTTTTCCATTTTCGAACGTGGTGAGAATACAATGGATTCTCAAAGGGAGAACTTACAGCTCTTCAGCTTGGCGTGAAGTCAGGAGTTGGCTCATCTTGTCCAGTTCACACCTCAAAGACGTTCATGAGCCTAGCAATGAGAGAACGATGTTAAGTCTGCTCGGGAAGTGGAAGTGCGGTGATCAATATAGCTGCGGAACCTGAATGCAATTCTTAGGAGAACCTGGCCACAACAAAGAGAGGGCGCAGCCAACCCGACACAAGATGTTAGGGACGGTCTCAGAAAATAGCGACAAAGAAGAGGTATGTAATATAATAGGATTTCCAGTGAAGTGACAATAATGACAGCTTAGGAGACGTCGTTGGAATGTTTCCGAATTGGACCGGACAAGACTGCTCGTCAAAATGGGAAAGACGCAAGGGTCGGGCAAAGTGAACGAATTGCCGGCGAACTATACAAGACTAGGATATACTCGGAGGGCTTTGCCAGCAGATCGAGTATGCGAACCGGACTGGCGTAAAAGATGTGATATCCTCAAACTATTGGGTTGAAAAGGTAGTGGTGTTGGTGGTCGAATTGTTCGTTCAGTAAAATGTGGCGTGTGTGCGTATGCGATATACGGTATACGTAGAACCCAGACTACATATGCACCTATTTACGTTTGCGTGACGGGTGTGCGCCGGAACGATAGAGTTAAAGCTCGACGTCGCCGTTACAAGTGCGAAATAGGATCGTCCAATTTAATCAAGTAGATGCGTCCGTATGCGGTAACGGAGGCATGTCGTTTCGGAGGGAGACAGATGGGCGATCGGTCAATTCGTCGGACCTTGAATGGAAAGAGAGAGAGAATAAATAACAGCCAAAGATGTTTTGACTTATTTCTCTATTCCGACGGTGCATTGACTGGTGATAGATTGGAACATTAGAACATTCATTGGAACCCGACAAGACATGTGCACATGTGAAGCCACATGGCTTGACAGTTGGTAGTTGGGAGCACAAGCCACAAATATACCCCTCCATTTACAGGTAGGTACGGACGTTCCTACTGATGCCACTTGCGTTCTGGGGTATTTACGTATTGACATCCTCCATACGTACCTTGTACATTTACATTCGATGTTCATCCATGTAATAAATAAACGAAATACGGAATATCTTGATACCTTACACATAAGTAATTATATATACACATTCAATAAAAACTGGTTCAATACAATAAAACTTCAAGAAGATTTTACTTATATGCTATAATATTCATCAAGTCCTCAACACATGTGTTAATTAATGCGGTGTACCTTGCAGCAACAGTGCAGTCATGGATGTGTTCAATTGTTCCGACCCAAGTATGTATCGCTGTACCCAGTTGCCCTGATGGCAACCCCAGCTAAATCGCTACGTCAACATTGAACCTTGTAAGTCAGTAGCTAGGTACCCCATATTTACTATTTCGATGCGTGAATATTAGTGGTACAATTTTAGTGGGATGCCTAAAGGCAATAATTCGGCAAACAGATACCTTTCGTTATCGTCAACATAAGGTTCAATTGTTCGACCAGGTCATACCTAGTATGGTATAGGTACCAGTTACTTATGTAGCATCGCATCTTACCTATGTATGTTTTGCACCCCTCAACTTTTAAAACTTCAGATGCACATATAACTTTATGGAATCTTTCCCCTATCGGATACCCTGGGTACATAATTGTTTTTATCTTGCCTTTCCCTTGGTAAAACTTTCTAAGGAGAGACAGCGCTATCAAACTCCCTTTGCCGCCTATATTCTACCGAGTCCCGAATCCCAAGACCCAAGATCCGAGTCTCGAATCTCGGTCTCATCCCATCAACACATCTAGCCCGAGAAAACTTTCCACGACGAGCAGTACGAAGAGCGTAAATACACGCAGGAGATATACGTTTATCGACGGGCGACTGATTATCGACGGCTGACGACTCGACGGCTAGCTTAAATCCCAACTTTGTCTCATGAAAGCAATGTATGTTCATCATGTCTATTATGTTTACCTTCACACAACCAACTCGGCTTGTCCCTCATTCTATCCCTCGCTCCTCGACATTCATACTACCACATGCTCTTCTATGTGTGGTATTGATCAGTCTCTCTATACGCTCTACGGATTGCCTTCCCCCGACACTGGAACCAACGCGGTAACATCATCATACGTACTTATTATTCCCGCGATGGATGCAAGACAAGGCACGCAGAACGAGGAACGAGGGACTAGAAACATGGGAAATCGCCTTCCCAACTCTATCCCGAGCTCTTTGTTTCCCTATGTTTCTCGCAATACATGGACAAGATCCGTCTTTACCTGTCAGGAATTAGTTGTAACGAAACTGATACAGAAAAGCAGTCTCGACTTTGTCGCCTAGACGTGCTGAAAAAGAAGCCAGTCGCGCACCCTTCGACTACCACACACCCGCTCCGCCCCGAAATCCACATCTACGTCGTCTACGGTCCAATAATATTTTCCTCCTGTCACCGCCAACATGGCTGAGGGAGAGCCAGACTACAACTCTCTGCCGCTAACAGACAGATGGGTACATAAGGTGCGTATATCGATTAATATGCCCGCGTCGTCGTGGTTCTATTATACTAAACAATCTCAATATTAACAGGTTTGGAAAGCTCGCAAGCAAGCGTATGAAGAAGCAGCAAAACAGTTTGAACTTACTCCAGATGAACACGATCCCGCATTTCGGCCATTCAACCAAGATCCCAGTCTATGGAAAGGCGCTGTGGCGGATTCGAACGTTGCCGCGCAATCGGATGGCATCGCTGCATACTGCGCATTCCTTAAATTCGGTGGGAAAGAAAATTGTGTACGTTCGCGAGGCCAAGTAGTTACCCCCATCGTCGAAAAGGGCCTTGTGTCTACAAGGCCGGCTACCAAGGCGTCTTCGGTCGAGGCCCTATTGCTGCTCATAGAGCTCGATGTCGCCGGCCCCATAGTCGAGGACATCCTCCCGGCCATATCCGCAAAGCAACCGAAGGTCATTGCAGCCGCCTTAGCAGCGCTGACCACCATCTTCCACAACTACGGTTGCAAAATAGCCGACCCGAAGCCTGTTCTTAAGATCCTTCCCAAGGCATTTGGACATGCGGACAAGAACGTACGAGCCGAGGCTACTAATTTGGCGGTCGAGTTCTACCGATGGCTGAGGGACGCGATGAAGCCCATGTTCTGGGGCGATTTGAAGTCGACCCAGCAGTCCGACCTAGAAGCACAATTCGAAAAAATCAAGGCAGAACCGCCGCCGAAACAAGAACGTCTCTTGCGATCCCAGCAGGCGGCCATGGCTCGCGCACCTCCTCCAGGGGCCGAGGGAGAGGATGTGGACGAAGACGACGGAGCTGACGAGCCGGCCGAAGTCGACGCGTTTGACCTTGCAGAGCCCCAAGACGTCTTATCAAAGGTACCCGCCAATTTTCACGACAACCTCGCCTCTTCAAAATGGAAAGACCGCAAGGAGGCTCTCGAGGCAATTTACGCTGTTCTCAACGTACCAAGAATCAAAGATGGTGACTTTGGCGAGATCAACCGTGGTTTTGCCAAGTGCATGAAAGATGCCAACATTGCCGTGGTAACTCAGGCAGCTCAGTGCATCGAGGTACTCGCCAAAGGTCTTCGAAAAGGCTACGGCAAGTATCGGTCCGTCGTCATGGCGCCCATCATGGAGCGGTTAAAGGAGAAGAAGCAGAGCGTTGCAGATGCACTAGGTGTTGCTTTAGATTCAGTATTCCTTTCTACAAGCCTGTCCGAATGTCTAGAGGATATCTTCTCGTTTCTCAGCCATAAGAACCCGCAGGTCAAGGAGGGGACTGTGAAATTTCTTGTCCGGTGTCTAAGGACAACCAGGGAGCCTCCTAGCAAACAAGAGGTCGCTGGTATGGTTGAAGCAGCGAAGAAACTACTCTCGGAATCGAGCGAGGGTTTAAGATCCGGCGGCGCTGAGGTTCTAGGTACGGTCATGAAGATTATTGGCGAACGTGCCATGAACCCTCATCTCGAAGGCCTAGACGATATCCGAAAGAACAAAATCAAGGAATACTTCGACAAAGCCGAAGTCAAGGCTAAAGATAAGCCTAAGCCAGCTCCGGCTCCGGCTGCGCGAGGCCCACCCGGCGGTCCGAAAAAGATCGTTGGCGGTGGTAAGAAAGCCCCCGGTGCCACGAAGAAGGCTGCTCCTGCTACTTCTGCACCCCCTCAGCCCGTGTCGGAGTCCGCCCCCACGGCGCAACAGGCATCTCGACCCGCTGCGGGCAGCAAGCTTGGCATGCCTAAAACATCCGGCCTGACCGGGCTCAAAGCGCCGCAGAGACGTATCGGTACCCCGGGTGTCGCATCCCCCCGACGAGCACCAGCTGCCGCAGCCCCTCCGCCGCCTCCCGTGGAGGATGAAGAACCCCTAGTATCGTCACCTCCGCCGAAACCGCGAATTGGGCTCGGGCGAGGTGGTCTTGCTGCACGGTCGTTAACAAAACCTGCGGCAACCCCCGCGGCAGCTCCTTCGGCGCCCTCGCCGCCTCCATCCAGCGGCCTCACGGCCATGGAGCGCGCGGAGCTTGAGGAGCTGCGCGCGGCCAACGATCGACTCACCAAGCAGGTAGATGAGATGCGACATGAGCGAAATAAACTCGTTTCAGAAGTCCAAGAGCTCAAAAACCAGAATGCCGGTCTTATTGAGGACCACACGCGAGACGTGCTTAGCATCAAGGCCAAAGAGACCCAGCTAGTCAGAGCGAGAAGCGATGCGGAAGCAACCGAGCAAACCAACGAGAGGCTCCGACGGGAACTAGAACGCCTCAAACGCGCACTTAGCAGAGCCGAGGGTCTGGGCATATCTGGGGGTGTCGTCAGTCCAGGAATGACGAGCCCTACACCAGATGACGTGGGTATATATCGCGACGGTGCAAACTACTCGGGTTCCAGAAACAACAGGATGAGTTTCACCAGCACTCTGTCGGAAGAGAAGGAGAATGGCGACGTGCCCCACAACTACCCGAGAAGCAAGCTAAGCCCAGATTTAAGGTATAATAGCGGATCGAGTGGTAGGGGAAGCCCTGCTCGCGGCTTCAGGAGCGCGCCAATAGAGGAAGGAGTTGGTCACGGCACCGGATCCGGTATGAGTTCGGCCCCAGCTGGAACCGGTGGTAATGGCGTGGAGAGTTGGAAGAGGGCAGCAGAAGTTACGAGCCAGCTCAAGGCCAGAATAGAGCAGATGAAGGTGAGATTCCAGACCGTTGCCGTTCGTGTTTGCAGTAATAACTAACGGATCCTAGGCCAAACAAGGGTTTAACCGACCGTAAAGTCGGATACGTCCAGGAGTCTGGTCGTCACGAAAAGGCGTTGGTTAGGAGACGAAAGTTGAAAAACGGGGGTGGGAATCAGGGTCATGTCTGCTTGATCGAGTGCATTTTCGTGGCGTCGGTTACATACCCCAGCTTATTTCGTCCGCTACTAAAGAATTCGGGAATGTCATGATAATTACTTAGGTATTCTTAGACTTAATTACCCCGGGCTTCAGACGGGGGCGTGTTCGTACAACCCGTTCATAATGATGGAAGTCTAGGCCCCTTTTCGTGATCGGTGGTTGAGGGTGACAGGTCCAGGCAACTACCACGGTGACCTGATAAGTAACAATGTTCGCTCTAAAGGCTTTATATTTTTAAACATCATGTCACTTAGATTGGGAATCGGCCTGGGAAAACCAGGTTCAGCTTATCAGATACCAAAGTGAATGGTATAGCTAAGCCACTGCCACCATTGTCAAACAGCTATGTCAACTACCGAGTTCCCATGTGGCCATGTAAACTCATCTACAAACGACACCACAACCGCCACGGACTCGTCTATTTGATTTTCAGGAGAGCCTTTCCAAAGTTCTCACCCTTTAGCATGCTAACGAATCCCTCAGCAGCCTTTTCGATGCCCTCAGTGACGTCCAACTTGGCCTTGATGGACCCCTCCACAATCCACTTCTGGACGTTTTGTTGATGCTCTTGGAAGTATGCACGCCCAAATTCTGGTTGCCCAACCAGGAACCCTTGCATGGTTATGAGCTTCGAGATAAGCAGGTAAAGGCTTTTGACACCGTATCTTTGGTCAGGAGGGAGGTTATATCCCGAAATCTACACAGATGTTAGCACAGAAAAGCTACCAGACTTCTTCAAACATTAAGGGGGGAGGGAGCTGATCGCACCACTATAACAACACGAGTTAGCAATTACTTCCTAACGAATGATTTTAGAAATAAGCATCAGGGGTAAAAGTCCTTCGGCCCAGTAGTCTAAGAAATTGCGGCTGCAGAGAAGGGCTACAATAAGGGGGCAAGAATTTCCAAATGGTACATACTTCCACAAACTGGGATCCGTCCGTGGCTATTCATATTATGGAGGGCAGCTTCAAGCTGTTCCCCTCCCACGTTCTCAAAATAAATGTCGATTCCATTCGGCGCAATGCGGGGAAGCGCGTCGAAGGCGCTCTCCTTCTTGTAGTTAAAACCACCGTCGAACCCGAGCTCCTTCGTGATATAGTCCAACTTCTCGTCGGAGCCAACGGAGCCAACGACTCTGAGTCCCTCATGCTTGGCAACCTGCCCGACGACCTGTCCAACAGCACCAGCGGCCGAACTGACAAATACCGTCTCCCCCTTTTGGGGCTTCCCGATCTTGTGCAAACCAGCATAGGCGGTCAGACCAGGCATCCCTAGCGGGCCGAGAAACAAGCCGAGATCCAAATTGTGCGGGTTGTTAATCTTGCGGACGCTTGCCATCGAGGGGTCTGGGATTCTAGCATACTCTGCGATCGGGAGGAAAGCAATTACGGTGTCCCCTTCTCTATACTCCGGGCTGTCCGATTTGAGCACCCGAGCAACGGTATGATTTGTCAGCGGATCATCAATAGCAAAGGCCGGCGAGTAGGATTTGATGCCGGCATCGCGCATCTTGCTACGAAGGTAAGGATCAAAAGAGGCGTAGAGTATCTCGACGACCAGGCCTCCTTTGGGGGCTTCCGCGTCTAGATCTATCGGCCGATCCTCGACAGCGAGATGTTCGCCCGGTACCGGAAACCCGGTTGGGACTTTCTTAAAAATAAGTGTTTTGTTCGTAGTCATTGTCCAAGAATCTAGTCGCTTCTATGTGGAGGATCTTAATTGGTTTTGATGGGAAGGTGAAAGATCGGATGCTATCGACGAGTAACATGTATATGGGGTGGAAGATCCGCTTGCGCAATCATTTTCTTTCTTTCTTTTTTCTTTTCCTTTTTCGACGGATATCCCACTCTTATATCTCCTATTACATATCTAAGTACGCATTTTAATTTTGCACGCATAAGTTAAGACGAAAAAGATGACGTTTTAGGGGCGTCAACAAGCACGACTAGACGAAAGAATCCACCCCCGAAACAAGCTTCAGTTCGAAGATATCCGAACAGCAAATTCATCAGGTCCCACATGCCTAGGCAAATGAGTTAATAGCCTAGGCGTTGTACCTAGCTTAGGTTAAAGGAGGCAGCAGATTGCCTAGATAATGGGTAGAACAGTAGGTAGAATAGGTAACTCGCCCGTATGGAATTTCCGAATCCGTGAGGTTGCCCCGAATTTGTGGGATTTGTGGAATTTCCGAAGTTGCCTAGGCATTGTTGGCATTGTTCCGTACGAATCTGCACGTAAGAGACATTCAGCATTCAGCATTGCCGACTTCCCCGCCACTTTGCCTCCTAGTATGTCGTATCAAGAGAAGGTCTAGAACACTAAGCCCATCAGTGTATGTGTACAACATTACGTCAAGCCGTAGATTCATTATGGCAAATATACCAAGTTCATTTATGTCTAAGAAAGACGTTCTTCATCACGGGTTTAACTACGGGAAGGTAGGCAATATACATTTTGCGGTATCGATAAGGGGTTCGAAAAAAGGCCCGCTAGCGGCTCTGACACATGAGCAAGACATACAATGAATATAAGTAAAGATAACCAATCAGCCGACAATTATCCAAGCGCCACTTAGCAGTGGGAGTCTGGATTGAGAAATGGTCCTATGGTGCAGTGGTCAGCATGGTGCTCTTATACTTATATACAATTGTGTATTGAACATATGAGTTATGCATAGGTCGTGGGTTCAATCCCCACTAGGACCAAGTTTATTTTTGCACAACGCTTGCACACATATATGTCTATATACCTATGTATCATCTATGCGTTTAATTCAATTATGATAATGCATTCATTCATTATTCGTCTTGACCGATGCCGCCAACCCCAAATTCCTACTTCATGCTGTGCAACATAATTAAAGCTATAATCATAATTTAGTTTTGTTTATCTTTTACCTCACATATTCTATAGGCTCGCATTTACACATTTAAACCCTCTTCTGCCTGTCTCTTCCGATCTTTCCGCCAAACAAGAAGCCACGAGGTAAGTATCGATGCGATCCCTACGCAAAGAAACCCAAGGCAGATCCCGTATGACACGTGGTACGTCGGACCAAATACCGTACTAAACACATGAGGACCCGCGATGCCGCTGAACTGAGCCATCGCATTCGTCCATCCGATGCCGAGCCCCGATCCGACGGTCCCCTCGAGATCTCGAATGCGTTCGGGCCATATTACCGGATACGCCGAGCCGGCACACGACACGGCGATGATCATAAATATATATCTTGCCAGTGCATTTTGGACGGTGAAGAGAACAATATAGCAGACGATGATCGCCAACTCAACTGCAATCCAATTAACCCCTAGATCCAAATCATTTCTAGGCCGAGTGCTAACTTACTCGCTACCGCGGTCGTCCACGGCCTGATGGTTTTTTTATGTAGAAAATAACCGACGATATTAAGGAATAGGAACGCAGAAACATATGGAGGCTGTCATTAAATATTAGCTACGACTCGAGGCTAATGGTTGATGCGATTCCTTACAATGTTCATTAACTGCGAGTTGGATGTAGTCGTAAATCCCAGCTCGTAGATGACAGTAGGCAGTGCGGTCCCGATTCCAAATCCGCCGATGCCGTGGCAGATCCAGAAGATGGAAAAGGTATAAAAAGTTGGATCTTTAAAGAGCTTTCTCAGAGATTCGAAGTCCCAGCTCCCTTTCTTGCCTGTCGGGGCAGTCTGTGCGAGACGTTCTTGGAGAACGGCTCGCTCCTTGTCCGTGAGCATACGAGCCGTCTCCGGGTAGTCAGGGAGCCATAGTGCTACGGCCGAGAGGGCAATGGCGGGTAGACCTTCGATTAAGAAAAGCCACCGCCAGCCAGCGAGGCCTCCTAATCCATCCTAGAACGTAGGCTGTCTCAGTGATGGCATCCAATAATAAGGTTGTACGACAAGGGAACATTTAGATAATATAACCTACCATAAATCCGATAGAGTAAGCAAGCAGACCGCTCACCGCTGGAGAAAGCTGACCGACGGAGTAAAAAATGGCAATTCGTTGGGGCATCTCCCTAGGTTTATACCAGAAGGCCATGTGATAAAGTACGGCTGGGAAAAAACCCGCCTCTGCCATGCCGATGGCAAAGCGGACGCACATCATCTGAACCCATTCATCGCATCAGCAACTTCCAGTTCATTACCCTCATATCGTACCACAGGATGTGCTTACACCTTTAAAATCCTGTGCTGCGGAAGATGAGCAGGCAGATATACCCCAGCCGAGAATAAGGACGAACATCCACCGCGAAGGGGAAAACACTTTCATTGCTAAAGTATTTGTTGGTTCGAAGATCATATAGCTATATGAGAAAATAGACAACGTCCACTACAAATTTCAGGGTCAGTTATTCTACCGTTTGTATTATGATTCCAAGACCAGTCGAGGACTCTCGATTCTAAGATAGGCTGAAAAAGAGGCTGAGCGGCGGGTGCTACTCACTGCCCACTGTGAGGGACTCAGTCCGAGTTGTTTCTTTATACCTGTCCCATGCTCAAGATTGATTATTGCTGCGTTCGAGTAATTGGCTGAGTCGATAACCCTGAAAATATAAACCAACGAATAAAACCCGACCAGCCACAGATCTATCCTTTTTATAACTGACTTTTCTAACCCGGATTCAGCTTCTGGTAACTCTTGATCTTGAGATATTCCGACGTCATTAATCTGACCCGACGTTTCCGTGTCGTCAGTTATAGCATAAACTTTGCTTGAGCCAGAAGCCATGTCAACGTATGTTCAAATTGATTAGCTTTATTCCAGGTGTCGTAAGTTGGACGAGAATCTAGACAAGAGGATATAGGACCTAGTGAGATAACAGGAGACTCCTAACCAAGACCCTGGGCCGGCGGTTATAAATGACGATAGAGAATCGCTCGAAGTATAATCCTATGGAGCAACAACAGTTGACCCAGCTTGGTTTACACGGGCTCTACTAAGATATGGCGCCATATCACAGAAAATTGTGACAGACTCGATACCCCGGGTTCATTCCGCCTTAATGGTTCCTAGTATATATCCCAACGATAGGCGATACCCCATGACATTGGAGCTGGAGGGAAGAGTAGATGTGACTACAGAAAAAGATAGTGCTCCTTTCATCTTCGTCAACGTTATCATTGACTGCGGGGAACATTGTCCGTCGTGGAGGCGCATCCGACGTTTTCGGAACCCATCGAGGCACCCCGGAAGTTTCTCCAATCTCATTACTATGTTTCTGAGCACGCCTACGATGAGGTCGATGAGAACACCAAGCACGCAATTACCCCCGCCTCCAAATTCACCTCCAACGCAACCAATTAAGTTATGGATGACAGGCTATATTCATATCAGGAGGGTATAGAATTGATATGAATTAATCAGAGCCAATAGAAGAAACGATATTCTTGTTTCCAAGCATATAAACGCCCAAGTAGACATAAGGCGCAGCTATCTATGTTATATTACATTACGATTGTTTCACCCAAAAGGAATAGACTAATCAGTTAGATCGATCAAAATGGCGCCCATTGCCCTTGAAGCACCCACAGTTGATCGATCAGGCGATGGCAAGATTCTCGTGAAGCCGTGGTCTCGGCCAGCAAAGACATCAGAACAGCTAGAATGGGCAGAATTGCCGAAGATTGATCTGTCACTCTTTGACAACCCCGATGGCAAACAAGAGCTTGCCCAGCAGCTTTACGACGCTGTCACCAGAGTTGGATTCTGGTCTGTGGTCAACACAGGGATTGACGATGAGCGCGTGCTCCGTCAGTTCAGCATCGGGAATACCTTCTTCAAGCAGCCAATCGAAGAAAAGCGAAGGTTCCCCTGCAACTTTGCTGAGGGTGAGTATTTCGGGTACAGGGAGAATTCACGCTGGATTGGCGACACGGGGATTAAAGAAAACGTGGAAATGGTACGCACATCGTCCTGAAATTTGCAGATTCCAAACTCATGATATGATAGTTAAACATCCCCAAAGCTATCCCGGCATACGACAAAGTAGGAAAACACAGGATAGCGGAGGAGAATTGGGACGAGATCGCTTCATTCCACAAAGATTTATTCGAGAAGGTGGTGCGAAAGCTCTTCGTTCTAATCTCTATTATCCTTGAGCTTCCGGAGAACTACCTCGTTGATGCACACGGTTATGATGACGAATCTGACGACCACCTCCGCTACATGCTATATAATGTCAGAAGTCAGGAAGAATGGGACAAAGCCCAGGCTTACTCCGTACGCATAGACGCATTCCGCCCCCCGTCCTCTTACCGCTTATTATTTTTCGAACCCCTATCGAGTGTGAAGTGAAGAGATACTAATTGACATCTTGGTACATGCAGAAAGGGGGCCATACCGACTTCGGGAGCTTGACTCTGCTTTTCTCGCAGCATATTGCCGGGTTGCAGATCCGCACGCCCGAAGGCCAATGGAAATATGCTAGTCCAGTGGACGGTGGTAGTAAGTCCAAATTCCTAAAGTCTCATCAAAGATATCCGTGATTTGCATAAGACGATCCTCCTACCTTTGAATGATACGCCAGAGTGGAAGACGTATGGAAACTGCGCAAGAACGCGAGTTGCTAATCCAAAGTATTGCAGTTACGTGCAATGCGGCGGACACGTTGACATTCCTTACGAACGGTGAGCGTCCATCTCAGGTTGACTGAGTGCCCGCTTGACTAACGTGAATATACTATAGGTTTTATAAAGTCCACCATCCATCGCGTAGTCACGCCACCAAAAGATCAGATCAACATTCCACGTCTCGGCTTACTGTACTTCAGCAGGCCAGGGGCTCGCACGCCTATGAAAACAGTCCCATCCCCTCTCCTGGATCGACTTGGCCTTATTCCACAGGAGGACAAAGATCCTAACAAGCCCGTAGTGTCCGGAACCGAGTACGTCCGAGCAAGAGTCAAGGATGTTCACTACAAAACCGTCCTGGATAAGCGTGAAGGAACGACATTCGAATTCAAGGGTCTGAAGGTACAGAACCACTATGTATGACAGGATGCGCCTATAATTTTACAAGATGTCCGCGTTGGTCGTTATGTCTCTAACCTGTCAAGACGTTCTGACGAACATGCTGTAGGGCAGACTGTTGGCAGCTATTGGATCACTTGCATTTTTCCCACTTCTGCATCTAGTTCGTGAATTATATGAAAGCATATTGATTTTCGATTCCCTAAACCAGTGATCCTCAACATACACTAGAGCTCGGCTTTGATGACGTTATACATCGTAGTAGGGGTATGGTGCGCTGCTATCTTCCCCCTTTTTCCGCCTTTCATCTAGTAGCTTATACCAAAATATGACAAAAGCAGGCCGGCAAATCATAGTCAGCACATCACCCTTTTCCATTGGCTTTTCCGGCGCATATTCCCCCAAAGAGTGACGAATTAGATCACTCGCATCGTAACGGCAGTATTTGCACATCGCCTCCATATGCAATGGAAATAGTGGCTTCTTGTCCTGACGCACGACGATGACACTCCCTACGCCGTCCTGCCATTTCAAGGGGGCAAATCCCCAACCTAATTTCCCCATTTGAAGTTTAAGGTCGGCGTTCGGGTCGCAGCACAGATGGAGGTAGGTAGCGTCTTGATTATTAAAGGGGCTCATACCTTCGAAGGCCTTGTAGTTCTCGTTGTTGGCCCACTTTGGGTCGGGACGGCAATGTTGTGTGATGATGGGCAGCTCAACGCGTTTCATAATCTCGGAGACGTCGCCATAAGAGAAGATAGGGTCTGGCTGTGCAATCTCAACTGCCTCAAACTTCGGCCGCCCGCACATCTTCTGGTCCCCGATACAATTAATCCTGACACCCTTGATCTTCTCGCCGACGGACTGCAGTCATGTAAGTAACAATAAGGATAAACGATATAAGGTTCACCTTTTGGCGCAGTTGCGACAACTGCCGATTGACCGGCACTGGATCAAGGCTATACGAGATCAAGAGATCGGCCACATGTCGGAAGTCGTTCAAGTCAAGGTCCTTACAAGCGATCTGGTCGATACCAAGCCCCTCCTTTCCATAAGCTAGTATCGGGCCTCGCCAGTCAAGGGACCGGTATGGTTTCGTGGCAGTGATAGCAGCGATACTTCTATTGGGCCTGGATCCATCGACAAGAAAAGAATCGCTATAGCAAAGATTGATTGTATCCGAAAGATCCCTTTCCAAGATCCGGTTGCGCTGAATACTCGTGGTACTAGCAAACACGTCTACACCTAGAAATGGCTTCTTGTCAGGATGCTGATACCATCCATCCTCTTCGTCATCGCGCCACGGGCAATGAAGCCAGATGAGTTCGGGTTTCTCCTTGTCAACCGGGAAGAAGATTGCTCGAAAGTGATTTTTGCTTGGTCGCTTGGTAGTATCGAAATTCGAAAATGCTTTACAGAGAAGCTTGTGGGTAGGCCAGTCAGCACGTTGACATGCTTTTGAGCAGTAGCGGATGCTCTTGCAACGGTCGCAAAAGTTAGCACTAGATGTGTTGCAAATGATGCACGAATCTTTAACTTCGACGCCCGCCATGATTCACTCAGTGGGAGAACGATGTGCTTGAGAAGAGACGGATAGAGTGGATATGTTTTTTTGGTAAGGGAAAAACCCATGAAGGAGAATATAAGAGAAACATATGTTAAACATTTCAATAGGACCACGTAGCTCGTGGGAGGTGTGTTTGTGATAATGATTTGCTGTTGGAGCTGCGGCAACCTGCATGTGCCGAACGGTTTACTACCTACATACCGAATCAGATCAATTCCAAACACTTGAACCGAAAACGGACATTCGAGTAATACGGTATCTTTATTGTGCTTCATTTCAAAGGAGGTATGCTTATAATATAAGAAGTCACATACTATATCTTCCTAGGTACCTTATGTTATACAGTAGGTAGCCATCTAATATAGAAACGGGATATCACACGAACTTAATCATCTATACACAAAATGAGAGCCCTTGGGCTATTCCACATCACCAGAGCAAAACCATACAAGAACAGTACCGCTCCAAGACATTGATTAACAAGGTAGCGAAGGAAATGTAGAAGATGTAATGCGGGTTCGTACCAATGCCAAGTCTATGGTGACCGCCTCAATGACATGTACCTATGGTAGGATATATGATCCCAAGTAAACATTTCTGTCGACAACCTATCAGGCGCACATCATTACACGTCTGTTTGACAGGGGAATCCCTCAAGTAAACATTCCCGTGTCAATTATATTCCTGTATGAAGCTTATGTAATAATTCCTAAATATTTCATTGGCTATGTCTTCGTATTTATTACAAATGTTCGAATTTGTCAGCTCCTATATTATTAACTAACACCCGTATCAGGTCACCGCTCTAAGAAGAAGGCATATATAAATTACTTATACCGAGAGTAACACTAAAGCTTTCATCCAAACGGCATCATTGCCTTCAAAGCAACTATTTGTTCTGCATACACACCCTATCACAGCCTCACCTCAGACACATACCAATCCAATTGCTCATAGGGTCATAATGGCACCGAAAATGAAGGCCTTGGTCACCGTCGAGGGAAAGACTGCGACCGTTCAGGAAGTAGATATCCCGAAACCTAGCGAAGGCGAAATATTAGTCAAAGTCCATTATGTGGCCCTGAATCCGACGGATTGGAAGCACGTGAAATTCGTGCCGCCTGGTCGAATCATCGGTTGTGACTTTGCCGGTATTGTGGAAGACAGCAATGGCTCCCGGTGGCGCAATGGGCAACGCGTCTCAGGTTTTGTCCAGGGTTCTTCTGTCGATCCGCTCAGAGGAGTATTCGCAGAGTACGCCGTCATCGAAGCCAGTCTGGTATATCCGATCCCGGACGAGATATCCTATCAGGATGCCGCCGTCATCCCATTAGCCTTTGCTACGGCCGTGCAGGCAATCTTCGGGAGGCTAAAGTTGCCCGAGCCAAGCAACCCAGCCAGAGACGCATTCCCTTTCCTTGTCAGCGGTGGTACCTCGAGCGTTGGTCAGTACGCTGTTCAGTTGGCTAAGATGGCCGGTGCGTTTGTGATCGCAACCGGATCAGCTCGAAACCACGAGCTTTTAAGATCGCTGGGTGCCGATGCCGTGGTCGATTATAAGGATCCAAATTGGCCAGAACAGGTACGCAAGCTCACTCACGATGGTCTCGAATTTGCTTTCGATTGCATATCCGAGAAGGGCACACCAGAGGCTGTCGTAAAGTCGTTGTCGCCCGCAAAAGGAGGGCACGTCGTCACTATCCTCCCCGCGAAAGAGATCAGGAACAAGATTGGGAGCGAAAAGGTCCAGATAGAAAGTACCATTGTGTATACCGTTTTCGAACGACCACGAAGCTTCGGCACCTTCGACAACTGCGGAGACGCGACTCCGGGCGACAAAGCCTTATGGGAGAAGTATCTGGTCATCCTACCGGAATTGCTCTCTAGTGGTAAGCTCAAGCCTAACAGGGTAAGGGAGCTTGGAGGATTTGATGGTATCTTGTCTGGTTTCAAGGAGCAGGAGGAGGGCAAGGTCAGTGCCGAGAAGCTGGTCTGTAAGATTTCATGATTTTCGAATGAAATTAGTCGCTAGATCCATAGGGAGTTATTTTCTAACCTGGAGAATATGAGGGTCTGGTTGACCTCAAGTCGTAACCTTAACAATTTCCCCAGTCGATATACTGGCGAAAAATCAACACGATTTTCTATTTATTTTATTCGGGACTGTATTGTAGTGCAAATGCTTACCATAATTCATTTCCTCCTTTTTTATAGTGAACATAGGCTTATCTAGTTGCCTGTATATTCTAGAGAGGATAACTTCTTTTTATTCTTCAGCCTCGTCCTCGTCGAGTAGAACAGATTTTCGAAATTCCTTTTATTATAAGTACTTCGCAGGGTCAGTCAGGTCCGGCAACCTGAGATGGTCTATCGCCTCTTGCTAACAATGTCAAGTCACAACTCAGGCCACCTTCTTATCCGCCTCCTTCGCTGACGGGAAGGGATTGTATGATCCCCGATCAGCTCGCAGTTTCTGCAGCTTGTCGACCACCTCTTCCAGCAATACAGGCTTGCCACGATCCTGGGTCGACGTGTCGTCGCGATATCGCACGTTTACCTGTCGGCCCCTCATCTCCTCATCTCCGACGACTAAATTTGACAAACACCGATTCCGTTAGCAACTTGCCAGAGCTAGAGAAGGAATAAAGTAACGAGACGTTAGCAAGGAAGGCACTCACCAAAGACAAAGTTGTACTGCGCCAACTGTGCATTTCGCACCTTCTTGGGAAGCGTATTTCCGGTTGTGTCGATGTCTACGAATATCCTCGCTTTCTTGAGGATCTCTTTGACTTCTTGAGCGTATGGCACAAATCCCATGCCTACGGGTATCACCATCACCTGTCGCGGACTTAACCAGAAAGGCCACTTGCCAGCGAAGTGCTCAATGAGAATGCCTACGTGACTCGGTCAGTATAAGCGATATAACTATCCCCTTTCTTCGTCGCCATGCTTACCCATGAACCTCTCGATAGAACCAGCCATTGCGCGATGAATAATTACCGGACGAGCGCATCCGGGGCTCAGGGGTTTGACCACTCTTCCCCGTTTGGCTCCGCTATCGCCTGTGCCGGGGTTCCCGGAGTCCGCATTAGGTGGCTGAGTTTCCTGGACCTTTACTTCCGCCGCCGGTGCGGCTGGCTCATCCTGCTTGGATTTCCCGGTCTGCACCTCGGAGGTGATGTATTCGAGGCCGAAGTCTAGTATATATCTGTTAGGGATGTATATTAACCGGCAGGTTAAAGACGCATTACTTACTCTCGGGACCCATGAAGTCAAGCTGAATAGTAGCGCATTGCCACTCCTAAAGTCCTAATTAGCCCACCGGCTCTGAAAAACAAGCAACGACTTTGAAATTCGAAAGGGGAAAACACCAAGATGATACACTCGGTTTTTCAAAACTAGGGAGATATTTAAACAAGCGCGTACTGACCCGGTTCAAGCAGTCCAAAATCTTAATATCGATCTAGTATATAGTTAGCGGAATCGACCATAATCACGGTAACAGGGGAGAGCCGGGTGCGAGGGAGCGAAGAGGACAAGAAGTACCTTGGGCCCATAGAAGGCGCCATCACCCTCGTTGAGAGTCCACGATACACCACCGGGACCTGCCGCAAAGCCATCCAAAGCTTCCTTTAGCATGCCTTCGGCCTTGTCCCACGTTTCAATCTGACCCATGAATTTCTCCGGGCGGGTAGATAGTTGAAGCTTAAAGGTAAATCCCAACAAGCCATACATCTCAGATAGGAAGTCGAACAGGTCAGAAATCTCGGCGGTAACCTGGTCGAGCCGACAGAATATATGGGAATCGTCCTGTTGGAAACGGCGGACACGTGTCAAGCCCGACAACGCGCCGCTCGCCTCGTTTCGGTGAAGGACGCCGAAGTCAGCAAAGCGTAAAGGTAGCTGATTGTATACCCTCGGGGAGTGCCCAAACATGAGGAAATGAGCTGGACAATTCATGGGCTTCAGGCCCCATTTCTCTTTTTCTAAGTCCATGACAAACATGTCCTCTTGGTAGTACTCCCAGTGACCGCTGATCTTCCAGAGCTCCGAATTGAAAATGTTTGGGGTGATGACTGAAATCGGACTAGTCAGCTAAGACGGGGAGAGAAGAAGTACAGCGAGTGATGAGGAGTCTATTCCATATACGAACCTTCTTGATAATCCCGTTTATGGTATTGGTCTCGGAGGTACTCGAGAAGGGTGTTGTAGATTCTTGTGCCGTGGGGCAGGAAGAATGCCGAGCCGGGGGAGAGCTCGTGGAACATGAAGAGCTCTTGTTCCTTTCCAAGCTTCCTGTGATCTCGCTTAGCTGCCTCCTCCAGGAACTTCTTGTGCTCTGCCATCTTCTTCTTATCCGGGAAGGACACTCCATAAATACGTTGGAGCGAGTCATTCTCTTGAGAGCCAAGCCAATAGGACGCCGAGTTCTTCATGATGGAGAAGGCTTCGATCCGACCAGTATCCGGCACGTGTGGTCCACGACATAGATCGATCAGGGGGCCGTTACGATAGATGGTGGTAGAGGTACCGTCGGGAATCTTAGTGGAGATGATGTACTGCTTGTATTTGTTGTAACTAAACATATCGAGAAGATCCTGCTTTGTGACTTCGAGGCGCTCAAATCGCTGACGATCCTTGACGATGTCGGTCACGATACGTTCTAGAGGCGTCCAGTCGCTCTGCTGAACAGCAGCGCCTCCGGGCAGAGCCATCTCATAGTAGAAACCATCATCGATCGGGGGACCGATGCAAAGGGAGCAGCCGAATCGCCTCTCACAGGCTTCGCCAAGAATGTGGGCAGAGCTATGCCAAAACACCTGCTTCCCCTGCTCGTCGTCAAATGTCAAGAGCTCGAGCTTGCAGCTCTGCTCTAGAGGTCTGTCGAGATCCCACAACTTGTTCTTGTCTCCGTCCAACCTGGCAACGACGGAGCGCTTATACAAGCTATTAGAAACTCCCTTGGCGATCTCTCCCGGCGTAGTCTCCCAGCTAGTGCCGACTTTAATAGACCCATCAGGCATGGTGATGGTGATTTGTTCGCGAGGTCGCTTGGCTACGTCTTCGTCATACTTTTTCTTTAGGCGATCGAACAAGTCGAGTCGCGTCTTCAGGAAATCGGGCGGCGGGTTCATCTCGACGGGGCCAGCGCTGGCAGCATCGGCGCCGGCTTTGCTCTTCTTCTCCTTTTTCGCCGGCTTCTGCCCACCGACCACGACTTTCTTAACATCCCCAGACCTTGCGTCGTCGGCCATCTTTGCGCTGTTCTCGGTAGTGAGTGTTGGCCGAGTCCGCCTCCCCGAGCAAAGTTGAGGAGTGAAATGGAAGATGAAGGCAGAAAATATTTAGAAAGATTGGGTGGTCGGAGAAAAACAAGATACCTTTTTTAAGGTTAAGGAAAAAGACTGAATTGAGTTGAGTCACTGTTTCCTTCCTTAGGTACTTGACACATAAAGTTCTAAGGTACATACGAGATAAGGTAAAATATTATTTTGCCCGCCGTTCAACTGCTTATTGCCCCGCTACCCCGCATACCTACTTCAATAGTACTCGATGTATTGTACATACGATACCGTGCATGTATCGATAAGCATCTTAGCTCCGGAATCGGGTTAGTGCAGGGACAGTACTACGTATAACCAGTACAGCAGCACCTTATCCTATCATCAACTCATCCTGTCGTATGTAAGTTACATAAACTACGCGCATTTGCACACAAGATAGATCACCTCAATATCCTCTCACAACGTATGTCGTTTTCATTCATGAGACCAGCTTCCAACACGCCATCACACATTACTTCATTCTTTTCCAAACAACGCCTCGGCCTTGGATGAGCTGTCTGGATCCAGAAAAGGGGCTTCCCCGATCCCAACCGCGCGGAGTCCAAATCTCTCTCCGAGACCGTCATAGTCAAAGGTGGCAGTATGAAACACACTTCGGTTATCCCATATTGCTGCTTGTTGTTAAAAATACGGACTCTGGTCATAATTTCATCCTGTCATCTTACCTAGGTCGTTCTTGTTCCTCTACTTAAATCGATCCTGCAAGTCGTGATTCTCTACGATAGCCTGTTTGAACCTGTCTAACAGTTCGGAAGACTCTTGCGCCGACAGCTCATTGATATACTTTGGGAAAGGTCCGATGGCGAATATACTTTTCCAGCCAGTGACTGGATTGGTTCGGACGACGGGATGTACCGCTTTCAGATAGATACTGGATAGAGGGATAAAAGGTAGTTTAGGTTCGATTCCTATTAGGCCTGTTGGTGCCCGCCTTTTATCCCTTTTATCTCAGATCTCCTCCGGTGTTAGACAAGCTTCCTCTTGGCTTCTCCTAGAGCTTGATGTTTTCCGTGTCTGCAGATGCAGCAGCCAGGAAGCCATCACCGATGAATGTTGCTATCAACCCCTCGATAAATCTCTGGTAGGGCTTCGAGAATATATCGTAGATGTCGTACTCCGAGGCCCAAAGCGTATCGCCTCCCGTCTTCCGAAGCTCGGTCAAGCGAAGGGAAGTATAATCCGCGGGGACTGGCTCAAATTGGATATCTGAGTGCCACTGGGCAGAGTCATAACGTCTCTTGTCCTGTTGGCGTTCGTGCTTGAAGAGCTTCTTACGCTGGAGTGAGCTGATGGTGCTAATTTGATTGTCACCTACGTTAAACTCGGATGTGCCATTCACGATTAGGTGTATATGCAACGTTAAATCGACAGGCTTGCTTGTTAACTTGCCTAGTTATTGAATTAAGTGTTTTTGGAATTCGTTAGTAAAATTGTTTTATGCCCGGAAAAATACCACACTTTTTTTAAAAATTATGAAAAGGGTTAATATTTTTAATAAATTTTATTAAAAATAAATAACGTTAAAAAAAATTAATTAATAATTAAAATATATATATATACGTATTTTAATTTAATTATACGTTTTTAATTATATGTTTTAATTACGTAAATATAATATATTAAATAATTTTTTTTTCGAAAATTTTTAATTAATTTAAAATTAAAATAATTAATTATTATTTATAATATTATAATTAAATGTTATTAAAATTTAAAATTTAAAAATTTTTATTTTATTATTTTTAAAAATTTTAAATTCCGTAAATATTAATTTAAAAAAAATAAAAATTAATTTTATAAATTTAAAATTAAATTAAATAAAATTATATAAAAGTTTATATTTTTATTTATTTTTTTTAATTTTTAATTTAATTTAAAAAATTATTTTATTTCGAAATTTATTTTATTAATCGAAAATAAATAATAAAAATATAATTCCTTTTAATTATTATAATATTTAATTTTAAATTTAAGTTTTATAAAATTATATAATTATAAAATTAAAAGTGGGTTTTAAAATTAATTTTTAAAGTTAAAAAGTTTTTTTACGAAACCGATTTTTTATAATTAAATCTTTTATTTTAAAATTTTATTTTAAATGTTAAAAATTTTATTTTATAATTTAATATTATTTTAAATAAATAATTAATTAATTAAATTAATTATAAATATAAATTTTATATATATCGAATTAACGAATTTAATTAATTCGATTAATAATATATATATAATTATAATTTATTTATTTAATTATTAATTATTAATTATTTTAAAATAAAATAAATAAGTTTTAATATTTTAAAACTTTATATTTTTTTTATTAATTTTTTTTAATTATTTATAATATTTAATTTAAAATTAAAATATATAAAATTAATTTTATTATAAATTTATTTATTAAAATAAAAATGATTTTAAAAACTTAATATATATAAAACGTTAAATTTAATTTAAATGTAAAAATTTTTATTTTTTTTTAATTTAATTAAAATTTAATTTTAAATTAATAAAATAAGTTTTAAATTATTTTTATAATTTTTAATTGTTTTTTAATTATTAATTAATTAAGCTTAATTAATTTAAAATAATGTTAACCGCGTAATATATAATCGTTTATTTCCGGCGCGTAATACCGTTAAAATGGCGTTAACGCGTTCGAATAATATATAAAACATTTTTTAATTTTACATTTAAATTAAATTAATTATTTTACGTTTAATTTAAGTTTAAATTTCTTATAATTATAATAATTTAAAAACTTTTAATTCGAAAAATTTAATATTTTAATTTTAAAAGTTATAACTTTAAAATAATTAAAATATTAAAAATTAAAAAAAATTATTAAATTAAAGCAATTCCAAGTTTTATAACCGCGATTTAACCATTGCTTTATTTTTATTTTATAATATTTCTTTTAAACTTTAATTTTAAATTTTATAAATTAAATTTAATATAAAATAAATTAAAAATTTTTAAATTATTATAATTATAAAAGATTTAAACATAAATTAAACGAAAAATAATTAATTAAAATTAATTAAAAAATAATTATATATAAAAGTTATAAAAGTATAATTATTTATATAACGGTTTATATGGTAATAAAAATACCCGATTTATATTTTTTTCGGACGCGTTTTTTTAACGTTATTACGCGGCGGAAATAAATAACTTTATATTACGCGGTTAACATTACTTTTAATTTAAATTAAAGCTTTAATTATAATAATAAAATATATAAAATTAAGTAATAAATAATATATTTATAATTAATTAAAATTAAAACTTGAAAATTAAAAAAAAAATTTATTTTTAAACGTTAATATTAATATTTTATGTAATTTTTTATATATAATACGCGTAATAAAATATATATATACTTTAATTTAATTATATATTTTTAATTACATGCTTTAATTAAATTAATATTTAATAAATAATTTTCTTTTTAAAAACTTTTAATTAATTTAAACTTAAAATAATTAAGTATTATTTATAATATTTAACGTTAAAATTTAATTATTAATAATTAATTAAAGTTTTAATTAAAATTAAATTAATTAATTCGAACCTTAATTATAATTAAATTTAATTAATTAATGTTTTAATTAAAATTAAGTTAATTAATTAAAGCTTTAATTAAAACTAATTAAACTTAATTAATTAATTAATCGAAGAAAATTAAAAATTAAAGTTTTTATATTACTTTTTTTTAAAATTTTTTAACGTGTTAAATAAAAATTATAAAAATACTTTAAAACTTGTTTTATTAATTTAAAGTTAAATATTATTTAAATTTAATTTAAATTTAATAAAATAGGATTTTTTAGATTTAAATTTAAATTATAATTAAAAGTTAAATTCAAATTTAAGGTTTTATATATATTAGGTTTTTAAAAATTATTTTCGTTTTAAATAATAAATTTAAAATAAAATTAATTATATTTATTTAAATTTAAAGTTAAATATTAAATATAATCAAAGGAATTTAATTTTTAATAATTAAGTTAAATTATTTATTAAGGTTTAAAATAATAAAAAGATTTTAATAAAAGAATATTTAAGGGTTTAAAGTGTTAAAGCTTATTTGTTTTACTTTATAATTTACTTAAAATAATTAATAATTAAGTAAAGAAATTAATTATAATTATATAACCATTATAATATAATTTAATTGAAATTATTAATTTAATGCATATATAATTTATATTTATAAGTAATTTAATTAATTAGTTATTTATAATAATATTAAATTATAAAGTAAAATTTTTAAAATTTAGAAATTTTTTCTAAAGTAAAATATTTGATTATAAAAATCGGTTGCTTAAAAAGACCTTTCAACTTTAAAAATTATTTTAAGGCTTACTTTAAGTCTTATAATTATAACGTGTTATAAACCTTGAATTTAAAGTTAAATATTATAATAATTAAAAAGAAATAAAATTTTACCATTTATTTTTAATTAATAATGAAAGATTAATAAATCATTTCGAAATAAATAAATTCAACTTTTTATAAAATAATTTTTTAAAATAAATTAAAAATTAAAATAAATAAGTAAAAATATATAATTTTATATCAACTTATTTCATTTAACTTTAAATTCATATAATTAATTTTTATTTATTTTTAAAATAAGTATTTACGAAGTTAGGAATTTTTTAAAATAATGTAATAAAAACTTTTAATTTTTAATTTTTTCTTAATTATTAATTAATTAATTAAGCTTAATTTTAATTAATTAATGCCTTAATTAAAACTAAATTTAATTAATGAAAACCAAGGTTAAAATTTAATTATTAATAATTAATTAAAACTTTAATTAAAATTAAATTAATTAATTCGAGGCTTAACTAAAACTAAATTAGTTAGTTAAGGCTTTAACTAAAAATAACTAAGCTTAATTAATTAGTAACTAAAAAAAAACTAAAAACTAAGGTTTTTAAACCATTTTTTTTCAAAAATTTCTAACTTATTAAATAAAAATCGTAGAAATAATTTAAGACTTGTTTTAATAATTTAAAGTCAAGTCTTATTTAAACTTAAAGGAAGGGGAATTTTTTGATTTAAATTCAAATTATAATTAAAAGTTAAAGTCAAATTCAAGGTTTTATAA